CGCACAGTTGCCATGACTTGCGACGCCGGCAGATGATGCTACAGCTAGTCATCCTGCGACGGCGTGGGTGGCGTGCAGGTTATCAAACTGGTCACGTCGTGCAATGCTACCATCACACACACGAGAGAGTGAGAGAGAAGGAGATGGTTGGACGAGTCGATGACACCATCACACTGTTCATTTACCGAATACCCTCGTCGAGAGTCTGACAAGTCGTCGTGCTGTAGCCCACAGAGGGGTCGAGAGCATACGCAGAGTCAGTGATGGAGCCAGCGCACCGATCTCTGCAAAGAAATGTTGTGTCCTGTGACCGTGGCACGTACCAGGACTGGAGTCGTCGTACTGCGTACATGATCTCGTCTGGCGTAGCCCTTAGTCCTCACCCGATACGGTCGATCAGGGCCATCTATTGATCGAGGCTACCGGCCTGAAGGACGCAGCTCGAATGAGAAGGCGGAGAAGCGACGCACCCACCGCGCTGCCCGGATCCATGTTTGCGTCCACGTACTGGGACGGAGGTAGACTTCAAAGCAGCGAAGTGGGGACGCGGAATCAAGTCAGAGATGACACTGAAGGATGAGCATGCGCGGCCACTGTTTCCTCCCTTCCTTGGCCTCTCCAGCGTCAGTGACGTTGATGATGATGAGATGGACTTGAGCTCGGGGATCCATCCTTTGCACCTTGCACCTTGCAGCATTGCCAAGCAATCCGCTCCGTTTAATCAAAAGGATTGAGCATGGGTCTGAAGATTGGACTGAAGTGGAGCGGGGTGGCAGTGGGCGAGGGCCAGGAGAGGGTCGACGGCCTGGACGGACGACAGGACTCCACAGTGAGGCAACAAGGCATGCAGACAGGGATCTCGGCGCTGTCTGTTGGCTGATTGCTTTTTCTGCCATGTAGGGCTGGGGAACCACCCACTCACAGATTAGCGACCCTTTGGGAACCTTGTACCGTCAGCATGGAACCTGACGGGTGACGGGTGAGACGAGGACACCGCCACGAAGGCAACGAAAAGTGCAAATGTTCCAGTCCCATGGGCTGGTCCCAAGGATCCCCAGGGAATGAAGGTCGATGCCGCCATCGTCGTGGGTCCGGGGACTGTTCTGTCATTGCTGTGCATGGCATGGGCGGGTAGGCCTCCGCCGCGGACAGGCAGCAGACAGGAGAGCCGATGGAATGTAATGTGATGGGGCATTGAGTGGCATGGGCACAGCATGGCATAGGATAGCATGGCGCGGCGCGGCGTGGCGTGGCGTCGGTAGGGCATGGCTTGCGTCCCTCCATCCATACCATACCATCCCATCCCATGTGTATCGCGTGGTGCGGTGCATGAGCCGGTACTTTTATCAGCACTGGGTTCTCTGTTGGAATGCAAAGATGCGAGACGACAGCAGCACGGGCAGGCATCCAACCCAGGTATCTATCGTCCAGTCAGAGGAGCGGTGCCAATCCCAGACAATGGCCCCGGAGCCGAGCATGGGAGACCCCTAGCCTTTGGAGGCCATCCTGCCCTGTGCGTCTGTGTGTCTTGTTCACCGTCACTGTCCGCCAGTATCGTCACCGTCTTGCTCCATGCTGTTGGGCTGGGGTGACAGGGTGATTGTCGTTGATTGTCGCTGGTTGTCGCTGATTGCCGTTGATTGCCACGATTGTCGTGGCTGTTGTGGGTGCGTGGCTGTCAGCCCAGGTCAGCGCTCGCTGGAGTTGCAGACAACGTGGGCCGTGGGCCATGGGCCATGGGTTGTTGACTGGATGTGGGATGTGTAAGAGTGGACGTGTGGACGAGCGGACGAGCGGTCGAACGGACGGCGGCGCATGGGTGTGTGGGTTCCCAAAACACGCGAGGGTCAAGCACTGCACTGCACTGTAATGCTTTGGTTGCATTGTGTCGAGCAAGCAAGGCAGAACAGAGCGGCGCTATGTTTGCCGTAGACGCGAGTGATGGGATAGAGATGTCTTCACTGCCCTTTCCTCCTCCCTCCCTCCCCCCTCACACATCATCACCTTTCCAATCAGCCAAGGGGGGCAAAAACGGAGCAAGGAAAAGAGAGACCAGTGCCGACGGAGTACATGGGTACTGATCTGGCAGTGGCAGTGGCAGATGCCGTAACGGCCGTCCATTCTGCTGGTGCTGGTGCTGGTGTTGGTGTGGTGATAACGGAACGGTGGGGCCTGCATGAGCACGCCGCCCACGTACATGGCCTTAGCTACTACTGTGGGTGGTACATACAGTAGCTTGGGCCTTACAGGGAGAGAGATGGAAAGGGACCAGCCCTGGGAGGCAGGGACAAAGTGTAGCCCACTGCAAGGCAGCAGAGCAGCAGAGCAGCAGGCAACACCAGCATCTTGGGTCAGGGTACTTGTCGCTACCTGTCCCTTGTACGCCATGGCAGGGGCTCACCGTGCAACCAAGGGTATCTCAAAAGTCCCTCCACGGCCAGGCATCGGGAGTAACTTCCCATTCTCGTCAGTATCGCACAGTACTCACTCGTACTCGCCCAGGACACTCAGACGGGAGCAGGGCCCTCCCAAAGAGTACCGTTGCAGGTACCAAACCCACGGTGTCCCCATATGGCCGATCTGACCAACCTCCATCTTCTGGATGCACGTCTGATGACTGGGCCTGACTGGACTGATGGGAGGAGAGCGTCCACCGGTTTCGGTTGACAGCTTCACATTGCGATACCATACCATACCACTCCACACCATGCCATGCCATGCCCTGGCCATGTGCTGCCTCGCCTTGCCGTGCCATGCCATGCTATGCCATGCCATGCCATACCTACATACATGCTGCCTCGCCCATCTTTATTTAGAAACCTGCATCCATTGGGTTTGCCTCTGCGGTGACTGTTTCGTTCGTCTTCCGATGGGCAGTGACAACGAACGACACAGGACGAGGAGAGACGAGGGCGTGTGTTGACGTCAGGAACCTTCATTTGACGTTCACACAATATGATACTGCCCTGTACTGTCCTGACTGTCCCGCACCGTACTGTGCAGTACTGTACCGTACTGGCATGTCTCGGTCCCAAAAGGAAAGAGCGAAACACTTACCGTATATGGTCACACGGTACGCTGGAACGCCGGGACACCGGTACGATGGCGCGCACTGGCGCACCTGGCGCATTCACTTGCACGGTATGCACACACAAGATTCATACTGAGCACACAAGCACACAAGTTACGGAGTAGAGAGAGAGACACATCCGCTCGCACTTGCAGGGCTGGGAAAGGCAGAATACTGGTTACTGTATCGCATGTAGAGAAGAAGAGGGCCGAACGGGGGAGGTCCCTGAAACGGTCACAAGAAAAAAGGGCAGAGGGCCCAGACGGGCCAGATGGGGGGCACGAACGTCTTCGACCCGGTCTGCTCCTTCCTGTGTGTCTGCTCACTTCAACCCTGCTCGACCCCGACCCCTGCTTCCCGCCCCAAGCTTGGGCTAGCTCGCCGCCCTAAACCCTTTTGGAGACCCGCCTTGGGCTGGCCAGGTACCCAGGTACTCCCAGCCCAACCTCTGTACCGGTACCAGCCAGCTCCAGTATCCGTACCGGTACTGCGCACCCTGGCACCAAGGAGCAGGGAGCAAGGCGCAAGGAGCCAGGAGCAGCAGGAGCAGGAGCAAACAAGCAGAGACAGGCACACACACATGCACACAGGCACTTTGAGAGAAGAAGAGAGAGAAGGAGACACACACACACACAGACAGAGGAGAGAGGCGAGCATTGATTGAGTGAGACCTGAAAAATGTACTCCACTTCAACCTTAGAGTAGCATGCCTACAGTAGACACTTAATTCATACCCAGACTAGTTCTCTCTTTTTTTCCTCTCTCCCTCTCCCTCTCTCTTGCCCTGCCCTGCCCTGCCCTGCCCTGCCCTGTCCTTGCCCTGCCCTGTCCTTCCCTGTCCTGCCCTACCCTGCCGTACCTACCCTCCCCCTGCACCCACCTTGCCCGTGTACTGCACCTGGTGCACCAGGCCCAAGACTCGTGCACGACATAAGGAAACCTATCCGCGCCCTCTTCTCCCTCCACGCCCCCCCTTCTTGAAATATTGCTTGCTGTTGTTCTTGCTTGTCCTCGACCTGGCTTGACACGACACGACACGACTCGACCCGACCCGACTCGACTCCATTATCAACGGCCACACAGGCTGGAGTCCGCCGACCTCTTGGGATCCCCCTCTGTACATCTCCGCCGCCTCCATTTTCTAGTTTGAACGGGTTCTGTTCTGTGTACCTGCTGCCGTCGCCCTTGTTATTATACATAACCACCACCTATTCTTCACCACAGCCGAGAACGCCTTGTTTATTTACTTGCGATTTCACTTCTCTCGGCCTTGAATTCAAGTTGGCGCCTTTTGCTTGTTTGTTGCTATCCTGACGACTTGTCGCCGCCGAAACACCATACACACACGTACCGTAAATAAATATCACCCTACAACTGCAACTGCATCTCGTCACAGCTCGGCCCAGCATCAGCACCAGCATCAGCACCAACCGTCTCTGTACCGCCCTACGCCTCGTCCGCTTCTCGCCAGCTGTAGCAACGACCGCTCTTCTTGCTGGCTCGAATTCCTTTCTGGTCCGGCCCCGTCATACACGACTCAATCCATCCCCTATCTTTCATGGCGCATTGAGTCGAGGCCATTCCCCCCAAAATACCAGACACCTCGAAACAAATGCACCTGGCTTCCGAGGCTACAGACAACCCTAGACCTCGCCTCTTTCAAGTCCAACAGCAGCAGCAGTAGAGATTCTGTTGACTCAAACGCAAAACGTCATTTTGTGACTCTGACGTGGGTCCAGCACATCCCCGAGACCAAAAAGCCGCCTTCCCCCCTGACTTTTTCTAACAGCGGCCACCACCAGGTGAATTCCAGGCCTGCTTCGCAACCTGCCCTTTTCTCAGCCTGAACGTCGAGTCAGGCAGCTCGTCGCGAAGACCACAACTTGCCCCCAGATCACGTCTGGTTCCGATCCCAGGCCCTGCCTCGAAGATGGACATTCGCGGCGCACGACCACCTGGTCCTCCCACCATATCAATCTACGACGATGATCGCTATGGCTCGAGCCAGAGACCATTTGGGTCACACGGTCCCTTCAACCCCAATTTCGACCGAACCTTTTCTCCCGGAGCAGTGGGGATACCAAATGCGCATTCACACGAGAACCCTCCGCCTGCCCTTCCCCCACCACGCTTCGTACCCGTCGACGGGCCACAAGCACACCACAACGACTTTTTTGAGCGACAACGCAAGGAGTCATACAACGAGAGCTTTTTTGGTGGCAGAAGTGAGAGCGTGTATGGGAGCTGGAAGTCAAGGGCCGCGCAAGACGAGTTTGCCGATTACCGCAGGAGAGAAAGCAACACGACCTTGACAGGCAAGGACGAAGGCTACTCGAGCTTGTCAAGTTATGCCTCCTCGGCGTAGGTCCTTTCCGTGTTTTTATTTGTGACTCGCACAGCTTACCAAACCCGGGCGCTTCCCGGGCAGTACATTCCTAACTAACGTTCCTCGTCTAGGTCCCGCGACAAAGGCCCCAGTTTCCGGGTACACGATCAGTACCAATTTCCCTCTAGCGCTTCGTACGACAGCCAGCAACTCAAAAAGCTGGACGCGAAGAAGGGCTTAGACAACAGTCTGCCATCCCGTGGCTCTGCGTTGAGCGCATCCATGCGCTCGTTGCAGGATGGTCCGTCTCCTACATGGCCTTCGACCGATCGCCCCCACATCCAACTCCCCCAACTCTCCCTTCCTACACGTACCAAGCCTGCCCCGATTCTCGAGTCCACAGGCTATGCGGACACTCCTCTGAATTCGGCAGTGTCTCCTCGAAGTACGCCTTTTGCACAGTTAGCTCGGTCGCAGGACTACCGTTCACCCATCGAGCCGACATCAGCGATAGATTTCGACCGAAGTCCCTTTCCGAGGAATCGGAGACAAAATTCGGGCGCATTCCCGGGCGATCTCACGCCGGCGGATACATATGACCACGAGATGGAGTTTCCTATGGACGAGACCAACCGGCTGCGCCACATTCACCTTGACGAAGGCCAGCATTCTCGGGTGAACAGCTTTGATACTCAATGCTCAAGTCTGAAGCGGCGAGCTTCCAGCCCTCCTGTTGAAGAACCCGCCCTACGAAATGCATCCAGCCACAGCGATCTCCTCCGCCGCCGCGAAGGTATCTCCAGGGGCAGTCCAGCGCCCCGGCTGTCGGTCAACCCACCTCACGGCAGTATATCTTCCGTGTCGTCAGGCGACCGAAGCGGTAGCTTGGGAGGACTAAGCACAGCCACCAGCATGACCTCTTCGCTATCGTTTGGCCGAAGGTCGCCTATAGGGTTATCGCCAGGCGGTTTGTCGCCGACGGACGTGGCGAGCTCACCCTTCGCCACACCCAACTCCTTGACGCTGAGCCCAAGAACCACGATTGTGCCTCGCACTGGTCTGCATCAAAGAGGCCCAAGCGATCAGAGAAACATGGTAAGCCCTAGGAAGCTGACTGAGCCGACTTTGCGGACAAACAATGGCGTTGGGAAAATCCAAGGCTTCTACATGTGCGACTGTTGTCCCAAGAAACCAAAGAAATTTGACACTCGTGAGGAGTTGGGGTTAGTAAAATCCCACCCAATGCAGACGCCGCTTGAGAGGACATGGCTGACCAGAGATCGTGTGCTCTCAAATAGTGCTCATGAGGCAGAGAAACAGTATGAGTGTGCGTATTGTGGAAACCGTTTCAAGAACAAGAATGAGGCGGAGCGGCACCAAAATTCACTGCACGTGCGGCGACATTCTTGGTCTTGCTCGGCACTTGCAACCTACGACAGGGCATTCCACGAATCGACCACACGGCCTGGTGAAGCCGACACGTGCGGATACTGCGGTGAGGAGTTTGCTCGATCAGGGTTGACCCCGCCGGGGCATGTACGGCACGTCACTGAACAAGATTGGGACGAGCGGGTGCGTCACTTGCAAGATCATCACAAGTTCCGGGAGTGCAACAGCTCCAAGAAGTTCTACAGGGCCGATCACTTCCGGCAACATCTCAAGCACAGCCACGCGGGAACAAGTGGCAAGTGGACCAACATGCTGGAAAACGCATGCATGATGGAAGAGGAGCCACCGCAACCACCCGGGAGGTGAGGCGGGCTCGCGGTAGTAGAGGGCTGAAGCATTTGGCCGGTGGCGACCGGCTGTGATACGCACATCAATGCAGCAGCAGGGTGCACATGTGGAAATGTGAGTCCTCAGGAGGAGGAGAGGTTGCCAAGTCGCAAGCAAGCTGGATTGCCAACCTCGAATACAACCTACCACCTTCGCGTGACAGTCTCGAAGCCGCTAGCCAACCCTGATCACAGGGAAAGGTCGCGGCAAGAGCCGCAACACCAGAAGTGGTCGACTGGCCCGAGAAGTCGAGGCGAGAGGCACGGGCCAGGGCGATGCTTGGGGCGCTCGAAACTGCGGGCAACATTCACACGCCATCTGCGAGAGGCTGGCTTGAGCGTCAGCGGCAGGGCTGGAAACTCAGACGCATCGGAAACAATTCGCTGCTTTGCGGGGACGCTGACAACCAAGTACGCCACATGCGTGCACTAAAATAATTATCTTATACGTTAAAAGTCGAGTGCAGTCAGATATTGGTGGCTGGCATTTGCGACAATGCAGAAAACGATTTCAACCTGCCATCGTTCTAGCACGTCAGGTAAAACTACCTGCTATTTCGTCCAACTAGCCGACTGTGAAAAAAAAAAGCTTGAAGCACATGAAATTCGCTGTCCCCGCTCTCCACTCTCGACCGGCAGATTGGAGTTGGCAAGAGTGCGCGAAGGATTCAAGTGGGCCATTACACGGGCCTGGGACCAGCCCGCCTGCAGGAGCGTTGGCGCATTTCTGCTGGCATGCTTGCTTGTGCTTGTCGAATCGATGCGAGGCTCTCAACCTAGGCCCTGATACTTTGCGTTGTAGCACGAACACGGCATCATTTGGGTAGCTCGAAGGATCTCATCCTGGATCTACGCTGCGGTGTCGTCTGGCTGGCTTAGTTGCCTGGCCTGACTCCAGACATGCAACCTACACAATTGGGCCACCATACCGTCGGTACCTTTATCAGGTTCCTCACTCGCACAATGTCGTTTCCGCTGCGCGATTCATCATTTTCAAAGCTCGGTGCCTGGCCCGAAAGGTCTACCTGCACCTTGAAGACGAGCCGCAAGATGTAGCCTTCTTAAGCCAGTGGATGGATTGAACTAGCTCGTGTCTGCCTACCATAATTTGGCTGACTGTTTGAGGAGACAAGTCGAATTTTGGAAATTAGGCTACGAATGCTGTTCACATGCTCACATGCTCACATAATGCGGACCGCTCCATGTCTTACCGTGCGCGAGTCGACCCGATCTTCCAGGTCAGTTAACGATTTGGTAAATAGTCTAGTCGATCCTCAACCGCCGCAACCCGTCAGCGTTGGCTGCGCCGCAGGGCTGCTTGCGTTCGGGGAAACTCACTTAATGGTCACTATAAGTGCTGTCTTCTGATCTAAGACACATCGCCATGCTTCGCAGGGCCCACACCAAACCTCAGCCGAGGTAGGCGGACATGATCTCCCTGCCCCCATCGCTTTGCAAATCCCTAGCATCCCTCTGTCGGGTACTCGGCAACGCTTGCTTTGTCATGGTTAGTGGAGACGCCAGAGACGTGTAACGAGTGGGTTATCTGACATGAAGGGTTCCGGGATGCTGGCGCTGATATCGACGTCGACGAAACTCTACGACGAATGTGAGCAAAGGGAATCCATAGTCGACTGAGACAGCATGGTAGACAGCCTGTGAAAAACAAAAGCAGCCTTCTGTCGGTCAGTGCAAACGAAGCATTTGGCCACCAGTTGGAACGTCCATTTTTGACGAAACAAGGAGGTGGCCAAGGGCGAGGGCTGCAGAAGGTTTGAAGGATTCTGGTGCCTGCACGGTGCACAGCAAGCCCATGCTGTGCACTAGACACTGGAGCCGGGGCCTCGCAGGGCTCAATGATACTCTCGCCTGTCTGCTGTGGCCGGCAGCTCTCTCAGCCCGGCCCATTTCCAACGATTGTCATCACCCCAGAGCAAACAGCACCGCGCATGCGCGAGGATCAGAAGCCTTGAAAACCTGCACTTGGTCTAGTCATTGGGCCAAAGTCCTCGACATGCCGTCGTCATGGTTCTCGGCTGGTGATCATACTGTCGGACTGTATGAAACAGCCGCCTTTTACTACGCCAGGCCAAAGCGACAAAACATCCGCCTGGGCTCTTTTTGCTTTTGTCCGCAATAATACGTTTTTCCCATGAGGGTCCCCAATTGGGCCTCATTGGCAATATCATCATCGCCATCACTCAGGGTTTTCTGGGGGCGAGTATACGTTTTTTTTCTTTTGGCCGGAAGGATTGTTAGTCAGTTGTACAACCGGCCAAACCCGTCTCGCTTTATCGGCAGGATGCGGGCACTCTGGATCCTGCGTTTGCCTTGCTTGTACCCTCAGCTTTGATGTCTGAAAAAGCGAGTCGCGAGGCGAGACGTTGTGGATTCTTGGGAGGATTTGCATCAGCGCACCGCATGCTGCCTCCTTGCCAGAGGACCAGACCTGTCTGGGCGAGCTGGAAGATAGACGACGCGAAGGATCCAAAAGATCAACATGTGGGGGGAGAAGAGGCAGGGAGTGGGGGTTGACTTTATCCCCTTTTCTCCCTCTCGCTAACCTGCTTGGGACCTGGTGGTAAGAGGAAGCAAGAAAGAAACCAGGGGCTTGTGACGATTGTGGAATTGGGTGTGATTTCATACCTGGTCGGGTTACATGTCAAATATACCATTTTTCTTTATTATTTTTATTACTATCGCGCAATGCCTGGGCAGGCAGGCTAGGCTGGATTGGGTTTTACTACGTGCGCACGTTTCGAGTTATTTTACCCTCACGGCGGCGGTCCGTTTGATACGGCCTGTCGTGTCGGGGTCTTTTTCTTTCTTCTTTTTCTATCCCCGGGGCAATTGAGGAAGCAAAACCATGAATCAAGTATAATTATATATCAAATATGACATGTACACTTTCTGACGTGGGTGTACGATCAGGTACACATTGTGAAAGTGATTGATATATACATACACTGTACGGCACGGAACGTTACGTCTTTCAAAATGGAGGAGCGCGGGAAGCGCGAAGGAAGGAAGCGTTTCAATGCCACTCTAGGGATCCGCAGCCTTGCCCCAGGTGCCTTGTCTTGTCTTTTTTTCCCCACTCACTTCCCCATTCGCGACCTAGCCTTGCTTGGTTCATGTTTTTACTTGACCTTGCGGCGGGCCAAGGCATTTTCCCGTCAACTTGTGGTCGGCGGCAGCGGCTGTTTTACCTGATGCGTAGACCGACGGATCGACCCTCTTGCGTGTGTTTGATTGACGCGGCAGCCGGGTGGCCAACAGAACCAAAAGCCCGAGCAGGCAGTGTCGCTTTTGAATCGTTTGTGATGTGTCTCTTGGTGGCTGCCGGGCTGGGCTGGAGAATTAGTGTGCCTTGCTGTCGCTGGGGGGCTTCGCTGGGGTCGGGAATGTGGGAGAGGTCTAGAGGAATTAGTTGAAGGATGGGTGTGTGTGTGTGTGTGTGTGTGTGTGTGTTTTAATGTGGGTTTTGAGATTGGCTGGTTTAGTAGGCCTGTTCATCTCATGGTGATTGTGTGTGAGGGTGTGTGTGGTTGAGGGTGAGGGTGGTGATGAGCTTTGGATGATTCAAGAGTGGATGGAAATAGACGGACTAATTTTACACTGAGTATCAATTCTTCAGCCCTATCTAGGTACTAGTGACCGACCGACCCCATCGGAATGATTTCGCCTAGTCTATCTATGCTAATTATGTCTGTAGGGCTGGCGGGCTGTTCGTTGGGCTGAGGGAGATCGCCTGGCATTTGCGATGCTGCGCTATGTATTTTGGCCCCCAAAAAATCCCCCTGCTGCAGCTCCCCTCCAGGCAAGAAGCTGGCAAGACTGGCTGACAGGCTGGTGGTGGTGGTGGTGGTGGTAGTGGTGCACGTGAAGCCAGGCGTAGTGGTGGTGTGTTGGTGTGGTGGGTGTCAGGGTTGTCAGGGTGTGTAAGGTGAGTGGCAGTTGAGGCAGATATAACGGTCATGATGACTAAGCACCGTCTCTTCACGGAGGAATAGTAAACGGGCGACTGTGAGTGGCAACGAGCTGCCCCGCGCTAAAAGGGCAGCAGTAGGTGGGGCTTTCGAAGGGGGACAACAGGGCAACAGGGCCACAGGGCAACACCTCGGGCGTGGGGGCCGGAAAGGCGGGGCAACCACTTTTTTTCTGTCTTGCCTTTGCCTTTTTGCCTTCTCTCCCCTTGGTCTGGGTGGGTTAAAGCAGACCAGAAGTGGAGCGGGCATCAGATCGCATTCCAACAATTGACGTCGATGTCGACTGACTGTCTGACTGACTGTTGTTGGCAAAACCTGGCTGGCTGCTGGTGTTTCTGCATCATCATCTTGCATCTGCATCTACAGTACAACACAGTACAGTACTGCAGCATCTGATCTGATCGACCAAAACAATAGCCCGCGCCTGCACCGCCTGCATCGCCTGCATTTTGCCCTGCTGGGCCAGCACTCACTAACTCACTAACTCGCTCACTCACTCGCCCACTCCCTCACCGCCGTCAATGTCACGTCGCGTCGCTACGCCCCATCGAAACCAACATCGCACATCACACATCACACATCGTACATCGCATCCACTTGCCTCATTGGACATCGAGAGCCCTGAGAAGCCGGGACCAGAAATGATCACCGATCAGGGCGATCGTCACTACTGAAAGATAGAGAGAGAAGGGCACCCACACCTACACTGGTGCTCGCTAAACCAAACAGGACTGGACTGGATCTGGATCTGGAGCACACTGGACCTGGGCCTGACTGGATCGAGACTATGCCAGCGATTGATGAGTCAGACCGCGCCGCAATTTCCACCTCCGCCAACGACAGCATAGACATCGACGACTTCGCCTGCTGTGAGGCCAGCGACAGCGAGGCCGAGGGCGAACAAGACGACGACAGTGACAGCACCGCCCACGACGTCACCTCCCTGTCCCCAGGCTGCTGCTCACGCTTTGCCGCCCTGACCGGCCTGGACATCAACGAGATCAAGCGGGAGCTAGACGCCCAGAACAAACACAACTACTCGGCCACACATACCGCCGCCGACGGTGACGGTGACCCCCAGCTGCTGCAGCAGCCACCAAAACACCTCTGCCACGGCCCGCGCTCTGCCTTCGAGGGCGCCGACCACGCTCACCTGCAGTACATCGAGAAGAAGGCCATGGCCCTCAACCGCGTCGACGGGCCCGACGACCTCTATGTCGGCGGCGTCTTTGCCCTGCGCAGGCCCGGCGCAATGGAGGGCAAGGGCATCACTCACATCCTGAGCATGATCAAGTACAGCTTTGTCGACTGGCAGGGCTTCGAGGACCACTACGTCCACCTCAGCGTCGACGTCGACGACGTCGACGATGAGGACCTGCTGGTGCACCTGCCACGGGCTGTGAGGTTTGTCGAGAGGGGGCTGCGCGGTGGGGAGGGGCCCTGGCCGCAAGGAACTGTCCTACCAGGGACGAAGTGGAATAGGAGGGAAGCGGAGGAGGATGGAGCCACAACAGGGCCAGACGAGAGTGTAGGGGAAAAGAGCAGGACGGAGTCATTACCAGAGGCACAGATGCGCAACATGTCTCTGCAGGAGCACGCGCCTGCGCCCACCGACCCCTCAAAACCAGGCGCCGTCTTCGTACACTGCGCCATGGGCAAGTCCCGCTCCGTCACCGCGGTCCTGGCCTTTCTTCTGTGGAAATATCCCCACCGCTACGGCATCACACCTTCCATGCTCGACCCGCAACAGCGCGCGCCCGATGCCGACACCGCACGCAAGGCCGTCCAGGCCGCCCTCGACTGGGTGCGCAAGACGCGCGAGATCGCCGAGCCGAACCCCGGGTTCATGCAGCAGCTGGAGATGTGGGTCATGATGAGGATGCCCACCGCGAGCGGCGACGACGCCGTTGAGAGGCACCCCATCTACCAGCGGTGGCTGTGGGAGCGCGAGGTCGAGGAGAGCGCCAAGATCGGCAAGGCTCCCGAGTGGATCCGCTTCGAGGATGACCATGCCGATGATGAGAAGTTGCCGAAATCTGAGGAAGATACCGGCGCCGACGAGAAGTCAAAAAACACAACAACCGAGCTCCGCTGCAAGAAGTGCAGGCGGGTCTTGGCTACAGAGCGGTTCGTCATCCCGCACCAGCAACAACAACAAAAGTCTGGACCAGCGAGCCAACAGTCGTGCCCGCACCACTTCATCGAGCCGCTGTCATGGATGAAGGACGTGCTGGAGGAAGGCCGGCTGGACGGCCGACTGATGTGCCCCGGCAGCAGCGGCGGCGGGGCCCGGTGCGGAGCCAGCATCGGGCGGTACGCCTGGCAGGGGTTCAAGTGCAGCTGCGGCGAGTGGGTGTGCCCTGCGTTCTCGCTCGGAGCTAGCAAAGTCGACGAGGTCAGGGTGCCTAAGAAGGGGCCGCACCAGCAGGATGGGAACGGAGGAGGAGCGGCAGGGGAGTCTGCTGCTGCTGCGAGGGCGGCGGCGCTGGGGATCCGCATGCCGCCTGGGAGGAGGCAGAATAACCTATAGACCAGACGGGATTACTGATGGGAGACCAGTCTGTCCCGTCGTGATAGAAATTGGACATGTGTCGCAAGACAAGTACAGTACACCCGGGTACGTGCGGCCAGCCAGTCTAGCCGACCCAGCCCCAGCCCCAGCTCCAGCCCAAAGTGCCTAGCCCGGCCTGCCTAGTCCAGCCCTGTGAGGCACAGCCCTTTGACGTCTTGGGATATTTTCCTTGGTCTGGACTCCACTTGCGTTCTGTTGGTCTACAGTAGAGGGAACAGTTCGATCGATCAAGGTCACGAGCTAGCCAGCACGAGGGGGCCGAGTCAGAACAGCACAGGTGCAGTGACATGGCAATACTGTAGCGGCATGCGAGGGCGCGGCGCATGGCAAAAGTGGAGGAGGCACAGAAAACAACAAGGCACAGGGGGAAAAAAACCAAATGCCATGGCTTCGCTGCTCCTCCCTTCAATCCTCCAAAACGGTCCGCCGGCTTAAAGCTAGCGCCCCCCGGCGCGGGGGGGGGGGCACTCCTTTTGGAACGTCAGAAAGGGTGCCTCGCAGGGCTGCTTGCTGCTGACCGCGATCTCCACCCGCGATGGGGCACATAACCTGGCGCTTTTACTCAGATGTGACGATGGGCTTGCTTAAGTGGGGTGCATACCGCCTTTCCCTGTGCCGCATTCCCAGGTATCCAGACATGTCAACAACACAGAGCTACAATACGTGCCTCACTGACGATGATGATGACCACCTTGCCAAGACCGCACCGTTTTGCCCGCCCCGCCCCACGGCCGCTCGCGTGCATGCATGCATGCAGGCACCTGTATGTATGTACAGTACAGCACGACAGAGTGGGAACGAGCATGTATAATGCAGAGTCATGATGCCTGGAGCAGGACATATGTGGGAATGGTTGGTGGCCCCACGCAGTCAGGCCGTTTCCACGATGTGCCGCCCGCTTGCCCCAGAGGTGGGGAGAGGAAGAGACAGAGATGGGCAGGGCAGAACAAGGAATATTGACTGTGCCGCACACTCGCATCCATGAACTCGGGCCTGCGTGCTGAGCTAGCCTTGCTTGTTGGTTCTGCCCACCCCCCGCTACAAACCGGGGCGGGCTCCCGTTGGGCTGTTCGAGTCCGAGCAGATGGTGCGATACCGAGGTGCGTTGTAACGTTGGTGCTCTGGGGTTTGAGTTTCAACGGTGGTTAACTCATCATGTAGTCTTATGTACGTTGGTAGGATTGGGATGAAGGTTCAATCCTTCGCAAGCGGGAGATTTTGGGTTTCCCGCACGGGAGTCAGTCTCCGGCTGGGGTCTCAGAGCTGAACTCTGATGTGTCTTATATAATACCAAACCGCGAACGACGAAAACTATCACCACGGGCCGCAATCGCTCGCATGGTCTACAGAAAAGGAAACCCCCAGGATCACCAGGAAAGAAACCCGCCCCAAAGGAAAAAGCAAAAGTGGGCGGCCGGGCCCTGCTCATTATCTGATCGTCGGGGCCACGGCTTCGCCGCGCACCTGCAGTAGTAGCAGCAGGCAGCTCGGCTCGGCAAACATGACATTACATACACAATACACATCATTTCGACTACACAGTCACAGTACATAGACTAGATGCTCCTCCGCCCCTAACGGCCAACAGCAGCAGCGTTCCCTCGTGGGTGGGCCCGGCCACCGTTGTTGCAGTAACCCTGGCCCGCCCTACTCTACGCATGGGGGGACTGCTGATATACTGGAGAAAGCCGCATGTGTGGGTGGGTGGACTCGAGACTAGCAAGCCCTTGCGTGTCCCGATGCAGGATCGCAGAAAAAAGAAAGGAAAACGGTCGCGGCGCTGATGTATAGTACAGTATGAAGTTTTTCCTGTGGGGCCAGCCCAGCCGTCTGTGGCTTGCTTTGCTGCCTTGCCTGTCCTGCCTGCTGTCTCCGTTCTGAGACGACATATCATCTGGCCCTTTTCCTGAACGAGGCTAGGTGCATATCGTTGGACCCTGGGGTTGTCTTTGCCGTGGGATTTATGGCGCCGTGGGCGCATTCATCACGGACTTTATGGATATTGGAATTGCGAGTCTTTGGAGTGGGCCTGCATGTTCGGAAATAAGGGACCGGGGTAGACACGACTGTTGTTGGTGTGCGAGGATGCCTCCTCGCCGTCCGCCTCGTAAGTGCTGGGTGGTCCTTCCATAGAAGCTGTTAAAGTCCCGGCGGTGTTGGGTGTATGGCATTGCGCTCCTTTGACATGTTCTGTGTTTCTGCTTGAAGGCACGCTAGACAGATCTAAGTACACAAAGAGCTGGTCTTTTTATTTTACACGACTTGAAGATTGGCGATAGCTTGGCCATCTATTCAGCTCGGAGTAAGTCTTGCAGTTTCGAGGTGAATGATAAGTTTTGCGAAGGAGGGACAAGATGCTCAAGTTATGCCTGTCATTTACTTCCATCTTAACTCCGTAGGAATAAAAACTTTGCGATGAATCAAAAATAGATCTGGGCAATGCACATGCGATCAAGATCTATTCAAAAAGTCTAACTAAGAACTGAAGGCACCAACATATCAATTGTCTTCGTCCGAAGTGTAACTTTCACCCGGTGTAAATGCTTCTCAAAGACCCGATCCCAAATGAGAAGCATGTTCGACCACAGTCCTCATTAGCAAATGTTGGTCGCGTCTCTTGTTCTTGTCTTTGTCTTCCGTTTTCAGTGCGCCAGTGCTCGGGAGATCAACCCCTTTGTGGTTAATGTGGCGGCTTACTTGTGTGTCTTCACCCCTTCTCCTCACATTGAGTGATGATGACACATTTTATCCACACAATCTTAAGGTCGCAACACCCACACTTGAATCCTTCGCGCCGACGGGGACTTTTAATTTTCTTCTGGCGCGCTTCTCACCTAACCCTGCTGACGTGCCACCGCAAGACGGAATCCTTCGCGGGGCGCTTTTTGGCTCTCGGATACTCGCACCTAGCTCGCTCCATGCTGGCAAGGTGTAGCCACGTGAACGAGGTCCAATCGACTAAGCTGGTGTGTCTTGAATCACCTCATAATCTCCTCATGATTCCGAAAACAACGACTAAAGCAGATCTGCAGCTGGATTCTCCTAAGCGTTGAATGATACGATGGTGTAGTGGGTAAGATTGTTTCACCTCAGCAATATACCGAGGCACTGCATGTACAAGGCCTGGGGTTTGAGCCATGGGTGTCTTTTTACCGGGGTATCAAAAGCAGATGTTTTGCCGTTCAGAACCAAACATGGGCACGAAATCCCTCAATCATCTGACATGCCCCAGACGCAGGGCCGCCGCCAGAGTCTGACAGGCAAGTGAGGCTGGCACCTGACCCACTCCCGAAGGATTCGCCCGCCGAAAGAGCCTACAACGATGATGATATGACGAACCTTGGAAAACCCAAACCCATGTGCCGAGGGAGAGAGCCTGAGCAGCAGCGCTCGACCCACGGGTTCCATCCCTCCATCCTCCCATCGTCGAATCCGTCCAACCTGATCGACTCAAATGCTCCCACGTCTGCCCCGTGCGACTCGGGCTATGTCCATCTTGCATGCAATGATCTGCCCGCTCATCCTTCGGCCCCCAAGACTGCCCAAAGGACCGGCCCCCTCGATTCACGCCCAGGGCTAGCAGCAGAGGTTTTTCCCGTCTGACTGTGACAGCCCTCGGCCCGCCGCGGGCTAGGCTTGAAGAACGCGGTACTTTTCGCCGCTGATGTATCGATACCTTGGGGCAGATTGGGACCTGGCGAGGGGAGGGCAGGGTACAAGAAGCAGATTTTCTGGTCTCTCGCTGACACCCACCCATGGAGGGCCTTTCTTATCGCGCCCCGGGGGTGAGCCCTGCCCTGATGTAACGGGCAGGGCTACCGCAGACTGACGTTGAAGTCCCGTTTGTTGCTGTACGACGCTCGAGAACGCAGGAATGTCTCCGACTGGCCGGCATACGACCTACAGCCAAGACAATAGACACAGCCCCTCGGGTACAGGGAGTGAGTGTGATATGTATGTTGGTGTCGATCGGCTCGACTGGTTGTGGTTGGGCATGTATCCAAGGACCAGGCCGGTGACAGCCATGCACGCCCTCCGCTTGTGCATGAGAGGACGGTCGCATATTCTCCGCCCGATGGCCTGTATCTCGCATGCACAGGCGGAGCAGATCAGATAAGCCGAGTCTCCGGCGTTTGACTGCAACGAGCAATGCGACCGCTGGTATACAGAGGTGCCAAATTTCCGCGCTATCCGGCCGCCGGGCCAGTGCTCACGGTCGAGCGTGATGGTGTGGCTGTGTTTGGGATCATCCCGAGCGCTTGGATGACGAACGTAGTAGGTGGCAATTACTGAGCCTCAGTGTCACGGTAAAAGAGGGACATTTTGCGTATCTAAAGATAGAATCTCATGATTCCTAGAGTACACGTACGACCAAATTTAATTTGCACATGCACATCCTGCATGGAGGCACGCGAAGTGTAATTCAAGATTATTGTGGCTTCGGTGCAAACATGCCAGGAATGCCGATCACGCTCACATGAAGTCAGGCTTGCGAGATTGGAGGGACTGTTCTGGGACTGTCTGAGCGGCGTCAAAAGTAGCGGGCCTTGCCGTTACATGCGCATAATGAAGAACAACTTTTGGTGGAATGTGGATATCAATTGAGATCACATGCATTCTCCTTAGGTCGACGAAGTGGTCTGGAACACCGGAGGACGACATTGGAGGTATGCGGTGAATGGTGCTTTGATAAAAGCCCTGGAGCAACTCAGTATCGACAGAATTTAAGGGGACATAAGAGGATGTGAGCATTCAAGTTTGATAATATTACCATGAAAAGTGATCCTCAAACGAAATCTATGCTGCGGTGGCCGTTGTGCGTAGAAAGCGACACCGGTCCTTCCAATGTGCTCGGATTCTTCAAGCACACATTTACGAAGCATACTTGATCACAATATGTATTCCATACACAATACACAAGAAGCTTTTGGCACCATTTGTACGGGTGAATTCATCTGGGAATACCCTTGCAAGAGCGAAACTCCCACGCAAATAAATCCGTTCTATCTTTACAACTAGAAAGTGCTGCTGGATGAGATAGCAGACGACTGACTACCAGAAGTACTAATAGAAATGCAATTGCACACAAGACTCAATCCACCATTGCCGATACCTATTGATGGGCTAGTCAGTCGTGAGCACTTGAGTAAGTGCGGCATCCAAAGTGCGAGTCTATCAGCCAATTATGGCGCTGACTGACGGTTTCTACATCTACTCGTTGACTTAATTATCTATTCTTCTGAGAAGAATTCAACCTGACCCGACTTAAGTCGGTTTTGCATCCACCACGTGCCTGACACGATATTTCAGGACCAATGATGGCATCATAGCACATTGATGCCATCATGTAGTTTCGAATCTAACTCATTCATCATGAGAATATATTTTCCTTACTCAGTGAAAGAAGGTGACCATATCATGCTACTGGCAAGGGTGTTTCAATCGAGAATCGATCACCGTCTGCCGAGTCTCTCTCTAGAATCTCCGGATCTAGAGAATGTCTCTTTAGTATCCAGTCTATGCCGCTGGCTGTAATAGACGAAGAGACGATCAACAGAAGAACTGTGTTCAAGGGTTTCAATTCAAAAAGAGACAAGCTGACAATGCCAGCAGAGGGGGCTGTTAAATAGCAGAAGATTCTTTAGGAACCCCCTTACTTTGCATTACACCGTCTCAGCCTGGATGAGCACAGGCACCATGGCTCCGGGACTCACCCAGACATCCCTGTGATCTATGGCAGCATACAGGGCCCTTATTGCCCCAGAGTGAATAGTCAGAGAGATGACAACTTCTTCGTCATTCTCAAACACGTCCTGCAAGAACCTGTTAATGCGTAGAACATGGTCCTCTAAAGACTCTCGGACGTCACTCTTCCAAAGTTCATCGTGTTCCGTAAATCCATGCTCAATCTCATATGAAGGATAGTTCTCTTGAATCCAAGTGCGACTTCGGCGTTTATCGCATGTGTGGACTCCCAAACGCTCGCGCAAGTTTTCCTTCACGATGACTTTGACCCCTTCGGCGGCTCCGGCAGCAGAGAAAGCCAAGCGAGTAGTTTCGAGACACCGCGCTAAAGGGCTGGTATAATGTGTCCTTGGTAAAATCATACCAGTCTGAGCGGCAGAATTGTCCAAGAATTTTGAAATAGCAAGTGCTTGCTGTTTTCCTTTGTCCGTTAAATGGGCGTCTAACCAGGTTGATGTGTTGTCTCCATCGAGCCGCGCCCAGTGTCGCTTAAAAACAGGTCAGCTATATAGTAGGAAACGAGATAAGGGGAGTCATACCTCCCACTCCGATCTGCCAACCTGAGCTTCTTTGACATTGTGATGGCCCTCGCCATGCCTTATGACATAGAATAATTTGTACTTTGTCACGCCGTCATGGTTCAATTGGCGTAGACGATCGTGAAACTTTTCCCATTCTTTTTTCTGAACGTCTTCGTCACGTGAATGAATTCTGAGGGCTAGTAATCCGAGATTCGAAGTTGTGGTCTATAATTGAGGACTTTTGTTAGATTACGGCCACTTTGGATACCTCGGTGCCCTCTTTCTTACAGCGCGAAATTGTGACCCCTCTGGTTCCTCGTCATGCTGAAAGAAGCCTGAGACAGCTGAGAACTGAAGTCTAGTAGGGTGACCCATTCTGGGAGACTTGTATCCAGTCCACAGTGCAAGTGCTAGAATAATCACGCCAGTCACCCGCCTAAATTCCGAAGATGTCAGGTCACCGTATTCACAGATGATACCAAAAAGAGTGATGGGGGGGGGGGGTCATGTTACCAGATGTTTGGTAAACCAAGCATGAAGCTGGATATAATAGAGATCTCAAGAGCCGCCTCAAGGCAATCACTTCGTACTTGTGAGAGTATGCATTATTTGCCCAGGTGTGCACATGAGATCAAGAAGCATACTATATTTCAATAGCTGCTGAAATTTTTTTCAGCTCATGCAATGTTAGCGCCAATGGAGTCCAATCATTTGAAAGAAGGTGTCCAACCCCGCCGTCTCCCATGCAGGATGTTCCGGATATCACTCGTGTCTTATACTTGATGCAGCCAAACCCCCTAGAAAGATAGCGGTGAAAGGCATGGATATGTTCTACAGCTATCTGTTATCTATAACACCTTCAATGTTATGAGATATACTCTCGAACTTGCTCTTTGTCTGAATATGTGCGAGCTCAACCTACCTTCCTCTAAATCCGTCGATCTGTGAGCTGCTGTACATAGGAGGCTTGTCCCTCTGACGCCTTTCCGCGCCCGAAGCAGCGGCGCGATCACTGCCATCGTAGACCAAGATGCAGACGCAAGATCGGGCAACGATGATCTATGACGGCGATGAACTCGCCTTGACGCATTCTCGAGATATCCGGCTGTTGAAGCTGGAATGGATAGATGAGGACGAATTGTTACATTGTCATCTACGCGTTGCGAATCTTGACGAGCGTCCAGTGTACAGATCTATCTCATACACTTGGGGCCCTTCCACACAAACTAAGCTCAGACGTCATGATGATACGCCCGAGAATGAGAAGTACTTGCATCGCATTGTGAGTTGAGTTTTGATAACGCCAATTTTAAGATTCTTGGCCCTGTTGGCTAAATTCTCTGTACGAATCGGTCTACCTTTCCGCGTCTAATCTTGTGTGTATAGATCTGTAATGGTCAAACGCTTGATGTAACCCAAAACCTCTACGATTGTCTCTATCAATTGTGTGATCTCCGAGCGATGCATCCAATATCAAGCTTCGAATTCTGGATTGATGCCGTCTGCATCAACCAAAGCGACCTGAATGAGCGGGCTCAGCAAGTCAGCATGATGTCCAACACATACCACCAAGCCGAAGAAGTGATCATTTGGCTAGGAATACGCGATGATTCAACGCCTCTAGCTTACAAGGTCATCGAGAAACTTGGGTCCGAATGGTCCAACGAGGGTCTTCGTCATAATAGATGGCCCGCAGACGGTACAAGAACGGAAGGGCTGGGCGAGTATTTTCTCGATATCTTAAAAATGGATGTTGCCCAAACAAATCGAGGATTAACTGTAGATTCTCCCTTCTGGAATCTCCATAGTCGGGAATGCTGGAGAAGTGTCCTAGAATTCTTTAGCAGAAGTAAGTCTCCACCCTCGCACTGTTGTCCCTGTTAATAAGGAGCGATATTGGCTATTAGGCACATCTGGTAAAACATAAGCAACATAACAAATCCATTAGGGTCTAGAAGGCTGTTATCTAATAAATAATCTGCAGCCTGGTTCACCCGCTCTTGGGTAGTACAAGAACTTGTTCTCGCTCAGAAAACAGTGGTGCTGTGTGGATCCATGACTTTCGATTGGGCTCATATCCAGGCTACCTCAGAATTTCTCGCGACCCAAGTCTCAAGGAAGATGCTGAAGTCATGGGTCGACGAGGACTTTGACATTGATAAGGCGGCGCTGAAGACAGCAGCAAAGCTAGAAGCAGTGAAACGGGATGTACGAAACAAACATCCCTCGATACTGTTGAGAACCCTGATCCGTTGCCGTGATACCGGTTGCAAAGAGGACAAAGATAAGATATTCAGCGTGCTTGGTATGTATCAACTCGTCACACAGACCCGACTCCAGTCAAACGACAGACTCTATCCGGACTACGGCCTCGACACGGCAGAAATCTACACCAACGCTGCCATAGAAATTCTGAAACAAGAGACCGACCTGACCTTGTTGACGGTGGCCGAGGGAGAGGACTTTTGTGACCGAGTGAAATTACCAAACTTGCCCTCGTGGATCCCGGACTGGACCTTTGCCACCCGGAAGACCTCACTTGGCCTTGGGATCACTGGATACGAGCGATTCAATGCTTCGAAAGGCTTGAATTGTGAAGTTGCCTTTTCACACGACAACAAAGTTCTCTTCGTCAAGGCGGCCAGACTTGATGGAATAGTCCGAGTTGGAGAGACAAAAGAGTCAGTGGGAAACGGCGAGAGCTTCGACAAGTGGCTGAAATTGTTAGAAGCACCTGAAATCCAACACCATACCCCAAAAGGACGGCAGGATGCCTTCTGGAGGACATTAATAACCAATACGGATACCATGGGGCGATGTCCAGCCCCTCCTAAGCTCCAGGCAGGCTTCTTGCAATGGATTACAAGAAAAGGTGCCAATGTGGATCATGGCTTGAGTCACAGAGTGGCTCAGAGCTTTCCACGAGAGCGAAACGCTCAGGGCATTGTGACACTTCAACATATCTCACCCAGGGAAATGAGGGAAAGCCTGGAGGGATTTGAGTTACAATACGCACATTCGCTACACCAGCGACCGTTCTTGACGTCAAGGGGTTATCTGGGATTGGGGTCCCAATCCATGAAGATAGAAGTGTGTGAAGGGCGGGACCGAGAGTACTCGGTATGGATTGTTTGCGGCTCTAGGGTTCCTCTGATATTCAAGGACACCGACCGACCTGGACGGTACAACTTGGTCGGTGGAGCATATGTCCATGAGATCATGGGGGGCGAGGCTTTGCGGCAGAACTTGTGTTTTGAGACTATTGGTTTAGAGTAGCAGGAGAATTAACAGAAGTCTCTGTCAATTTGAAAAGAATTTTCTCTGATAAACTCAATCGAAATATCATATTAGTTCTGCTAAACTTCAGAAGAAATCATTTTCGAAGTAGCAAGAATACAGCCTGTATCAGGGGTGTGGGTTTCTTCTAAACGGTAGTTGAGCCGTACAATCACTGCTTAGCAGATTTGATATCGGAATCATTCTGACTAAAAAACCTTCCTGTATTCTGCTGGCTGTTCCTTCCTTTAAACCGCTTAGGGATTTCAAACTGCTCAATCTGCTAAACGATCATCAACTATGGGACTATCTGCTATAGGATAACCAGGCGTAGAACAATCAGTTTTAGAATAACTAGCCATGAAAAAACACAAATATAGGATAACAAGCTGTAAGAATACCAACTATAGGATAACCAGTTACAATATAACCATCCATAGAAGAACCATCCATAGGATAACCATCTATAGGATAGCCATTTGTAGGATAAACATCCATAGGATAGCCATTTGTGGAATAATCTCGTAGGGTAATCCCCTGTAGAATACTTTCCTGTTAAATAACCTTTTATGCAGGGAAGTGAGTAAATTGTATATCCTCCCCGCCAGATGACGCTTTTACGTTTCTTCTTTTGAGTGTGTCAGTGTTTTCTAATAGTGTATGTGGTAGTCTTTCCGTTCTACGGTTACTGGATCTAGTGGCGTGCTGGTATACAGATGAGCACAGGCTACCAGGGCTATGCCTTTCATTTACAGGCAATATGCTGGGACGGGTCAAGACTAGGTCATCCCAGTTGCTGATTGGACTGCGGTTCAGATTAGACTGAAAATCTCGTGCCAGATTCCTTTCTCCCTTCGAAGCAACCCGCCTCAAATTTTGCTTCGGTTCAGTGATCATCTCCCAAATGCGCAGGTGAGACATTTTTGGCTCAAGAGACGACAGCTCCCCGCTTTGGTGGATTCAAGTAAGCAAGCTTGCGTGAGGCGGGCGGGCGGGCGGCGGGTGGCTTGGGCGGGGTCGTGCGCGCTCACGCCATCGTCGCTCCACGGCAAGTCTCCCACATTCCTCTTCAGCCATGCAAACGATCGTTCAGGCGTGCAAACAATTTAACTTGTCCCGGATATAGAAAAGGTGCCAATCAATCAGATTTTGGGATTGAAGCTCCCGCACGGACCACCCCTGGTTGTGGGACCTCGGCTATGCGGGTGCGCGGCCTAGCTCCGCCACATACATAAACCCTGATCCACAGCATTTTCCCAACACTTGGCCTGGTGGTCTAGCGGTATGATTCGCGCTTCGGGTGTTTAATCCGACATGTTATAACGTGTTTATTGTGCGAGGTCCCGGGTTCAATCCCCGGCCAGGCCCTGAGAGATCTTTGAAAAGAGTCAAGCTCATATTTTTCATGTTTTGCTTCCGAGTCCCCAGATAGACTCACTAGTCCCCACATAGGCCTCTTCATTTTGCCTGTCTTAACTAGTTTCTACTGCTTATTGTCTACATATGTCATTCCTTGCCAGGCCCTGAATATTCCCCAAAATTAGTGAAGCTGCTCTATTTCTTCCGGCGCTGGGCCCCCCTTTATAAGCTGGTCAGCACCTCCGCCGAGTGGCCACCGGGCTCCCCCCACTTTGTCCATGCTGGTTTCACTGACTCCTCACCAGAGAGCTGCTCAGCATGTGAACGCAGTTGTGCTTCTCTCCCATAAAGCAAATATTTACTCGCTCATGACCTGAAGTGAGACCGCGATGTTCATTGTTCGATAATAGATCCCCTTGCAGGCATCAACTATTCCCCGCAAACTCACGAAGTTTTCAAAAGGCACTCTGACCCTAAATCAAAGGGTCAAAGGGGTGTTCGAGCTATCTGTCAATCATGCACAAAAACAAGCCAATAATCTCACCCGCATGTATGCCCTGGCCCGAACGCCGGCGCAAGTATGATTCCTGTCCATAATAGACTTTTTATACTTGTGCGATATATTAGCTAGGGTTGTACTGGACTTTTTACTGGACTCCCAGTTGGCTGGATCTCTCTGCAGCATCAGCACGAATCCAACATCGGTATGGTCGACCGGTGAACCAAGCTTTGCCCATGCGCACGAACTCGGGTAAGGAGGGCCCACCCGGCTGACCACATCTTTCAAACAGAATGAATTCCTGAAGTATGTATAGTAGCATGTAGGTGACAAGATCAATTGTGGAATTGCAGTGATCAAAGGGAACATCGAATGACACGTGACCTTACATGGTTACGAATATTGATACCCGCCCGCAGCACAACATTAATTTGACAATTTCTTCCTTGAGGAGAATGGAATCGCCCGCCGTTGTCCAGAGCCGCAATGCTCAGCCACTATGTTCTCGAGAATCTGCAGGCTGCGCACGCCACACTTCCGATTTCACGGCGTCCCCGCCGATTTGCGACGTGCATACCATGCATGCTGACTTACTCTCACATGTCGGATGAGAAGCCAGGCTCTAACACTGCGCAAAGAAATTGAGAGCCTGATGGCTTCTGGTGCGGGTTTGAGGCTATACTGCTTACTGCAAAGTAGGCAACCGGTCCGCCGAGAGAGATTTTGGCAACTAGTTGCCTTGTAGTACGGACCTAGGTAGGCTGTGTTCTTGGCCCCAACACGTCTTCCATAAATACAAGGCTCTCGGACTCGGTCATCCGACCGTGCAGGATCTCTTGAATGTGCTCTTTCCCCCCGGCTTTGATCATCGTGTGACACATTACGTCCTGTCTATATTGTATATATTTACGTCATTGTTTTATGCTCTGTTTCATTTCCAAAGGTGCTCATGGGCTCTTGTAACAGCACATACAGAGAATGCCAAAAAGGCAGCTGCCGTAGGAAGCCTCTAGTCATAGGGAACAGGAGAAGAATTAGACTATCACGGTACTGTGTGTTGCACACCTGCGAGGTTCCTGGGCCGCGAGGGTCATTCTGCCCGAATCCGAAGCGTTCGGATGGCAGATACTGCCGAAGACATGATGACGACAGCGGTAAGTGTCGAATTTTGCTTTCCGTTTCGGCGATTGCTGGCCGACGACGTCGTTCTATCGTTTGTGAGGCCTGAGAGCGACTCACGTACTGGGGACGTTAGTTAACAAGCCCTCAAAGAATCTTCTACCGACAGCAACAAGAAAACCCCTGAGGAAATCCTGGCCGATCTGATCCGGGCCGGAGAGCAAAGGCAGGAAATGGAGAGAAGAAGACAGGAAGAAGCAAGGATAAGAGCAGAGGAAGATCGACGGCGAATTAACGAGGCAGCTGCGCGGCAGCGCTTCGAGGAGGATCAAAGAAACGCCGAGAACAGACGGAGAGCAGAGGAAGAACAGAATCGGATCAACGAAGCGGCTGCAAGACAACGTCAAGACGAGGATGACAGGGCAGCTGAAGAGAGACAGAGAGCAGATGAACGTCAACGTCAGATCAGCGAGGAGGCTGAGCGGCTGCGACGAGAGGAGGATGATCGGAGGGCCGAAGAGAGACGGAGGTTACAAGATGAGCAGAACCGGATCAATGAAGAGGTTGCAAGGCGGGTGCGAGAAAATCAAGAACAAGAAGAGGAGCTCAGACAAGCGACTGAGCAACGCGAACAAGAGATAGCCAGGCAAATCAATGAGGGCATACGAGTTCAACGTGAACAGGATAACGAAAGACAGCGAAGAGAAAATGAAAGGCAGGCTGCATCCAACGAAAGAGTGCAAGAAGCCGTGAGGGCCTCGGAGAGGGATGCAGAAACAAGACGACAAGAGCAACTCGAGAGAGACAGAGAAAGGGAAAGACAAATGACGGAAGAGGTTCAACGGCGTGTCCAACAAAGGCAACAAGAGGACAACGAAAGAATACAAGAGGCTGCAAGAAGAAGGGAAGAAACGGAAAGAGTCGTCAGAGAGGAACGAGAGCGATGGGAACAGGAAGAGAGAACAAGAAGGCGGACGGAAGCCGACATTCGCAGACAGCTTGACGACATCAGAACATACGGAAGGCACATCAACGAAGCTCAAATGGAGATGCTGCGCAAATGGAGAGAGGAGATGGAAAGAGAGAAGGACAGAAGAGAAGACCAAAACCGCAGACAACAACCGTTGGGCTATGAGGTACCTATCCAACCTGCACTGGTGGCAGGTTGCCATTGTGGTGAGCCCCGGTGGCGTGGCTGTCGTTGTGAGGACTCTTGTCCCACTTGGATGATGCAAGGGAACTGCAATTGCGCTCAGCCACCAGCACCTCGGGCATCGGTGATAACACACATGTTGGGGTGATTAGGGACAGCATGGGAGGCAGTAAGTGTTGCACCATCACTTATGTACATAGTTATTTAGGGAAGACATTCGGGCGGATATTCTACAGAATCATGTGCATCTGTCAGTTATGCCCAAAACCTTTCGATTTCTATGAGCTAAAGGCCCATCCCCTGATGTTTCTGTAACCTTGTGAATAATTCAAGGTGAGTGAGGCCACCTTATGGTCTGTGGAAGTATTCACGATCCTGATAAAAGCTCAATACCAATACATTGATTGTAGACAATGAATAAAAGGACTCGGTCACTAAATGTTGTCGGGTCTATTTCCCAAACCTATATACTTGATGCTTGGAGTTCTAGATGCCTTGAGCAAACAGTCGGATCAGCCAGTAATGTGATGTGAAGTCGCCTTAAAATCAAGCTATCTATAGGACCTACGGAACTCACCGTCATAATTAGGACCCCTGATCCAACACAATATTTCAGCAGCCACCAACATTCAGTCTTAGTGCACATACTTCACGTACGTCCCGTCTTCATCATACAACCGGTAGTACATTGTTTCTCCGCCATCAAGTAAGTCGCGAACAAGTACGTCCTATTCACTCAGCCCAGCCTCATCAAGGCCTGGGAGGAGCTGTCGAAGCAACTTTCTCTGGAGGAGAAGACCCCAGGTCACACTGCCCTGTCCCGCTTGATACCCGTAGCCGGAGCCCTCAAGTGCTCTTGAAAACATACAGGTGGGACGAATATGGTCACTGAGCCACTTTCAATGATGGGACTGGCAAATTGGTCCTCGGGTCGGATCTGTTGCACGAGTTCCGCCAGGGTCGAGCCTTCGTGGGCATCCCGTCCTTTGGGACACTCATCGCCTCCCTCATATTCATGCACATGCAGCCAAAGCTGTCACGATATCCCCGCTTGTGCCTGCCCGCGCCCCTGTTCTTCCATGTGGCCCGGCCCAGCATTGTGGCACGGCTCTGTGCCACGAACGGCTCGCCTGGCGCCTGATTGGCATCAGTCTCGGGATCGTACATGGGCAAGTCGCTCATGACAGATCGGGCCCGAGTATGGGCCCGAGCTGCTGTTCCCGTCTCTGTGTTCGCTGCTGCAGCTATATTACTTCTCATCGAGCCAGCGCAGATGATCTCTTGCTTCTGCCGAAACTCCGTTCCCTGTCTTTCCAAAGCCCGTCACAGTCGTGTCAGCTCCGCTCGATCCAGCTCATTCCATTACAGCGTTCTGCCAAGAGCCTTGTCTGGACCGCCGTGCTCCTCTGAAGACTGCCAAACGGCGCGCAGAACGAAATTCTCAGGGTCTATCCCCTACGCTGATAGCGTGTTCATCTTGGTGTGCGTAAGTGGTGCTACGTAAGAAGTGAACCGGTTCCGCGTTAGATATTCCATGCCTTGGAAGCACCTCACTGTGCTCCTCCCCTAACCCTAATGTGACTTCGACTCAGGATGATTTCTAGATATTGATTTATGCAGAAACTGCATCTTCCCGGTTGCCAACGTGATTAGCACCCATATGTAGGGGCTTGGATCAAGAAACAAAATCAAATTCATCGCTTAGTAGACTCTTATGTCAGTCTCGTTCGTGGAAATAAAGAGCCTATTGCTGAGCTGTTGTCCTTCCTCCCCGTTCCTAACGCCATTTGAGTAATGGCCCATCGTGAGGGAGTCGCATGACCACGCGGGAAGCCCCATCTGACCGAACTTTTACAATCTGAGCAAAATAATTTATCAGCTCAGCTACCTTCATGACCGAAACCATGTTCAGATTGGTGTTTGAAGGCAATAAATGTAAGCACTAGCAACAGTGGCGTCAGTGGCACTTCCAAACTTGCCTGAGAGCTACATTAGCTGCTTGGATCGCCCCGTACCTTTCAGTGCAGCTTCCAGAGAGAATTTCATTTGCTGGGGTGTTCAGCTGCACAGAACGCATCCGCAGACATAATGTGAGTGGGTCGAGTGTCGGGACCGATCTGCTGGCCTGCTAGTTGATTGGACTGACAAGGAGGGGCCGGGCAAGATTTTAACAACTTACATCTGGAAGCAGGTAGATGGCCAAGGCTTATTTACAGTCTACTTGGTTCATGCTAGTTGAGGGCTAACTAAGGGATCATCACGACAGGGAAGGACTTTCATCGGTTTCTGAACATGTCAAGACGCTCCAGCAACAGAAAGGGCGTAGTCACTCAAGAAGGTATGCACCTAGGAAGCTGTGCATATGCTGCCATCAGATGCCGAGGCTCCTTACTGAGCACCAGGCTATTGAGGAGGGATTCTCCCCAGTGGCGCGGAAAGCTTCCGAAGCAAATTTGAGGCCCATATAAACAAGCTAGGGGATTCCGGGACGACATTAAGGCAAAATAGGCCGGAGGTCCGGGCTTTGGATCGGTCTTCTTTAGCTCCCGGGTAACAAAGCCGTACAGATACCTCGATAGCAGCGCAATACAAAGGCTCTTTCTGTCTACTATTTTACTGCTGACGTCCATCCACTTCAAACTTGCTCAGTGCTGGTATCGACAGTCGAAGAGACGTAGATCTGTGCACAAACTCATCCTGGTTGCATAAAGCTGTCGATGTACTACATACAAGGAACAAATGTCTCGACTCAGTCCCATTTCAGAACTTCTTATTCGTCACAGGGAGGAGCGCGGCCAGAAGGTGGCTTTTTCAGAATCAGAGAGGGCTATTGTACGTTTTTTGGGAACAAGTCTTATACTCTCGGTCTTCCTCGGGGGTGTGAGGACGCAGCCATCTGTCTTATCAAAAGCCCAGAGATTCTAAAGCACGGCTATTTGAAATTCAAAGAAAAGAATAACTGATTCGCTGAAATTCAATAGACTTATTTCGACCTCGAGAAACGAACTAGGCGCATAGCAGTGCGCCTAGTGCGTGCCGACGTAAGGCGAGGACACTTCGTAGCCATTGTCCTGGGTAGATGCCTTGAGGCTGTCGAGAGCGTGCTCGCAGTCACACGAGCGGGCGCAGTGGGAGTGCCACTGGATCCGCGCTCACCGTCTGCTGAGCTGGCGAAGTTTCTGGATCATAGCGGAGCGAGTGTCATTATCACCGATGATCGCCACTTGGGCCAGGTACGAGCTGCTGTAGGAGGAGGAGCACGAATGATCGTTGTGGTGACAACCACCGAAGTGGAGGTTGTGGAGGAAGGGTCACAGGTTGTACGATATCGCACCTGGGCTGAAGATGAGGAATGTACGACATGCGATATCGACATAGATACCGACCTCGGGGTTGAGCCAGCCTTTTTGCACTATACGTCTGGTACAACGAGCTCGCCTAAGGGGGTGCTGTCCAGCCAGCAGAGTTGGCTGTGGTCAGCAACCAGCTTTGCTTCAGCATTCGGGATGACGTCGGAGGACCATCTGTTCTGGCCTCTACCCCTGTTTCACTGCCTTGGCCATGCACTTTGCATCATCGCTACAGTGACCGTGGGTGCCAGTGCCCATCTTCCTGACCCGAGCGAGACGACTTTTGATAGTCTCTTCACCAAGCAGGCTCTGCCAACCACAATCTTTGTCGGTGCTCCCGCATCTTATCACGAGCTCATTGCCGCAGCATCGACCTGGACCGCCTCGCTTGCTCTGCCTGGGTTGCGGGCATGCATGGTCGCAGGATCCTCGACGCCCGCAGCTCTAAGTGCCCAAGTCCAAGATTTGTTTGGAGTCCCGCTGCTCAATAATTATGGATGTACCGAGGCCTGCGGAGCCATCGCTGTTAATAAGCCGGGAGATTTATTTAGGGAAGATTCGATTGGGACAATAGTCCCGGGAATGGAGGTCCGGCTGATGGACGCAGACGGCAACGAAGTCCACGAGGGCGAAGACGGCGAGATCTGGATCCGCAGTCCTGGCGTAATGCTCGAGTACTATAAAGATGTCGAGACACCATTTACCGCAGATGGCTGGTTCCCTACCGGTGACATTGCACGACGCTCGACACATGGGATGGATCTGAAATTGGTTGGTCGAAAGAAAGAGTTGATCGTCCGAGGTGGTGAGAACATCCAACCTAGCGAATTGGAGCGAGTCCTGTTTCAATGTCCGGGTGTGACAGACGTTGTCGTGGCTGGGATCCCACATCGCTTACTCGGAGAGACGCCTGCCGCCTTCATTGTACGGCGGAGAATTGGCATTAAAAGCGAGGAAGAAAATATTTCCCAGCTCGACGTATCATTACTTCTCACCACGTGTCGAGAATTCTTGCCAGAGTATAAAGTGCCAACAGGTGAGCAATTGTCTTTTATTTTGCTCAGAGTGATTCACTCTATTGCCAAGCGAGGCGGATGAATTAGCCTAAAAAGTTGCTCATAGAGGCCATCATTGTGTATTCAACTCTAACGTTCAGTAGCATTTTATGAAATCGATGCCGTGCCGCGAACCCTCTTAGGAAAACCGAAACGGTCGGTTGTGAGTTCCTATACGACCAATCCACTGACTGCTCTGCCCGAATTACTTTCAAGAGACTGGATTCAGGCATTGGTTCTAGCAGAAACTGCCAGGGCTTGCGTTCCAGACAGATTGCCTGAAAATTTAGACTCAGACTGGCTGTATCGACACCCTGGACAGCCGTTTACCCTCCTGGGCCTGACATCGCTTGCTGGCGTAGTCCTTCGAGATCGACTTTCTGGTCTCACCGGGTTGGTTCTTCCAACAACTCTCGTGTTTGACTACCCTTCTCCAGAAGCAGTGAGCACATACCTTTGCGAACGGCTATTAGACTCTGGAATAAAACCCCCGGAGACAGCACCTATGCCAGCGCCCTCACCTGTGGATAGTGGAGCCGAACCAATTGCCATTGTATCCATGGCCTGTCGGTATCCCGGCGGTATCACTTCGCCCGAAGATCTATGAGGTGGACGTGACCTCTGGTTTCCCACATGATGTCAGTAAGACCTCGCGTTATTTCCTTTCTTTCGCTTCATACGAAAATTTCGTTCCTCAGAAATGACGTTCCAATTTTGAGTATTTCTCTACTGTGGATACCATTGACAAGCAAGTACTGCAGCGTGGTTGGGATCTTGAAGGCCTATACAGCCCGGACCCTGACACTCCTGGAACTTCAACGACACAACGCGGCGCATTTCTTCAGGACATGGCCGACTTCGATGCCGGGCTCTTTGGAATGTCGCCACGCGAGGCTCTCGCTACCGATCCTCAGCAGCGGTTGCTGCTAGAGACAACTTGGGAATTGGCGGAAAGAGGTGGAATAGCGCCTTCATCGCTACGAGACAGCCAAACCGGCGTGTTTGTTGGTATTATGTATGAGGACTACCGGGACAATGGGAAGGGAAACCATGGTATGTGAACCAATTTTTACGCCTCCGACTCAAGTGCTACGCGTACTAAGTCTATTTGCATAGAGTTAGAAGCACACATTGGACTTGGCTCTTCCGGCAGCGTTGTCAGCGGGCGTATATCTTATTGCTTCGTTAGTACTCTCCTAACGGACGTCTTCCGCAACAAGGCTGACTATAAATCTCAACAGGGTCTCCATGGTCCGTCATTATGCATCCAAACCGGTTGCTCGTCTTCCCTGGTCGCGATCCACTTGGCAGCAGCATCTCTTCGGAACGGAGAGTCAACGATGGCCATTGCGGGAGGAGTTACGACTATGGCAACACCTCATTCATTCATTTCATTCAGCAAAAGACGAGGTCTATCTGCGGATGGCCGTTGCCGGGCGTACTCGAGCGATGCGGACGGAACTGGCTGGTCCGAAGGCGTGGGTCTCATCCTCCTCGAACGGCTTCAAGACGCTAGGCGCAACGGGCACCACGTGCTTGGCTTGATTCGTGGTTCTGCTGTTAATTCGGATGGCGCATCAAATGGACTTACGGCACCGAGCGGACCTGCTCAAAAGCTGGTAATCGAGAGCGCCCTGGCCCAAGCGGCGCTTACCCCTGCAGACGTAGACGTGCTTGAAGGCCATGGGACCGCGACTCCCCTGGGTGATCCTGTCGAGGTGCAGGCGTTGATCTCAGCATATGGCAACGGAGGTGACCACGCTCGACGCTCCGCTTCAAGACCACTGCTGCTGGGCTCGATCAAGTCCAAGTAAGTCTCAGCCCACTCCTCCTGGTGCTGATCAATATTGGTTTGGTTTGACTTACACATCGAGTAACAGTATGGGTCACACGCAAGCTGCTGCAGGCGTAGCTGGAATTATCAAGATGGTACAGGCGATCCGCCATGGCGTCGCCCCGGCGTCATTGCATATCACAGAGCCCTCGCGACATATTGAATGGGAAGGAAGTGGCGTTGAACTTCTCACGAAGGCCAAGCAGTGGCCTGTTTTGCCGTGCGAAAATAATGGCGCCACAAGGCCAAGGCGTGCTGCAGTATCTTCTTTCGGTATAGGCGGCACGAACGCGCACATGATCTTGGAGCAGCCTGACGAACATGAACATAAACGAATACTAAACTACTCGGGGCAGCCGGTCTTACCAGACGCGGTGACAAAGACAAGTTGGACTTTTCCATGGCTTCTCTCCGGAGCAGACAAGGCTGGTTTACGTGCACAGGCTCAAGCGTTGCTGGCAGCGAAAGCACTTCATAACCAGAATCATGCCGACATCGCCTTCTCGCTTGCAACCACAAGATCGGCTCTTCGTTTCAGAGCCGCAGTGACTCCGAATCTGGGGGCGGACTATCAAGCGGCGTTGACGGCTCTTGCCCAAGATCGACCACATCCTGACATTGAAATGGAGCTATCGATTGGGCACGCGAGTCCTGCCAAACCACGCCTAGCATTCTTATTTTCGGGCCAAGGCAGCCGGCTGCCTAGCAAAAGTTCGGTGGAGGAGCTATGTGCTTCTTTCCCCGTCTTTTCCAAAGCCTTCCGGGTAGCCTGCGATGAATTGAATCGACACTTGGAGTTGCCGTTAATTGCCACATTAATGGATAGTGAAGGCGATGGAGGCGATGGCCAGCTACACCGCACCGATTTCGCTCAAGCTATCCTCTTCGCCTTTGAAGTGGCCATGTTTCGCCTTATTGAGTCGTTCAACATCCATCCCGACTACGTAGCCGGACATTCCCTTGGGGAAATTGTTGCAGCACATGTATCCGGAGCTCTGTCTCTTCGCTACGCCGCTAACCTCGTGGCAGCGAGAGGCAAGCTCATGGCCGCTCTGCCCAGCAATGGAGTCATGGTGAGCATCTCTGCAAGCGAGGAGGACGTCGCTGCAGAACTTTCACGGCGCAGAAGCGATATCCCAGAAAGCACAGCCACCATTGCAGCTGTGAACTCGCAAAGGTCGGTGGTCGTGTCTGGCACTAAGGGGGCCGTCATGGCCATCGCAGATACGTTTGCTGGCTTAGGGCGAAGAGTTGCTCCGTTGCGCAACGTCAAGCATGCTTTCCATTCTCCAATGATGAATCCCATACTAGCCGACCTGGAGAAAGAACTGATTCAAGCAATGGAAAGTGAAGGAGAGTTGGCAATAACCTTTGTTTCCAGCATTACAGGCAGGCGAACAGGGGCACCTGAGCTCAGGTCTACGAACCACTGGACCTGTCATGTAAGCCAACCTGTACGCTTCGCTGATGCTGTCAGTGAGCTTCAGAAAGAAGATGTCTCGGTCTTCATTGAGGTCGGGCCGTCTGCAATCCTCTCCCCACATGTCCCGGGCACCATCGCCACATCTAGCCATGTCAACAAGCTACTAGGCGCGCTGGGCCAACTTTGGGCTCGGGGAGTACAAGTTGACTGGCGGGCTGTTTTTGAAGGCAGTGGTGCGTGTGTCGTTGATCTGCCTGTCTACCCCTTCCAGAGGCGAAGATACTGGCTCAACCCGCCGAAGCCAGTAGCGGTGCAGCCCGATGACAACGGCTCTTTGCGACACGGTGTGCTCCTCAGTGTCGCGTCCATCCCTGGGACAAGGAAAATCATTTGCTCTGGCTACTTGTCAACGACGAAGCAGCCTTGGCTTCGCGACCATGTTGTAAGTGGGCAAATAATCATTCCAGCTGCAGTATTTATCGAAATGGCCATGCGAGCTAGCCGAGAGTGTACCATGACAAACGATTTGATGGTGCTGGAGGAGTGCGCCTTTGTTGCGCCGCTGGTCTTAGATTTGAACTCAAAGGAAAGCTTCCAAGTCCAAGTACTCATCGGAGAGCCTGAGAAGCAGGGAAAACGCAGCGTTGACATTTACTCACGTCCCAAAGGTGTCGCGACACTCCATGAGTGGACACGGCACGCCACAGGTATCCTCAGGCTGGCTCTGCTATCTAGCAGCGGAGGCGCCGGCTCCATCAGCGCTAACAAATCCGTAAGCAATGGAAATGTTCACCGGGATGAGGGCCGGATGCCCGACGTTTCCAGGGCATATACTGCCCTGGCTGACGCAGGCATTAACTATGGGCCGTCTTTCCAATGCGTACGCGCCATATGGTATTCATACACCGACGGCCAGGACGAGAAGGAGCTGCGAGCATACATCGAGTCGCCTCAGATCCAGAGCAAAATGTTCGCTCTGCACCCGACTCTGCTTGATGCCGCGCTGCATACCTCCCTCCTCGCAAAGCTAGACACAACTGCTGGCAACCTTCGACTACCATTCTTGGTTCGAGGTGTGCAGCTTTTTGCAGCCAGTACCTCAGGTCCGATTATCGCACGCATACGCCAACTGGACGAGAACCGATTCTCCGTCAGCCTCACGGATAAGTCAACGGGTTCGCTGGTTGCTGAACTTTCCGAAGTCCTCACCCGCGAGAGGGTTGAGCCTGTGGCTTCTGGCCCCAGAGGGGACCTCTACCGCCTGGAATGGACAGATATCGCTCACATACCACCTGTTGAACGATATATAGAGAACTCGCATGAGACTGACGACATCTTCCGAGTTCAAGGAGCTGGTGACCTTGGTGCAGCAGTTGCGCAAGACACGGTCGAGAATACCATTCACAGGGCTGTCGCCGAAGTGCTCAGTGTGGTACAAAAATGGAGCGCCGACAAAGCATATGCCGGCGGCCGCCTCGTCATTATAACGCAGAGGGCGTCGATAGATTCTGGACCCGACGTTGTCGCTGCTGCTGTATGGGGCTTTGTGCGCTCTGCTCAGGCAGAATCAGGCGGGAACCGGATCGTACTCATCGATTTGGATGGCTCAGCCGAATCAGAAGCGACTCTCTTGCCCGCTCTGGCTTCAGGGGAGGAAGTCTTCGCATTGCGAGCGGGCAAAATTGTGATTCCGCGACTAAGAAAGGTCCCTGTCGGCCCGGACCAAGTTTTGATGTCAACAGAGACTCGCATTTCCGCTTCAACGCTTGATGTCACTGGGACTGTCCTCATTACCGGCGGCACAGGCGGACTCGGCGCCCTGCTCAGTCGACACATCGTGCACGCATACAGAGCCAAATATCTGCTCTTGGTAAGCCGGTCAGGCATGAAGGCACCGGGAGCGCGCCAGCTATACGACGAATTGATAAATGCGAAAGCAGTGGTACGCATCGAGCAATGTGACTGCGGTGACCGTGCTCAGCTGGCCTCATTGCTAGCGAGCAACAACAGCATTCAAACGTTTCCTCCTATCAGCGCAATTATACATTGCGCAGGCGTGGTGGATGACGCGGTCCTGAGCTCCCAGAGCCCACGACGTATATCGCGTGTCCTCCGCCCAAAGGTCGACGCCGCTTGGTACTTGCACAAGCTGGCACCAGCCACCGTACGGTCTTTCGTGCTATTCTCTTCATTTGTTGGCATGCTGGGTAATGAGGGCCAGGCGGCATACACCGCAGCAAATAGTTCCCTCGATGCGCTGGCCCGCTTGCGTTTTGCCCGTGGACAGCCTGCGTTGTCCCTGGCTTGGGGACCTTGGCTGAATGAGGTTGGGATGGCAGCCGAGGCCAAGTTGAAAGCCAAGAGTCTCCGTCTCGCTAGCGCTCAGCCATTTACAGATCAACAAGGGCTACAGCTATTCGACATGGCGCTGCACAAGTCGACGCCGCCAGTGCCGGTTATGCTGCCGATGCTGATCGAGGGGCCGTTCCCCATGGTGTCAACCGATCTGGGACTCAGGATGAGGACATCTACACAAGGTGACGCAGATACGTGGCGCACCAAACTTGCCAAATGTTCGCCCGAGAGTTATGAAAATGTATTATTGAGCCTGGTGCGAAGGGAGGTTGCCGCAGTGCTTGGGTATCAGGACCAGGAACTTCCAGAGCGGCCACTCGCAGATCTCGGTTTTGACTCTTCTACCTCGATTTTGCTCAGCAACAGATTGAGGCGCTTGACTGGATTGTATGATCTCCCTGTTACGCTGGCGCTCGATCATGATACTCTCCAAGCGCTGGTGAAATACCTATCCTGTCGGCTAGACATTGCTCGGCCAGGGGTAGAAGCAAAATGTGAAGCTCACCCGCAGGATTCCATCACTGCCGACGGCACCGTGGATGAATCACCTGGACCAGATATTGGTGATAGTGGCAGCAGAAAAAGGGTGAGCAAGCCATGTCCTACTGATCTGGACCCTGAGCCTGAGCCCGAGAAGGTCAATCTCGAAATGTTCCGTGGCTTAACCGCACTTTACAAGCGGCTTTGCCAACTCGAGCAGTACACCGCAGCAGCCGAGTTACTGGGTTGCGCATCGCTAGCCCTGCCCTCGTTCGGGATACAATCGAACTTGGCGAATTACGCGGCTGCTCCTCAGCGTCTCGCAACCGGTCCCTCAGGTCCATCCGGCCTTCCCTTGCCACTGGTATTTATCCCCGCTTTCTTCCCGTCTATTGTCATCGAAGGATTCAGGGGTAGTGCATACAGCACACTGGCGTCTGAGATGAAGGGCGAGAGGGACGTCTTCGAGCTACCACACCCGGAAGGGCTGGCAATACCTGAGGACCTCGAGACGCTTGCTGCTGTGCATGCGAGCACTATTCGAGAGACCTTTACGGGCCCTATCATACTCGCGGGGTACTCAGCCGGTGGCATCGTCGCACATGCCGTAGCATCCAAACTTTGCGACGACCATGAAGGTGAACAGCAAAACAAGATTCAGTTGGTAGGCCTGGTCCTGATCGACACGTACCTGAACATGGTGGGAAGAGGCGGTCCAGACTGGCTGAACGCGCTACCCGCTGAGGCCCTGACTACGCGCGCTGGGGATCTCTCGCAAATGGTCGGAGACTCCGATCTTGCACTGGCAAAGGTAGGCGGGTATTTTCGGGCGCTTCGGGATGTACAGCTTCGTGTCCTTCCAGCCACGGTGCAGACATTGTTCTTGCGTGCCCAGAATCCCACATCGCACATGCCCAAGAACGAAGATGAATGGCGCCCATCCTGGCCGTGCGCAGATGTCACCGTCGACATACCTGGAAGTCATCTAGAACTCCTTGACAAGCGATGCGCTCCTGCCTCCGCCTCTGGGATCCAACGGTGGGCAAGGGCGCGTGCTGACGATGCTTGGATGGAATGACATTTGCCCTTGTAGTCTTCCTTGTAACAAATTCCATTTTCAGTTTAATGAAACATGCATTTTGTATTCATTTTGGTTTACGGTTGAAATTGAGCAACTACTTATTTTAGATACGATCTCGTGAATGGGTGCGATGCTTTAGAGTCCGTGAATCATCTTACAAGTGGATTGTTGTTGAATGTCCATCCACTTTGTGAAGTGTCCCTCTGTTGTCTTATAGAAGATAGCGCAAGAACGACAACGCAAGAACACTTTCCCGTATGATTAAGTCTATGCTGTCCATTATTACAATGCCACATACCGAGCAACACAACCAAATGTCTAAAAGTGAACATTGATGTACCTCACTTACAGGGTTGGGCACCGATTTGCTGGACAACTCACTCAATTACACTTAAGCAAACTTAATGAAGTCAAATTGATCTTCTGAAAGACCTTCTAGCTGAGGATGGGGAACAATTTGAAATTGCACACGAATCCGATCGACGGTGCACTCGTTGGATCGTGCCCTCATCGGACTTCGTGAATCATCAGTTTCGTACAGAGATTCATGATGCACCGCACTTTGTCATCTTCTAGCTTGTAAGGATCCTCGAGTTCCTGCGCTGCTGGCTGAAACGTATCCCATACCTGAATGAACCGCTGCTCATTGACCCGCCCAATGTTTTCGAACGCAGCCATCATTGCAGTGTATTTTGAAACATTGCATACCGTGGACTCTGTGAACTTCGGCCCAAACATCTCACCTTCGCCCTGGCCCTTGGTGTGGGTTTGGATCTTAACGGCCAACGCACTAATCTTGAAGCAATAGATGATAGTTGCGGCCAGCCCCGCGGCCAGTGCCGTTGCAACACTCGATCCTGTAGCTGTGCTAATAGCGTTGGTGTTCACTTTCACACCCGGGAAGATGAAATCCACATCCTTGCCCACATAGCTGAAAGGCAAACCGTCATCGTGGGCGGCACCAATTCGGAATATTTTGTCACGCTGCACTGCTGCTGGGTAGTCGGCGCTGGTGAACTGACCCTCGTCTGGCGAGCTGCAGAACATGAGGACATTCTTGTCAGAAGCATTGCGCACAGCAGTCTCAAACATCTCTTTGGCTCGGCTGTTCTCCTTGGGAACGGGAATTGTCCAGGACATGGATATTATGGTGGCCTTCTTTTCCAGGGCAGCATTAATTGCCTTGACAGGAGAGCGGTCTTGTCAGTATGCTTGGGATTGAAGGAGATATAAATTCTCAATACATGAATGGAGCATGAAAAGTAACGGTCTTCGTGAACTTACCAATGCAGCTGATTCCAGGTCTATCTCACTCTTTCCGGCCCCCGAAACATCCTCAAGTGTCTTCAATCGGACTGTAACATCGTTATTATGCTGGAAATAACAAAGTAACAGATTCGGGTTGCTCACTGGGGTAGATCTTAGCCATCGGGCACACTCTGAGGATGCACCTCGCCATCTCAGTGCCGTGTCCCTTTGCTGAGTTGTATGACTGGCCGACACCACCATCCTGATAGTCAAATGTCTTGCCCTCGAGCACGCGACCAACGAAATGCTGATCCAACAACGCGACCCCGTCATCTATTAGGGCTACAACGACTTCATTCTCGAGTTCCGCAAGCGTCACCGGTATGGAAACGCCTTCTTTGTCGGGCTCTAGGCTGGTAACGCCTATATGCTTCAGAAAGTCGTCCCGTGTCGATGTCCAGAGTGGTTTTATTATTTGTGCAAACGCGTCCATGCATTTGAGCCACTCGTGTGTATTGATCACCTTTTGTGGAATCATCTGAGATGTCCGACCTAGCATTAGTCCCGACTGAATTGATCCTGCGCCTGCTTTCTTTTTAACTGTATGGACTCCATCAAGATCGACGACAACCTGTCGATGCGATGGAGCAGGCAATGATTCCTCTGATCCTTCATTTGGACAAGCGGAAATTCTATTGTCATTCAGGCGTTTTTTAAACTCAATCAGCCTGTCCTGGATCCATTCGGGTGAGTCGTACATCTGGTTCAATTAGTCCTTGACCTCACATGTACTTGTCCAAAGCTATGGGAAGAAGTGAACTTTTTTTTTTGAGGCGGTATGTATCGAAGACACGCAAACATACGCACAAGCACACACAGTGTCTAAATGGGGAAAGGGGGTGGGGTGCGAGTTGACTTACAACGGTGTCCTCTGAAACATTGATGTTGACGGTCTCGAGAAGCGGGATCGACGGTAACCCTTGAGGCTCACTCCATGCTCGGAGGACTGCACTATTCCCGCTCCATTTCAAGTCCAGTTTCCTCAATTGATTCCTAGAGTTCCACTCAATGTTGGTCTTGTCAAATGTACTGTCCTCGGCTTGACTACTGATGCCACAAATGATTTCAGGATCCACTGTTACTCTGGTGGTCAGGATCAATACAAAGCTGCGGGGATAGGACAATGCCTACAATCTGCTTTCCGCCAGTCCAAGTGCTCCACCGAGATTCTGGCCAACGAGTTCTTGATTGCCTCGTCTGAATGGACAACCGGTCCGCTTTCGTCAACGACTACCTTCAAAATATAACGGACTCCCTTTTTATAAAGGAATTTGAAAAAGTATTCCATGTCCTGCCGGCCAAGACCACCTTTTGCTCGCTGGGATTTGGAATTTGCCGTTTTTGGACGAGTGACTGTCACATTTGTGAAGTGGACAAACTTCAGGACCTCATCGAATTTGGTCATTTCAAACGCTTTTTCGAAGAGGTCCGCCTTCACCTCTGGGGGAAGCTCTTGATAATCAAAGAATATTTGTATGTCTGCCGTTATCACATTAGTACATCATATAGGTCGTACCGCAATTTTCAATCAAGGACAGTTTAGCCAATCCTTACCTGTGGGGTTTGTTTTATACAACCACGATGTGGCTTTCTCAACGCTTCTGGTCCTCATGTAATGCAACTTAAGCATCCGGAGTACAACTTTTGAAACACGCTCCACAGCTTCATGGTCGATAGGCTTTCGGGACTTCCTAGTGATCGCCGCTGCTTGCTCCATCCTGTTGTCTGGCCTTTCAACTGTAAACTCACCAATCATTGTCGGAGCCCGTCTTAGTACCTTTGGAGTATTGGCCGCGACTTCATTGCTGGGCTTCACCATTCCCGTAGATAGGGAGGTCGTCTGGACGCGAAGAGCGTCTCGACTGTCCGCTGGGCCCAAGCTTTGTCGATCTCTGCTCACCTCCCGAGCTGCGGAATTTCGCCCAAGCTCTCTTGTTCTGAGTTCAGCTCTTCTCTTTTCTCTCAATTCTGGGTGCCTCAGTTCTAGATTGTGCTCTAGATCGGCCAGAGAAGCATCGTGGCCCTTCCATAGTTCTCGCTCTCGCTCTAGCTCTCTGAGTCTTTCAGACCGATCTTGTAAATTCCTAGGGTCGCGAGAAGCAACAGAATTTGACTGATCCATTCGAATCGCGAATCTGGAATTAGTTATGGACTCAGATTTGCTCTGCGTCGCGGCGTTGCGCACTCTGGCCGCTTCGTCCCCGTCTCTTAAAGCCCCCTTGCCCCAGTTCTCACCCCTCGCCAATGGATCCTCTCTCTTCTTCCTGTCATCCAAGGTCTTCCTTTTCGAATTGCGCTCTTCTTCACACTTGAGTGCAGATGAGACGTGCTCCTGGTAGACAGAGGTTTTTGACTCTTCGTCCACGTCCAGGAAGGTTTTATATGGCTCAGACGACGAAATCTGCCTCCGAGATCTCAGTGTTTCATTGTCTTTTGCGATGAACGCATTGATGACTTCGACATTACAGTGCTTGTATTGGATTGCGTAGTGCATTGGACGCCTGCCTGTGGTATCCACGGCTTCTAGAGACGTAATGTGGGCGTCTTTCAACATCCGCAAGAGGGTGCTGGGCTTCATATCCTTCTCAAAAGCCAAATGCAGACAATTCTTATTCTTTTCGTTGCCACAACAGTCTTCGATGGCGTTGGCCAGATGCTGCCTTGCACTGTCATCTTCTGGACAGTTCACTACCATATAGTCGGCCAGAATCTTTTTCTTGTTCGTGATCGCCATATAGAGTGGATTCTGCTGCCTAGCATCGGCGATGGATAGCAGGAGTGGAAACTGGCTCACCAGTCTTTGCACTAGTGTTTTGACTGTGACAGAGTCGATGGTGACATCGTCATCGTATTGCACCAGGTCGAAGACCGCATGGAGCAGGGTCGGTGTGTTTCGGTTTCCTTCCTGGGCAAGATCTGAAAAGTTTTCAAAGAATTGATCCACATCTTCTTCTGTGAGCTTCGCTTTCCTGTTTCTTTCCTCTCCCGTCAGCTGCTTCTTTCTGACATTGTCTCTGATCCATCCTTTCGCCTTCCTTAACCTGACCAAGTGTTCGCTTTCCACACGTTCCTCCTCGTCTTCACTCCTGTCGGTTTCATCTCTTTCATCGTAGTCAGACATGTTGTGAGAGGTCTTGGAAATTGGCGCTGGTAGAGTATGTGAAGTGCGCAGTGTGCGTTTGTTGTGTGGTTATTCACGAATATGTGAAACTTGAGAATCTCACCAGATCAACTTAAGTCCGGAATGCTACTAAGACTCAAAAACATCTCCCGAGACAACGACTGCTTCGACGAAGTCAGGTTGACTGATTGCTTGTCTCGACACATGATGCGTGGTCCACGCGAAAGGCTCGGCACGCGAGGTTGCCGCCAGCAAACCCATCCGACCCACTTGTGACGAGCAACCAACAATACGCATGAAAGTGCACAATGTGCAGGCAATAGTACAACATCGCCTATCCGCAATCCACTATTATCGTACCAATGAGTGCTACGCCGCAGCTCTGCAGTCGCTCTTCACAAATTAAATTTGAGCAACCTCCGCAGTTGGCGGACTTTGCAAACGTGTTTGTCGTGTGCCGTCAGCTTGCGTGAAATGAGGCGCCCATACAGTGTCTTGCGTTTACTCAATCACTGTGCATCGCACCAGCGTAACCTCATCAGTCTAACCCTTGCTCGAACCTTACTCTACTCGAGTGTCTTCAACTATATGTCTTTCAAATTCTCGTGTCTCGCGGGCAGCACCTGCGACGGAGGCCATTCGGTCACGCTCCAGCATCAGTCAAGTTCTTCATAATTCCCCTGGCTTAGTCTATCAGCTCCTCACCATTTCGAGCCATGTCCGACGAAACTAACTTGGACCCACTCCTTGAAGGCTTCGAGCTCGACGAGGAAGTCGATGTGTTTGATGTTCGCATGTTCGGGTCTGGCAGTCAGGGCAGCGGCTTCCATACCAAAAACAACCCCAAAGACCCGTACCAACGCCACGAGGTCATTCAACGTACAGGCTCCGTCGATATTCGGTGCTCTGTAGTCGATATCGTCCACGGTGTCATGAGCCCGGAGAGTGACTACTGGGCAACCCTCATGGTCCTACAATTTCGTTTCGACCCTCAGAAACGTGCGCGTCGTATTACTGAGGCTTCAATTGAGCTGCTGTTCGATACCACAGACCCGGCGAATGAGATCCCAGAGGTCGAGGCCATCTCTTTTGATGGTAACTACAGCCTTCTTCCCAGCAAACAGAGCGAGTCTACGACAATCGGCGGACAAGGGACAATTGGAGCTACTCAGATTGTCACTGCCAGCGGCACCGCCAAGTGGGAAAAGACTGTGACCCGGGAGATATCGGACAAAACAACAGTGACTGGGGGAAAATTTGTTGTGGATAACATCCCGCCAAATCGCATTGCCAAGTGGACGCTCCTGGAGAATAGGACGCTCAAGTCCGGAATTCCGGCCTCACTTCAGGTAGCTGTGCGCATTCGAAGGCAAGATGAAGCCATATTTTCGTGCATGCCCATGATCAAGTGCAAGGCGGACAAGTGGACTTCTATCGAGAGCTTCTTCGGCAAGGTCCCTGAGGATGATCCTATCTTATTAGTTCCAGATAAGGAGCCGACTAACAGGCTCATGAAGTACGACACGGAAGGTCTAGGGGCTCTTGACTTGCAAGCTCTAGGAACTATCATTCCTACGACCATGATACACGCTGCCGTGCAGGGGGACAAGACGGAGAAATAGGCATCTAGTAGATTCTGATATATTCAAAAGATTGTTTGTTGATCTTCATGCACGAGATACTCTTTGAAATAATACTGTCTGTTTCGTATTGTGAGCTACTTCGGCTGAAAGCTTGTTGCGCCATCCACCAAGGCCTTTTCTTCTTCTTCTTTGGATGTGAGGGCCAAGCCTCTGTCTGCATACTGGCCCCGTACAGTGCGTTCATTTTGTGAGAGCTATATCCTAAGCGTTGTAAAATGACTCACCCCTGATGTATACTTCAGGCCACACAGCAACTAAACCGTTTGCAGCAACACTGGCTTCCCGCGCGCGTATTTTCTATGCGCTATACCCACTGATTGTGGAGATGGCTCTGAATTTGGCCGTCTTGCTGTCTTTCTCTCTAGTACGAAGTGGGTCATCCATCTGCTGTCCAGATTTTCGCGATAGTCACGCTGTGGCAATCATCACCAAAATATAATGAAATCAGGAAGGCAAAGAGAGGAAACCCAAGTCCACGCCAATGTTGCCCAACGTTTGAAATCAGTCGCATCTTTATGAAGATGCTCGCCGACATGCCTGTATCTTGGAATCCCATTCGTGAAGAAGTGGGCAATGATCAGGTCTCAGACAGCGCCGGCCATAAGGTTGTTCACAAAGGTATTCCCGCTGTTGAGGAGACTGCGGGTTCCGATAGGGAAGACGATGAAGATAATTGCGATGGAGCTGATGGCATGACTCAGAAGACATACGACAGAGGCGGCGAATATGCCGAAAGTGAGGTCCTGCAAATGCGTAGAGCCTTAGTGGAGGACGACGACATTGACAGTATATCGAGTTGGTACAACACATCAGAGGACGTGCAGATATACCCTCAGACTCCCGTGTCGCACCCGACGTCGCTATTAGGCTTGTCCAGGATCGTTGACCTCTCTGACTGCCATGACTACGAGTAAGCAAAGCTTCTGCTTCATAATACTGTGGGTGTTACTGATCATGTGGTATATAATGCAGCGTAATCACCGTACATGGTGTTCGTGACGATTCAAAGACTACATGGACATCAGATGACGGATCAAACTGGATCAAACACGAAATATTCGAACTATTCGGAAAATATCGGGTTAGACACTTGGACTATAAATATGACACCAGCGACTCTGCTCGTATTTACGATCCGAGCGGAAACGGGATCACTATGGAGGCCAACGTTCTGCTACAGAGCTTGGCACAGCAGAGGGCTGAACTTCCCAGTGTACGTGTTCTCTGTTATGTCTCGATGGTGCTTGAACATATGCTGAATCAGAAAGCTCTAGACTGAACGTGAACGCCCTATCATATGGATCTGCCATGACGTGGGAGGTAGTATCGTTAAACAGGTGGAGTTCTCCCATTGATCCAATGTGGTTCGAAGAAGACTGATTCGGTATCAATCTCAAGGCTCTTGTCAATGCAGCACACAAACGGCCCGACCCTCTCGACTGGAGGGGTCATCACAAACGCTCTGTGAGATTTGTCGACTTCTACAGGAAGCTGACACTTCTCACGTCGACAATTGTAAGCTCTCAATTGTGGCCCATTAATTTTTGGGGATATAGAAATTCCTTTTAGATCTGATTGACATAATGCAGATTTTTTTGGGTTGTCCCCACCGCAGCAAGTCGACAGAAGATCTAGAAGACGAACTGTTTGCTCTACTGTGTCTGCCCGGCCCTCATATGAAAAAGCGGATCTTGCAAAAGATCAGGCATTTGGCTCGCCAGATTGAAAGAGTCAACCTGGAGTTCCTGGAAACCAACGTCTTGGACCGTGCTGTTGTCTTGAATGTTATTTCTGAACCACAGGGTCAAGGACAGACCGATGTGACCAATGAGCCTCAAGTCATGGGGCCTGTGGCAAAAGAGGGTAAAGCCGCGGAGCACACTGGGAACCCGGCATTATCCGCCTTTTTTCCCTTCTCGCCGTACACGTGTACCCCGTGTCATAACTTGGGTTTCTGTTCCGTATCGAAGTTGAGTGGAGTGGGCCACGCTGAACTTGTGCGAAATCCCAAAGTATCGAATGGAATTCCTTGGGCCGCTCTTCTCGTGGTGTTTTTTAACCAGGTGGCTGGGTATAGTAAGTTTTCACGTCCACTTCAGTTGACCAAGGACCCTAGGCAGCAAATTGAAAACCTGACACGATTGTGATGTGTAGCAATTCGAATTAATTCCGCTCTTTTGCCACTTCAAAACTCGTTGCTTTCTCTTTTACCACCAACGCAAATCAACACGTGCCAGATCGAATATGAGACTGGTGCCAGGCCCGCTCTTATGTCTTGGATATTAGAGAACGATGTTTTCACCAACACAGGGCCGAAGATTGTTTATCTTCATGCGGGGGGTCCGAGTTGCCAAGCTGTAAACATGAAGCTTGTATCTCAAGAGCTGCAATTTGCAATGGACCTCTCATCGTTAAGTGACATTGACTTTGAGTACCCGGGACTTCCGAGTAAAGGCTGTTTCTACTTCGGGTTCGACCGACACGACAGCAGACGAAACGGGATCAAAGCCATGATCACATCCTTCTTGTGCACCTTCGCTTGCCGTTTCTGGAACGACGGAGACGCGACACTCAACTGGGTGGCTGAGTCTCTGAAAAAGATTAAATGTTGGTCATTGAGAGATTTGGTCACTATGTTTCTGCGTGTCCAGAAGACCGGTGTTATGAGGGGATTGCCCATACTACTTGGCCAAATTGACCAGTGCGATGAGCAGGAGCGACGTGTCTTCCTCCAAGCCGTCCTGAAGCGAAATAGCTACAACGAATTCCGTACGCGCCTCCTCATAACCACGACCAGACCAGATGATTACATATGCGGAATCTTGCCGCCAAATAGCATCATCAATCTGAGTGACTATCCACTGTCACTCACGAAGTATTTGTGCGTGAAATCCTTACCTCTCTTGTCGTGGCTTACACTTAGTTATAGGCCATTCTCTGGGAATAGTCATCTGAGGCTTCGCAAGATCATGCTAATATGTAATAGAGCGCATCCAGACCGACCTAATGCCCTCGAGGAGAGAATGCGGAGTCTGCTTGCTAGTCGACCTGAATTTGTGCAATACAGCTCCAAGGTCCGCCAGATATTAGAAAAGTTCAGAAAAGTCCCGAGGCTTCAAGACACGATCCTGGAATATCTTGGAGATTGCAAAATTGTGCCGGCCGCAGACGAAGCCGACGACTTGCTACGGCAGCTATCATGCGATTCGCACCAAAGAGCCCTTCGATGCGTCATTGAGTCTCTTTCAGTAGAAAGGAAACCCATGACCTGGCTGATCTACAATTTGATCAAATGTGCCGCACAGCCGTTGACTCTAGAATTTCTCGCAGAAGCCGTTAGATTATCATCACCACCGGAGGTCCCACAGCTCGCACATATTCACAACCTGGATGTTTTCGTCAGAGACATACAGCAGGACTTGAGAGGGATCGTCGTCTGGGACGGGCGCGAAATCAAATTTTCAGACGACACGTTCTATGAAGTGTCGGCGACTGGCGAAAAGGGTGAAAAGCAGGAGCATACTTGCCGCTCACATGCCGACATGGCTACCGTGTGTTTGCGTTATATTCTGAGTGAAAGCGGACAGAAAATGCTCGCTTCTCTGTCAATGGAGAGTCAAGACGTGGATTACCTGACCTGGTCGCCTAACACGCTTCCCCAACACAGTCTAGTAACATATGCACTACGGTACTGGACGCTTCACTATCGAGCAGCAGGTGGCTACCGGCCAGTCGACCTTGCAAGAGAACTTTTCAAGGATGACTTCAAAAGGCACCCCTGGGTAGAGGCATCTTATCTCCTCTCTAATCCGTTCACCCGAATTCAGAGAGAGTACATATCTCCACTACCATACATGTCCATGCTCGGGCTTGATGATCTTGTCCTCGAGCAGATCGAGAGCGATACGAAGCCTGATGGTTGGAATCGGTACCAATGGCTGGCAATCACAGAAGCGGCTCGAAACGGACACAGCAACACAGTTGCCTTGCTCCTCGAACACACTGATACCGACGACACTGGTTTGAGAGAGGCACTTCATTGGGCAGCCAACTACGGTGAAGGAGGTGGACTGGATTACTTAATCTCAAGAGCACAACAGGTTGAGGGATTTCAGTGGCCGCCGTTCATCCTTGATCGCGCGGTGACGGCCGGGCTCGAGAACCTCGTATCAGCTCTGGTGCATGCCGACTACGACTTAAACGAGAAAGACAGCACTGGGAAAGGCCGCGCTATTCATACTGCAATAGAGAATGGTCAGCATCACGTGCTGAAGATCTTGTTAGACAGCGGACGGGTGGATCTCGGGCTCGAAAGTGATGCTGGTCACTCGCTCTTGGTACTGGCGGCCGAGGCGGGCGAGCCAGAATCAATACGACTTCTGCTGTCCGCTGGTGCCAGTCTGAATAACTGCGACGGGGAGGCATATCAAATCTTACTAGATACCATCAGCTGGGCCAACCATGAGGCTCTAAGCATTCTTGTCAATGCTCAAGTCCATTCCAACAATGATGTTGTGAACGCTAGCTGGAGCAAAGAAGACGATGTCTTCCCTCTATCGCAAGCTGCCGGACTTGGCTTTAAAGAATGTACTCGAATCCTTTTAGACAAGGGCGCAAATCCGTGCGCCGTCGGCCAAGGCGGATGTGCTTTGTACCAGGCGATCAGACATGGGCCGTATTCCGATATCTGCCTCATGCTTCTACAGAAAGGAGCGGACCCGAATCAGTACGACGCAGATGACCAGGCAATCGAAAGCAAGAAAAGTATTTTAACGACAGCCATCGAGTTTGGAGACGCGCCTCTGGTGGCAATGTTACTCGACTACGATGCCAAAATTAATGTTAGAGATCGCAGTTGGTTTGGCTCACCTCTGGCGGAGGCCATTCATGAAGAGCGCTTTTCTTCTGATTCTCGTGGAGTCGTGGAATTGTTGCTGGAGCGAGGCGCGGATCCCAATCTGGAAAACAAGTACGCCAGCGGCGACTACGGGACGTCCGGATCGCCTCTGTACTATGCTCTTAAGTGGGCTAAGAACCAGCACGTGGCTGAGATTCTGATCGCGAAAGGTGCAGATATCCACTGGTCAAGGAATGACGACGGGGTTTCTATTCTTCATGCGGCATGCGGACTACATGAAATGCTTTCTATCCTCCTCGCAAAAGGCGTGGATATCAATGTCACTGACAACAGCAACTGGACCACACTTATGACGGCGGCAGCGAGGACCGATGCAACGCAGTCCATCGAGGTTCTTTTGCAGAATGCAAGTCCCAAAGCAGACTTGGAAATTGTTTCGACAGACAGCTCTGGGTCTACAGCACTTCACCTTGCCTGCGAAAGATGCGCAGGAGAGGCAGTGAAATTGCTCCTCGAAGCTGGCGCAGACATCAACCGCCAGAGAGGTGACGGAAAGTTTCCGCTCGGTCTAATTCTCGCATCAGACCTGCCACATACGCTTTACGAGAGGACAGTCGAGTTGATGCTTGAACGAAGACCTAATATGGGCTTGTCAGACAATGAGGGAAACACTGCTCTACACAATATCCAGTGTAAAACACCTTTGTCCGTCGTCCTGCGCTTGGTAGAAGAAGGTGCGCCGGTCAGCACAGTTAACAACAAAGGATACAACTGTCTCGCTTGGGCTGTGCGTTGCGGAAACACTGAAGCCGCTCGGTATCTGGCGACCGTCAAGGGTGTGCGAACCGATATATATCACCCGAATTTTGGTAGCATCTTGCATTTGGCTGCTGCGCGCTCCACTCTGCACTTTGTGAAACAGCTTGTCAGGACTGGCGCCGATTACGGCATGGTGGACCCCAAATTCGGTGAATCACTTCTCTATTCCGCTGTCGGAAATGAAGACCCCCAGGAATGTCGAGAGATCACTCGATACTTCGTGGAGGAACTCGGTATCGATGTGAACGCTTTAGGAGGAAAGTTGAGCACTCCCCTATTGCGAGCGGTGGCTGAGGACAAAGAAACTTCTCTGGTGAGGTATCTTCTCCGCCATGGAGCACGCGGAGATGCCGTGGACAACCTCGGCCGGATGGCTGTCCACTGGGCATCGAACCGTGGGAATATTCAGAATTTAAAGGCCTTGGTCAAGGCTGGGCTTGATCTATCGGTCAGTGATAAATATGGCCGCAGACCCCTGCACTTTGCTGCAGCAAGTGGCAGCGAGGAAGTGCTGCAGTACGTTTTGGAGCAACTTTCTGCTGGTATCAACGCCTTCGACGTTGATGTGGCCGATGTGGACGGCTGGACTCCACTGATGTGGGCTTGCAGACAGACGGATGACAAAATGGCCTACGTCTTGGTCAACAAGTATAAAGTAGACATTTATGCACGCAGCAAAGATTCGGAATGGTCGGCACTGAAGATTACCCGTTTATACTTCTTCTCTGATGAACCCACCGTGAGGTTGTTCCCGACCATTGACAATCGAGGCCACGAAGAGGGCTTCAGGCCAGAAGATAACGAGATGGAGCGTGGGGAGTGTCATGACGAAATTTGTGTTAGCTGTGAACAGGTATGAAATCCTGAGTACCTTGGGAATGCTTGGATTGATTGAGTAGTGACTGACCAAGAACCATAGACTCCATCTGTAGGCGAGTTGTGGTCATGTTCGGAATGTGAGGCACACTTGTGCTTCAAATGCATTCGACACAGTGAGACGATTCATGGTCCGGAGCACAAATTCCGCAAGGTGGACAAATACGCGACGGGCGAAGAAAGGTCCGACGACGACACTGATCGCTCTGATAATGCAAGCGAGAGCGGGGATAGAAGCGATGACGAAGAGCAGGACGAAAGTGAAAGTGAGAGCGAGGAAGAAGATGATGATGCGAGTGAGACATGAACTGAGTGCGGTAGGACCCCCCAACTATAGGTTATTGAAGAATCCTTTATAGCATTTCTTTCCTATAAGATATACGTTGTATTCAAAATATGCCGCTACATTTGATAAAGAAAATCGTAACTTTCTATTGACTAAATTTCCAAATCAAGATAGTCTTGTTGTAAAAAGGTTTGCTAATTAGTCCATATCTAATATTAGCTAATCCTGAAAGACTACGTTAGATTCGAGCGATTTCTGAAATTCTAACCGTTTCCTACATAATGGATGTGGCTGTCTATATCGGTCAAGGCGCTGTCTAAGACACCAAAGTCGCGGATTACGGTACTGCTAGGAACCAACACCGCCGACCCGTCCCTCGATGCTGACATAACAGCTTCCGAAGGCAAACTAAGGTAGCAAGGAAAGCGATACCATTCCAGTTCTCGATTGCATATTCACAGAAACGACCTTGTAACATTTCGTGCTGACCAATTGTCAATTGGGTGATATGCGCATACAGACCATAAGCCCCCCGATGGATTACCAGCTTTCCTCAAGAGATACTAAATGTTGCATCACATACAATATTAGAACAACATTGCCACACTCTCAATTCACAACATCTTAGTGCGAAGCCTTCTGTGGCTTACATCCCCATGTAGGTTTATTTTACAAGGAAGTATCCTATACCTGTTATCTTAAAAGAAATTATCCTATAGAAGTTTATCCTATAAGAGGTTATCCTAGAGATAGTTTTTCTATAAGAGGTTATCCTATAAAAAGTTATTCCATAAGAGGTTATCCTATAGGAGGTTATCCCATAGGAGGTTATCCCATAGGAGGTTATCTTATAGGAGGTTATCTTATAGGAAGTTGTCCTATACTTCCCCTTTTTTCAGAGATACTGTGGCTGTGAAGGGGAGACCCGACCTTAACCTCGTATCTTCAGAAGTGGTCATTGAGGTGAAGAGAGAGATAATGGATTAGGACTCGCAGATCGCCGTTAAAGAACCGATAGGTCTTTCTGAGGCATAATGAAGTGAAGTACAAGCCGAGTCTCTGCTCACGCTGTGGAGTTCAGATCAGGCAGCCAAGGATGGGAGCGACTGTTTCTGTCGAAGAGAGAGACAGGAATAGAAATGACAATGAATGTCCGGGGGGGGGGGGCTGGGAGGGAGGGAGACACAAGTGAAGCGGGGGAGAGGGAGAGAACGTGGGTGGCGGCCTCCAGAGGGTGAGGGGGTTTCGATCTTGGAAATACCCTAGGGTAGGCAATCACGGCAATGAGATAGACAATGAGAACTGCGGTCGCTGTACTCTACCAGTCAATCTAGAGATTGAGATGCGCACTAACGCGAAGGGGACAGAGTAGTTGGAAAGCCAAAGCATTGAACGGGAACACTAGAGTCAATCAGATTCTTAACAAAGTGATCGAATCAGGATGATCCGTAGTAAGCGACGACTCTATTTCTTTTCTTTCCAATGAGCGCACAAAAAGGTAGGAATCGAGCTAGCAGATTGTGTACACGAGAGACAGTACTCTGGAGCCCATGCAAAATCGACTTATTAAATGCCACTCTGATCATAACTGCCCGTAATGCATAAGCCCGAGTGCCGCACTACGCGCTGCAAGGATGTGACCTCTGGTCGAAAGCAAACTTCGTCCGCGCTTAGCAGCGGCGAAGAAAGAGCTCAGCCTAGTAGCAGGCGAAGGCATTTGCTGTCGTATGTGTGGACTCATTAGAACAAAATCCCGCTTGGGACAAACAGGGGTTGCTTACCTCCAAGAGACGTAGGCTCGCATCCTTGTCTCCCGCTTATGGCGCTGTAGTTACAATATTTAAAAGTTCCCTTCCACTCATTGCCGCAGAGGACAAGGCCGCTGATGATGGGTCGTACCGTGGCATCTAAGACGCAGGTCATGGCGCCCAAGAGGTTGTAGCGGTGGCGGAGGCGATGGGCCGCAAGAGTCTGACACAAATGCACTTCAAGGGACCGTTCGGCCAGACCTCAGCTTGGGCTTAGGTATTACTAACGAGCTGATGAAGGTGGAAACAACGACGGCCGTGAAAATTCTTACTGCTTCTTCTGAAGCTGAAGCTGCTTCATGAGGCTGGGAGTGGTGTTGGTTGGAGGAGATGGTTTCATTGTACGCTCGGTAGATCGACCGGGTTATGGAAGATGGGTTCCTTCGATAGGTCTGATGTATATATGGGGTCTCGCTGATTATGCGAAGCTGGTAATTTATATTGGTGCTCTTGCAAAGGGACAGCATGGTGTTGGCGTACAAAGTAAGGGTCACCCTGCGTTTGTGCACAAGCATTCTACATTTACCGACATGAGCTCTCCAATAGCAACAGGCACTTGGCCTTAAATGAAAGAAACTCGTATAATATTTATTACAATGGCAATTCCTGTCATGGAGGCCAAGAGGTATTATTTGTCATGTTTACGCCGTCGCTCTGCGTCCATTCAGCGAGCTCACTTTGATTCGGATGAGTCTCCCTTCCTAGACACCAAACAAGCCTTTCAAATGGGCAAAGCTAATGGCGTTGCAATTGACAGTCCCTAAGTTTCTCCTTCTATGCTTGATGTTTGTTTTTCCAGGCTCGATATCATCAGAAGACATAATACTTCAGTTCAGGAGATCAACTGCTTATTAACGGGTACGTTTCGCCTTTGATAAGAATGCAGTCAGGATGCCACATCAAATATCACGAGCCTCACTTCGGAGCTTTCCTCTCCCTCTCAGGTATAACGTTGCCGTTATCATTGATGCCAAGATCTTTCTTGGTACCGCTACTGCTTCCATCTGCTTGTAGACAGACAGTCATTGGGTAGTTACACAAGCCACTCAGCTTGAATCCGGTCACTGTACCAACTGCGGCTCAGTCTTTGGTGTAGACCCAGCTCCATCAGTTCTTGATGTTTATGTGCCTGATGTTATCCGGCTTGACGAGAAAGGCGAGCTCCTGATGCTATTATAAAACTTTCTGGCAGATAATACCTAAATTTGCGAATCGTATAGATTTGATGCCTGTACAGAAAGTTGAAGCGATCTGGGTGTAGACAAACTAACTGTACTCAGGCCCCCTTTGCGGCTCACATGCTAGAAGCGAGACGAACGTCGTTCATAGTTTGCCGTCGAGTTGTTTGAGGATGGAGAGTCAACGCAGCAATGTTTGAGAATCTGATTTAGACGCACAGGAATACATCCGAATAGATAGTCACAGCGTATTAGAATTGGCTCTTCGGAGCTGGTGTGCGGCAGGTATCAAGTAAATGATCAGGTAAAACCTGGAAATGTAACTGATATTAATGTCTCTTTTTACAGATTATTTGAACCATCACCGAATCAGATGAGTCGCCAATATGCTACCTCTGATGCGGTGTATCCGTGTATAGCTCGGCCGGCTGTGTAACCCTGCTCTCTCCACTCGCCTCGAAAACCGGTGGGCTGTATTGTTGCCTTAGTGGCTCTGCTTGTTTGGAGTAGAGCTCCCCTCCATTAAAATGATTCGGCGCCCAGTACTCTGATACGGCTCTGCTTCCAGCCTGTTGATTGGGGCCCATTGAAGGGTCCGAGTACCGCGGGTCTGCCCCAGCGCCGGGTGCGTTTGTTTGTTGCCGGCGTCGTCGTCCGAAAAAGAACCAACCTGCGCCGATGCCAATGATTGCTGCTGCTGGGATTCCAACACCGATTCCTATTTTCGCCCCTGTGCTTAAATTTGTGTCGGAGCTCGAAGGCTGGCTGCTCGTGGATGCTGAGGCAGTGCTGGTGCTGGTTGTGGAGGCTGGAGTAACGGAAGACGCCATTTGCGTACTTGTAGACAGCGTTGTGCTTGCCGACGATGTGGTGGTGCTGCTAGACGTGGATGTCGATTTCGCCTCGGTGATGTTGAAGTAGTGACTATTAGAATCTGAGGATGTTTTGCCTTCTTGGAAGACGGAGAGGTAGAACAGGTTTGACTCGGCTAGAGTCGCCGGTAAATTATCCGATACGGCTACGGTCCAATCGTAAACAGTTGTGTTCACGACATTTTCTGGAAAACTGGTGTCAGCTATACACACAACCGATGGGAGTCTCCAGTAATGTAGCATGATGCCAACAATCAAGGGGAAGTTCGTACGGAAGAGATATTGCCCCGGCAACATGTACTGTGTGCCATTCAGTTGGTACAAGAGCACTGATATGCCCGTGTTGTCTGGCGCATCACTCCATTGGACTCTTAAGTTTTGCCCGACAGTGTAGACTGCATTCGAGCTGAAGTCGCCTGTTATGCCGAATTGTGGAGGGTTCACGAAGTAGATTTCGGCGCGACTGACACGAGTCCAGAGTGCCAATAGGATTGGCAGTACTCTTGTACGCATCCTGGTCTATGGTTGTCGACGACTAGAACACAACTCTCCTTGGTGATGTGTAATGTCGTTTTCGAATCGTGAACTCTCGGGAGTCTGCAGTGGGACGGCGAAGCGGAGCAAGAAATGGGCAGGAGATATGCTTGGTCGGCTACGCCCCGGTAGACTGGTGGATGGTGATAAGGTAAACCGAGGAGAAAGAAGAAAACGTGCACAGATACATCACCACAGCACGGGGACGTCTGTATGGAATGCGCGTGTCAAGCCGGAGGCGCGCGACCGGTGGGCGGGGGCAGCAGATATATAGGGGTGCAGGGGCAGAATAAGATTATCTTTAGGTATGGTCTTACTGAAATGGGCAGGTCGACGGTAAATAAAAAAACAAGTAGTAGGATTTTCAGCCGCACCTACACCGGTTGGCGACTGAACATTAAAAAGGAACCTGGAGGAGCTTATCCAAATTCGAATTTATGGCGCGGGTCGCGCCCCCAGCAAATGTGACCCCGGAGATCGATCCAGGCAACAATCATTGCAGGTTCCGGCGCCAAGCTCTCTGTTCTCGTCGGTCTAGATTGGAGACGGATCTGTACCTTTCCATCGTACGGCTTCTCACATCCGCTCTATATCTCTTTGTACTGATCGTGGCATGGAAGCGCTTGGTCTCCTGGGGAGGATTTAAACTTCATGCATGCTCCGTGGAGGTGTTCACATTCAGGCGGCCTCCATAGAGACACAGGAGAACGGGCGAAAGATGAGCCAGCGATTGGACGATGCGAGGGATTTCGACCAACTGCATGCCCAAGAGAAGTTCCATTTGACTCCGTACCGACGTACGGAGGTTGGCCTTCAGAACCATGCTCTGGCTGTTGTCTCATTGGCCACTCGAAATCCTACAGAGAACCAACACCTCAAAAGATCCACCTGCGAAGTTACATTACATGCGATGATCCTACCACCGTCACCGTCACTGCCGGAGAAGCAAAGATGTCCATTGATATTGCTTCAGACTACAGACCAAGCACACCATAGGATAGACTCCGTGCTTGCCATGATCATTGACCATTTGTCATTTATCCAAACCCACGGCTTGACAACCTGTGAGGCTTAGGCGTCCCGGTCGGAGGACCGAATACGCCTCAATCGAAGATGGTCATCATTTTCCCCGATGTAACGCAACTGCCTACCGCACTACTGCAGACTAGCCGAGTCGACCCACTCAACTACCTGGATTGACCCGCCCAAATTCAAGGGGGATCGTGGACCGACGCTGTCGGTGGCTGTGGAGGTGTTGCAGACACATTAGTCATGTTGTTTGGCTTCCCAGGCTTCCCCAATCAACTCGGCAAAAGAGCCGCCAAGGAGTGGTAGGAGTGAGGCGCGGCGGGCGCAGTGCCTTTTAATATCTGTTCTTTTCCCATTGCTGCGGTAGCCAATGACAACCCCCTCTTTAATCTATCTGGCGCTTGCGAACATTAAGAACTGGACGAGCAACTCGCTTTACCGCCCGGTGGATTAGGCCGATCCCATTTCGTCTACGACTCTTTGACCCAAGCTTTTAGGGCAATTCTCGCTGCCCATCGGTCGCGGGTCCAAAGAACCCTGTTCCCGTCGACATTATCGATAAAGGATTCGGGCTGTGCGGCTGAACACCAAGACCTCATTCACTCGTTGACCACTTCCGTTCTGTGTTTCTACACATCACCATTCTTCAATGCCATTCTCTTCGCCTCACCTCCAGCTTGTTGTCGCATTGCTTCATTCATGGATTTCTCGAAGGATGTGCTGAATTTCTTTTACATGTTTGGCTGGACGAGGACGCCAAAGCGCATCGCTCTCCTCGCTGCATTTGGCTTCTTCTCTTTTCTGTATATTTTCATGGTCTTTGGATCGTTCCAGACCTCTCCAAAGGCGTCATTCGTCCCTGCAGGCATACCCAAGAAGCTCTGGTACAAACTAGGTCCCCGTGGGCTGACTACAGAGGTGCGGGCATGGACCGACAGCTGCATACAACAAAATCCCGAATATGAGCACGAATTTATGACGGACGAGATCAGCGAGACATGGGTTGCAGAAAACTTTGCCGACCATCCCGAAGTCGTCGAGACGTTTCACAACCTTACTATACCAATCCTCAAGGCCGACATCCTCCGCTACCTCCTGCTCTTCATCGAAGGAGGAGTCTACGCCGATCTCGACATCACCTGCAATGTACCCATAGCCGAGTGGATTCCCGCCGAATACCAAGCAAACTCGAGCCTTGTGGTGGGCTGGGAGTTTGACGTCGGCTGGGGGGAGAACATTGTCCGGGAGTTTGCAACCTGGACGATCATGGCGAAGCCCGCCTCTCCACACATGTGGTTGCTGATCGGAGAGATCATTCAGTTCATCAAAGACAAGCAAAAAGCAAACAATCTCGACTCGGTGGGACAGTTGACACCAGCTATGGTGGGCGATGTAGTGGATGCCACCGGCCCGAGGATGTTCACCAAGAGCATCCTTAGGAGTCTCGAAGAAGTCTTCCAAACCCCTATAGACAAAGATAGTATAAAGAATCTACGGCATCCGAAAATGGTTGGCGACGTGTTGATTCTGCCAGGGTACTCCTTCGCCGCGGACTCAAATCACTATCCGCCGGAGGAGCAGCTCGGACCTCCACTGGTAACGCACCATGGGGCCGGCTCGTGGAAAAACGAACATGGTGGCGAACTTGTCTAGATGTTGGATCAGGCCACCAATGATATATAATTTATGATTAATATTTTTTGATACCAGCCTAATTGACTTCGATTTACGCCCTAGCCCACATCGTGGCCGTGCGTAAGGGAACGACCGAATGCGCGTCTTTGAACTGGTGTTTCGACCGCATTCGTTTGCTGGACTTGCTTTTGTGAACTGCGTATGTGGGCAGCTTAATTTTAAGCGCAAGTGATAGCGTGATAGAACAATATCTCGCAAGGATAGAAGTCAGGATGAAGAGCAGGATGACAAAGAAGTGCGGGCGATGAGATAGATGACGACGTGGCTGAGACATGAGCTGAATACGGTAGGACCGTGGTATATAGGTAATCTTGGCCTCCTTTGTAGTAACTTGACCCTCAAAAAATATTTCCTATTTCTTTAAATCAATTCAGTGGCCTAATGAGGCCTTGACCACTGTGGGCTCCGAGAAACCACCGCCACGAGACATCTAGATTTGACATCGCTCCAATCATGACATACTAAGAATGGGTGTCACAAGTTACCTGTCGTATCTGAGTGGTTTTGTAATAGCGGCGAGGGCAAAGGGATAGGTCATTCAAATGGACTTCCTTCCAGCCTCAATCTTCAGCTCGGCTAGCATGAACACCGTCTTACGGTTGTCAGATGTCTGTCGCCCCAGGTCCGTCTCTGCAATTCCAAGGCTATTTTGTACAAGGACTCAGCATCCTCTATGCGGCCATTCATACGGTGATTGAGCGCCAAGCTGCATATTGTTCTCAATGTTCACTGGCTATCAGGCGCGCCTGCGCTGTGAGCACACTCTCTATGTCCTTGGCCAGCAAGCCAAGATCGTCCGGCCTCAGTTCCTGGGCAACGAGGGCACCATTGAGGCGTGTGACCAGTGTCTCTAGGTGATCAAGCCCTAGAAGCACTTCTTAGCCTCTCAGAACCTCTTTCAGGGTGTTTTCTGCGTCGCAAAAGTGGCCTTGCTCGCAACACATGCGTGCCAAACTTCCCTGGATACGAACACAATCTCAGTTTGAATGTCCATTGCCATACCTCCGTCTCGAGGTGACCGGCGTCGTACTTGGCTTGACACCATGCCAAGATCTGCTTGAAATATTTGATGTTGTTCTTCATGGAGTCCTCGTCTCGGCGATGCCAGGCCACTAGACCTTCCACCTTCAATGGGTAGCAGACCTTGATAAACACGTTAGGCTGTCACATTGTAGCAGGGACATGACGTCCTGTAGTCGTCTCTATTGCAGCACGATATCTTGCAAATTCCGTGAGACGTCAATAGCTGCGCCAAGCTGCAGAGTGCTTACAATACCACATAACACATACCCGAGGTATATTTCCTAGATATGAGGAATGTCGCTCTCCACGCTCGCTGATACATTGCTTTTGCTCTTCTCATTTTCTCGTCGGTCTGCAACGCATTGCCGATACCCCACCGTAAAGAAGCATCCCAACATGAGGCAGTGCGAGGCTGCTATCATGTCAGCTGAGACTGCTGCGCGCCCGCGGAGACGTGGCGCAGCCTGAAGGGACCTATCTAACCATGGACCATTGTGTGACACTACATGCAAACATTAGCACCGGCCACTTGAGCCGCTACAACGCGAATCCGGTTATTGAGCACCTGAACGTGATTCTATGTCGCACAACATTGATAAGGAACTACGGACGTCATCCGACGTGGAGCCAAGACCTGCTCGTTAGATACGCTGCTTGACTGCGCTGACCGGTCGTGAAATCGGCCAGCTCCTCATGCCTGATTGACACGTTAGATTGCGGGGCTCGGCAGGGAACATTGGAAACAATTCATTTGAGAAAGTCGATGAACTCCTCTACTGATTAAAAGTGCTGGGATGGGATCTATAAATCCACGTACTGACTCCATCGCTCCGCTCACATTGGCACTGTATTGTGCCATCGCTGATTTTGTACGGCAGTGTATAGTCTCCTAATCTCCCAAAACTCTCCATTTTTTACTTAATTTTGCACATACTACACCTCCGACTCACAAAACCATGGCAGCTGAAATTCCCTGTGTCGCAGGAGAGGCGACCTACACACTTGGACTGAGTATCTCTCAAGTGTCCGATGATGGTGAGAAGCGAACACATATGCGTTTGAGCATCCGCTTTCCACACAAGGACTTTGCCGAACGTCTGGAACAACACTTGAGGGGTGTTGACAACGGGGCCACCTTCAACAGGGAATCTGTCAAGATCAGCCGCGACGACACGCGCAAGGTGCACATCCTTCTGCCATCATGCGTTCGCAGAATCGAAACCAACGACAAAGGAATCACTTTGGTATTCAAGAAAAAGGAGGACGCCGATACTTGGAAAAAGCACTCGCAAATCTGGTCGCGGAAGGGGCAACAACCAACCGAGGTCGACGTCTACAACAAATGGACGCACAAAAAGCTGGCAGAGACCGTTGGTGCTTAAGCAGCATACTGTCCGTCTGCGGCTGCAGAGAATCAATCAACCTTACCATCTTTCATGTTGCTAGGAAAGAGGGCATCGCATAATCCGGATATAGTCTATGCTCCGACCTCCGAGTAGGAAGCCAGCGTAAGGCGTATCTGTAAAGTGCATGATAGGAAAAGCAAAAGTCAGCGTATGATGGTGTCTCAGTGGCTACCTTCACATTATATCTCTCCTGGCCTGGAGGTCACATTGGAGGTCGCATCTTGTGGGACGCAGGCATGTGGGTAGAAATAATTACGAATAGGTAGTTTTACCTTCGTTGTTAAGAATTATAAGGAAAACTGAAAGACAACATTTCGACGATCGGAATCACCCAGAGTGTGTAGTCAATCCGACTGAAAAGACTAACGCCACTGCTGACATTCTACCCCTTTTCAGCGGGGCTGCTGGATTTCGTGACTCTCGGTGAACATTCTTCTGTGGGTACCGTTAGTGTTTCTTAGTACTATATGACTCAGAAGCCCTTTATACGTTCACATACTGAACATGTGTTCACGCAAAAGACTGAAAGTTAACAGGAAAAATAACAAAGCACCAACGACATCTTGACGGAGTAGAAAAGTGCCGCCAACCATACGTTCTCAACAGTCAATAGAGCTTCCCCGGCTGTATGCTGGCCTAGAACATGACGAGTGCACGGGGTAACTAGGACTGACGATAATGGAGACCCCATAAAGACGTGTATTCTAGAGTAGCATATTAGCTAGAAACTTTCAAAGTAAGACAACCGTCCAGGATGAATATGGACAGTAAGGACTTCAGGAGGGTTGTACGCAACACGATACCTACAAATGCACTCGGGTAGGAGGGCTTACAAGCGAGTCAGAATATATCGCTCCGTAATGGATAAACTCAAGATTGCTTCTAGCAGGTATCAGTAATGTGTGTATTTTACTTTCAGGCTCGTGCGGTGTTCCACGCACGCTATCAATTTCCCAAAAATGTGCTGAGAAATTGGAGTGCAGATTATATGATGCGAATTAGTACATGCTTGCTTTCTATACATATGCTGGAACAAGGGTATCACTACACCACCCTTCTAACGAAACGTGCGGTGCCTGGCGGACGCTCACACAGTGTTTCCTTACTCTCTCTTCTTGCCGTCCCCACCACCACCAGCACCACCTCCACGAACCATCTCACTCTTGACCTGCTCCTCCTCGGCATCATACTCCTCTTCATCGCCTTCCTCATCATCATCATCACGGGCATTGCCCCGCTTCTCCTTCTCCTTCTCCAGGACCTTCTTGACGCGCTTCGAGTACGAGAGGTCCTTCATCTCGTCCCAGTCGACGTCGTACTCGGCAGCGATGGTCTTGATCTCCCTACGGAGGCCGTTCGCCTCGTTAACGAGCTGCTCCCAGCGGTGCATGTCGAAGCCGCGAGTCTCGTAGAGGGCGTTCTGGCGCTTGCTCACGGTGACGTTCATGGCGGCCTTGTAAGACAGGTCGCGGCTGATGTACATGAACCACAGGTAGCCGCCCATGATGGTGGTCAGGCCGACGAGGTAGGTGACGGGCTCGACCAGGTCCCAGCCCCACTCGGTCTGGAAGGTGACGTAGTAGACGACGCCCCACCAGCCGGCGAGGGCGGCGAACCCGCCCTGGGCGAGGCGGTGCGCGGAGCGGTGCGCGACCTCGTCGCACTCGCGCTTGATCCCCGCCAGCTCCTCGATCTGGCGCGACATGCGCCGCAGCCGCATGCGCATGTAGTATGTGCGGTCGTTGAAGCTCGGCACCGACACGCGCATCTCCAGGTTGTAGCCCTCGACCTCGATGGCGAACTCGCGGCCCCTTGCCGCGTCGCGGATGAAGTCGCCCATCTCGGTGCTGCTGCTCCACCGCACCCACGCCTTGTCCTTGTCGCTGTGCGTGTCCTCGGCCTCGTGGCCCAGCCCGGAGTATGACGCCACGTGCGGGTTTTCGGGGGTGTCTCTATCTTCATGCTGTAGTTTTCCCTTCTCGTCGTCATCCCTGTCCCTGGCGCGGGCTTCTTTGCGGGTGGTGGGTCGGTTCTCGGACGCGGCAGAGTCCTCTGCCCGGAAGTAGATGTTGGGGATCTTCTCCTTGCCGTCTTCTACCACGGGAGGGAGCTCTGCCTGGATCAGTCGCTCGACGTAGGATAGGGGCTGTTGAGGGTGGATGAGGAGTGCGAGTGGTTGGATGCTGTCATTAACTGAGATGGCGCGGCCGTAATCCTTGGTGTTGTTCTCTCTATCCTTCTCAACGCTTATGGGGAGGGGGACGATGAGCTTCAGGAGTCGAGTTGGTGTCGTCAAGAGCTTGCCTGTGCGTGGAGTGGATTGTCAGTGGGAACTCTCAGTCGTATGATCCTCGTTGGTGTTGCAAACTTACCTTTCGTATTAGTATTGGCATCTGGATCTTGAGCGGCTGGAGGCTTGTCCGCGTCTTCTCGCATCCATGGCCGCTTGACTTGCTTCTCCTTGACCCTGACTTCCTGCTCATCAGGGTCGAGGCCATTGGGATTCGAGGAGTGTGGCTTTTCTGCTGATACATCCCTCCGTATTACAGGGGAGTGGCTGAATGGCCGAATAGCAATGAGGGGAGGGCGACATGTTGACAGGGTTTTGGATCGCCAAGTGGTGCGAAGGGAGATGGAGAGGGAGGTTGAGGTCGCGATCGGATTTGGCGTGGCAAGCCTGCTCAGCTGGCAAGGCAGCCGGCGGAACGCAGAAGTCATTTCGGTTTCAATGACCACAGTGCTGCAGTCACTTGAGCCTTGTCGTTCCCTCCATCGTGGGAGTCGGACGTGTAATAAAGGAACAAAGCCAAGGGCCTAGATGGCGTCTCGAACGTCGCAAGCTTTCCAAGCTTCAGGAGGTCCGCTCCGGGGGTTGCTCTCGTTACGGTGACGTCACCCTGAGGCCTCGTCCGACGCCAGACAAAGAGCCAGAGCCGCCTCACTCAATCAGGACGTCAGCAGCTCCACACCGTCATTAATCCCGGCGCCTCTTTCATCACTGAGACCGCACCCACGTGGCCATCAGGAGCAAGCCCCAAATAAAATTCATGGTGAGTGACGAGATCCTACTTTCGCTCTCACTTGTGAACTCGCTGGTCAACCGAATGGCCGTGTCGTGGTGCCCAGGAGAGATCACCGCGAACATCCCACACATAGACAAGGTGTATTGGATGGGACCATGCTCTTTCCGATAAATTCAGACACCTACATGAGTGGATGCTGCGCAGCATCTTTTCCTCTATGATGTCTTTGAACTGAACATCGATGCCCTCGGTCAAATGGTCTCCTTTCCGGCTACCTCTTTCTGTAAGCTTTCTTCTCTGCGCTCTGCTGAATATGAAGTCTGCTCATTTCAAGGAATTATCCCAGCATCTGAGTACACCTTCCTGATATCAGCTATACACGGTTTGTGCCCGCTATTCCACCAGCAGACTGCAGTATAAGCTGGACAATATGGATAAGGTGAAGTTGCCCAATTACCTTTGGCGATGCTAACACCCGGATCGAGCCACAAGTTTCAGGATCTGCAGACCCAAAGTCCGAAAATTCTCGCCTGTAGTATTTTTTTATTTTGGAGTGAAGCCATGAAGACTTACTCGCGCAAAGAGCTCAGGTGCTGGAATGAGATGTGGTTTCCACACGTGTGAAATTCCACCCCCATATCCTAACAACCCAAGCTACCTAGGTAGAGATATCTGCGGTGTAAGCCCTGACAGCCATGGGCGATGTGGTGTGGATGTTGTGAGAAAGTCTTTGCATATCAAGTGTGACGACTAGGCGCATGGAAATGATTCATGTTCAGCTCGCCTCCGCGGCGAACAATCAGTTGAGTCGTGAATCCAAGCCGGCTCTCGGGTTCGCATAGCATATATCCGAATGTCCGAGATTGAGTGCTGAAGGAAGTGAAGGTATATTCCCAGAAATAATTTGATGAAAGCTGAAAATAAAGTTGCTACATAATTATCGGAATGAATCAGAAGCAGCTGGGAATTGATTCTACAATGATAGTTGTTTATCCAAGCTGAATTTACGGGCCCGGGCAGTAAGAGCATCGATAGTCTGTCTTAACTGATGCTCCACATATACCTGGCTCGGAGACTCGGATAAGCTATGCGAAACGCGCAGATCGCCTTTTATTATACCGCAGCATGCTAATTGGTTCCTTCTATAAATCGAAATGTTATGAGCTGTCTGTAAAAGATAACCCGCAGGATTTTGGTGTTGTATTATCCTCTGTGTGTATCAAATTTCTGTCCGAACAATGTTCCAACCCAGACTCTCGTTGGCAGTAGCCACAGCCATAATCGTACTATTTTTGGTCAAAAAGGTATTTGAAAGACGGAAAGCTCTGCACTTGCCGCCTGGGCCAAAGCCATGGCCGCTCTTGGGAAATATCACGGATATGCCCCCTAGGGGCCAGGTGGAATGGCGGCATTGGCTCAAGCACAAAGACCTCTATGGCCCTCTCAGCTCCGTCACTGCCTTGGGTCAGACTATCGTCGTCATTCACGACAAGCAAGCAGCGCTGGAACTCATGGAAAAGCGGGCAGTATCTCATTCTGGAAGGCCGAGCGCAACTTTCGCCATGGAAATGTGAGCCAAATCTCTCCTCTGAACACGGGCTGGATGTAGTGAGATGAGAATTCAGCGGAAGCCAATAACTAAGGTCAACAGGTGTGGCCTCAATAAAATCCTTGCCAGCCGACAACCTGGCCCGTCACTGCACCTGCATCGCAAGCTTGCGAACTCGCATCTTGGTTCCCAGGCCGCTATTCTCAGATTTGTTGGATTACAGGAAGCAGAAGTTGGAAGATTTATGGTGCGCCTGCTCGACAGTTCCGGTGTTGTTCTAGATGGCGCTATAAAAAGGCAAGCACTCATTACGACTCTTATCATTTTTCAGGCTTTCGTAGCCGAGACCCACTAGACCTGGGGCTGACGCAGATACAGCATGGTGGCTTCGATGCTTCTCAAGATGATCTATGGCTACCGTGTTGAGAAAGACAAGCCCGACCCTCTGGTCGAGATAAACGATCTACTGGTAGACATCTTCGCCTCAGCGACCGTGCCCGGAGCGTGGCTCGTTGACACTGTTCCATGGTTCAAACATGTCCCCGGCTGGATGCCCGGGACCAATTTCAAAGATGTGGCGCGCAAGGCACAGCTGGTGGTCACTGCGGCTGCTAGAATACCATTTAGGTTCGCAAAGCAGCAAGAGGAGACGAATGGCACAACAAAGCGAAACCCTTGCTTGGTAAGCGAGATCCTGCGCACGACCCAAGATGCGAAGATCATCAGCGATGAAGATATCCAGTGGACAGCTGCATCTCTGTATGGCGCCGGCGTCGATACGACAGGGTCAACACTTCGGACCTTCTTCCTGGCCATGTCGAAGTGCCCGGACGTGCAGAAGAGGTCCCAGCAAGAGATTGACAAGGTCGTGGGCGCTGAAAGGCTTCCGGGCCAGGGAGATCGTGCCAGCCTCCCATACATCAACGCGGTGGTCAAGGAATGCCTCCGTTGGCTACCATCGGTTCCGTTAGGCATCCCCCACGCCGCGGAGGCTGATGACGAGCTACACGGCTTCCGCATCCCTAAGGGCGCCATTCTGATGCCTTCGACATGGTGGTTCACGCGTGATCCATCGGTGTACCACGACCCAGAGAAATTCTTGCCTGAGAGGTACCTCGCCCCCTTCGAGGAGCCGGATCCGGCTAGCTTCGTGTTTGGCTTTGGCCGTCGTATATGTCCTGGAAGGCGCCTTGCTGAGGCGACTGTCTTCTTGACGATTGCAAAGGTTCTCGCCGTATTTAATATAAGCAAGGCTCTGGATGATGTTGGGCGGGAGGTCGAGCCGGAGATTGGTGTTGGGCCCGGCGCGGTCGCCTCACCTCTTCCCTTTTCTGTTGTCGTTGAGCCGCGGAGCGGGGCTGCTGCTCAACTGGTCTGCTCAATTCAGGCAGAACATCAATCAGAGGAGGGCGACGCAAAGCATCTTGACGAGGACGTGTCTCACTTGTTCCATTAGTCAGATTTGAACAACACTCGTGAGAAACTTTGGCCGAAAGACTGCGTAATGAAGGAACCAAGGGAGAAGACCTGATAACGGGTGAGGCAAACCCGCGAGTGGTGGAAAATTAATCGCATTGTTCGATTCTCTCGCCTGCAGCAAAGAGTGACTTGATCGAGTCTATTCACTCCTCCAGCAAGTGACTGACTACATACGCGCAAGACTATCGACATCTTTGGACGGCAGTGTTGTCGAGCACGTCAATCTAGATTATTAAAGTCCTGAAAAGTGACATAGCATACGCTCAATGATGTGAAAGACTCGCATGGTACATGGTTCATTGTGTTTTGTACTTGTTTCTATAATAATATGAACCCTGAGGTGAGTGAGGTCCTTATGGTGACCATATCCACTCCATGCCCTGCGGGATTTTGAAGCCTGAAATTCTCAGCCTCTGGAAGACACCACGAGGATCATACCTGGCCGAGGCAGCCTGCAAGCTCGCAATATTCTCAGGGCCTACCGACGCGAGAGGGTCCTGATCAGGCGACGCATAATTCAGATAATGCCAGCCCCACCCAACGCCTAGCTCATCCGCATAAGCCGCGACGGAGTCAGTCCAGTTCTTCATGATGGGCGCGGCATTGGCCTCGTTCTCGGCGCCGTTGACAGCCAGCGTCGCGAGGAACATGATGCCGTCGCCGCCGTCCATCCAGTAATCGAGCCCCATGACGTTGCCGCCCTTCTCGACACCGTGCCGGGCGATGATGTTGTTCAGCGGCTGGAACATGCATAGCGTGTTGAATCCACTATCGGCAGTCATGGTCGCGTTCAGCTGGCCCACGGCGAACTCGTGCGCCGCTACCGCGAACCGCATCACGCGCGCGTCGTTCTGGAACCCTAGCGTGCGCCAGTTGTTCCGGAACCCGGCTGGCTGGCCTGCACCCAGCTCGTTGGTTATGACGGTCAGGTCGGCCCGCCGCATCGTGTTGGAGGTGATGCCGCTGACGTTGAGGTAGACCTCCGCTGCGGGCGGGTTTTCGATCCCGAGGGTGTTCTCCAGCGCCGTGTTGAGTACCATGCCGCCGAGCGCAGGCAGGTAGGCCCAGTATATGATAGAGCTGGTGTTCCGGTCGCCAGCCGCGGCCTCGGTGAAGCTGACCATAGCGTCGATGAGCGCATCGCCCGCGCTGAGGTCGTAAATCAGGATGCCTCCCCAGATGGCTGGGTCTGTGGCGTTGGGAAACTCTATAGCGTACATGTCGTAGCGCGTCACGATGCCCAAGTTGCCCGAGCCACCCTTGAGCGCACGGAACAGGTCAGGGTTCTCGTCTGCGTTCGCATTGACCACACACCCATCGGCGAGCACCACCTCAAAGTTGGCCACCGTATCACATGCCATGCCGTGCGAAGCTGCATAAAAGCTGTTGCCGCCGCCGCTCAGGAACCCGCCCACGCCGACCGTGCCGGCGCGCCCGCCCGCAACAGTGACGCCCTGTGGTGATAGGGTGTTGTAGACGTCTTGCCAATGGCCGCCGGGTTGGACTGAGGCAAGTTTGGTGGCGGCATCGTAGGTCGTCGTGTTAAGGTCTATTTGACGACGAGAGTCAGACATTGCCACTTTCGACTCGAGGGACGAGCGTATCTCAGGAGCATACTCCTCTTAAATCATGGTTTCACAACTCAAAAGTAGAGAGGGGAAAAAGTTGTTATACTGCCATGAGCAGCGTACCGGGCTTACTTACAGCCCAAGTCGATCGTCACTCCTTCAGCCACACTATTGGACAAGGCAAAGAAGCCATGACCACCGCCACGGATTCCGAAGGGACAGTTATTGGCGGTGAGTGTTCTAATGATAGAAGAGACATCCTCTGCTGCCTCGGGCTGAGCAACGCACCATGGGTCCAAGGCTGCACTCAATGACCAGTATGTCGACATGCGGTCCGAGTAAAGTGTTGTATTAGGATAGTAGGTCTTGGCCTGCAGACCTGGCTTCAAGGCAAGTGCCGAGCACTACACACGTGGTGGTGTCAGTCGGGCAGTCTGTGCGAAACATGGTATTGCTGGTAGTGGTGCAGTGGTGGTGCGGACAGCAAGGTGCGGCAGGCTGCAGCCAAGCGGCAGATCATGATGGGACAGTAGGATTCAAGTGTAGGAAGCTTTTAGTGAGAGTGTAAGTGTGTGAATGAGTGCACCTACACATGTTTCTGCTTGGGATGTAGCGCAAACTGGCGTAAACAGCGACGCCAGCGTCAAGGCACCGCACATGGCCACTGTTTTCTTCGTGGTGGTGGCGTGGCCCACGACATCAAGCTGTAGCGAAGTCATTATTGCACAAAAACGAGCGTATTCACCAAAAAAGAACCAGTGAATGAGGCTCAAAGCAAAGGGTCGGTACCTCTGAACATCTTTTCTTGGTCGTTCACGGGCCAGAGGGCGGCTTGCTTAATTATGTGTTGTCAATTCCAAACCTGGGCGGAAGAATCCAGTCGGAGTGGATGTCTTGAAATCGTTAGCCTGACTGGGGCCGATCTTGCTAGCCGTTACATCGGAGAAAGGTGAGGGTGTACAAGAGAGGAGCTTCCCGTCAACTCGCAGAGCCGGCATCTCTGGCCGGAATGAGAGGTAATTACTTGCCGAGGGACAAGATACTGGCGGCTTGGACAATACGCGGTCTCTCTTGAGTCAGTTATCACTTGTGCTCCTGTCGTCACAATGCATTATTAAAGCATACAGGGGTAGAAGGGTTACCACATGAACTCATCGTAGGCTCCAAGTCTATTGCTACTCGCACGAACCCTACCAACAATACCTAGAGACTTGCCCGGGATGGGCGGTGATGGGTCTCCAGAGATGAGACGTGATGAGAACTCGGCACAGCAAAGGAGAGACCAGCAGTTCCGGTTATAATCGAAGCATTGTCAAAGAACGTGAGATGCCCGTGTTGACCTTGCTGGAGTCAGTCTCGCCTAGAAGAATGGTCTCTTGGTCTTCTTGCCGGGGCCTAGGCTGCTCCTCTGCCTAGATTAAGTCCAATTAGACGCAGGCTCGGGAACCAAGGGACGTGTTTTACGCAAACTCTAATGCTCTTAGCTCCCATCGCCCGCCCCGCTCCGCGCGCCATCCTAAAGGCCACCCTAAGCTTTCAGACGGACTGGTCGGATCGTCCACGCGCGTGGAACGGCTCTGCCGTCGTTAGGCTTTGACCTGAAGGTATCTTCAACACTTACGTCTGGAGGGCATTCTCCTTATGGACTTGTTGCCAGGGTAGTGAAGGCAAGGCGGAATGCAACACTTCACCGTCCAAGCGTAGGTCTTTTTAACCTACTGGGGCAGCGGCCCACCCGGGAGGCAAAATCTGGTCTCTGATCTTCGATCCCGCGACTCCACTACCGGAGAAGCCCTTCCACATCGAGGCCAGGGAACCGATGAACTACCGCCCTACGCCCAGGCAGGCAGGCACGGAAGTTGGGAGAGGAGGACTCGCCCCAAGGCTCTATGCGTTCCAAGATACAGTAGTATCACGCCTCGGAGTATCTACTGTTCCATCCCCAGCATCTCGGTTACGGCCAAGTTTTCTAGAATGAGCCTAGAAGCCCGACGTGGCTGCAGCTCGAAGGATCGGAAACGGCCACGCTTGGAACCTTAATCAGATGCACACTTTCACTGCCAAGTGCGCTCCAACGTAGACCCCAGCTACCTCTTGGGCCTAGACAAATGGTCTTGAAATGGTCTTGTTATCACGGATTGCGTGGTTGTCCCGTCGTACATATTCCAAAGTGTGTGCCCAGTAGCTGAGAGGAATGTTGATCAGGGAGCCTCCATGATTTTGACTGAAGCTCGCTCGCGTGCTTCCACAGATGAAAGGCAATGAAGATCTAGAAAGGGGATATGTGGGATGAATCGGAGGTTTCGAAGTGTAGATCCGGCTCGATGAGACGACAAGCAAGATTGGCGGAATTTGTTCTCCGAGATCAACATGCAAGTGGACACTATGCAAGGGCATTTTGTAGCATAAGAGATTCCTTAGTAGAAGTCAACGAATCGTTGTTGAGTTGACTAGATGACCCGCAATTCTCAAGGGAATGGGCCCATGTGTCTAGACTTGGGTCAACATTTCCTTGTGTTAGAGAGAAATCTCATCCGCAAGGAATGTAACCCAGTTTCGAATTTCAGTGACGACTGGTGGACTTGAATAAGTCTCCTCCACGTATCCTGGCCGTCCCATCTATCAGGTTGTGCGAACAGACTAGGGCTGGCCGAGATTTAGGTTTAGTTGTGCGATGTTTACCGAGACTTTTCCTTGGCCAGGTCCTCCACAAAGCAAGACCTCCCCTCCGTGAACCCAAACCTGCAGGAGGGTTTGCACAATCACGTCGATGAGGCGATGATTATTTTCCGTGCTCGCCACCCATGGGCCAAGTGTAATAAAGGGAAGGTGTGGACCCTGTCTGGTCCCCTTCTCGTCCTGTGATCGCCCAATCTCCAGATCTCAAGCGCGCTTGTGTCCCTCAAAGGTGCCTCCTAGTCGTCCTGAGACGTGCAACGGTTCACCGGTTTCCAACTTTCAAGCGCGCGTGTCAGTTCCCTTGCATCGGTTGCCCAGTCTCTGGAAGAGGCTCTTGATCCCTGAGTGCTCGGCGCAGCCTTATCACCTGCAGTTGTTGAGCAACAAAAAGGGGCTGAGCCTGCAGGTCCACACTTGTCCCTTTCCCCCGCCTCACTTACCGCACCACCCTTTCATTCACGTTGCCTTCTCAAAAGCGGTCCCGCTTCTTGTCTTGGCCTGTCCGGTCGACGTTCTTTTATTTACTGTCTCTCCCGAGTCCGGCTCTCACTTCCGGAAAATCGGCGCCTCAGACCTCGTGATCGTTAACATGTCTGTCGTCGACGGGGTTGTGGTACTGGTACCTCCACCGCCAGGCTACAATGTCGACTTTGATAATCCTCAGCGACAGGCGGATGTTGCAACATACTGGCTGGCTGGCTTCGGCCTCGTATTTGCAATGCTCTTTACCGCGCAACGGGTATACGTGAAATTGGTTGTCGTCAAAAGATTTCAGCTTGATGATTGTACGTTTATGATTTATACCGCATGATGGTGATTATAGTAACCGGAGTACCTCCATCGCGCGATCTTGGTGCTGATATTTTTGTGAATAGGGCTACTCTTTCTGGCCTGGGTGAGCTCCCCTAGAGACTTGTATCACGGTAATCGGCTAGAATCTTACAATGACAGGTCACTTCAATAGCAACTCAATTTCTAGTCCTGTGTAAGCACCAGCCCTATTTTATGTGACGAATATGAGATCTGATAAATATGGTGAGAACAGACATGTTCGCATCAGCCATAGGCGGCGTACATTCATGGGAGATCTCGCTTGTGAAGTTCAACCGGTACCTACTAGTAAGCTTAATAACTCGGGAGGCATCTCGTCGCAATCCATCAATCAATGCAACATTTACTAAGACTTTTCGATATCTAGGTCGTATACATCGCATCCTGGATCTATGTTCTAAGCGGAAGTTTCGCAAAGATAGCTCTACTTGTTTTCTACTTGAGACTGTCACCGCAGCGGTGGTTCCGCTACTCGATATTTGCAACGCTTGGTCTCGTCATCGGGTACACCACAGGAATTTTCTTCAGTCTGATCTTCGCGTGCGATCCTATCGAAAGGAGTTTCGACGTCACCATCACTGCCGGCTCATGCATCAACTCAGCAGCGCTCTACATTGCAACTGCGGCTGCGAATATCATCTCGGATGTAATCCTCTTCATTCTGCCTATCCCAATGCTTGTTGCCCTACAGGTTCCACTCAAGCAGAAAATAGGCCTTATGTGTATCTTTGGCGTTGGCTCCATGTGAGTTGGCCAAACACCGCATGAGATTCAGGAAATGTTCTTTGTGACTAACATCAATGCGATAGCACCATCGTGACTTCAATTCTGAGAGCAGCGGTCCTCCCCTCACTACTCACATCTACCGATCCGACATGGGACGTATCCTATGCCAGCTTGCTGATGTATGTCAACCGTCTTATGAGTCCAAGCTGACCCAGCTAACGCCTTTGCAGTGTGGTCGAAGCGAATCTAATCATCGTGTGCGGAATGCTCCCCACCCTCCGAAAGTTCATTCTGTCAGTCGCGCCGAGGCTCATCGACGGAAGCACTTATGGCCGCAGCAAAGGCAGCAAGACACCCAAGACACTCGGCCGGTCAGGGCTTGTCACGTACGGATCGACTCCCTCCAAGGGTCTATCCCGTCATCGCGACGGGTATGCCAAGTTTGGCTATGGTAGTGACGACTATGCGATGGAACCTATTCCTCTGGCTGGAACGCGAGGCACGCCGAGCGACGGGATGAAGAAGAGCGAGGTTACGGCAACGGTCATGGCAGGGAACCGTGTCAGCGACTGGGACGATGATGGAAGGCCGCTGAACACGCCTCGCAGTGCTGAGAGCCAGTTACCAATCATGGGTGGGAGGAATCAGGGGATTCGAACTACGACGAAGATCGAAGTGTTCTACGAGGGTGAGGCGCCTGGTAGGGCTGTTTGAAAGTTCAAACACGCATTGAACTCTGGCCCAGGGAATTTCTTACGGGCGGATGAGTCAACTTGTGACGAGGAAAAAACGGTGGGTCAAAATACATATTATTGACGGTCAATGTACATATCTGCTCTTCGTAGCGAATTCCCATATTCTTAAACAATAATTGACAAAGTGTGTTTAGCCGAATCCGTCAGTACAATAGTGCAACGGTACCAACCTATTGGTCAAATGATTTGGACAACTATGAGTTACGCCGAACGAAGGTCGGCGCTAGTTCAAAATTTTCAAAATTCCGGATTTTCTGTTCCCACTGGCTTAAGAACATGAATGATTTTTGGAAATGACAAGACGTACTTATATAGTTTTTAGAAGATTGTAAACACATATCTCGCAGTGATTTAGTCTATGCGACAACTCTTTGTCTCAATCCGTTCGTATTTCTCCACAGACATAATTATGTCCGTTAAGTTCAATTCTATTATAGATCAAGAATAATGCACTAGCCTGAGTCCCTTGATGTATACATGAAAAATATTGGTCGTAATCATGGCCTATAATAAAACCCATGATCAGGAAAGATTACCGAAAAAGGTTTTCACACGTCTGGTTCAACATGGATCCCACGACTACAACGAGAAGATATCCAGACACCATGCCTTTTCAACAACTGAAAGCTTATCTCATTATGAAAGTCCTGTGTTCACTCCTACCTGTCGCAGAGCAATCGCTGCAATTTTTCTTCTTGGCGAGGAGACTGTGCCGACTATTACAGGACCTAATTTTGCAAAGATATTCCCATGCCCGTGTCCGTTGGAGAGGATGGATCCCCATTGTGGCATTCCCGTGGAGAGGTTGGATCCCCATTGCGGCCGGAGAGCCAAGAGAAATTAAGACCCTCGATTCTCAAAACCTAGAATATCATTGCCCGCTCGACAACGGCAGACACTCCTTCGAAATCACCAGTCAAGACCTGGGGGCACTCTCGGCGATTCCGACGGAGCTCCTGTGGTCGATCACCAAGCACCTGGATATCCCGTCTCTGACTGCATTCCGCCGCGTCTCGAAGTACGCGAGAAATGTCGTCGACGAAAGTTTTGAGTATCAGTTCACTATGATACACGCACCGCAGATGTAAGTGCACGGGAACTTTGAACTCAGGAGCGCTAAAGAGAAGCCAGCTGACATGTGGAACCAATAGTATACGCGGTGCCTTGACGCTTGAAGCCAACAACTTCACTTTACAAGACGCCTATGCCACACTCTTGAACGGAAGCTGCACGGATTGCGGACTCCAGGGCGACTTCATCTACATGATTACATGCGAGCGAGTCTGCCTCAAATGTATGATCGAGAAGCCCAGGTGGAGGCCGATAACGGATGAGCATCTCCACATAGTCTCGGTACCAGACGAGATCATCGAACGAATGCCATACGTGGCGGCCAAGCCAGGGATATACGGGACGCCGGATGGCTATTGTGGTCCGATTTCGAATGTCAGGGTGCTTCTGAACCAGTGGAGGCGCGAAGACTTTCACATGCGACTCCGGGATACGAAAATTTGCGGCGAACCTTACTACAGTCGCCAAGTGCAGTATGGGAGGTTGAGTGGGCTGGCCATGCCGTTTCTGGTATGTGTCAGAGCTCCACCTATACATCGCGCGTAGGATGCGACGTATCTTTTTTGGACACCGCAACTAGATATGGATTTTGTTGGATTCGGATTGAGAGGATATGGCATGCCCAGGTAGCTTCTTGCTTTTGTATGATACATGTCGGCTAGTCCTTGCCTTGGCTCTCGCGACAATTGCTCTTAGACCAACAGTTTCACGACACATTGACCCAGTTATCGGCAGAACAAGAAGGATACTCAAATTTCTGGGTGAGATAGAAAATAATCAAGTGTTCTACCCCAGCCAGCCTCCGTGATGCTCTGGTGCTTTGTCCAACAGACCATCCAGGAGCCCATTCCTGGCTGCGTAAGTAATCAATCTCAATCATCCATTCATCTTGAACCCATCTCTGAAGCTCTGCGTTTGCCTCTGAGCATCTATAGTCAGCTCACTGGAACGATGTGTGACCACAAGTGTTCTCAGTGATTCGACGCTTCACCGACAATACTCCCCTCATGTCCATTCATCGTGACTGCTGTATCCATGGGCGGCATGTAATCAAGGACAAAGGCAACTCTGTCCGGCGTGACTCGCGGGAGCTTTTATGATGATGTTGTGGACATCACTGGCATACTTGGACATTTCGACCAGGGGCTCATCCGCAAAGACTTCTAGCTCCCGAATGTGATATTACGTGGGTGTGATTCCATTTTTACATGATGAACGAGTTTGAGTTTAAGTCGCTATCAGCTTGAGGCTTGAGCAGTGCTATGGAGTACTGCGTGTTGGGAAGAGTAAGAAAGGGATATGGCCTGTACCAAGACAGAACAGAATGAATTGATACATTCTGCCGAGACGACATAAACACCTTAGGGGTCTCTCATTGATCAAACAACGAGCAGATTCTCATGAGGGTTTGGAGTCGTCTGTGAAAGTCTGGATCTGACTTTATCCTGATTGAATCGACATTCTCAGGTGTTAGTGGGGAGTTTGTTGATAGGACCTCCCCCCCTGTGCTTGCTGACATCATTGTGCTGAGGCTCTGTTGAAGTGTTCGTCCTTTAACACTTGGTGATGGAATCTGTGGGAGCCTTGACCGTTCCTATCCCTACCTGTATCCACCACCGTACCCCTCGCTATGCCCGTGGCTGGAACCCTCACCGTAGTCCTCATAGGTCTGCTGAGGTTCATCATCCATCAAGTCCATTTCCAGATCCTGTGGAATGTCACCGAACTCGGCTCCAATACTGGAGTACGTCGCAGATCCCGTGTGGGTATAGCCTCCCTGGTCAGCAGACATCCCCGCGCCAGCACCCGACAAGAGCCCAGCCTGGTCCACGAGCTCCGTCGCTTCGTAAACATTTTGCTGCAAGTATTGAGCGCGTTCCTTTTCTCTCTGTCGCTTCGCAGCGCGCTCACGATCGGCTTCGTCTGCCTGCCTCTTGTATTCGGGCCAGTTCGTGTATCTGTCGCTACCTTGCTCTTTTGCCTCACCCTCACAAACGCGACAAGCTCGTCTCGACATTACGTTCGGATGAGGCTTTGCTGTTTGAGTCCCACACCTACCCCACTCCAGGCTCTTATTTATCGCTTCCTGGCATAGCTCGTATTTTGTGGGCACCCGGCACCTGAACTCGATCAGATCGTGGCAGTCGCGACACTCAATGTTAGCCTCGTAGTAGAAGCACATGATGTTTACCGTTTCCAGTGATCTGTATTCCAGCGGCTGTGGCTGGGAACTGGTAGACGTCTCGTGTATCGTTGTTGTTCAATGCCTTGACGGATTTGATCGTCTGGTGCTTGTCTTTCTCTGATGATGATCGTGATAGTGCTGATCTTGCCGTGTCCCTGAGCTGGTGAAGTGAAAGACAGGGAGAGAATCGAAAGAGCATTTGGCGGTTTTTATAATGGAAGGATCCGGTGTTGAAGGATGAATCACTCAGAGGCCGTCATGACTGACACCGGTTCGGGGCTGATGCGCAGTGAAGGTCCTGTCTGTACGCAAGTCACACAATGACATGATCGCTGCCCCGATGCCCTTTCGTTCCAACATCTAGGTCAGGTGTCAGGAGATCTTCCATCAACGGCTTCGAAACAACACTGAGGATCTCTGGACACACTTTTACGGTTAATATACAATGATCCCAATACCGAAGCAGCGGTACGATGGGCCCGATACACGTGTTGCTTCCCTGAAGATTGGGTAAATCCAGATGTCGTCCCCGAAGGACTCTCATGACCGCCAAGGCCAATCTTCAGGCAGAAAATGGCATAGATGCGTTGTGCTGGAACCAAAATATATCCATTATAATTGCGATATATTCAGTTTGGTCTTGATACGGTTCCACAGGTCTTATCACTGGACTTGGAGTCAATAGTAGACCTGCAACATAACCGAACACTGAAAGACGAGACCTATTCTTTCCATGTTTGTTGAAACTATGCATTTCGTCATCGCCAATATTATTCAACGTCAATGCCCGCACTGATTATCGAATGCAGAAGGAATGTTTTAAGTTGAGTAATCATGTATGGATCTAGATTAGTTGAACTCAATCTATTGCGCGCAGTCAGGCAAAAAGGCTGACCATGTATTGTGGGGCCCACGAAAGCATGGTCCAGCGTGGTACCTAGGTATCCTAGACACCATCGGCATTCTGGTACCACGGGCTCATCTGCGCAAGCTTTGGGATTTGCAACGTTTCTATGAGTGAATGTCACTACATGTTCCCAATGACCAACGCCTTATTCGACGGGCAACCATTCTGGGGGGGGGGGGGGTCTGGACGGGGGATTCAACGTCCAAGGTGGGGGAGTTGTAGCATGGCACCTGGGCCGCGAGAAATTCAGGTCCCTGTGAAGGGCTCCCTGTAAGGAGCAATATCAGTAACTTGGGCCGTGAATAGCCCTCGATTGTCACTCGCATCGTGGATGATGGTGTTGCTGTCTGGCGTTGTTTCCTGAAGCCAGGTTCTGGGCTCACAGGCGACTGACCCATGTGCGTTTTGGAGTAGGCAAATTTGCTCGAGGTGAACCGAGGTATGCAAGGGCCACTATTAGCCGCGGCCGAATCCCGCCTGACTGTTGAACAGCAAGATTGCTCAGAACAGGGGATACAATGCTATCCCATCTCCACTGCCATTCTGTCTCTTTCCAATCTGTAACCTCTTCCTTGAGACCTCTGCTCTAGCCCCAATGGTCTTGTTAGCTTCAAAATCGGAGGGACCCAGAAGCAAGTGGTTTTGGTTCTGTAGTAAAGTAGCCATGCTACAAGCGTTCCCGTCAAGGCCAATCGAGGAATCAAGACATAACTCCCATATGATTTGGATCATCCACCTACCCTGGTCCTAGCCGTGTTAGTCGGAAGTTTCCCGACCATCTGCTTAGTCCCCGAGCCATGTAACGGGGCAGGTAGCCAATCCGGTGTGTTAGAATTACGCTGAGACATCGGAAACGGCAGAGAGCAGCCCTAGATGCACCTGTGCTGACCATTAGAGGGGCCTTGACTGGGTTCGTCTGAGCGCAACGATCCACGCAGGGCAGGGCAGAGCAGGGCAGGGAAGGGCAGGGAAGGGCAGGGCTGGCGGATGGACCCGCTGAACAAGCTTCTCTTGCAGGGATCGAGCTCCGAGAGACGGATCAGATTGGGCCAAAAGAAGAGAGTGGGTGGTCAGGCCCGCGTCATGGTCGGCACATGCTGCCCCTCACGCTCTCACGCGCTCAGCTTCCTTCCCTTGCAGGTCGCAGGTCGCACGTCGCGGGTTGCAGGTGCAGGTGCATATGAATGTGTGACTGCCCTGCGTATGCGTACAACCACATGTACCTGCCTTCTCTCTCCAGCCCCTTCCTGATGCCAGCACGAGAGAGCTGAATTGCCTTGGCTGGCGACAGGAGCTGTCCATTGCACGGTCACAATTGCCTCATTCCCCTCCTGCACGAGCGACTTCCCCTCAATGAAACGAGCGCAGCCAACACAAACATAGTCAACAGGTGCATAGCAACCCCGCCTTTGTGAGGGGCTCACGACAGCTTCACAAGCTAACCACAAGACACCAAAACCCAGCACAGCACCACGTTGACGAGCCTTACCTTGGAGACCACCAATTGTCGCGTACAATCGTACCCAACCGATACTGTAGGCGGATGTAGAAGCAGACACAATGCCCTCCTCCTCCTCCACCATCCACCTGCCAGACGGCCAGACATTCACCGTCCAGCCCGTCTTCGCCGGCCTCTTCTTCAAGAGCCACGAGCTCAACAAGAACCACCAGTCCCCCTTCCCAATCGGATGGACCATTGTCATCCACACCGAGGACGATGGCAGGCCCACTGACGACGACGACGCAATGGTGGTTGACCGAGCTGCTGGCAAGCATGAGAACGGCGTCGCCCGTCGATCCCACATCCATTCCTTCACCAGGCCCACCCTACAGAACGACAGCCTTTACATCTCCTCTATATCGAACCCCTCTTCCGCCGACTTCAAGCCTGCTGCCTCGCCCACCCGCCAGATCGCAATGATCCTATGGATCACCCTCTACTGGTACTTCCACCAGCCAGCCCCGTCCAAGACCCTCCCTCCTGACGAGCACTCCAAGTACACCGCTCCAGAGGGCAGACCTCGGGGAGACTGGCGCATAAATATAAAAAGAGACGGAGTATTGAGGGGACGCAATCTGATCCCCAAGCTGGAGAGGATGGGCCTGATCGCCACTCTGGACTCGGCGGTCGGATCATCCATGGACGACACCAGCTTGGAGTGGGCCAACATGTTTGTGTCGCAGAAGATGTTCTGGCAGATCCCCGGCCGCCTGTTCCTCTTCACCCTCCAGCCCGCCAGCAAACCCACAAGCTCCCACCCCGGCTCGCCGATCTCCTCCAGGCCGACCAGCCCCGTCTGGAACGACAGCACCTCGAGCCCACAGCAGCCCAAATCACCCACCTTCCACCTGAATGCCGATCTCCCAGGTGCGCCACCACCACAGACACTCGTCACGGTCCCCAGCTTCCCCATTGGGCCATTCTTCTCCTCCTCCCACCTGCCGACCTACTATCCTCCGGGGCCCCTCAACTATACCTTTAGCAACAACATCCGTCACCCCGTGCGCCCTAAGCCTCCACGCATGGGCGAGGTCTTTTACACACGCTTTGTTCCAAGCGTCGGGAAGTACCTCTCCTTTCGCGTCGCATCGTCTTCTCCGAAGCCGGTTCCATACCTCGGGCCTGTCTCCTCAACGCCTACAGAGGCACACCACCTCACGACCCTCTGCGACATCGTCCTGGTACAAATGTGGTTGTCGAACCCGCGAGTCTCAAAGTTTTGGGGCGGATATGTGCCGAATTTCTTAACCAATGCCTTGGCCAGCCGACACAGTTTCCCGGCCATCGGGATGTGGGATGGAGTGCCTTTCGGCTATTTCGAGATCTACTGGGTGAAAGAGGACGTGCTGGGCCGGCATATCGAAGTCGATGACTGGGACCGAGGGCTGCATCTTTTCATCGGGGAGGAATGGGCCCGTGGCATCGTCCAGACATGGCTGAGCGCCTTGGTACACTGGGTATTCTGCGCCGACTACAGGACCATGAGCGTGTGCATTGAGCCGAGAGTTGATAACGAGAGGTAGGTTGAAATTTTCGATCGTATCACTGGATGATCATTCGGACACTGACAAGATTTCCGCAGGTTCATAAAACACCTCCAGACAGGTGGCTTCATCAAGGAGAAGGAAATCACGTTCCCCCACAAGCAGTCGTGGTTCGGGCGGTTGAGGAGGGAAAATTGGGATGGACCTGCGCTATGACAGGCGCTGCACAAACAGAAGACGGCGCGAATGAGGAACGCTGTACATGACCTGAAAGGCTTGAAAGGCCTCGAACCGATCTAGATGAGACATGATGAACCATGATAGAGAACCAAAATACCACTCCAACTTGCATGCGAGAGAAGGAAGGCACTTACACTGACTCATAACGCTAGATCCCCAGCAATCCGTGGTTTGCTTGAGGAGGGCATAGCCCAATTATATGCCTGGTTGGACACCGATATCACAAGCCTCGTATGTCGAACTCCAAGCTTCTGCGCCAACGTTGTTGCGGGACAAAAAGCGAGCTCTCACCTCGAGGATGGAAGATGCCGAGGGCCTACGGATCGACACATACGTCGTTACTGAATTCGCCAGCTTGTTAAAAAGTCAACAACTATATCAGATTGAATGGCAGGCTTAGCAGCGCGTTGATTGGTGGGAAGCTTGCAACAGGTCCGTGGACCATTGGGTCGGACACGGGTCCGTGTGGCAATGCTTCCCCCGGCGCGGTGACAACGTTTTCCGGCGAGGTGGGTGCATGTGGGGAACGAGGCGCCACGATAATGGAAGTACAGGCTTTAGCTGGAAAATCTGCAACTGTAAATGAGGGGAGACGAGCAGCAAAAAGCATGCGCTCGTCCGAGTACGAACGGGAGCAACATCCGACCGGAGACTTGGCGATGTAACTGGTTTTGGTTGGAGAACGGAGGCTCATAATCCGCCTCGCCCATCGAAGGCAAGGCCGCACAACACTGCAGCGAGCTATCACGAGCCCGCGCATGCGACTCTGACTCTCACTTGCTCATCCTCGTCCAACCCATAAATAAAATCAGCAATGATCCCCTCACCAAGTCGCTGTTCCCAAGGTATCTATCCACGCCACCCCCCCTCACCGACAACCCAACCGCCAAGCCATGACGAACCTGCTAACCCTGCTCAGCAGCCTCTGGGCCCTGGCCGTCGCCTCGCTCGCGCTGGGCGTGGCGGGCGCGGCGGGCGCCGAGCCGGTCCCGCGCGCGACCTTCACCGAGGTGACGAGCTACGGCGACAACCCGACGGGGACGCGCATGTGGCTGTACGTGCCGCAGAACCTGGCCGCCGCCCCCGCCAAGCCCGCCGTCGTCGTCGGCATCCACTGGTGCAGCGGCAGCGCCAGCGCCTACTACCAGGGCACGCAGTGGGCGCGCTACGCCGAGACGTACGGGTACATTGTCGTCTACCCGCAGACGCCGTACACGCGCGACAACTGCTGGGATGTCGCCAGCAAGATGACGCTTACCCATGGTGGCGGCGGCGCGAGTAACTCGATTGCGAACATGGTGGAGTTTGTGGCGACGCAGTATGGTGCGGACCGGAGCAGGGTGTTTGCGACGGGGATCTCGTCGGGGGCTATGATGACGGTATGCTTGCGAGGTCCTTCCAGCGGACTGACTGAGTGCTGACCAAAATGAAAAAAACAGAACGTCATGGCAGCCACGTACCCAGATGTTTTTGCGGCGGGCATCGCCTACGCGGGAGTGCCGGCGGGCTGCTTCATGAGCGTCGACGACGTCCCGGACTTCTGGAACTCGACCTGCTCGACGGGCGCGTCCGTCGCGACGCAGCAGCAGTGGGCCAACGTCGTCAGGGACATGTACCCGGGCTACACGGGCCCGCGGCCCAAGATGCAGATCTACCACGGCAGCGCCGACCAGACGCTTAATGTGCAGAACTACTACGAGACTATCAAGCAGTGGACCGGCGTCTTTGGCTACTCGACCACGCCGGTCTCGACTACGGCTGACTTCCCGCGCAGCCCGTATACTAAGTATGTGTTTGGGGATAAGTTGCAGGTGAGTACTGTTGTGTCCTATGTGGCTTCTTGGTGTGAGAAAATGTGGCTGATTCCTGTGGTTTATCTGCAGACTTTCTTGGGCACGAACGTGACCCATTCAATCGATGTGTTCCCAGAGGAGGATCTGAAGTGGTTTGGTTTCACGGTAGGTTGAAACAGTTTTCGAGGCATCTATCCCCGATATTGACATTGCGTCTCATAGACACCGGTGAGCCCGACATCAGCCCCCGGAACGCCCTCGACGAGCACGACCTCTGCCAGCGCGACGACCACCGCTCCTTCCGGTGGCTCGGGAACCGCGCCTCAGTGGGCCCAGTGTGGTGGGAATGGCTGGACGGGGGCAACAGCGGTACGTTATTCTGCTTTCCTCAGAAAGACCCCACTTGAAAAGATTCTGTGTCAGGGTACTGATTTCATTTGATTGTAGTGCGCAAGCCCGTACACCTGCGTCAAGGTGAATGACTGTAAGTTGGGTATCAAAGCCCTGGTGTCTCTTCTAATGGTGCTAATTATCACTTCCAGGGTACTTCCAATGCCAGTAAACAATGTCAGAGATACCATCGTATAGTAGCTTCTAGCTATCTCATATACAGCAATATATACTTGAAATGTAATAAGTCTGTAGATCAGCTAAAAGCGATTGTGAAAGAGCCCGGCTTACTTAGACGCAATAGTGGCGAAGAGTCTGGCTTCTTTTCGAATCAACCAAAAGCGCGCGAAGTGCAGTTCGGTGTGATTTGATTTATATAAAGAAAAAAGGAAGGAAATACTGCTTATATAGGTACTACATTGTAGATGTAGATATGAGTGGACTCTAATGATGTGGAAACTCAGTCCGGCCCAAACCAGCACGACATTGCAGCTCCAGGCTCACCACGGCTCTTTCTGCTCGGCTTCGGTCGTCATAACCACTTAAACCAACGGATCTCTCAGGGACCAGTCCGATCTCGTCCGTTTCTAAGTTCTGCGCAACTAACCAACCCTGTTCGGGCCTGTAATGGATCCACACCTGCTGGCCCTTGACTAAAGACATCTTGTTCTTATCTTCATCATGAAAGTCGAGCAAGGCGACTGCCCCGAGATGCACCCCTCCTTCAGATGGAATTGCTGTCTCCTGACCACCACTTTCGTCGTCTTGAAGCGATATCTCCTCACATTCGTCTGTAATTTCATCGTCTCGAGGTGATATGTGCTCACCTTCTTCTACATCTGTGCTCGAGCCTGATCCTTTTTCAACATCGTGGTCACTTCCTTCTTCCCTCTGGCCGGGCTGGGTCCTCGTATCTCTGGCAGTAGGCTCGGATACGTTAAACTGCAATCCTGCGGGGTGATTCGGTGTCCACCGCGAGCGCCGATTCTGAACTACCCTCTGCACGATGCCCGATATAGTCGGCGATGCGCAGCATATGATACCAGTCATACAGCCAGATGCGGAGAGCAGAGAGAGATAGCTTTGGGAGTATGTAAAATCGGGAGAGATAGCGCTGCGTAGAGCAGCCATCCGGAGCCCAGTTATGATGAAGACACTTGAGGTGAACAGCTAGGTCAGTTCAAAGACCATGAAACGCTGATTCTCCCCTCACGGTACCTATGGGGACGAAGATTTCCCGCATACACACATAGAGCACAACTTACACGGCGCCAACGTTGAATACCAGTACCAACTGGATCTTTCTCCTCATGCTCATTTGCAACCCCATGATGTACTTCGCAGGAACCAAGAGTATGCCAAGATCTAGAACTAAGCCAATAGTCTCCAGCGCCATAAATGACGCTATCTGGTCGCCACAAGAGCCAAGGACATGGGGGTCCCACTGCGCTGCGAAGGGTTTGCATATCAGGAATATCTGGATTATGGACGCAACAGCGAGCCCGGCACTGAGCAACATGATCACGATGGCGGAACGACGGGCCGTAGGGAACGAGAAGATGCTGTGGATCAGCAGGCAGGCGGCGATGCGCAGCAGCCCTGTCACCAGAGTCCATATGGCCTCGGCGACAAGTATGGACTGTGTGTTCCGCATCAGCAAACGGAGCCGTGGACGTGGTTTGTATCTCTCCTGCGGGCGAGTGAGGCATGAGGCTTACCTTTGCCGCTCGTTCAAGCTGCGACTCGGGGACTCTCTGTTGATGCTCTCCTTGGCCCTCGTCGAGGATCGCCCATGTTGACAAGGAAACCAGACCTATGCCGACGATAAAAGATACGAGGATGAGTATATCGTCTGCCCGGATTGGTACGGACATCCCCGAGAATTTGCGGCAGTGGATGATAACAACCGCCAGGAATGCAAACACGGTCAGCGTCCAGTTGACTACTAAGGTGCATAAGGCGAGTGAAGTATATGCACGCATCGTGATTTATCCTGGCCGAGTCATGAGACTGGGAGGTCGCCATCGGAAAGCTTAAAGCAAAAGAGGATGCATTGTATGTCTATAGGAAACCTACGGTATAATAGAAAATGAAGGATCCTACGCGCAAGGCGACCTAGACAGGCATACTTGTGATCTTCGCCCGTGTGAAGAGATGGGGCATCATCACCCGCTAAGCCACAGGGCCAGGTGCATGCAGATGTGGCGGTTGGCTTGCATTAGCGGGCTCAAAGAATGAGGCTCTGGGGCAATAACAATTTATGCATGTGAGCGCTGTTGAGAGGTTGAGGATCTTTATTCTATAGCGTACGCAATATTAAATCAGATTTATGACAGAAAATGAATCTGTAGTCAAGTAATATAGTTACTTTGCTTTGTGGACAACATAAAAGACCCCGGCTCATTCCATCCCTGTGAGGCAACACAGGAAAGACAAGTAACCAATCGGCAGATTGTCGATGGGCGAAGTAGCTCCTCAAAGCCGGTCCCACGAGTAGAGATGAACACATCACACACTGCTTAATCCGTCCGCTTCGGTGCAGCGAGACCGATTTGAGATTGATTGACACTGCTTAGTCTCCGCTTCCCTTTGACATCTATGACCATTGATTGGCATACGTTATGTCAATCGAATATTGGGATCAGTCGCTCTTGTGTTCATAGCTCATTTCCTACTTATGCTTTTCTCGGTGTGAAAACAAGATCCAGCTTTGGCACACCCAGCGTAAAGTGGTCCGACAAGCCTGCAGTGAAGTCCTCGCGTCGCTGGCCCGGTGCAAAGGCGACATCATACTGATGACAAATCAGCGCCGTCGCCCGTCTCAGGTTCATCAACGCCAACTGTTTGCCCGGACACGAGAAGCGACCTGTCGAGAATGGGACGTGGACGGACGCGTCAATCACGAGTTCGTCCCGACGTGTAGCCCACCGCTCGGGAATGAACTCATCCGGCAGCACAAAGGCGCGCGGGTCTCGCATTATGAGGTTGTTTGCGGTCCGCACGTTTATATTGCCTGGAATCCACTGATCACCGACCCAAAGGCCCTCGGGCGGCGTTTGGCGCTGGAGGCCAGATGGGTTGGGGTTGATGAAGCGAAGCGACTCATCGATGCAGGCTTGTAGATACTCCAACTTCGCCAGCTCGGCGTTTTCGACAGTTTCGCCTTCAGTGGTGCCTTCTTGGCGCATGAGGCTGTCCACCTCCTCCTGGAGTTTACGATAAACATGCGGGTGGCACACCAGGTTGTAAAACAGAGTTGTCAGCGTCAACCTTGTTGTTTCACTCCCAGCGACGACTATCAACCCAACATCGGCCTTCATATTCGTTGTCTCCTGTTGTGAAGGCGCTGGATTTTCCCGGTACTCAGATGCTATCCACTGAAACACGTCGGGCTCTTGCGGCTCGCTACGAAGGCGTTTCCAAAACAATGCGTCCTCGAACTCGTCGAATTCGTTAGACTCCCGATTTAGAATCGGGATCCGCTTTAAAAATGGAAAAAGCCAGGGAGTGGGAGAGAAGACCGAAAGCATGGGGAGAAATCGAGCAGTGGTCTTGTAATAGTAGTCCTCCTCGTTTCTGGCCATCAATCTGAAGCTCTCGCCAAAGGCCATGTCGCCCATTATATCGAAACCCCAAAAGCCGAACCATTGTGTCACATTGAGTGGCCGAGCCTCGCTGCCCTGGACCCCTTTTAGCAATTGGGTGGTATAGCTGTTGACACGGCTTTCATAGCCTCGAAGTGCTGCACTCGGGGAATGAGGTTTTGAGTCAGTTACTGAAGACCAACACAGAATCGAGGGAGGAATTACCTTTGCTGCTGAAGGCCTTGTCCCATAGCTTGCGTCGTTGCGAGTAGAGCTGACGATCCCTCGTGCCTTGCATGTTGACTTTCGGATACATCATGTCGTACCATGGCCCTTTCGTACATGAGCCTGGCTTCGCGTTTGTTCCATGAATTGCGACCATGGCTTTCGGGTCGGCAATTGATATCTCTTCTGGGCCGATCCTCACGAAGTCGCCGTACTTCTTGTGAAGAACCTCCACCTCGTCACATAGCCGCAATTTCTTGGAAGCAAGGATCGTTTGATAAATCTGGGACCATCGGGCGATGAATGGCCCTGAGAATCCGTGACGAGTGAGGCGGTGAAAGAATGCGCGATATGTAATCATGCTCGAGAGGATTCCCAACACAAGGCTCGCCACCAAGCGGGAAGCAATGCTGGCACTTTGCAGCCATTCAGACTGTAGGCGGACGGAATGGACAACAAAAACAAGCAGCAGAAAACTGAGGATCAAGTGGGTAAATTTGAATTTTAGTGCCCATAGATGCCACTCGCCGTGTCGAAAGAGTACCACATGAAGGCCCACACCGATGATGAGGGAGGTCAGTCCGAGACGACCATCCATTTTCAAATGGGTTTCCAAAGAATCTCTTTTAAGAATAATGAGTTTGGAAATGAAAGAGCATCAAAAATTAAGAGGGTCCACTGCTTGATGGATGAGGCGCGGCAAACAAAGAAAACGTTTCGCAAGTTCGTCCGCATAGGTGAGGCGGCCAACACCGGGGAAGGTCAGCTAGCGACACGGATTTTCACATTATACGTTGCAAAGGTGAACTGAAATATGAACCACTAAGCAAGAATGACGAATAATGCAAAATATCCTATTTGTCAGCACCGTGCATACGCAAACCTCTATCAATTTTGCTCTGATTGGGTGCAAACGTGGCGGTTGGCTGGAACTTGTCAGGAGTATCATGTCATATTCCTTCCGTGTCATCCCTGTGTAGCCCAACCTTCCCTCTTTCGATAACTGGATTGCTGACGCCGCCCCTCAAATTTTGCAAGATCTTTCGTCAGACGGCGACGTCTAGCTCAATCGTGAGACGCTTCTGGGCATCAGGGGGCTTCCTTTCAAGTATTGCCTCTGCCACATTTCTTCCCAAGTAATGGCAGCCTTCCTCGGCAAGAGACGTTGTCTCAGCAAGAAATACTCCCAGGCAGGGCAAGAACATCCAATTTCGGGTCCATTGATACGAGGATTACATGCTTGACACATCGGCGAGAACGGGTTCGGAGGACATTGCAAGCCCCCGGGAATCTCAATGAATTGGTTTCAACTCCTTCAATATATCCTGGCTTCATGTGCAGTTCATCAGCTATAAGACCATCACCAGCCTCTGTTGATGGTCAGAATCCACCAGACATGCCCAGACATCATTTACAAGGCTTTGGACCGCTTGTTAGTGACCGGTTTCCCATTTATCTTGAGTGTACTCGCGATGGATTCTGCTGTGGCACCCAATTGATATGCAACATGCACCGATGGCTTTATGTAGTTAGATCCATATTTATAAAGGTTCGTTCAAGTCCCCGCCTCTGCATAAGCTCGACACAGCAGGTTGGCTCCGCAGACATCGGATGTTTCCCCCTTTCCCCCTGTTCCCCTGTTGCTCGTCCTTTTGTGCATATCTGCTCCAAGCTTCTATCCAGTATCTCATGACATCGAAGACATGCGATCGAGAAGTTTGGTTCTCTTGGCAACTGTCTTGCACATATCACACGCCTTGTCGCGTCCTAACAACCTCGGCGCGAAGCTGAGAACGTTGGATCCCAGCTCTAGTCAGCTGCCTCCCTGTGCGGTATGTCTCTTCCTCACCAACTATGTTTTTCTCATTATTTGCTGACCTCTGCCTGACGCCAGGCACCATGCTTCGCCACTGGGATTTCCGAGTCACCATGTACATCAACCAACATCACATGCATTTGCCTCCACACCGCCTCCATATCCGCCGCTATGGCACCTTGCCTACTCGCGAGTTGTCCGACAATTGACCAACTCCACACTCACAGATACGTTGCGGTGGTATGTGACGCACCGGTTCGAGATGATTCATCATGGATGATTATTTCTATTTGGACCTTGTTCTCGTTTGCCTTCACCTCTGTTGTCCTTCGTTTCATTTCACGAACTCCCTACTTTGGCGTGCGCTTGGGTTGGGACGACTGGACAATACTCGTTCTTCTTGTGCTTCAAATACCACTCAACATCACAGTTCATTACTGTGTCCGAAATGGCTTTGGTCAAGATATTTGGATGCTGGAGGAGTACCAAATTGTCGCAATCTTCAAGGTAGGCACCCCGCATCATCATGTGTGAGATCGTCCATGATACTTACAAGTCACGCGGTCAGTATTATTTCGCTGGTGAGCTTATTTATCTTCTTGGAGTTTCACTGCTGAAAATATCTGTCTTGCTACAATATCTTCGCATTTTCAACTTCCGGATCTGGGCATATAGTCTCATGGTTCTATCGACTAGCTATGGGACTGCGTTCATCATAGCAACGCTAGCCTCCTGCAGGCCCTTCAACTACATCTTCCACAGATGGCAGGCAGAGTACAGTGTAACTTGCATCAGTATCGACCATAAGTTCTACGCATCGGTCGTTATCAACATTATTGCCGATGGCATCATTACCCTCTTGCCGATAACACAAATGCAAGTCTCAATCGCTTCGGCCTCTGTCGCGGACCACTAGAATATGCTGATACCCAGGCCTATTACAGCCCGAACCTCCAAATGACTTTCAAGAAGAAGCTAGTGGTTGCTTTCATTTTTCTGGCAGGTTTCGTTGTCACGGGCATCAGCATTGCGCGCTTCGTAGTCTTCAAACAGACCGACCAAGCAAATTTCACATGTGAGCCTTCGACAGTCCTGCGTAGCTCGGATTCATAATTTACTAATATCCCGGCAATCTAGAGTCTTACATCGGAGTGAGCATTTTGTCAGTGGCGGAACTCGACATCGCGATAGTATGTGTTCGCCAGTGTCCCCTGCCTGCTCCATCTTGGTTTTCTTTTCCTTGACCATCAACTTGCCACAAGTGACCGTTAACGCCAAGGAAAAGGTATGCGCATCAGTGCCCGCAGTTGTCTCCTTGATCCGCTGGCTCAACGGGAAGAGGAATACCACCAAAGACTCATATGGAACTCCTGGGGGTTCAACGGCGATCGGGCCAAGCTTCAACTCAGACAGAAAGAAGGGCTCACGAGACCGATGGCACGGATTCACAGATGTTTTCTCGACGTATGGGACAGCCACCTTAGTCTCAAGTCAGCCAAAATCTAACGCACATATCAGCAATGACGAATTCGAGCTGCTGGAGGACTCCATTGCCGAGGAATCAAGCCCGCAGACTTCGAGTCACAACAGGCACTCACGATCTTCAGACCAAGCAACAGACCACGGGCCTCAATTGGATAATGAAACTCCATTTTACGGAGTATATCCTGGGAGGACAATGTAATTCACAGCCTTCAATGCGACTCTCCGGGCCACACATACTTTGTCATGAAAAGTATATCAAGTTTTATTGTATTTCGATTGCTTTTCTACGGCCCCACAAGACTTGTTGAAAAGATTGGATCTGGTATAGAATAATATGGTCTTGAGAGAGTAGTCGATAAAGTTAAGTGCGGTATGAAATGTGGAGACTGAAAAGTGAAAGCCCTTTCTAAAATACTTTGATGAAGTCTAGCAAAAAGACGAAAGTAGAACGAATTGATACTGCTTAGTCTTTATCGCAGCGCGATACAATTGGTACTTGACTGAAGGGAACTGGCTTCTCAAGATATGAGGTCGTGTTGAGCCCTCATTGTGCCGCAAAATATAGCCCTGCTGCCGCTATTGTGATTTTCTTTTCTTGACGTACATGAAAGGCGACACGCGCCCATGTGCTACTACTCCCACGCTTTCCCTTGTTCTCGAGGTGCGAACTCGACGAGATCAGTCACTTGAGCGTGGTACTGAACCTGCTTTGTGGGCACGCGTGAAATGTCTGATCTGACTGCGAGATTCGACTAATGATTTTCAGCTGCTCCGTGGGCTCAATAGGGAAACCGAGATCGATCACTGCCTCTTCTGTTTGCTCATTAGTAATGTTTACGAACAAATTTCCCACTTTGTTTGGGCTTGACAAATGGTGGGAGTGAAGCACGAGGCTCCGCATACCCTCCAACGCGACATTCTTAGGTAAATTTCACGCTGAACTCGGAAGATCAAGAATCAGGAACCTAGCTTAACGATCAGGAAGCAAGGCATTGAAGAAGTTATAATATGGAAGCTTTCAGTGAATTGAAGGAGTTGAATGTTCTGTTTACCTCAAAATGCCGTGTGAACTAGGCTAGTACCATCCACTTGTGGGGCGTTGAATGCGGTGGATTCGTGCGAACTTGATCGTGAGTCAACTTGCTTGTATTGTCATTTTCGGCAAGTCCGGGAACCACATAGTGCTTTCAGCAGCAGAGATATGTTGTGGTCAAATTGTAGTTGGACACAAGCATTAAGTGGCCAAAGCCATCGGGTCGCGGCTACACAGAACCCCGATAGTACATATAAAGCATTAAGTTTTGCCTTTCAAATGCGATCAGAATTATCATGTGACAAATTATTAGATTTGAAGAGCAGCTATTAATGTAAGTTTGAAAAGACGGCGAAAGACCAACATTTAGATGCCATGGACAATGCATTAACGGACCGGCAGCTTCCACACCAATAACGCCATAATGAAGCTCACCGCCATCCTCGGAGTTTCCTGTTTACTGTAAGCTTGCCAAAATTCCACGACAGATTAGGCCAAAGACTGTTTCCACACTGACCAACCAAACAGTGGCGCGGCTCACGCACAGAGCGTGCTCCTCCAGTGCGCCGTCCAAGGAGACGGCGACTACAACATAGTCAAGACTGGGGAGTTCACCTCGTCCGCATGCAGCTCAGCGGGTGGGTCGCTCGGCGCGACGCCAGGTGGTGGACGGGCCGGTGGAATCTCGTGCTGCACGACTCCAACTTCTGGCAAGGACACGTTTTATTCTACCTGCCGGACTTTTGGCGGTGGCGTGTATGTCCCTGTGCCGCAGCCTTGTTAGATGAGGCCTGGCTTTGTTGGATGATGCTAGCTTGGAGGCGGGACATGACCGCGGTTGTGACTCTATAGGCACAGGAGGACTAAGGCTCGACACAAAATTAATCACATTGAGTACAGAATGTTTTTAAACATAATTGCAACGAAAATGTTGAAATATTAACACTATTTAATATGTCATTTATTACGTATGAAGTGGTTATCATATCCCGCTCGACCAATCACAGCAGGGGTTCCTGGCTCTTGTATTGTGATCTCAAGAGCCTCCACCAACTTTGGTGCCGCCATTCGGAAGCTTGGCCCTGAAAAGGCTGAAAGGCCTCTGTCTCGTATCCGTCCCGGGATACACGGCAGGGCCAAATGCGAGCTGATTGTTAGTGAAGTAAAGGTACCCGTCCGTGGCCACCGAGAACTGGGAGAGTTATCAGATCAGTATGAAATCGCTGTGAGGGCGCAGAACTATTGCTTACAGTGTCAGCCCAATTAATCCTCGGGTCACGCAGGAAGACATGATCCGTCCCGTTCTCCGGGCTGAAGTAGTTGACCGCGTTGATCTCCATGTTACCATGGTAAATGAGACCGTTGCTGTCAGTCTCGAAGCCATCAGCAAGCCCCTTCTGACTCCGAGTGACCACAGCCGCCTGGGCCTTGACCTCGGAAGTGGGCCCGTTGTCACGCAAGCGTTCTGTTGGGATGCTGTATAGGTAGCGATTGCCGACGCCGCCAAAGTACAGGTCCTTGCCGTCGGCGCCTAGCGCGATGCCGTCCACGCCGAAGGTTATGAACGAGGCAGGCCGGCCGGGCTGGTTGGCGTACAGCTCGCGGCCCCAGACGAAGGCGAGGAACTGCCGGTCCCCTTGCACGTACGGGCTGCTGTCCAGATGCCGCCATGATTCTCCAGACCCGAGGTCGACCACGACGAGGCCTGTGCGGCCCTCGCTGGATGAGTCTGTGATGTAAGCCACGCCCTCCCCGCTGTTTGTCAAGCTGGGGTCGAGGTCGAAGCGCACGTCATTCAGATAGGTATCTGGGTAGGCGACTGTGTTGGGGAAAGTGATGGTTTTGATGATGGAGTCCGTTTCCAGGTCCACCCCAATCAGCTTTGCCCCGCCGACGCTGGCTGGAACGAGCACGCCCTCTGGGGTCAGGACCCTGCCTGTGTCGAGGATCCACAGCCGGTCTGCGCTGTCAATGACCACGCTCTGGACCCCGATCAAGTAGTCCTGGTAGTTGGCGCCGGATGGAGGGGTGGTGGTGGAGTTGATGGCCCCGCCGGGTGGGTTGTTGATGTCTGCACTCGGGTATGGCTTCTCGGTGTTGTTGTCGAACAGCTCAGCAACTGTGTATTTCCCATTGGTTCCGTCGTTGGTGTTGTTTTGGTCGAGACCACCTGGGTAGTTGGCGAACTTGCGGCCAGTCGACGAGACAGCTATGCCAGTAGGCCACTGGTCATTGAAAAGATGTACCAGCTCGAGCTGTGGGCCGGCTTGGCCAGGGTCCGAGATCAGGTCTTGGGCACCGATTAGTTGAAGCCCTACCAGAGCAGAAAATGCTGCCAACCGTAAGTAAACCATTTTGCACTGAATGAGAACAATCCTTTCTTCTTAGGAGATGCCACGATGGATTCAAGGAACCCGAGCTGAGGCCGAGGGGCAGAACGGCGTTTAAGTCACGGAGAAACGGATAGGGGAGTGAGCCTACCATGACGCAAAGACGCGATATGTAGCCAAGTCCGCTAGTCTGAAAGATCATAGATTGTTATTAATTGATCTTTGAATGCAACGAGAAGTGAGTCGTGACGTTGTAACCGGCAGTCTTGAGCGCTGTTGCAGTGGGAGCGAGCGCGAGCCGCAGCCAGGATCCGGCGATCTCTGCTAGTTTCCTTACCAATACTACCAAACAATGAGATCATGGTGCGGGGACACCAATCATCACTGCTGTCCCATGCACAGCTACTCAGCTACTATGGACCCAGGGGTTAGGTTTATGGTGCCTTGCAGCGATCATCTCCCTAGGCCGCGGCATATGGGACGACTTGAAGTAAGCTTTTCTACCGAATGGGCGGCACCACAGACAAACAGATCTTCGGACATTCTCGGATTGTTGACACTTCCCCTCTTTATAGTCATGTACAGGCTTCTTGCTTGAGACCAACACTCTGGTGAGGGATAGCACATGCTTTCACAAGACACCGGCGAGTTTGATTGCTCGCAATTGTATGCGTCTACATGGCTTCGCACCCCGCAAGAAACTCTGACGAATCAAGATGTGGTGGTACTGAGCACGAGGAGCCAAGGATAGTCATCCTCGAAGAGATGTGTTTGTATAAGAAGATGCGGATTGCAGACTCATTAAAAGCTATGCCATGAAGGATACATTATAACTTCCCAAATTTCCACGTACAATTACGCCCAATCTTCAACCTTGTGAAGGTGATCGTAATCCAAAACCTGCCGAGCTAATTATACCCATCAAGAACTGACTGATTGTAGTAGCGCAAAAGCATGTAACATCCCCACAAGGCTCGCCTCGCAGCGTCAGACAGCCTTAACCTCCACAAATTGCCCTAGACCGCTGCGGTCCGGACGACCAACCGCGGTTCTTACTCCATCAATTCACTGGGATACCCAGTCCTCGCTCTCCGACTGACCTGCCCACTCTCGGCCGAGCCAGCCTGGTGAGTAGATATTCCGCCCACCAAAGAACCGTTCCTCGGAAGCCGTCTATTGCGATGCAGTATGGCTCTTCCGTCCCGAAGCAGTCTCCTGCTGACCGCGTCCGCAGGGACGGCCAGCAGCTTTTCGTCGATCTCCTCCAGAAATGAGCCCGCTCTCCCGCTGGTCGGGAGCACAGAGGGTCTGCTTGGAGCTATTTGATTGCTTTGCTTGTCGGGTGTCGTGATTCCTGTGATATCGCCGCATGGTGTTGGTCTTGGTGTGGAGGACTGCACTCCCGAGAAGGATGGGGTTGTGGAAGCACACGAGCTCGAACAGGACGGCGTTGCTGGCACGTATGGGGATGAGTTGACGGCCGACCGGACGCCATGGACATCAGTCGTGGCTGATGGCTCTGGCCGTGGGGCCGGCGTCTGTGATGTCGCTGGTGTCGTGTTCTTAAGGTCAGAGAGCTGGGAGTAGCTCACTTCGACTCGGACACCCTCCCCTCGCATCTTGATGTTTCGGAGCATGAGCTTCACAGTGCCCTCCTCGTCATCGGTTTCAACTTCGAAGCGATCCTTAAGCTTTGTGGGGATTAGCCCTGCCTTTGACGCGAGAATGCTGTATTCAGGGAAGCTTACCGAGTTCTTCTGTTCACAGGCTCGCTGTTCGAAGTACTGCAGGGCTGTCTCCTCCTCTATAGACGGCGCTGGGGCTTCTACGTCACCCACCGTGACGAGTTCTTCGGATTGGGGTGCAGAAGATGAGTCGGATGCTGAGGCGGCAGGTATGGGCTCCAATGTCATGCCCTTGGGGCCGAGGACGAAGCATAAGCGCCGGCGTAGTGGTGGACGTGGCGGGGCTGGGGTCACATTCACCTCCTCGAGAGCCTCGAAACATTCGGATGCCGCAATTGGAGGTTCTTGGTCTTCATCGAATTCAATGGACGGATCACGGAGGTCGTATAGTATGATGCCAAGCAAGATTCCCAGAATGATCCCTTGCGTGGGTAGCGGCATTCGGGCGGCGATGAAGCCAATGAACACGTAGAACATGGCTTTAGCCATTTTCAGATTATCAGTAGGCACTTGACTGTCAAAACAGTTGCAACTCAATCAATCGTGGAGTGACTTTATGTGAATTCAATATGATGTTCCGGTTTTTTCAATGATGAGGGAGGTCGACGTGAGGATATCAGTAAATTTCTGCATCGATTGTATGGTATTACTATAGAAAATATGTTGCATTCATCAATATTGTGAGACTTTATGTCCTCCATCATTCAATTCAGCCCAATTATTGTGTCTGCAGTAGCTAACCCGGGTTTTTCTCAATTTCTACCGCCTGGTTCAGCTCGGTCATGGCTTAGGCCGCTCTGGTGCGCAGCCGGTCGAAGTCAGCAGGGCAAATATGAACAATTTTACGAGGCTTCGCCTTGAAAATGAGGGTCACAAGGTCTTAATTCTTTTTTTTTTTTTAAAAAAAAACAAAAAACAAAAAAAAACAAAAAAACAAATGCTGTTGAAACCTAGGGCATTTCTATTTCGTGGTCAATGCGATGTCTGGAGGCCTAGAAGGTGCAATGGCCACAACGGTTCACACCAGGCTCCTAGACATCTCCAGGAGGACCAGGTAGGTAAGCATATCACAGAAACGTGGTTAAGGTTAGCAGAACGAATTTCGGTCCAAGTTCATCGTCGATTATTTTATTCTGAATCGACAGACGTCATCTACCCACGTAGGAATCCCCCCAACCTCGTGCCCGAAGAGGGCTGCAAATGACATATTCTGCACCCGATTTCTTCGACGTACCGTCCATGATCATCATGCGCCCATCAATCAATGAAATCTCATATTCACCAGGCAGGGAGAGCCAGGATTGGCACCACTGATAGATATCCACTGACCCAGACACAATCGTCGTCCCCCCCAATTGACAAGTAAGCCATCGAACAACCGTGCTGAACAATCATAAGGCGTGCCGCAGGTTCCACATCTCATGGCAATCGCTCAAGCAAACGGATCTTCTGGACGATTCTCCTTCTTCTCACCAGAAGAGACCCTACCAGCATCGTAGTTCGTCAGGCCCGGGCCACCAACAACCCACCGGCCGGGCGCCCGAGCCAGCGCAGCAGCGCGGTCCTGCACCTCCTTGAACAGCACCGTGTTGGACGCAGTCAGACTGTGGCCGCGCGCCGCAGGCTGCGCGACGTGGAAGCCGAAGTTGCCGTCGGCCGCGACGCCGCGGCCGCGTGAGAAGGCGGGGTCCCACGAGTTGCGCCCGGCGCCAGAGGGCGGCGTGGGTGCGTCGCGGTGCGGGGTGGGGCGCGTAGGCAGCTCGTCGGCCGACTGGGTGTGCTTGGGGTCGTAGGCCTTGTTCCAGGCGGTCAGGTCGGTCGAGGTATCCTTGGACTTGGTGACCTCGTCTGGGAAGCTGGGTCGATTGAGGCGCTGCCAGTCGACTAGGCCCATGCCAGTGCCCACGGAGGACATGTTTGCGTCGAAGTGCTCCGTCGCGGTGGCGTGCCTCAACTTCTCCAGTAGGGTAGACTCGCGGCGGCGTAACATCTGGGCCACATGCAGGGCTTTGTTTGAGGGCTTGTTGGCTTCGGCACCGTTGCTGGGCTGCATACGGGCATGGGCTGGGCCGAGAAGGAAGTCATTGACGCGGTGTTTTCCGTCGGCATCCTGGCTGCCATCGCTGGATGGGGTGTCCTTGGTGGGTCCATCGATGCCCAGCTTGCTGGCAGACTGCGGCAAGAAGCGAACGGTAGGGCTGTGCGGAAGGCTGGGGACGTGCTTGCCCATCAGCACGCGTGGCTGCATCTCTGGAGCTATGGTGCTCGTCGTGCCAGTGGGCATGGCCATGATCTCGCTGCCGTAGTATCCAACGCTGGTGACGCGTCCGGCTGGGCCATCGAGATCCTTGGGCGCGAGCGTTCCGTCGATTCTGCCAAGCTCATCCTCTAACATGCGCAGGTCCTCCTCAGCGCACACAACGACCTCACAAAGCGCGTTGCCTGCCATGCGTAGCACCCGGTTGTTGCTGGTGGCCCAATCCTGGCGCTGTTTGCCCGAGATTTCATTGAATTCATCGAGCTCGTTGCGGATGGTCTCGAGGCGGCGATTGACGGCCTTCTTCTTGTCCTCGATAGGGTCCTTGACACGGTCAACGAGGGTGCTGGCGTAAACCTGGATCTGGTCATCCCGAGATTTGATGCCGCTGGACGGGATGCTGGCTGTGGGAGGGAATGCATCGTGGGTGCTGAAGTGTCTATAAAGGTACTCGAGGCGGTCACGGTCATACTGGGCTCGCTTGAAAGGGTTGGCCAGGATTGAATAGGCGGCGTTCACCTGGAGTGGCGTGGTAAGTAAAGTCTCATTGCGCTGTTGGAAGGTCGATCGCGAGGTGCGTACGCTTACCGCATCGCTGGGGACCTGCTGAAGCTTCTTGGTGATTGAGTCGTAGGCGGCGCGCAGGCCTTCCTCGTCTGCGTTGGGAGAGACGCCCAACAGGCCGTAGAGATCGTAGACTGTGACGCGTTGACGAGCCATGGCTGTCTGAAGAACGTCGTATGCGACGCGGTCGGCCGTCATGTTGAGGCTAAGTCACTCAAACGGTGCTGACAGCAGGGACGAAGTTTGAGTGTGCTCGATTGAAGTCAGAAGCAGTAGACTTGATTGAGTTGCATGGGTTCAAAGGCGGGAGCCAGAGATGAGAGCTGTCAGGTTTTGCTCCTAATTTATGCAGTATGAGAGGAATGAAGGCCTGTATCTTGAGTGAATCTGTAGGATGAGCTTAGACAGTCAGTCTGTGACTCGCCCTGTAAATTATGTTTGTCCCTCCATTCACTTCAATTAGGTCGACCTCGATTTTCAAAAACACTTTTGTGCATTGATCATCCATATTTCAGCAGCACATCGTTGAAATATGCCGGAGTCAGGGAGATCGACTTCTGGTGAAGACATTAGGCAGAACCAGATCTTGGATACCGTGGCCCACAAACCACAGCAAGGTGAGCGCAAAAGGCAAGGACAGTCTTGCACATCAACCAAGGAGCCGAAAAGACATTCGCAAACAGCATGATAGCTAACGCCGAACTAAAGAACATGCAGCAAGAAAGGACATCTGTGCTCTCGAAATCGAAGCGAGTATCGTGCAAGGTTTAGCAAACTATGGGCTCTTGTTTGCACACCTGGAATACAGTAAATGCTTCATTGGCAAACCTTGAGAGGGGATGCACTTTTTGGGGCGAATCTGATATCCTTTCTTTCAGTAGTTTACCATGAGAAATTACAAGAGACGCTTCTGGTCTCGGTCTTGCGGTCAGACCACGAGCAAAGTGAATTTGACATGCTCAACTACTTCACCTGTATCAGTGCACCCATGTTTCGACGTAAGCATCGCTTAAGATATGTCTTTATTACAATTATTCTAGCCTATCCTTATATTCCAAGGGCTCTAAGCAGCACATTTTCTTTAGATTGTGAATCTAATGACCATGTCACCGCTTCAAGAATTGGCCGTCTCTCCTTGCCCTCCCAATGTCGAAAAGCACCCGCTTCTCACAAAGCAATCGCTGCCGCTAATCCCAACGCAACAGAGAGCCCCGTCACCGCCGTCGACCCGGTTCCCGAAACCCACGTCACCGGCGCATCCGCAGACCCCGACCCATCCGGCCGAGTCGAGACGAGCACTGTCGGAGACGAACCAGCCGTGGACGTGGTCGTCTCAGCAGCGACGCTCGAGGTCGTCGACGGCGCAAGCGGGTCAGCCGAGAGGAAGCTCGGCGTCGCCGTTGCGGTGCCCGAGTACAGCGGGCACCCGGGGACGCCCGTCTTGGGCGCCGCGCGGCCGCCGCCGCAGTCTGGCACCGTGCAGATCTCCAGCGTGTCTGGGTCGTAGTATACCAGGGACTCGTAGACGTTCCCGTACTCGTGCGACGTGGGGTCGATGGTCACCGTGCTAGTGAAGGTTGTGCAGCCCGAGAGGTCTGTCTTTGCCAGGGCTGCTAGGGGTGACAGCGCGAGGAGAGCGACGGCTGTGAGATGAGCTGAGGACGGCATTGTGGGTGGTGATCGCTGTAATAAGCCGGCGTTGGCAAGGCGATGTTTTTCAGCGAAGGTCTCGTAGTCGGAGCAAGGTGAGGTGAGAAGAGAGCAGAACCAAAGGACGACAAAGTTGACGGTCACTCAGGGCGGGTCGTCAAATACTTCTTTCATTTTCATGATGACCCTGCCGCCAAGAACCCGTATTTCAACACGGGTTCTGGAAAATCCTCCCGCCCCTTATTTTGGGATTCATACCGCACGCCAGTCTGTTCCTGGTGCTGACATTTTAGTTCAAGCACCAAACCGACGAATGATAGATGCTTATGGGGGCTTAGCCTCTTCATGTTACCCCAACTTTGGAATCAATTTTCAAACGTATTGACTGATAGGCAACCTTTGGCAAAATTAAAATTGCCTGTGAGCTGCGTGCTTATATCGAGTTGATACCTGGGATCAGCTCCTTTCACTTCAATATATATATACAAACTGAAAGGCATCCGTCGACGCCAGACATTATCATTGCTAAACGCATAGTTTCCGGCTATGATGGCAAGATTAGTTTTGTTCAACTTTCAGTTTATCTGAAGTTTATCCTCTTGAACCAGAGTTTTGACAAACTAGGTTCTTATGAGTTGCTTGACAATCGAAGCTTCGCTACCTGTCGTCATATTCGATAGGATTGCATAAGGGATGAGTGGCCGGCGTACCCAGCGTACGGAAACATCGGTAGTATATGTGACAGAGCAAGTCAATATGTCCTCACGACAGGCATAAAGTCTGGGATATGAGAACTTGTAAAATACATTAGCGTCGCATGACAATTATGGAAGCAGTATGACAAGCTGCTACTAGCCTTGGAAAATACTCAGTAGAGTTCACTGCAGATGGGTAAAACGAAATTGGAATTAATGCTAATGCTTTATCAAGCCGAGTAAAGATTCAAGACTTCCACAGTCCATGCGATTGAAAGCCAATGTCATGTAGCGTCCTAGGTGTTGCGAGAACAAGAATTTAGCCGGTCATTACGCAACAAACAAAAACGGTGCACAACCTAGAGGACGGCGAGAGCAATATTCGGCCATTGTTGAAGGTGGGCAAAGCTATTTGCCATGTGCTAGCGACTTTTGCTGCGTTCATACACTATTCTGATCAACTACTATCACGAGAATGCAGTTGGACCACGGAGCCGGAGTCGGCACACATGCAAAAATCTAGATTATCTATGAAACTTTTGCGCCTTGTCATCAAGGCTCATCCCTATATTTTGATGGCTACTTTTGGCCCAACCTTTAGGGTTCTCGCGACACCAAGCAGAATTGAGCCCCCAGCCACGGTAATAGCGGCCCAGACCCAGCTCGCATTATAAGACCCGAATGCTCGCTGGAGCACCCCGCTGATGGGACTTCCTATGAGAAGCCCAAACGACATGATGGAGAACGCCATGCCGAAGCGCGTGCCCATGACGCTCATGTCTCCCGTCAGACGTACAAAGATCGTCGGCTGAAGCGCAAAGAAAGTGCCGGTGAAAAAGCCGTACACGACCGAAACCACAAAGACACCCGCGGCGTTCTTGACGCCGATGAAGCCCAAGCTCGTCGCAGCTAGGCAAATGGTGGTAATCGTGATCATGTTCATTGGGCCCATCATACCAGCGAGGTGGATGTTAGGGATGATGCGGCCGATGATGGACGACAGGTTCACGATGGCCAGGAGATAGAAGGCCGTGTCCTCTGATGTGATTCCTGTACTAACAGCGAAGCTCTCCACGTAGAAGAAGGGCGTGTATAGGCCCAGGAAAACGGTGAAGTAGGCAAAGATCAGCGCCACATAGGGCCAGTCGGTCAGGGATTCTCGATGGACGAGAGCTCGTCGTTTAGCTGATGCGCCTGGGCCGCGCAGGACGATGTTGCACACAGTCAACGTGACGAGCACGATCAAAGCTATGGTTCGGACGGTCCACCCGAATCCAATCTTCGGCAGCAGGTTCTTGATGACTATTGGGAAGATAACACTGAAACTCACTACGCGTCAGAATTATGAACATGTCTGAAGCCTGACATTACGGCTGTGGGGAAAGGGGATAAAATTGTACTGACCCGCCGACACCGCTTCCACAGGCAGCGATGCCGTTCGCAATCGGCAGCTTCGTGTTGAACCAGAGCGCCGTGATGGCAACCGTCATGATCGACAAGCAGCCGCAACCGATACCGATGCAGAACCCCTGGGCCAGGAGCAGCTGCCAGAACTCTGTGCAGAAGCTCTGCATCAGCGTCCCAAAGAAGACGAGCAGCGACCCAGCGCCGAGCAGGTAGCGGTAATACCCGGCATCGTAGATGGACCCTGTCACGAACCCGAGAAAGACGAGCAGGAAGCTCTGCACGGAGCCGATGGTCGAGATCTCGAAGGGGGTGTAGTTCTCTAGGAGGCTCGTCTCGTAGTACGCCTGGAAGCTACCGTAGCTGGAGAGGAGGCCTGCTCAGGTGACACGCGGTCAGTACTAGTGCGCTGCCCGTGGTGGAATAAGAGTTGATGTCGTTGAGGTACTCACCCCATGTATTGAAATAGAGGAAGAACGCGCCCACAACCTGGAGCCATGCTTGCAACCCGCCATTGGGTATTGTGCGTGCTGGCTTGGTTTCGGACGCTGAAGAGTCTGTCTCGACAACGTCTTTGGGTGTATCCTTCTCTACCATATTCTGCGTCGTCGACGACGTGTGGTTCTCTGCATCCTGGTCTGCTGGGGCCATGATAGTAGCCTGTGTTGAAGATAGTCCAGGTATCCGCGACGGCCGGCTCAAAATTTACAGGACCTGATACCCGTTCTTGTCGATGCGACGACGCCCACTTGAGTCAATCCTCCGGAATCAGGATCAGATATTGGAACTTGGTGCACGCGCTTGCGTATCATGCATGTGGCAAGTGCATGAGGAATTGCCGGGTATGGTCAAAATACACAGGCTGCATGCATGAGTTGCGTACCTAGGTAGCTGACATGTAGCAATGCTGAGGTGGTATCGTACCAGATCAGAAAATTATTTCACCTATCAGGCGTTCATTGTTTTGGCAGTCCCCTATTTCTTGGCCTATTCGCCGCAATGCGTCCGGCGGATGGACCCGCTCGAGGTGCTCCACATTGACAATCTGGGTATATTCACCGGGCCCAGGAGGCGAAAAATTACCTGTCATACCACACCACAGGATCCTCTCCTCTTGCGGAAGGAGGTATTATAGATACGATCACGAGCGCGAACAGAGAGGCAAGGCTCTCAGCCATGTTTGCGCAGCCCGTGTCGGGTAGCATCGTGTATAGTACCCGCCCCACAGACCCTATCGATCCATGGTGGCTAGGCGCCCCTGTCCCTCGGCACTCGAAATGACGTGCGCGAGGCGCGACGCGGATGAATAACGTTTACAATGACACGCAGCCAACATACACAATGCATTTGATTATGCATCGGTACGTACATACTGAGCCGTGTAACATCATCGATGGGCGGTTCACCCGAAGTTCCTGGTCGGATCGACTTCCTGCATGTCAAACCCTCCTTTCGTCCATCTGATTCATCGGTGTTGAGATATGCCGGTGGCCGCTACATGGAATCGAAAAGCGGACAACACACCTGTTAGAGACGAAATTATGGGAGAATAACTGCGCCATGTTTGCTGGTCCCCACTTGTGAAGAGCACATGGAAGTCCCCGTTGTTTGGTAAGTTTTGAACTGTCGATAGGCATGTGGAGCAGTGATCCGCTGAGCTTGATCGTCCAAGATCAAGGTATGGATCTCGCGCGCGCCCGCCCGCGAGGGTCAAGTTTACTCAATGTCTAGATGGGGCCCATCCACAACCCCCATCCCATATCCCACATTCCACGTCCCACATGCCCAAGATTCCACCTTGGGAGATTTCTGCCCTCGCCGTCTCGTACGGTGGATCCACAAACCCGCGGCAGCGCGCCGCCGTCATAGCCTGCGGATCAGGGCCCCATCGCAAATCTGGGCCGAGCCGTCAAGTGAGCTATTAGGCTGGGCATCAAAGCGATGTAGACGGTGATTTCCAATGCTTGATAATGGTAATGGCACCATCATGTCGGCTCACATAAATCGGCTGATAAATTCTTTTGTCTGACTGTTGATTTCCACAGCTGAGGGGCCTGTGGGGATGTGCTTTCTGGAGATTCAGATCCTGCATGAGCGCGTTCCGGATTCCCGATTTTATCGGAACAAGCACTCTGATCCGGTGAGCCCCATGTCTACGGAACCCTGCCCAGAGATAGCATCGCCCAGAGTAGAAGGTTGTTAAACGAATGCGAAAATTAGCTCCTGCTGTTCTTTGAATTCGTCAACATTGTATTATTTTGCGGTATCAAGATATCGGTTGCTCTGAAAATAGGTGACATCGGAGTTTCCGGCGCCATGTTTAATGCAGTTTGCAACGCGCCTAGATCCGTCGCTTCTCGAGCTAAGTTGGCTCTTCGCGGCCGAGCCCCGGCAGATCTCGGGCTGGAAGGCCCTGTGGGGCCAAGGCAAACAGGAAAATGGCAGGGTAGTATTCTCTGTTTCAATACCGAAATAGGAAAAGTACTAGAAATGTCACATTCTGACACCTGCGAACAGGGTCAGGGTGGGTTTGGTGTCCCATGGGCGGCTCTTGTGGGGAAGCGCGATGTGACTCGCGTGGTGTGTGGGCCCCAACTCCTGAGATCATCTTTATCGAGAAGATCTTATCACTAGGAATAGACTCGCTGGCGAGATCTATCTGGGACAAATGCCGCTGGATGCGCAGTGCTCTGCGAGATAACCAAAGCTTCCTTGGGTACCTGCCTTTCTAGTATAGTGTTTCCGTCTGGGCGCCTGGTCACTCGTTGTACTCTTCACAAGACGCGCAACGAATCTAGGATGGCACATTACAAAAGATTGCATGACCAAGCAATGTCTTGATAGTAGTACAATTTTTCATGCTATTCCAGATCTAGAACTAAGCAAACACCCTTGACATATAGTCTTTCCAGCCTTGTTCATCTCCGACGTAACCAATATACATGTCCGGCCGAATGACGACAGTGAATGACTCGTCGGGCCCGATCAGCTCCGACTTGAATACATCCTCGGTTGGTTGCGTCACACCAGAGCTTGCAGGGAGCAACGTAAGAACTCTGGAAACATCCTTGAAGCTGGATGTGATGTGGGGGTCAAGCGGTCTCCCGATGGCAAAAATTAGATACTTGCCGTACTCAACCATGGAATACAAACGACTGGCCTCCTTTGAGCCGTCGGTAGCTGGCGTAAGCTCAAAGTCAGGGCATCGTTTCCCAGCTATCCACAGGCCCCTGCTGGAGACCTGGATAAGCTCTGACCCGACCTCGTCGTAGGAGACACCCATTCCTGATAAACAATCGTCAATTAAGGTTTACGATTGAGTTGCAGGGGAGGATTAAATACCTGTGATGTAGCCAGCATTCTTCTCGATCGTCGAGACATACTTTGTGGCAGTTCGGACGGTGTCTCGGACCAGGGCCGCTGCAACGTCAATAACGTTCTGGGCAACTGTCCTTCTTTCCGTATCGTAGCTGCGGATAAGCTTCAGAGCGCCGTCAGGGGTCAGCCCCTTGTTTTTGACAGCCATTGCTACTCGCCAGCTTAGTGCGAACGAATCTGCAATGCCGGTATTCAGCCCTTGGCCGCCGTTGACCGAATGCACGTGTGCGGCGTCTCCCGCAAGCAAGATGCGCCCTTGGCCTTCCTTTGTGACAAAGGTGCCTGCGATCCTCTCTTTGACTGTTTGACGCGTCATCATCAGCTTTGCCATTTACGCAAGGGGTCAGGGGCTTGCATATCTTACCATCAAATGTGCTGAACCACTCCGTCTTCTTGAACTCCACTTTGTGTGGTGCAAGATGCTCCCGGATACTATTTTCCGCCCTCTCCTGGGTCACTTCACCTTCAAGGAGGACGTAGAACCGAGCCATGCCACGCTCCCTTGGAATCCAGGAAACGCGAGCCTGACCATTGAGCTCGAAGGTCACAATCTCTGGCGACACAGGGAAGTCAGTCTCGATGAAGGTGTCGAGGACTGCCCAGAGCATTTCGGGCTTTGTGCCGGTGAAGCTGATGCCGAGTGCATTCCGGATTGTGGAGCGGGCGCCATCGGCAGCAAGAGCGTACTTTGCGTGGATCTTGCGGCCCAGATCGGTAGTCACGGAGACACTGTCGTCCGACTCCTCGATGCCGCAAACGTTCTCGCTGTAGTGTACACTAGTCTTGAGCTCCTTGAGGCGCTCGGTCATGATCCTCTCCACCACTGGCTGGCCGATCATAAGGAAATTCTTGTGCAGGCAATGCTCAAGGCTCACCCACCACTTGTTCTGGCGGGATTTCCATTGGCCATCGCCAAACGTCGAGCTCGCTGTGGCGAATTAGAATCCAAACATTCTCAGTTGTTCGACAGGTACTTCAACTGACTGTTGCATTTCAAACTTTGAGGGATCAGCTCGTCCAATATGCCAACCACCTCGAAATATTGCTGAGTCCGAGCATTGAGAGCATCTGCTCTTCCCAAGTCCAGTGGCCCAGATTTTGCGTCTGAAGAATGTTGTTAGCTTGAGTCTTGCTCTCTCTGAAGGAGAAGATGCATTAGTATCTTACCAACTATGCTGACTGTGAGACCAAGACGACGGGCCAAAAGGGCTGAGAGAAGGCCAGTTGGACCACCGCCGACGACCACAAGATCAACGTGCTCCTCCATCTCAGGTGTTGCAAGGTATTCACCCATTATGGTTAACAAAATGCGCTCGGTAAAATCAAGTGATGAAAGTTGGCACAAGTGTTGGTTTCTCAGACGTAATGGACAAAACTTGAAGGCCTCCTGATGTGTACCTTGATCGGCGATGTCTCCGGCAGCTTAAGTGTGAATGGCTCTAACCTCTGGACTGTGTTGGCGATTCAGCGTGTAGTCACAATCGGATGTCGCCGGTCGTCGCAACGAGAATACCACCAGCTGTTCCTGCGTTAGTTGTTAATCGTCACCCGGTGGAGATGTGGCGATCATTCGGGGGCCCCACAACGTTATTTTGAAATCGCCAGAGGGGCTGAGGAGCCTTATGGGGTGGGGACGTCTGGGTGTTCGCGGCCCCTGACCCAGGAGTCGCACATTCACCTGAACATCGTAAGATGCTCCCGACCAGGTTTATGTGCCAGAATATTCTTCCAGTTGACGTCGACTTGGTTGTGTGGTACCACCTCGGCAACATCCCGCCAGGATAGTCTGGCCTGAAGGGGGGAATTAGGCTTGGCAGCCGAGCACGATGCGACCCTAACTGGCCACGGCCCTGAAGCGATTTCGAGTAAGGCGCCGAAAACCTCCGGGCGTGGGTGTGGGTTCATATTCATTTGGGGGGACCCTCGTCCGTGCTCTGCAGATCTTTGTACAAGCAGATACAAGGACATGTTGACTTCTGATTTTGCAAGGCTGAGTCGAGGCCTCGGCCAAGTTGGCACTCCAATCATGCAAAGTCCCGTCTCCGTCCGCCGCCAAGCCCTCCACTCTGACACTTGAAAATGTATTGCAATATGGCACATCGCCTGTGGGGACGACGCGATCGCCGATTGGATTTGGCCGATGGGACGTGTTCGCTCGTCCTGGTTTCCAGGGTCGGAAACCATGCGTGCGCCACTCGTGGGCGTTGCATGCGTGACTTGGAGGCCAGGCTGGACAATGTTTCCCTGCTTCCTGATGGGGGCATCCGGGCCTGGGCTCAGGAGGTATGGTGATATCGGCTAATGCCACTCGTGTCAGATCTGGTCTCTGCTCCATTAGTAAAGATCAACAAACCAAGGTCGCCTGAGCAGGAAGGCCCTCGGTCTGATGCACCTGTCGAGATTAAATATATGGTTAATCTTCTCCTTAAGGGTAATTAACAAACGCCCTCTCTACCACTTTATCCGACCTTCACCCCAACTCTGAAAATTCACCAGAACTATCTCCCCTGCTTTGTAGCCTGCCGTTTTCCCTCGTTGATACCCCTGGTCTCTTTCTTTTTTACCCCCAAGTGAGGCGAACACATTACGCCATGCCTTCAGCTGTCGCAGTCAGTGTGGCCACGCCAGCGTCGCCGACAGGCAAGATGACACCTCCGCTTCTGCTCCAGCCCACGAAGCTGGATGAGCAAGCTCTGGAAACTGCCGCCCAGATCTTGGGTGTTATTGGCCGGTACCGACTGAGCCACAAGTCGACCCCGAAGTCTGATGAGGGTGACTTGAAGTTCCTCGCCCAAATCTACAGCAAAGTCAGAGCAGGTCGGGTAATCAACATGTGTCTGCCTGCCTTCCCCTTCAAGTCTCCAAACTCTGCCACAAAAGTCCTCGGCTACCTTCCAGACAAGTCAGAGGAGGTTGCCCTTGCCAATCTGAATGGCTTGTGTGACGCGATCAAGAATATCTATCCTCCCGGTGCGGAGCTCACCATCATCTCCGATGGATTGGTCTACAACGGTAAGAGACTACAAACCTTTACGACTTCTATATCAATTTTACTGATTGTTCTCTTGTTCAGATCTTCTCGGCGTACCGGACAAAAATGTTTGGGCCTACGGTGAAGCCCTACGTGCCATGAGCCAAGCCAAGGAATTTAACAACATCAAGTTCAACCGTTTGAGAGACTTGGTGCACGTTGATCTGCCTGATGAGCTTGACGAAATTACATATGTCACAAACGCTACCAACTTTCGTTTGGCCCTTCTAAACTCGTTCAGCAAACGCGACTATGACGTCGACCTGAAAATCGCCGATCATGAGGATACTTGCCTGACGTACAGAGGGTACCTGAAGTTTCTTGAGACTGATTTACAAACCATCTATCCGATCAGTGAAGAGAGATCGAAGAAGAAGTATAAGAAGGGACTGGGTTATATCGCCAAGCAAATGCTATTCAGAGGCGACGTGAGCATGCCCAAGGTTCACCATTTTGCCTTCGAGAGATGACGCTGACATCTATTTAGGCCTTTGCACGCGCGGTCAGGGAAAGCTTTTCAGACCACATCCGTCTATCAATTCACCCTTCCACAGGTGAATCAAAGATCTCCGTCAGCCCTCTGCCAACTGACACGTGCTACACCACACCATGGCACAGCTCTGTCGCATTCAGACTAGACGGCAGCGTCACCAGCGGGCTGCGATCTGATTTCGAGAACGACTCCAAGATGGAGCTGGTTTATGAGAATGGCCGACCAAGTTACTTCCGTGAAAAGTCAGACCTGCTTTCTTGGGCAGAAGACAAGGGCGGCATCGTCTGCGAGCCGATTTACCCGGCGGGTATCATGATTCGCCCTGCTCTTGGCCCCGGCAAGCTGTCCATTCACGACATTGATTCAGCCAAGATTCGGGCGCTATCCGAGATCAACTCTCCCGTCATTATGCGTGGCTTCTCCAAGACAACAGATAGGGATCTCTTTGTCTCAAAATCTCAAGAGCTCGGGAAGCCACTGCCATGGAAATTTGGGCTTGTGCTGGAGGTGAAGGACCGCGGTGCGGACACGCGAGGCCTCAACAACGTCCTTTCGGCAGAGTGGATGCCATTCCACTATGACGGCCTGTTCAAGACTGAGAAGCGGACGAAAGAGGATGGCACCGAAGAGCTCGTTTCTATCCCACCACAGTAAGATTCGCACTCCTATATCACTGATTTAACAAATCGCTAATCATTTCAACCTCCAGATTCCAATTCTTCACAGGTGTCACAAGCTCGCCGAAGACCACAGGCTACACGCTGTTCTCAAGCTCCACCCTGATCTTCAGATACCTCCCCGAGGACCTGAACCTCGACTACCTGCGCAAGCTGACCTGGGGCGTGAGCACCTCGTCATTCGACGCGACCAAGCTCCGCGGGCTGCCCCTGGTCATTGACCACCCGACCACGGGCAAGCCGTGCCTGCGCTACCACGAGCCTTGGCCGCAAACCAAGACCGCCTTCGACCCGACTTACGTGACGATTGAGGATGAGAACGGCCCGATCGAGAACAACGACGCCCTGTGCGCGGCACTTGACAGTCTCCTGCATGACCGCCGGATCGCGTACTGGCACTCGTGGGAGAAGGGAGACCTCGTTGTCTCTGATAACATCCTGACCATGCATACCAGAAGTGACTTCACTGCTGGATGTGATCGGGAGTTGTGGCGGATACATTTTGACTGAGGTTGAGGCTGCATTGACTGGAGAGGCATCACAAAAGGTCTGGGGGTTGCATTCAAGCGTATTTGAATTTTTGTATTTGTAGATAGCATTAGCAGGTGCTCTTAAATTGACTCGGCATCCCTCATTTTTGAGAACATCATGGTCTCCGCAGCGATATTGCGTCTGTCATTGATAAGAATTTTGTTCCCCGTACACTGCTTCACATTGTTGCAATGCAACGAAGTGTCAACATTGCTGAGCATAGATTACAAAGCTATCGAGATTTGTTACATTTACAGAACGCGCGGAACTATCTTCTCGGCGCCAATCACTTACACTCGCTTCAGAGACTCTTCATATCACTTTTGTCAAGGCCCGGAAAAACGTTTTGCCTGGGGCTATATGGAAAGATTGTGGCCGAGTCTCTTCATTGTAATTATTAAGAACTGTTAGCTTTAACTCGGGATGAGCGAACTCACACCGAGGACGGGCTGGTAGGCGGAGGAGCTCGCAGCACATCGAGAGCCACGCATTGATATCCTCGACTCAAGCGAGAGCAATATGTTTCCCCCACAGTTGGGTCAGAATAAGCATACAGATCTACGGCGCATCATGCCCCCGCTCATGCAGCTGTCATGTATTTTTCCGAAAGTATATTCGACCCGGAAGCCGATCTTGGTACACGTACAGATGAACTCTAAATTGTGGTGTTCGTCTCGCGTGCTTTGTATCAGAGAGGCCAGGGGTCGATTTAACATTTGACTTTTACCAAGAACGGCTTTAGCGTGCACGACAAGGGCAGCTGCTAGTCATGGCGGGGACGACGGGCGGAAGCAAAACACCGAGCCAGAGATATCGCACCTCGCCACTGTCTTTATCTCGGTATACCATCCCATCTAGCACTTCACGATGGCTCCCAAATCAATTCTCATCACTGGCTGCAGCAAAGGCGGTATCGGCGATGGGCTAGCACGTGAGTTCAAGTCCCGAGGCCTGCGAGTCTTCGCAGCGGGACGCGACTCAGCCAAGATGGCCCACCTGCACGACCTGGGCATCACGGTCCTCATCCTGGACGTCACTGACTCGGAATCGGTCGCTACAGCGGCCGAGACCGTGCGCCTGGCCACCGATGGTCGCGGGCTGGACATTCTCATCAACAACGCCGGTGTCGACCATGTGATGCCCTTTGCCGACTGCGCCATCGACGACATCCGGCGCGTCTTCGACACCAACGTCATCGGCGTCTTTGCCGTGACCCAGGCCTTCCTGCCGCAGCTCATCGAGACCAAGGGCACGGTCGCGAACATCGGGTCTGTCAATGAGATCTTCTTGCCGCCGTTCCAGGCAGCCTACAATGCCAGCAAAGCGGCCATCGCGGCCTTCGCCGACACCATCAGGACCGAGCTGTTGCCTTTTGGCGTGAAGGTCATCCACATCAAGACCGGCGCCGTGAAGACCAACCTCTTCAGGTCTGAACACCCAGGCGACAAGATGCCTTCGGGAAGTATCTACTCCCCCTGCAAAGATCAGTGTGAGAACCGTACGTTCTTAGAAGGGACTAAGTTTGCCACCCCGGAGGAGTTCGCGAAGGAGGTTGCGGACGACCTGCTGGGCAATCCGGGTGCAGTTCTGTGGAAGGGGCCGACTGCTGGCATAGGACGGCTGCTGAGCTACTTCGGCTGGCCTGGGATCATGGTAAGTGACATCGCCTACCTGCGGGTGCTTGCAAGATGCTGATTGTCTATGACAGAATTCCGTGTATTTGAAGAACTTTGGCCTGAACGCCCTCATGTCGCCGAAGTCGAAGTCGGTCTAGATTAGCTCTCGCCCTGGTGGCTTGAATGAGCTAAACACTCAAGACACATAAAACTAACCGTGTCCCACCCACGTTGGAAGACCAAAATACAAATCGCCCTCTTCAATTTCCCACTGTACTGATGACTCCATTTGTTCTATTCTTGATCGTGGCTCATCTACTTCAACCCATCGACGGCAGGTCTCTCTTCTTTATGCGCCATGCTCGCATTAGCTTTCACCTCCGCAACGATCTGTTCAAGTTTCTCTCCAAACACATCCAGCCCATGAGAAAGCCCCGACTAAAGGTCCGGACTCGGAGTTCTCCGCCGGTTCCGACGCTTAGATGGAGCTTCCTCGACTGAGCCTGAGGAGCGGTCTCTTTTCTTCAAATTTCGGCTGTTGCGTGTCTTCGAAGTCGCCTCGGCTGAGCTTGAAGAGCACCTTCTCCTCCGGCACGTTTGACGGCTGCTCCGTGCTTTCCGAGCGGTCTCGGGCGAGCCTGAGGGGTCTCCTTCCTCATGGCTCGAATCGCGGCTGTCGGTTTCCTTCGAGGCGGCGCGATCGTCGCTGAGAAATGCCTGCTGATACCGTTCCATCAGGATCTTGCCCATCCACCCGACCATTGCAGGCGGTACGGCATTGCCGATTTGCTTGTGTGCGGCCATCTTGCCGTGGTCGAGTTTGAAGCTGTCTGGGAATCCCTGGATCCTGTACAGCTCGCGTAGGTGTAATTTGCGAATCACTGAACCTTCGGCGGCGGTGCCTGGCGTGAGAATCCAGGCTTGCGAATCGTGCATACCTGTATTGACGGTAGGGTGGCACCCAAGGTCGTGATACACTGCGCAACCTGACCAGTTGGGGTTCCCCTTTTCCTCTCCAACTTTCATGAGTCTTGCAGTAGTCGCCATCGCCAGAGTCTTCCCGGCCTTGTCGACTGTATGATCCAACGCATACTCATTAAGCCACGGCATCTTCCATGCCATCTGAAAGTCCTTGACGTTGTATTTCTTTACAGAATCCAGTTCCACTGAATCCGCAGCGAGGAGTGAGTTTCGTAATGTGACCCCTTCTCCCTCAGGTATCTCAGGAAAACCAAAAGGAGTTTCATGCACGTCCTTCCGGATCGCAACGATGAAGCCGCGGTTGCGATTTTGCGGGAGACCGAACGCCCAGGCCTGCAAGACGTGATAGTTGCAGCTATAGCCAGCTTGATCAAACTTCTCTTTCAGACTTTCGTAGTAAGGTCGCCCACGAGCAAAGAATCCCGGCACATTTTCGAGAAGAACGACGACGGGACGTTTCAGCGCTGCCACCTTGACAACATATCCTCCCAGGTCGCCATATCTTGGATCCAACTCGCCTAGAAGTCGTCCTCGTGGAGTAAAAGGGTTGCATGGGAATCCTGCTGCAAGAACTGAAATGGTATTGTGAGCTACAAGGTCACTGTCGGGGTATTTTGGTTCAGAAATCACAGCAGCATTTAGCATTGCTCAGCCAAAGCATGTGCTACCAGATCAACTCATGTGACGATTCCTAGGCCAATTCATGACCAGAGAAGGTATCCAATGCGCGCATACAAGAACTGATTACTTACCATGGTGGTGTGGAATATTGTCTGGTCTCTCGGCGAAAATTTCCCGAATATCCGCGCACTCGACCGGATAGTTCGCACCAGCCGGTCGATTCTTTTTGTACACATCGACAGCCCTCTGATCGATATCGTTTGCATAGACACATTCGAAGCCAGCGTCTTCAAGGCCTATGCGGAAGCCGCCAATTCCGCAAAAGAGATCAACAAATGTGGGTACCATGATTCGCGGTGTCTTGCTTGTCTCGCCTTTTTTTTCTGCCCGTCTGGAAATCGTATGAGGTCCAGTGCTCGAGATGGGGACCGGAACGCAGTCCAATTACTTATACTCTTCGATTCGATCAAGACCTTTGAATTGGAGCATTTTCCTGTCATAGCTAAGCAGGCGTAAACAATCGCTTTGCCCAAAGTATTCTGCCTTGAACGTCAACCGGGTGGGATGGTGCTTCAAACAGTAAATTGCTCCCTTTGTCTTGACGTCGAAAACAAGCCTTTTAAACAATGCCTGATGTAGAGAAGTCGTCTCTTGAGAGAACAGTTCCATGGCACATGGTCTAAGGCTGCTGAGTTTTGGCTCAATTAGTCGATGATGTGAAGAATTATCACAAAGGCCAAAGTAAGACACCAGGATATACGTTCAAAGAAACAAACGAGCCCTTAGAGATGTAGGATTCGAATCTGTCTCATGACAATCTTCGGCAGAGTTCGAGTGCCTAAATTTGCAGTTGTCGAGATTACCGAGTGCCCGAGTAATCGATTTGAGGAGACGAAAGCAGGACGTGCGTCTAGGCATCAGAGATTCCCAAAGACTATTCAATCATGTATCAAAGGTTCTCTGAGGAAAGGTGCTCGCGAGAGATACGTCTTGCCTTCAAAATTTCACATTTGAATAAGCAGAGACACTATTCGTGTATTTCAGAGTAAGACCTCGCGGGCGACGCAGGCAATTTTCAAACGTGCGCAGTGCAGCAGAGAATGCAATCTATACACCCCCCCCCCCTAGTACCATAAAGTCCTCACGGATGTGGCTTTTATTGACGGAACCCAGCTGTCGTCTGCGTACATATCAGTGATAGGCAATTTCATTGTTCATCATACTCCTTTGGGTCATTGGAGATGTAAGATCATCTCCCTATCCTTACTTTACTTGATTCTGGTGCCGCATCCGGCGCCTGGGCCTTGGCGTCAGGAAGCTTTATGCTGAGCCCAATGACTTTACTTTCTTTTACGTGGCCTACCTGGCGAGGGGTTCACCATCTTGACAATCGTCAGACTAAACCAACTTATTTCTTCGAATTAGACATTCCTCGATGATTCAAAGCAACCCATGCACTCTCAGTTTCAGTTTGTTTGTGACTTCGTCTTTGTCCTGCTGCCACCTTATTATCGATGCATTTTTTTCCCCACCGAAGTCCAGAACCCATTCAGTCATGTTTCTTGGATAGGCGATGCCAAGGCCATTCTCCTCGCCCAGCCTCCAAGAGTTTCTCAGCCCAACATAAGGTATTGCGTCTTTCGGCAAAGTCCGAGCAGTCCATTGCGCCTGAATCTCCGCTTCGACACCGGAAGCTACGCAGGCATCACCTCGTTGTTTTTGTGGCGCGATTGATTTTAAATAGTTCCACGAATTCTGGATATCAGTGGGATTTGTTGTGAAAAACGTGTCTTTTGGACCCGTGAAGAAATGTCTGCTTTTTATTCAGCTGTGGCGTTCCGAACTGTGGCGTGTCCAAGTATGCTCAAGTGCTGACCTACGACATGAGCTGGAAAAGAGTTGACTCTGACGGAGGCTGTAATTCTCCTATAATAAGATACTATCTATTAGCCCTCGTATTGTATACCAATAGTGTCGGTTTCGTCAGGACATGGCTTGACATGTATATAGAGGCTGATAACAGGTGCCTCTGCATACAGAGAGTCCCTAAATCGTGGATTGAAAGTTCGAAGGGAACGATCGTGAAGGTGGAAAACTATAAGTAGGTAGGAGGTTCCCTACTTTCTCTCGGTTCATTTGTTTGTCGTGACTCAATCAACCAGCTCATAGAACCTCATACCTCTATTATCGTGGACCAGTCATACACCAGACATCTCCGAATCCTAAGCTCGCCATGTCTTTCGAATCCAGCCCAAGCTCCTTCTCAAAGGCTGTCGTGGAGACGACACTTCTCATCAATTCAAGCAATCCGTAAGTGGTCCAAGAGTCCACCTATGTTGACAATGAGGGGTGATCATGCATAGTAAATTGGAAGATTTTGACCATGTCCGCAACAGCACCATCGTGGGAACCTGGGATCTCAGTAGCCCCAGTACTAAAGAAGCCGCCTCGATTCGAGTTCGAACCGTCGATCGTAGATCGCTAGAGACTCTAGGCCCCGACGGAGATCACAGGACCAAGGTGCCTGATATTACTGGACCGAAGGAGTACCGAGGTATGCGCAATTTCTGCTATTCTGCATCTTTTATCTCCACTCAGGTTTTATCAATGCTCTAACGTCTCTCTCTGGCTCATGTAGCAATTTGCAAGCTGTTCATGTCCTACGTCGACGGTGGAAGCGATGAATTCATAGGCACTGGCTGGCTGATTGGAACGGACATTATTGCTACCGCCGGCCATTGCTTGTACGACTCGGCGTACAATGGTGGATATCTGCGCTATATCAAGTGCTATTTTGGGTACCAAGGCCCAGCTTCTGTTGGTAGCTGTGTCTACCGTTGGGGCATTGCGGCCGCTGCCCCAGCCGAGTACCTCAAATCGCCCTCTTCAGAGGTGCATGACGTTGGATTTGTGAGTGGTTACACTCATGTGTAGACATCACCAACCCCGGTGTGAGTGGTGGCATCGAGAGCTCGGCTAACACAATGTGACTCCTCCCAGATTCGGTTGAATGAGCCGGTCCAGGGCATCGAACCTTTGAATTACAATCCTACACCTGCTCTTGCCGAGTCGCGTCTCGGCGTCGTTGGATATCCAGGCGATGTTGACTTTGGACACACCATGTACGAGCATTGGGCCAACGTGCAAATTGACCTAGCCAAGACTGGGAACCTTCTCGCATACAAAGTTGATACAACTCCGGGTACGTCTACGACCTTAGCCAGAGACAATGGTGTTGACAATTCGATTGATTTCTGATTGAACTCTGCGGTCGCACAGGGAATTCAGGATCCCCGGTTCTTCGCAAGCTAGGAGGCGGTAAAGTGGATGCTGGTATATCTCCCCTCCCCCATCCCGGGAGCACTCTTCTACTTCTGCGCACTTACTGATAGTTTGTTGTCTATTAGTTGGCGTTCATGTCGCAGGAGGCTATCCCAATATCGGCTCAGTCATCGGGCCATTGGGAAACAGGTTTGAAGAATACATTCTGGCCTTGAATGTCAAGAAAGGATATCAAACAACATCAGCCAGTGTGGTGTCGACTGCGGGATCTACGGGCAAACCTGTTGCGCCGGGATTTCAATTAATCAGTATAAAACCATCCGCAACACCAGTCGAGTCCTATATAAATCCAGGCCACGGATCTAGCGCATCTCTCTCCCCTGAGAGCACGGCCGCTCTAAGCGAAAGCCAGCGAGCCATTGTTGAGCTTTTCGGACAGGTTAAGGAAAACAAAAAGACGAATGGTGTCCGTAAACGACCAACAGCCACGGGACAATTTTTGAAATTCCCAGAATCTCTCATTGTCCCTGGTCCCGAAGCGGACCTACCAGCGCCAGATTATGACAAGGCTATCGCAAATGCCAAGCAGCAGGACGACATTCAAACAATCTTCTTCGTCGACTTCCCCTTGGAGCTGGAGGGTCAGGCCTTGACCGATCTACAAAATCTCCAGAAGTCAGTACAGTCCTGGCAGGCTTGGTCCTCTACAATCTGCGAGGGAAAAGTCCAACAACAAATCGATGCCAAGGCTCTTCCTGGTGACAACAAGGGCCAGTTTGCTCGGAGCACGTATCGTGCTAAGGTATTTGATTATCTTTTCCGCAGGAGCACTTGGTAAGTTAGAAGTTCTTTGAATAAGGGGCTGAAAGGGATACTAAGATTGACTTTCCAGGTTCGCAAAGACTTTTGATCAGGCCATGAGCAAGCATATTGAGACCAAGACAGTCGAATTCCACTCCGAAATTCTTACCAAAGTTCTCGAAGGATTTTCTATTCCGACCTCAGTATATTCGACCTTGGAGCTGCTGTTAAATCAGATCAGCAACGGTATTAAGCTATCAAAATCCTCGGGAACTGAGGCTCAGCAGTACTGGATCATGTTGACCAAATATAATTACCAGAGCGTTACAAAGACAGTGCAGACGGGTGAGCACTCCTTTCCCGTTCAGTCTCCAGTATCTTATCTCAAACTTCGATCCACGCCTGTGAAAGTTTTACTAACATAAGCTCAACAACACCAGTTGTCCGTGTGATCCAGTTCCAAGTTAGTCAGGAGGCGCAGACCTACACGAGCAATAAGGCGTCTTATGAGTCTATCTCTTTCGACCTTCAGTTCTCTCAGTACCAAGCCGATTTCAACAACGACATCTATTCACAGATCAGGACCAAGATAGACCAAAAGCTGATCGACGATGGTCTTGCCCTTGTTCAAAACAAGACCATGGAGATTCCTGTCTGATTGGTGGTCTTTCTTGTAAGGATTGATTCTCTTGATGATCTCTCTGCTATCATACCAGGTAGAAGTAAGGGATCATACCAAGATTGTCGATTTCCTCGTTGCTTCTTGTTGAATGCTATGTGCCTGGTCTCTCTTTTTCAATGTTCTTGAAATCTTCCGTCGTTGCTTGGTAGTATAGATAACACGAGGAATGTGTATTTGGGGATTGCTTGCAGTTTGCGTGCAGATTTAATAAATATTGATTATTTCTCAGAGCACAATCCACAACTCTGCTCTCACCCCCTTCTCTAGAAAGTCAATTCTCAAACATCCAGGCGAAGTATTTAGATTGTGCTAAGTCCTGTTTGGTCTACAGTATGCAACAATCGGAAGAAATCATCTCGGCTATGTGTGCGCCACCCAGGATAAAGTGTAACCTTAAAGGAAAAAGAGTTAAAAAATTCAATTTCAAATCATTCTTTCTATCTAGCATCTCCAACTCCTCCAAAGACGATTCAAACAATTTTCAGCGTTGGATGCCATTTTTCGCATCGGACCCACGTGTTTTCAGTTGCGGGGCTTTAGAAATAGAGCACAGCTGATGAAGTAGCCACTGTCTGTGGAAAGCAAAATGCTTACCCCCCCCCCTTGTCGTTTGAGCTGTGCCGCAAAAACAGTGCAAATTTGCTAGCAACATCAGCAACACAACAATATCCCCCATGAACACACCATGCACACGTTCAATTAGAATGTAATTAATTGAAATTGATTCTACACTTTTAAAGCATTCTAAAGACATATATTAAGTAGGATCGATAATAATAAACAACAAAATTTTGATAAAAGAGTACAAATTCAAGTTAACAGTTATAAGATTAGTAGTTATTTATAAAATAGCAAAATCAGATACAGTGTTGCACCTGCCGGGTTCAACGGCATCATTTTTTAGGCTTAGCGCTGACGCTGGCGCCACCCGCCGCTTTGCTCATTGGCCTGTGCCAACGTCGCCCTGCAGCAATTGGAGCCTTGCTGCGGGCGGCCTCCGGCAGAAGCCAGTTGGCTCGCCTTGCGATTCGCCTTGCGATTCGCCCATTGTTGCGCATGATACTACGTACACTGCTACGGCGGCTATTACTGGTGATTACCTCGTTAACTGCATACTCGGAAACCACTGCGCCACCTCAAGTCTCCGAGCACGACAAACCTGACATGGACGTCAACAATATTGATCGAAACATTGGTTCACAGTAAAATACGGATGGTGTCCCAAACAGCAACGATGTCAACAGGGGACGCCTCACAGCAAGCATTCGAGACCGCTAAGAAGTCCTTTCGAAAGAGTCTCAAAGATGAGGCACTGTTCCGCGACATACTAGAAACAACCAGCATTGAAAAAGTCTGGGAGGTGGTCAAGGCCATCCAAGCAAAGCAGGATGCCGAGAAGCGTCTCCGGAACATGGCAAAGATCCGAGGCTTCCTGGACAAGTTGTCAGTGTACGCTGATACCGTTGACACGTTCATACAGGTCAAGCCAGATATCATGGCCTTGATTTGGGGACCCATCCGGCTGTTGCTGGTATGGACTGGCAATATCACAAAGTTTGCCGACGCCATTACCAAAGTCATGATGAAGGTCGGCGACGCCCTCCCGCAGTTTGCCGATGTCGTCAATATATTTGGCGATAACGAAAAGCTAAAGGCCGTCCTGGCCTTGTTTTACAAAGACATTCTCGACTTCTATGCCATCGCCTTGGAATTTTTCAACTTGTCAAGTGGGTTACCAAACTCGCCTCCTATTCCTGACTGACAAAATCTCGTTTATGTATCTCTAGGACCAAGGATCCTCTTTGAATCTGTGTGGCCAAGACAGCAGGACAAGATCGACGTCGTCATCAGTAATATAGAGCGGCATACCACTTTGCTGAGAAGTGAAGTCACAATGCGGCATATAAGAGAAGAACATGAACTTAGAGCCAAGTCGTTGACACATTTCGACCAAGAAACCGAATTCCAGGACCAGCAGCGCTTCCAGACCTTGAAAACTCGCATATCCCCTCGGACCTACGACGACCAGCTGGACTGGCTGCTCAACCGCTCATGCCAAGGTTCGGCAAAATGGCTGATCAAGGACAAGAGCTTCTTGGGTTGGCTTGAAACGTTCAACACTGCTGGTAAATGGCTGTGGATTCATGGGATTCCGGGGTCAGGGAAGACTTTTCTGTGTGCCACCGCGGTCACGGAAGCCAAGGCACGCCATCGAACTCTCTTCGCCTTCGCTAGCCACATTCATCAAAGCACCTTGACAGCGAGATATATTTTACAGTCTCTCGTTTTCCAACTAGCATTCGATTCGAAAGACGCTCAAATAGCTATCGTGAATTCCGACGAACGGAACTTGTCTGGGAGTACCACATTCGTCTCAGGCCTGCTCAAGACACTGCTGAAAAATATCGGGCCTACATATATCATTCTCGATGGCCTTGACGAGATGGATGTAGTCGAGAGGAGGATACTATTGCAGCAGCTAGACGAGTTGGATGACTGCACCGAGGTAAAGATACTTGTCAGCAGTAGGCCTGAGGACGACATCGCCAACACTCTGGCGGCCAAAGCCGTCGGCATTCGAGTGGATAAGGAGAATTCAGGCGCCATTCAAACATATGTTAACCAGAGGACTCAGAGCTGGCTGGACGGAGAGGGCTTCGATCAGGAGGCACGGCGGCAGATTAAGAGTCTTTTGCTTCCTGTCACCGGTAATGCAAATGGTGAGAAACTCAATCGAACAGAGCCCGATGACAACAACATGGTCAAATTGCTGACCCTGCGATCAAGGCATGTTTCTATACGCTCGAATTATCTTGGACAACGCCGAACTTCTCACCAGTCTCGAGGAAATTGAAGACGAGCTGAAAGCACTTCCCCTGGATCTGAATGACGCGTGAGTCGGACCACTTCATGCCGAACCGAGCCAGGTAGACTAATTGTTCAGGTATCATCGAATATTCGCTCGGATCAACGAGTCACATCCGATTTTACGAAGAAAGGCAAGAATGATTCTCGGCTGGCTTGGGTGTGCCCCCGTTCCCCTGACGCGACTGGAAATGGAACAGGCTCTGTTGGTCGACCCAGACTCTCAGGCAGCCCCTACAGTCATCACAAGTGTTAATTTCGTTCGTACTTGTGGGCCCATGGTGGAAATCGTCGATGAGCGCCCTCAGTTTGTCCACTTTACCGTTAAGGAGTAAGTCGGCTACCGAATGGTCAGCCATTCCAGGGCTTTATCGTCCGGATCACTGACAAATGGCCCAGATATATCTTCAGTCGGGACATTAGCAACTTCATCGATAAGGCTGAAGCTAATTACAGCCTCGCAAAGTCGACGCTTGCGTATTTGTGCTCCGGTATATATGACATAGATATCTCCGATGAACAGGTTCGAAACAACATCGTGGCTGGAAAGTATCGGCTGCACTGGTTTGTCACGAGCCAGTGGACTGCTCTCATCAGCCGTTGTTTTGTCGAGGCATCCAAAGACCTGTCCGCCTACCCAGACCTCTTGGAGTTGCTCACACGTTTGGCACTGGAGCTCAGGAACTATGGCTTCAAAGGACAGATTAATCGCAAAGAGGGCATTTTTCAGAGCCTCGAGTCGGACTGGCCCGAGATCTCCAACATCATTTGCGGGGTCCTGGCGTTTCGCCAGGATGATAGGCAAACGGATTGGAACTATACCAACGGTAGGTTCAGAGTGGCACCGAGCCCCCAGCCCACCACATCCCAGAACTGATCAATGCCTTTCCCACAAGGTTCCACATGGGTTGATTCTGATCCTTCGATACTGTCTCTCGTGTCGGCTCGCGTCTATGAACAGTTCGAGAAGCTGGTGTGCAGCGATAAAGAGCATAGCAAGACCGACTGCCACTGTGCGACACTGCAGAGGCACTACGGAGGCAACATCTTCAAGTGCACTTTCCCTAGCTGCGACCTGCATCGGCAGGGGTTCCCTTCGCGAAGAGCTCGGACGGCGCATATCGAGCACCATGCTCGTCCGTGGAAGTGTTCGGAGCCAGAATGCCCGTTTGCTATCATCGGCTTTGCAAAGAGTCGAGATCGAAACGAGCACTGGCGAAAAAGGCATCAAGTTACCTGGCAGAAGGGACGTACGGACCCGAACCAGGGAACCATCACCCGTGACGACCTTGCAGTGCTATTATTCGAGCTGACCAAAAACGGTGACGTTGATGGTCTGCAGAAGGCGTGGTGTCTGCTGGGTGGCAACTTCCACCTTGCAGAAGCCGCCCTGACCCTTGCCGCAAAGATGGGCTCTCTACTAATGGTGGAGACTTTCTCTGTGTTGATGAAGGATGCCCCTGTCATGCATAACTCGGATGGGATGCTCTTCGGCCGGGTGCTATTCAGAAACACGGTGCCATTCCAGACCGCCATCGTGAGGAGCGGGAATCCCGACCTCTTCCGTTGGTTGCTAGACGAGATTTGTGGCCTGAAGCGGGTTGAGTACGGCCGGTTAGCCGGCGAGGCTTTCTCAACCCACTCGCCCGACATGTATGCCGTGTGGGAGGAATTTCTGCTGGACCCGACGCGGCGCTTAGCAGGCGCGTGCGAGTACTACAGCGAGGGTGGAGAGGAAGTCAACCCGGACGGAGAGTTCCGCGAAGCCAAGAAGCTCCTCCTCCAGTACAACAAGCGTTCTGTTCTCTTCGACTCGCCCGCATTCGGCAGTGCTGCGAAGGACGCTTTCTGCGAGGCGAGGCTCTTTCAGACCTGGCAGCGCCTAATCGATGTCTTAGGGGGCGAGCCACTCAACCCGCGCTTCCTGGGCTGGTCGTTGACGCGTCTGGCAAAGATGGCGAAGCCGTCCATCTCGATTGCCAAGGAGCTGCTGCGACTAGGAGCACCCATCAACTTCCCGCGCGGGAAGGCAGGCGCCATACCCATCACTACTACTACCACCACCGCCACTGCCGACGCAGCGTTCAGAACGCAAAACGGCCGCGTTGCGCGGAAGACACGCCGCCAAACCCGGCACCGCGGCATGACGGCGCTGCACCACGCGGCGTACGGCACGTCCGAGGCGGCGGCACGCTTGACTCGCTTTCTGCTGGAGGAGGGGGCAGATCCGGAGTACGGGTTTGCGGGTTACCAGCCGAAGAATGAGCGGGGCGCGGTGCTAATGGAGAAATGGCTGGGAGAGTTATGGGAGGCGGTCGTGGCGAGAACTGGGGAGGCGAGGAGAGAAAGGAGAGAGAGGGACGGTGAGGACGACGAGTACAGCGAGAGTAGTGACGACGAGTGGAGGGAGGAGGGGGATGAGAGTGACAGGGGAAGGGGGAGAGCAAAACGGCGGAAGACTCGACGGGCGGGTAAGAAACGGAAGGTGGACAGCAGTGAAGACGGCGGTGATGATGACAGCCAAGTCGGCCGAGAAAGCGACCCGACGGCAAAACGGCGACGGAGCCAGCGGGTCACTGAGAAGCGAAACATGAAGGAGTCTTGTGACGACGAAGATGCCGAGATGAGTAATGATGGCGAATAGGAGAGCCTCTAACGACGGCCAACAGGCACTAGCTGACTCTTAATATTCTCAATGCATGTCAAGGAAATAGCTTCGAGATGCCAGAAGCGTGATAGCAAGGACTTGGTATATGCAAGGGGGGGGGGGGGGTAAAACGAAGCAACAGCATAGGTCATGGATGTCTTTCGTCATTGAACTAGGGTACTAGCATTGAATCTATCCGCAAAAACGTTCATCACATTTCTGATTTGTCTCGCTGCCCGGGCAGTGAGGAGTCATTTGGCCCGACATAGATGATCTTCGAGAATGTACTGGGCCACATCACACTACTTGAGAAACTCGAGGAGTTTCTAGTCGAAGATTTATCAGTCAGCCAGTGCTCTCAGCTCCGTACCTGAATGCGCCTTGCTTCTATGCTGCTCGGATTCCAGGAGGAAAAGATGGGAAGACTCACGTTCCATCGCTTCACGGCAAGGGCTTCTTCCGTTGTCTTCTCTCTAGCCTCTTCTGGCGCGGAGAGAGTTTCACTGATCAGTTTTATCTTGCTTTCCTGAACCCATTGAATGTACTATGTCGTTGAAATTAGCATGGGTGAATTGCTGCAGAACAGCCCACAGCTGTGATGCGCAACACAGAACATGCAAGCAACACACCACACCACACGGACCAGAAAGCAGAGACTCATAACTAACTTACCTCCTCAATACTATCATTTACGCAGTATCTTGTGATCGCCACCTCCTTGGTCTGGCCGATCCGATGCACCCGATCAACAGCCTGAGCTTCAGCCATGGGATTCCAGTGCGGCTCCATCAGGTGCACTTCAGACGCTATGCTGAGGTCAATACTGTATTTGTGGAGGCCAAAAAGTCAGCATCAAACGTTTCGAAGAGAGTCATGTGGGCTTGGTAGTAGGTCGCATATTTCAGGGACGTCACTCACCCTTCCCCCACGGCGCCAATGGTCGCCAGCATCACCACACAGCTGTGGTCCGAGTTGAACTTATCCATCACCTCACGTCGTTGCTGTAGCGAGGAACGGCCGTCGATACGAACGAGAGATAGGCCGCGGGAGGACAGATGTGGACTCAGTGCGGTCGATATCAGGTCGAGCATGCTGGTCCAGTGAGAGAAGATGACACTATAGAGGGGTTAGCCACAGGCTACAAACATCGAATTGTCACGCTGCCACAATGCCTCCAAGAAGACAGGAGACATACCTCTTGACCGGTCGATCCTCACTGTCGACGGAATGCCCGCCACGAAGCGTGGCTATAACATTGCGCAGCATGGCTGCAACCTTGGACGAAGGGCGGTACTCGGCGTCGAGGGCGCGCGAAGGCGACGACGACGGGACGCCATCCACACCAGCCAGGCCACAAGCCAGGCAAGCCGGCCGCGCATCGTCCTCTTCCAGGCCCACACACGCCTCGCACACGACATGCCGCCGGCACGCCAAGTCAACCACGTCGCGCTCCCGTTTCTCCATTTCCTCGCCGCCGACGGCGGTGCCGCAAACGCAGCAACTTGGCCCCGCGTCGGCCGCCGTCTCCAGCAGCGACCATCCAATACCTGCGGCGTCGTGATTGCGCCAGGAGTCAAGGGCCGCGCGCGGGAGGAGCGCCTCGCCATGGTCACAGATAATGCGAAGGACGAAGAGGAGGACCATGATGTTGGCGGTGGTCTTGCGAGGCGCGTTCCCGCCGGTGAGTTTCTTTCTGCGCCTTCGGGGCTTGACGGCGGGCGACGGCGATTCACCGGGCTTCGCCTCCACCGCAGGAGCCTCGCCAGCGAGCAGATAGGACCTGCGCTTGAAAAAGTTGTACAGCTCACGCTCGTCCTCGGCTAGCACCACGGCCTCGACGCGCTCCCTCTTGCGCGGCAGCTGCAGCGCCGACGCGAGCGCGGGGTATGCCTTGGTCCGGCGCAGGCAGGTGGCGCGTACAAGCTTGCGCAGCGTGTGCAGGTTGTGGGTGCGGCTGGACAGGACGGGCGTGGAGATCCAGAAGCGGAACTGGTCGTGCGTGGTGAAGGGCGGGACGCCGATGAAGGCCAGCAGCGAGCCGTAGTCACCCAGCGAATTTTGGATCGGCGTGCCGGTCAGACACCACCTGTTCTGGGCGCGGATCTCGCAGGCGGCTGCGAAGATTTTGGAGCTACTGTTGCGAATCTTGTGGGCTGCCGGAATAGGGGTTAGCGAAGTTGATGGTACCAATGATGGAAGGCGAGCCCTAGAGGGGGATGATCGGGAACCCACCTTCGTCTAGAATGACTCTTGCCCAAGGGCGAGCGTAAAGAGATCCATTTGCAGTCCAGTCTGAACGGAGAGTGTCATATGTGGTGAGCACTACGTCGAAGCTGTGTAGTTGCTCTGCGGCAAAGTGTCTCTTGGCACCGTGATAGACAAGTGTGTTTATGTCTCCTGGTTGAATATGTCTGTAAATACCTGCAATTAGGGCGCATCCTGACAGGAAGAAGAAGACGAGATGTTGATCTTTACCTCTCTATCTGCAGCTGCCACCCATATATCGCTTGGAAAGACGAACAAGTTAGCGCAAGCCTCCAATGCTAGGCGTGGGCTGGGCGGGATGTCCTGACGTACTTGACATCGGGCACACAATCAGTGTGGCTCTGGACATCTGAGACCGAGGGAGTCGAGCCGCTGCATCGATATGATGACAAATAAGCGCCAGTGAGGATAGAGTCTTTCCTAGACCCATTTCCTGTTCACTGAGGTCAGATAGATTGCTTGGACCAAGACATTGCTAATAGACGCACGTCAGCCAATATGCCTCCCCGCAAGCTGGGCAGGGGCATGGCTTGGGAAGCTTTTGTGACGACATGTCGGTACCTAAAGCGGCATCATCAGAACAGGACAGAGGCATGGCGGTGGTACGATCTGCTTACACTGTGCCTTCATCTTCAACGGAGCGCTCCCATAGCAAAGGAAATTTCGCTCTGCAATCTCTTGGCTGCTGCTCCTTTTCAAGCATCATGGCAAGTGCCTCAAGTTGGTGGCTGCGGCGCGGGTCTGTCAGATTTAGTCGCGGGGAGACAATGGATCCTACTACACACCTTTTCAGCTTAGAGATGATTCGCGGGCTCTGCTTCACCTCTGATGCCACACCAGCATCCAGTCCGCTTGCCTCATCGAATATTCTCAGGACCCGACACCTGTCCACTTCCTCGAGCATTTCCTCGTCGACAGAAGCAGTAGCCTGGCCCCTTCCAGAGGACGTTGAAGTTATCCCCGTCCGTGGCATGTCCTCGCCGGGTGGAAGGAGATACATGGGGTTGAAATACTTCACCCGTCTATCGTACTCGGACTCCTCCGGACGTTGGAGAAAGAGGCCACCCTCATCAAGAACTTCTGCGACAGCATTCCTCTCCGTAAGTCTACCGTACACAATGACTCGAAGTGGCCGAAGCCGAACGTCCGACATCAATGGGGAAGAGCCTCGTCCCGCTACGGGCCCTATTGACGCGACCAAAGTCACCGAATGCTCGCTGGCGAGTTGCGCCAGAGCGTGTGATATCACGAGCCCTGCGTGACTCCCACTCTCTTCGTAATGGAGTATCAGCCAATTACCGAGGAAGGTGATTTTCACTGGGGCGTTTTTTTCCGGGACAGGATCCCATGGCTTGTGCTGGCAACTGGCCTCCATCAAAAGCTGGATCCATGAATCAGCGGGTGTACCGCTCAAGCACAGGCTGAGAAAAACCACATACCTTCCCAAAGCATACATCATACGGCAGGCCGGTAAAAGGTTCGGTGGGACCAACTAGGTCACATTAGCTAGATAGTCTCCGAGAGGCTGAATGTAGCATGGTAAACAGTCTCACCTTCGACATCTTCATGGCAACCGTCCGGGTCATTCACATCTCCTGTGATGTCTTTTCGTTCCGCTATGTCTGCCATGTCTTGTTTTGGAGGTCCTAGAAGTGAGCCATCAGCACCAAAAGCTTTATTAATCTTGTAGACATGGCTGACTGAAATCCCCTTTTTCCTGCGAAGCGCCATCTTCCGGTCGAGGTGCCAATGGTTGTTCCCGGCTGCGCGGCGTTGAGATCAGCTCGACATCGTCGGCGGGCTGTGGTTCTACGGTTTTCGAACGCTTAGATAGCGTGATCTTGCCATCGCTGCGAACACGCCGCTTCCTAGTAGAAGGCATCTCGGGTTCACACGATGTTTGACTGAGGCACTTTGCAAATTGTTGTAAATTCAATCGCCGGTATGAACATTCTTAACTACGACAGAGTGCCTGTGTGCTAGGCAACAGTATTTTTTTGTCGAGATGGCGGGGCAATTCCCCGTTTGCTGCATAACGCGTCTAAGTGCCTTGAAACAGCAGCCAGCTGCGCCTCTTCCCGGCCTTAGCATGCGGTCAACGTTAGCCACCATGAGATCTTTCTCTGGAACAGGCCGAAGCTATTTCCGGCGACGTGTAGAGCGCGTCGGGCCTACCACCGCAAGCGAGCGCGGTGTCGAGACCGCTTAAAATGGCGGCACGCGCCAGCCAAATTCGGCGGCCAGAGCACTATAACCCAGGTTTTACAAGTAAAAGTAATTATTAAATATTAATATAAAAAGTAATTTTAATAATAGAAAGTATTATAACAACTTTTATTTAAATTTAATAAGTAAGCTTTAAAGAAATATAGCCCTAAATTGCTTTTTATAATTAAATAAGTTATATATATATAAATTAATGCTGATATCCTCAAATGCGTATTGTATTTAAATACGTAAACCAGCTGACACAAGCTTGACTACTGCTGCAAATCAACTCTATGTGCCGGCCAAAAGACTATAACAACCAATCGCCAGATTGGCTATTCAGCAGTATATAAGAGCCGTACCGTCACACCAGCCAACGCTGTCTTCAATTGTTTTATTGCGCCTTACCGTCTTTAGACAGGCTCTGGGCTGGGTGACCTACTGGCTCCGTGCGCAAAAGTTGTTAGCGCAAGTCGGTCACGGCGTACATGAAGGAAAAATCGCACGGAATTGAAGCGTATGCAATGTTTTTCGCGAAGCAATTGACCGTCTAGAATGAGCGCCCGGTTGGTAATTCGGTCCTACCGGCCGTCTGAGGTCTTTCATCCCTAAGACCTGAGGAATCATTCATCGCTATATAGACACTGCTAGAGAACAGACTTGGCTGTGGTCGGGTAATTTCTAATGAAAAGATCGGATGCGGCCGCACAGCTAGCTGATTCCCTCCCCTTTAAGCTTGTCCTTGCGCAGTCCTTGGGAAAGGGCCAGAGGTGGCTTGATATCTAGGTAGTGGCGGTAGAGAACCAGTCTAAGGACGTTTCAAGCACCATCCTCGCGCGAGGCCGTCCCATCCGAGCATAGAGAAGCACGAGCCATGGCGAGCTAGCTAGCTCGACAACATGGGCAGAATGACCCTGAGCTCGGACGCCACTAGCTCTAAGATACGAGTGTACCACCCCGATTTGGTCGATTCGGCTTCTCCTACGGCGCTTGCTTGTGCTATAGTGGCTTAAAAATCTCCTAGCTAATGCAGGAACATAGATAGTTCACCTCTTTGGCCCGAGCATTCGGGACCTAACTCGGTCCTCACCCCTGACCAGGCACAACTGAGCCTAGCTGCACTCCGCCCACCTTCCGCCTACCAGTCAGTATGTGAGCAAGAGTTCGGACCATTCCGACAAGCTGGTTATAATAACCTGGCTGGTGCCGATCTCTTGATGTCGTGCCAGGAAGTTGTCCTGTACTCGTCGTCACGGCTTGCAATTACACTCGTTGTTTACTCTGCATCGGTCTTTTTTCAGTCTCCACTCGTTTGAGCACCCAGTCTCTCTTTAGATCCACACAGTCAGCCAGCCGGCCATCATACACAAGTCTACAATCTTTTCACAATCGACACACTCTTTCCAGCAACCATGCATACCAAGGCCTCCCTGGCAATCGCTGCCTCTATCATGGCAGGGCTGGCCAACTCGGCCGCCATTGAGTTGGACCAACGAGCAGTGACCTGCTCGACCGACGTGCTCTCCCGCCTGATGGCAGCTCTTCCGGCCTACGCAGCCCCATTCTGCAAGGCTGCCGTTAATATCCCACCAAAGACGCCAACCGCTACCATTACGGTTGCGCCCACTGTGTAAGTACTCTGCCTCTCCGCTAATGTCAGGGCCAATCTAACCAATTTTCTTGCAGCACCGTAGGAGCCACCGCCTACTCGACTGTATACGTCACGGACAAGACGCAGACCACTACCATTGTCGTGAACGGCAAGCGTGACATCCACTACCGCAGCGAACACGTTCACGAGCTTGACGAGCGAGCCATGCTCAAGGACCGGGCCCTGCTCGACTTCGCGGCCTTTGCCTCCGCGGCACATGTCGCCCTGGGCGTCCCTGCCGTGTCCGCTGCATGCTCGTGCTTCTCGTCGGCGTGGACAGCGCCGACAGTCACCACCACCGTTGCCGGCAAGACAGCGGTGACAATCTCTACCGCCAAGACGACCCTGCCTACGACCGTGACGGTCAAGGGCGTCACAGTCACATCCACCAGCAAGGGTTTCGTGGCGACCTCGACCTCGTCCACCACGAGCAAGCCTTCGACGACGACGACGAGCACCACCCCCAAGCTGTCATCCACGACCCCGGCCTCGTCGTCCATCATCACCTCGGTGCTGAGCGTCAGCTCCTCCTTTGTGCCTGTTAGCACCATCACCAACAGCGCGGAGCTGTCGAGCATCAACTCCATCGTCTCGTCCATCCTGTCCAATACCGCATCTTCGACACCTTCTTCTGCCGTTCCATCGGTTGCCGTGTCTAGCTCGGATGTCTCGAGCTCGTCGACTGCAGCTGCCAGCTCATCTACTGCTGTGAGCTCCGCAGCGTCAAGCTCGTCCTTGGCATCGAGTGCCGATTCCTCGCTGTCGTCCTCGGTAGTGAGCACCACGGCATCCGCCTCGTCGTCCTCCAGCGACGCCAGCTCCCTGGCCTCGTCCACCGCGCCCAGCGTGGTGTCATCCACTGCTTCCAGCCTTTCATCTACAGTTCCCGACCTTTCCTCCACCACCCTCAGTCAATCTTCCACTACCCCAAGCGTGGTATCCGACAAACTCTCAACCTCGAGCACCCTGCCCTCCAGCGACATCTCCTCCAGCCAGTCCACAATCACCTTCTCCCCAACATCCACCGACCTCCCAAGCAGCACCCTCTCCACCTCATCAGTGACCCCCTCCTCGACCTCCTCGGGCCACGTCTGCGGCGTAGACCTGCAAGCCTACAACTACGCCACGCCCGCCAACGCCGACACGTACAACGGGTGCAACCCGGACTCGGCGACCCACTTCAGCGCGTGCCACTCGGATGTCAACGGCACGGCTGTGTGCAGCTCGTGCGGCAAGTGCGGGACCAGCACCGCCATGTGCAAGTCCGACGCCGAGTGCGGCGCCGGCGAGGCGTGTCTCACCGGGACGGCGTGCAACGGCGGCGCGGCGGCTTGTTTGCCCATCAATGATAACTGCTATGGGACGAGTCAGTAAGGTACTTGATGGGTGATCCTCAAAGATGCCGCGGAAAAGAATGGGAACAAATGGATGGCGGATGTGTTGGACGAGGGGGAGAGGGCTATATGGTGTCATTCAAAGCGTTCCTGTAAATAGTTCTAATGTATAATCAGACCTTCTGAAAACCATCAAAGGCTTTCTTTCTCTTTCATGCAGCCGTGTCGATGCGCCAGCCTTCTTCGTCTCCGTCTTTCCGTCTAGTCTATCTGCGACTCTGAGTCCCGGCCCCAACCAAAGGGCCACATTAACTTGTAAAACACCCATACGAATGTTCCCAAAATCCGATACATCACAGCCAAGTAAAGCAGGACGACGTTATGCACGAAATACCCCGATGCGTTCCACACATCCCGGCCCGCACCCCGAGGGTCCGTTCGGGCCTTCTGGGTCACAGCCAAGGCCCAGTTGAAGTCAGCAATGGCATCGTTGACGCCCGCCTGGATGAGCGAAGCCTTGCGAGGCGGCTGCTTGACCTCGGGCCAGGCGCCGGGGAAGTCGGCCGGGCCCTTGTGCTTGCCCTCGAAGTCACGGAGGGTCAGGTTGTGGTCCTCGTGCTGGCGCTCGCGCACGCTCTCTTTGGTGAGCTTGCTGCGGATGCGGGCCTTCTCCTCCGGTGGTGTGGAGTCCCACCAGGCCTTGACTGTGTCGAACATGTATTGTTGGATTGGAGTCTTGTTGTCGGGAAAGGACGGGTGGTGCAGCACGGAAAGGATTTTGTCCACAACGAGCTCTGCGTCAATGTCTGCGTCATCCCAGCACTTGACGATCTGCTGTGTGCTCCAGTTGGTCGTTACCGTTGCGACGAGCCCAGCGGGCTGATTGAGCACATTGCCAAAGTGGTCCTTGGAGAGGTCTGAATGGCTGGGATCGGACGCCGAGCTGCCTTCCGCGAAGACTTTTGCGGAGTCGCACTTGGCCGCCTCCTCGTCCACTCGGTCCCTTGCTGCCTTGACGGCATTGCGCAGTTCCATGACCGAAGACTCGATCATAACCGCTAGATACCTGAAAACAAGCTGGTTTGTGTACTCGCCCAGCTGGCCATGCGAGTAGTCTTGTGTTGACTCCTCCTCATCTTCTTGGCCGGCCTGTAGATACTTCGAAACAGCGTCGTGTAGATAAAGCACGGGCTCAATGGTCTTCCATAACACGTTAGCATCTGGCAAGACTTCGGGTGCTGGAATTTCTTCTTCATCAGGCACATATTTCTTGAAGATATCCTGAACGGTCTGAAGCTGTCTCATCAGTGGGTCAATGTCTGGTTGAATTTTGCTCAGCCGTCCGATGCCGGTCTTGATGAGCTGGAAGAGATGCTCAAACGCCATGCCACCGCGATTTAGTTTCTTGTCCGAGTTAGCATTGAACCAGAAATTGTTTGTGATGAATGATTTGGGTACCTACGCTAGCAAGCTCGCCTAGCGAGCCCTTGGACTGTAGAACCGCCTTATCATCGGCTTCACCCAGCAATGAGTGGAAGATGTCCAGCATGCCGAACGTGCCTGTGGTAAGAGGTGCAACCTCCTTTCCAGCTCTAGCGCCATCGGGGACCGTGACGCGGCATGCGTCGCCGACAAAGGGAAATATCTTGTCTTCGCCAAGCTCATGCAGACACAGCTCAATGAAATTGCTGTGCGCAGAGAAGTCCTCCAGGGTGTGCAAGGCAGCACCGAGTCGACGAAATGCATCCTTCCTCGCGTCTGTCTCATGCTGAGCCCGTCCCTTCCGGCCAAGCTCGATGCACCCTAACAGTTGCTCACGAAGGTAGTCAGCCGACGTGACCCATCCTTTACCAGAGTTGGCGATGTAGTTCTTCATGCCTGTCTCGGGGTCGATGGCCAGCTCTTTCGGATCTACCGGGCCGCGCAGGCGCGCATCGATTTTCTTGGCATCGTCTGGGTAGCCACACGGATTGTCAATGTGCTCGACATGAGTGTAGCAGCCCAAGCGCTCTCGCGTGACGTCGAACTCATCAGTCGCAAACCCAAACTCCATGAAGGCCATGACGGAGACGATGGCGCGCAAGATGGGCTCGGGAACGTTCTCGAGACATGTCGTGTCGATGACCTGAGAGAAGTCGCGCAGCCAGTTGCCAAAGTAGATCTGTTTGCGCTGCAACTTTGTGAACCTGTAGCCGGTGATGAAACTGGTCGGCAGGAACTTCAGCACCTCGGCCAGGTCGCCATGTCTCCAGACATAGCCCTTGAACTCGCTGGCTGGAGGCACCTCACCGGCGCCAAATGCTGCAACTGGGCTGGCGAAGACCAGGCATATGAGGAGGAGTATGAGTAATGAACTTGTAGAGGGCATCGCGCTTTTCGTGCTATCGGCCAAGATCCATGCTTGTGAATAGTTTGTTGTTGATTTTGTTGGTGTTTGTGTATCGAGATGCGACAGTCACACAGCGTATGAGTGAGAATTGTGCTTGGCCTAGTCCAACTGACTGACAGTCTGGTGACGTCTGACCTCGGCCTGGCCCCCTGTCTTGCAGGGTTGGGCATTCGTCGGGCGGAAACTTGCGAGGACACCGACTGCCCGGAGCTTTATCTCCTATCGGGTGGTGGCGTCGTGGCGCTATGTGGCGCAGTCACTTCTCCCGACTTCATGCCGTCAAATCTTGCAACGCTGCCTCAATGTACCTCTTTTACCATCATTTTGATTACCATTTAGTACTCTACATCTTATTCCAACAGTCAATTCCTGCCACTCCCCACTCCAATGAAGTTCAGAGAATTCCCAACCCTGTTCCTTACACAATTTCAGTCAAACCACCTCCAGTGAGAGTCTGTCCTGAGTTGCCCTGCCGTAGGATAACCCTCCATCGGATAACCTTCCGTCTTCTGTGGGATAACCTTCCGTAGGATAATCTCTTGTGGGATAATCTTCTGTGGCATGAGCTTCTACAAGGCAGCCTCTCGTGAGATTACCTTACATGACAAGACATCCGAATGATGCCCACTTCGCCCTTCACCACCCAGTGGACTTCCGTGGAATCGGCATAACCACAGAGAAACCGCTGACCCCGTCGTTGATGAATACTAGTTTCTCGCCCGTTTCCATGGTAGAAGCAGTCTCCTTCCGAATGTTGGGAGCAGCCCAAATGGCGCTGATGGTGACAACCTCCTGTCCAGGGCCGCTGGTGATCGTTATGGTCGCGGGGTCAAGTGTCCAGGCAGTCGGCATCTGAGGGATGTATTGTTTTGGAGGTGGCTCTGAGGAGGCAGTCCTCTCAGTAGTGTCGGTCTTAGTCTCTCTTACTGGGGACGCTTTCGCCTTCTTGGTGGGCTTTTCTTCGCTGTTATTCTGCTCCTCTCCTTCTGCTCCTCGCTTTCCTGCCCCGGAGGCGGCTAGCTTCTTGTGAAAATCTGATTCCACCTGGGGCGCGGGCATTGGCTTCCTTGAAGCTGTGGTTGATTCAGTGTTGGTGATTACTGGCTTCAATGGCAATGGGAGGTCTGGCAACGGTAATTGAGGGTGTGTCTCGGCAGTAGTCGTGGGTTGAGTGCTGGCATTCGCGGCTCGCTTGGCCCTCTTCTCCCTCCGTCTCACTCTCTTCATTTTCTTTCCTGTTTTGTCCTTCGATCCCGCTCTGGGCATCCTGTGGATTGCAGTGACGCGAGTGAATCTGACGGCTCCCGACAGCATCGGCACCAGCTCCTTCATGATGACTGATTTGGTAGCCTTGGACCAGGAGATCCGTGTGATGTTGCAGGATCCTAGGCCACTTCTCATCGCTTCACCTGCCAGCTCGTCGGCCGTCGTGAGTTGTGGCACCATGTTTCGCGGGCACCAACGAAGCTCCACGGTCACCTCGAGCCCATGATTTTGCAGCGCAAGAAACAGATCTCTTATTTGTTTGATCAATTGTAGAGGCAATGTCTTCCTTGATCGCTCTGCCGCCGGTGCTGTTCTGACAATGTGTTCGATAATCGGCTGGCAGTCCGTCGTTAGGTTCACGTTGATAGGGCTCGCATACGTCTTTAGGACAGGAAGATGTCGCTTGAGCTCTTCATTCGCTGCGTGAAGGGCCTCCAAGACTCCCACGCCCTCCATCACCAGTATCCCAACCGCATGGCCAAACGGCCAGGCTTGCTCCACGAAGTCCCCGCACGGATCTGCGGCCGCGGACTCGGCAGCCCACTCTCGTGGCAGCCATTGCCACCTGTACACCAATCCAACGCCGCCTCGGTTATCCCTGCTGTGGCTGCCGTCGGTGAAGGCGCAGATTTGGATGTTGTCGGGGGTAGAAATGTGAGACGCAGCGTCTTCCGCCGCCTTGATCGCTTGACTGCGGTTGTGGACGATGATCGCCCTCCCCACAGTGCGGCCCTCGACAATGATTGGATGATTTTCGACCTTATCCATCTTGATTTTACATTTGTACCGCCCGCTGCGTCAATCGTGGTGGCAATTCATGTGTTTGTAGTGAATGAGGTCAAGTTGGGAATTGATCGGCTGCAACTGGAGTGTGTTGTTGTCTTGCGGTCTGGGCTGAGATTCGAGGCAGTAGGCAGGCGGGGTAAAGTGAGGCAGAATAAGGACACAGCTTGGGAACATTGGCTAAGGAAAGGAGTGAGCTGGGCCCCATGTGCTCGAAGTTGATTTATTTGGCGTTTGGGAGGAGGAGGGCGGGGTGGGCCTTCGAGGGCACTGGGGCCCTCTGTCAGGCAAGATTGGCCTTTGGGGCCTTTGCAGTGGCCAGGCCTAGAGCTCTCGGCGCCTCTTTATAAAGGTCGGAATCCAGCTGTGTTCGAGGTGCTTGTGGTGTAAGTAAACACGGCTGCGTACCGCGAGCGTGAACCGCGGGTGAAGAAAGATCTCCGTAGTCACGTCAGAAACGGGCTCGCAGACACTCCGAGTTCGAGTGACACCCTCTGATCCCTCCTCGGCCTGTGCCCGCATTTTTTGCATAATTTATCGATTGATTTGGTCGTTTTCGCTTTGTACTGAAGTCTCTGAGTGACACATCACGAATTTTCCCACCCTATGTTAATTTTCCCTCATTTACAAACGGGCTCTGTAATCAATATGTGAGCAACGATGCTCATGGCAATTGATGCGGCCCTTGCCTTCACTTGACCATCACCATGGCTTGCGTGGAACCGGGACTTCAGAGTTGCAGTTCTAGCTGTGCTTGCTATTTGAGATAATTCTTGTTGGGCGAGAACGTTGAACATAATCTCGTCATTGGAATCCATAGCTGTGATGATGATAATTTGTGTGCTAGTACTTTCGCTTTGTGTTTTCTATGGATCCATCAGGCATTGCATTCTTGAGACTCTGTGATCTTATCAAAGATGCGTGGAAAGCGTTGGCAGTAAGATAAGGAGGGGTCCATTTTCAGAGTGAATCCAAAGCCAGGTCCTACAGCGTTTGCAATGAATGAGTCCACCTGCGGAACCTCGCACTGGTCTAATAGATATCGAAAATCAGCCCGTTTCCAAGCGCTTGTGGTGTAAGTAAACACAGCTGCGTGCCGCATGCGTGTACACGGGTGAGTCGCGATCTCTGTGTGTACGTATGATACGGACTACTGCAGACACTCCGAGTTCAACTCGGCTTGCGCTTTTATTTCTTTTTTGCTTTTTCTTTTTTTCCCTTCTGCCTTCTTTCCCATTTGCTGCTGTCTTTGGTCCCACCTGTGCATATCAGTGACCTTCTAGGTGTTTACTTATTTATGCCGGGGATGCTGCAAACGTTTAGTCGCCTCCCTCGACGAAAGTCTTGCTCATGACGCTTGCCAACCATCGCTCTGCTAAAATTGGAAGACGACTAATTAAATCGATAGGCGATGGCTCCCTTACTTCCAAGTCGTGATTGAGTAGACATTTTTGAGGCCAACATTGGTTCTATCTGTACGCATCATGAACTATGGAGATGCAAAGTTCGGCTTGCTCTTTGATCTTCTGCAACGGCTGTCCCGACAACTGAACCCGAACGAACCGCACAAAGGAATTAAGTTCACAACACCACATAAGCCTTAGACTCGGATTATCTGTATTGAGATCGGGGTCCTTGATATTTACGAAAAGAAGGTCTTCCTTTGCATTTTCTCGCGGACCGAGATCTGATGAGCAATTTGGTCTGGCGTCCGAGATATGTTTTTCGATCTAGGGGCAGGGCATCAAGTCAACAACCTGAATTTCTGCCAAGTTTGGAACATGCCCTCAAGGTATCTTGGAAATTATGAAGTGGACATTTATGCCGTGAATAGTTTGGATGCTCAGACGTCATGCATCCGGCCCCGAACGGTAGCACTTGTAGGTGTTCCAGGCAGAGGCTCATGGGACAGTCCGACACTATACTATGAACTGTGGTCTATGAAATGTCCTGAACCTCCTAGGATATGGCTCTCGGAGCGTTGTGGGAAACGATGATCTACTTCAGCCTTCAGCCAAATATCAGCACTTCATTTTTCTGCGAAGCTAGAGATACGGGTTGGAATACAAATAGCCACAGTCATTGTAGGCCAGTGTGGTCTCTCTCGGTCAACACCAGCATCTGAGCCCTGAAATGAATGAGCAAGCATTTTGAATGTCCGTCAATTTCTTGGTCAAAGGTCCTTCAATTTAGTCAGTTCATTGGTATCATTTGTTGGCATGTGTCATCCGATCTTGACATGTACATACCGACTGCCTAGGGACTGACCATACCTTGACCTATCGCTCATTATACTAGTGATAGAAATGACTCTAACGGGTCGAAACCTGTATGTTCATTTATAAAATGCCATCATCCAGCCTGGATTCCCTTGTGTACGTAATTACTCGCGTATTTCTTGGTACACAACCCATAAGTATGTCGATGAGAAAGACAAGCACAAAGCAGCCGGTATTATTTGTCGATTCCAACGACAAAATTAAAAGCCATGCTTGGAGGTAGTGGACAAGTGCACGCATGTAGATTTCTAGCTCACCTCTTCGAAGTATCAATGGTGGTCTGGAGCACAGTCATCTGCTTCAATTTGCCAAGCCGCCTACTCGAGTCGTTGGATAAGTTGGAGTTGCTACTATACTCTTTGAGTCGTCATGGAGAGTCTGAAGTGGACTTGTCCCATTTTCTACCGAGCCTCAAATTTCCAAGCAACCTATGATCCCTGCAGCGCTCAGTGTAAAATGACTCAGCCCTATCCGGATGTGTGTTTGCGGGACCCAGACTTGATCCCCTGAAGCGATCTGTGATGCTTAAAATAAATCAATAGCAATCATGGCACTAGGTCAATCCTTGGCTAAGGAACCTTATTCTTGGCGGAGGAAATGGAAAACACTCATGCAGCTAACCCACAAAAGATCCGCAAACACAGCTTTTATGGACGCGTACACACAGCATCGATTGTCGATGATAATGATCTTCAACGATCCACTGTCATCGTCAATGCGTCTTCGCGTATCTCGTCGATTTTCATGTACTCAACTCTGCAGTTTTTGCCCACGATAATGACAAGAATAGAACACCGACGACAAGCGCACTCATGCATTGCTCTCGGCCGTGTCGGGTGGCACGAGTCCGGCTCACGGCAGCCATGTCGTATCTGGGAGAGTGGTCCAGTTCATCCCATCTCGACTCAAGCCGTACCCACAACTCACCCGGGCCCGCTCGCAGTTTCCGTATCCTGTCTTGGCTTTGGACAAAGGATAAAATCAAAAAGCTCCATCGGCATATATCGCGCATGCTTGCTCTCGTCGACATGCCACAGGCTTATTTCATCGCCAGGCTGGGAATTGTTTGGGTTGGGTGTCACTCTTTTCTAGCATCGCTAGCAGTCTCTCCCCATTCAGCTTCTTCTACACTCTCTTTATGAATTCGTAATACCTTCATGCAAGACTTTCAACCATTATTGTCTCTATAATTCTCAACCCTCGACGCCGCTCGCTAGTATCCTCATCTCTCGGCCAGAGCTCATTGTGCCAATTACCATACATTCAAGCCGAGAACCCTAGACCTGCACAAATAATAAAAGCATCAAGCAAGCATGGCACGCCTCACTGTCGCCGTGGCATTAGCCATAACATCTCGATTCGGTCTTTCCTTTGCCGCAAACGAGGCTGCTCTCCAGGCTTGCCCTACTGATGAGACTGCCTTCAATACCACAACAGGTATCAACTACAATATCTGCCCCGGCACAGACCTGGTAGGCAAATCAGAACGGGAAATAAAACAGATCAACACAGTCGAAACATGTGCCTCGTTATGCGAAGAAGACGGCCTGTGCTTGAAGGCTGTCTATGACACGACCGGGCATGTCTGCCATATCAAGTCGACGGAGGACGACCTGACCTGGTCCGAGAATACGAGATTTGACACAGTTTATATCAGCAATAAACTTTCCGAAACAACAGACATTGCGAATTGTCCCTACACAGAAACGTCCTACCAGGCGGAGTCGGGAGATGGGTTCTCGCTCTGCCTCGGCACCGACCTTCGCGGCAATGACTTGCAAACCATCGACAATATCAACAACGCCACCGACTGCGCAAAGCAGTGTTCAGGTATTGAAGCTTGTGCCAAAGCCGTCTACGACACCGCAGATTTGGTCTGCCATATTAAAGGCGCCGATGACGAGAACCAAAACACATTGATTTGGTACACCAACAAGAGATACAACGTCATTCAACGCAAGACTGTCTATAACCCAGCTATCAAGGGCAAGTGGTCGGATCTCATCCGACTTCCAGTCATTCCAGTTGCCGCTTATATAGTGCCTGCATTTCCAGCCCCCGAGCGTATGCTGTTCTTCTCGTCGTTCAAGGCTTTTGACTTCAGTGGGGCAACAGGGAAGACACAATTTGGTGACCTGAACCTCGGATCCGGAGAGGTCTCCCAGCGTGAAGTCGCCAACACACACCACGATATGTTCTGTCCTGCTATGTCCTCGCTGGAAGATGGTCGAATGGTTATCAGCGGTGGTTCCGATGCTGAGGCTGTGAGCATCTACAACCCAGAGACCAACGAATTCACCCGTGCGCCAAACATGAGCATCGCGCGTGGCTACCAGTCTTCGTGCACGCTCTCCGACGGTCGTATCTTCACGATTGGTGGGTCATACTCCGGCGACAGGGGCGGTAAGAACGGTGAGGTCTACGACGCAGACACCAACGAGTGGACTTACCTGCCTGACGCCGCAGTCGAGGACATGCTCACGGCCGACGAGGGTGGAATCTGGCGACAAGACAACCACGGATGGCTGCTTGGCTGGAAGAATGGATCCGTTTTCCAAGCTGGTCCCTCCAAAGCGCAACACTGGTACGGCACCGACGGAAAAGGCTCAGTACTTGAGGCCGGTACCCGCGATGATGACGACGCAATGTGCGGTGTCTGGGCCATGTACGATGCCGTTGCCGGAAAGATCTTCTCTGCTGTCGGGAGTCCGGACTACACCGACAGTGACGCCAACAACCGCGCTCATATCACCACCATTGGAGAACCGTGGGAGCCTTCTCAGGTAGAGAGGATGCCTGATCCCGCTTACCCACGTGGATTCGCGAATGCCGCCGTGCTGCCTGATGGAACTATCCTCGTAACAGGCGGGCAGAAGAGGTCTCTTGTTTTCACGGACACGAATGGCATCATGTACCCTGAGCTGTTCGACCCTGTTAAGCAGACATGGACGCAGATGGTCCCAGAAGCCGTGCCGCGCAACTACCACTCCATCTCCATCCTACTCCCTGACGCCACCGTCTTCAGTGGAGGCGGCGGTCTCTGTTGGGTTGCATCCATCACGGCCGATGACTCAGGCTGCGACCGCACTGTTGATCACCCAGACGGCCAAATCTTCAGTCCTCCATACCTTTTCAATCCCGATGGATCAGCTGCATCCCGGCCTAAGATCGACACAGTATCAGCCACCAACGCCACAGCAGGAGCCACGCTTAAGATCGTTGTGCAGAATGAAGACGTCGCCGGGAACTCCACGCTTGTACTCATGCGCCTCGGCTCCGTCACCCACTCCACCAACTCCGATCAGCGGCGCGTGCCTCTCGTTGATGTTACCGCAACAGGAACGCAGATGGCTGGCGACATCGGCCCAGACGGGAACATCGTCAACCCAAAACCCGTTGGAACCGAGTACACGGTTGTCCTGCCTGAGGACTACGGAGTTCTGCTCCCTGGATTTTACTACCTTTTTGCTATCTCTGCAGGTGGTGTGCCGAGCGTGGCTAAGACAGTTCAGATCATCTTATAATCCTTCATGTTCATATTGAAATGGTTACTACCAAATGTTTATAGATAGCGTTGGTCATGCATAGAGTTACGGTCACCCTAGAAATTAATCAGAATATAAATGGAAGATCCTTATCCATACTGTTTCTAAGTGCCGCTTTTGCAATTCCATGTGGTTATTTGTGAAGGGAGCGAGAGTTTTTGCGGGGGAATTATGCTTTCACAAATCATGAAATCGGGTCAGAATCCATCCAACGATTACATTCGGGCCTCTGAATCACATCAATACTGTACTCTGCACTTCGACTGCTTCAAGCGATTGCTCCATGAATCACTTTTCACACCCAGGAATCCCGGTAAATTTTGTACGATAACCATGCAAATGTAGTAACCCAAAGCACAAATATCATTGACCTCCTACAATTGACTGCGCGAAAGTCGATGCAGCCGTAACAAATCATACATGACTATGCTGAGCACTCGATGCTCGCCTTACAGTATCAGTAGCATAGCAAATAAACGTGTTACCAAGTTAGATATCCTAATTGATCTGGTATCTGTGTCACTCCAGAAAACACATGCGCTGGTTTTCCTAATGAAAAATGACTTTCCACGTGTTTGTACATTTCTGTATATGTCAGACTGTATCTGTGCCGTCATCACTTATAAAGTGACGGTTGCTTGAGTGGATAGCCTAGTCTTGGGCCCCGATGTTTGCCATCCTTACTCCATTTTTGCATTGTTGGTTATTGGGAGAGTATAATTCCACGTTCAATGGCTCATGAAATAAGAAACATCGAGATAAAAAATCGCATGTTAAGGAAATTTACTTCTACTGTATTAGTTGGACCCCTCTGGTCTTGAAGCCTGTGGAAGCGGATAATTGGAAGGGCGTGTCTGGCGAACCATATTGATGCATGGCTATTTGCTATTCTCTGGGTGTCGCTCATTGTTCAGACCATATTCTGCAGCCCTCCATTAGACGTGTTAAGCTAATGGGTCTGGATAGGCCGCCCGCCCGACGATCATTGCCGAATAAGGATCGTATGCTTGCTTTACGGTAGACTGAGTGCTCTAGAGTTGCCCATGTCCTCCTCGTCACAAGGCATGCCCCATTCTTCAGGGTTCGGGGTCTACCGAAAGGGATCATGGCGTAATTCTGTTCTCTGTACATAGTCTAGTGTTGACCTGACCTCTGTGTTCCCGTCATTGGAAATGGCAAGATGCAGGCATTGAATAATTGCAATTCCCAGCTGTCTCCTAGGTTAGACTATGGCAGGAACTATACGACAAGTTGGTTGTAGCAGCCAAAAGTTCGTCATACATCATTTGAGGTCTCCCATGTTGTGGACGTCGGGAGGTGGCTGCGCCTCTCGTGGCTGTGTGCTTTTCTTAACCCCGGACTCGATCCACTCGACCCCTGTCCTTTCGTCCCTATTTTCCCTCACCGTCAAATCCCAAGGCGTCTGTCTAGGATAACACTGAGGCAACCCTCGAAGATCCCTGGACGCGTCCTGTCATAGTGGATCCGCTGCATTCATTCAGCTGTCCTGAACACATCGTCCCTGTTGCCAATCTGCAGTATTTAGCCATGGCCTAAAACTATCAGACTTAGAACATCGTCACTCTCACTCGCCTTCAGATTATCACCGACCTGTTCAACTATACCTCCAACTGATCCCAACTTCTTGACCACGGGAAACCTTGCATACCACTTCTACCTCCTTGATTCTGGCATCATGGTTTCCACCACTGCAAACCCCGACTCAGAGCTCTTCTGCTCCGTGTCCTCTACCCAAAAAGTGCCTGAACGTCACCCGTCAACATTGATTCCTGGCGGGCATGCATCACCACTGCGACACCCAACCGTCCTCAGACCGGGCGCTGGAAACCATCACGCTCGGAAACAAAGTTCAGAGAGGTCACAGACGCCAGGCCAGCATCACCAGCGAAATTCATCCACGTCGCCAAAGCCTACATACAAAGCGTACTCTCCTCCAACATCACCACAAGATCCCCGGGCCTCGGTAGTAGCCGATGAGATCGAGAGCTACTTTACAAAACTTGACATCCAACCACTTCACATCAAGAAGCAAGACACTATCTCCAGTCCATCGGCCGAGAGCTCTGGCAGAGTGTCTCCTGTGCATCGATGCGCATCCCCACCGCTCCCGCCAAAAGTTAAAATTGAGGACCCACCACAGTCACCTCATCCGGCGGAGACCCCATCAATATCACAACCTGAAACGCACATGAACGACACGGAGTCTGATTCTGACCAGCCTCCCGCGTACGAGGAGTCCGAGCGTGTACAGCCACCTCCGGAGAAGTCAGCCACACCTGCGTCCCCGGCGGCCGAGCGGCCTGAGAGCAATCAAAGTCCCGCGAGTGGTGCCGCTGTATCAGCCGCAAGGGATAGTGGCTCAGTTGCCGGGGATGACACCGATGAGGCGGTGACGGCGCCCAAGGACACAACAGAAGAAGTCGAGCCAGCCAAACAATCCAACAGTGAAGAGGGCACAACAGACCAGCCCACGCAAACCGAGGAGGCGAGTGAGGCTGAGGCCAGCTCACCACCACCTCTGCCTCCACGCCCAACACCCGCATCAACAACGCCCCAGCCGGACACGGCATCGAAGATGCCCGGGGCCTTCCCCCCACCGCCGCGACGGAGCCCATCGCCCAAGGGCAACTCCTCTTCGTCCGCAAAGATGAACTACGTGCCGGGCGCGGCAGCGACGTCGGCTACGGCGGTCGGAGCAGCGGTAGCGATCCCGTCGACAGATTTTGCGCACGGCGGGTTCGCACATGCACGAAAGGCGCTGGGCCATCGTGTCAGCCACCTGGTTGACAAGGCGAAGGAGTACCATGAGGCGAAGAGGGCGTCGGCCACGCGGGGTGGCGCGGAGGAGAGCAAGGAGAGGAATGTGCTTGTTGTTGCGCCCATTGCTTGATCTTGGGGTACTGGCGCCGCAATTAGTACTAAACAGGATAAGATGGTCGGGATACATGTGGGCAATGACAGCGAGAGGCCTATCGCCTTTTACTCCACTGTAGATAGCGAAAACGTATAATTCATTAATATGATACCACGTCGAGGATTGTTACCTCGACAATTGAAATTAATGGGCATCTTCATTCTAGTCAGAAACCTTGCTTTCCCTCTTGATCACCCAAGATCCAAAAGACACCCTTATCCCAGCCGGTGTCCCCTTCGAGAACACACGCATGTCTGTAAAATGAACAACTCAACCTCAAGCGCTTGAGGCAACAAGACCCTCAGATCTAGCTTCGTCCAACTTGAGACCTAAGACCACAGCTGGTTTCGCGGCCCCTGATAATTTCGCCATGAAACGATCCATGTCCCATGTTCCCTTCCTCTCCTCTTCCTTCAGTGTCCATTTCTTCCCAGATCTCAAACCATAGGGCTGGTGGTATGGGTCCGTCGCCATCCACGTGGACCATTTCTGGATTATTTCGATGGCCTGCGCAGAAGACACTTCAAACCACTCCAAATGCTCCTTCAAGCAATTCTTGCAGTATATTGTCATCCTCAAGTGGTCAAGCTCCGCGTGACACAATGCCTCGACACGACGGGCATTTCTGACTCTCGCGACTGTGCCAGAAGGTATGGGATATAGGAGTTTGGAGGGTCTGTTGCAATCGAAGTTCCACTCCTGATGGCGCTCCTCAACAGAGCGAGTAGTGTATCCAATTTTCACAAATCCTTTGTTTCCTTCAACCTCATACACATAAACGTATCCGCTTTGAAGGTCTTGGTTACACAACTCTCTCATCATTGTCGTTTTGATCGTGTAATATGAGCACTTATAACCAATTCGCCGGTTGTTCCTGTCGATGATCTCGAAAGGAGAGGTGTCGTACGCTGCCGGCCAATAGTTACTCAAATCTTGATCAAAGTCCGTGGTCAGAGAGCGCCTCTTCCGCGAGACAAGATCACGGTTGGGTTTGTTCGAGGTGTTTTCAGACGCTTCCGTATCTGGGTCTCCAGATGTGCGTACCATCTTGCCCCGTGTAGCGCTTCCGCTGGTTTTGACTTGTTGCTCCTCGAGGACTTTTGCTATGCGCAATTGCCACTCAGCCACTCTTGTCAGAGGCCGTTTATTTATGTGCTGACGGCAGCGCATGTTTGTCTCCAAGACTTTGAGAAAGAAGTTAAGGTAAGCATCGTTCAAGTAGACCTTTGGTTTGGTGATCTCATTGATCGTCGCCACGCAATTATGCACCCTTTGCCCGCCAATGCAATATGGACATCGTTTTCGCTCGCGATCCGCTTCTTCTATACATTGATTAGATTCTATTTCCAGAAGCTTTCTGATACACTTTTCAATTGTCGCGGCCGAGTCGATAACAATTTCTCCGGCTGGAAATGTAAGTTTCCAGGCATCGATTCGAGACTTTTTCGGGATACCACTCCGATGCAACTTGCAATGCACTAGAGTGACCATTTTAGCCAGCGCAGCGTCAAGTTCTGTAGATGACTGCGTGAAGCATGTCATTGACTTGAGCTGTGAAGTAACCTCGTTCTTGTTCGCAGCTGGTGATGCATTTTTACAAGGGTTCCCTGACTTTGTGAGACCTCCACATAGTGTTCCAAGACCCAGAGAAGTCCTCAATACCGAAATATCGACTATTGTTTCTGTAAGCTCCTCCTTCTGAAGCATGAACGGCGACGAATGAGAAGGTGGACACGTTCGAATTGCGTCTCCGTACTGTCTCGGGACTTCACGATAGTGTGTTCTTGCTTGAGGTGGTGAGCTTGGAGGACTTGGATAGGCAGCAGAAATTGTTGTCGACGTCTGCGTCTTGTCAATACTGCTGAGGTTGGCAGCTGTGGCACCCTTCTTATCATGGCTTAGCGACATCTTTTCGGCTAACACACAATAAATAGATGGTAAAATGAGTAGAAAATCAAACCGATGTCTTGACTATTACCTCTGTTCCCGAAAAATCAAGCAAAAAAGGAGCCAGATGGGAGATCAAGTAGAAGCGGGGCATGACTGCTTGATGGGTTATCGGAGGCTGGAGGCTCCCGTGACGCGGACCAGTTGGCTGCACTCTAACGCACTATTAGGCGCCTTCAACGCCACGTCGTGCGATGTTCTAAATTTACTCTGCATCGTGAAATCGTGGGATCCAATTAGAGTGCGCCTCGCCGCAGGGGCCGTTTTCTGAACTCCTGCTGAAGCTTCCCAAAAAGATAATATGCAGTTGGGCGTCCTGGCAGTACCAGATAGTCTCAGCAGCCACGTGAATCCAGAAGAATTCCATGTCTGACATGGCGAATAAAATGACCGGTAGTCACGCGACTCCACGCCCCCCATCCCCTTCCTGCGGAGCTTGAAGACCTGGCATGGTATCGATTTGGCTTAGTGCTTAGCATCTCAAAATCAGTCCAGTCAAGAACGCCAAAAATGCCTGACATCCTGAAACTGCAAGCCAGGTCACACAGGCTGCCTTAACTGAGTTCGGGAGGCCCTGCTTGCTGGTCTGGATATGCAAAACACCAGGCTAGGCTGTCGTCAAGAGTCTTCCGATTATGTTTGGGCGCAATTGGGACCAGGCCGTCAGCTTCTTAGGTTTCTGCACGAGGAAGTCGAGCCACCGTGTCCGACACACCTGGGGAACTTATTGTAGTAGGAGCGCGTTTTGCCTAAGAGTGCCTGAGTCTGATAATTAGGATACCACCGGCTGTCCTAGTCATAGCGTGGTATCAAGTAATCATTATCATTAGAACATCTTATCGCAGACAGAACAAAATCTTGACCATCTCTTCTAACGCGTACATAGTCAAAGTCAGGGTACTATTTAGCAGTATGAGCCAAGAGCTGATCGTTGACCACACTGCCAAGGTCCATTGAAGACGTGGTCGCGGTAGAAAGCTTGTATCCAGGATTATGGTTCATTATTCGGCGGATGGCGTTCCTGATCTCGCTAGCGCTTTCTGTCACCCGCGTTAGTGCTCACCCTCCAAACATGTGAATGTAAAGCGTTAGGCGAATGTAGAATTTCAATTCAGCCTGGGAGCCATTGGTCGCGTTTAGCATTGCACAATTGCATCTTCATAATCGAAATATTGCGCAAGATGGCCACATTTCCCATCATTCCATGAAATGGACTGATCGACTGACGTCATGTCCCTAGTGCACGATGGAATCAACTCTAAATTTCCACGCTGACAAATCGCTGTCTGAGCCGAGCATAAAACCTCCACCAGCTAGTCGCCTTCCGGAAGTCTTTGCCTTTGTCCCAAGAAGCTACTCAACTTCGACCTCAAATCATACCAGTTCGTCTCATAGTACATTCCGATTTAATCCTCATCCCTAAAAATGGGCGTCCCTGCAACTTTCAAAGCCGCCGTCGTGCCCGAGCCGGGTGCGCAGCATTCCGTCCAGGACCGTTCTCTGCCGCCCTTGGAGGCCGGTGAGGTGGCCATAAAGGTCACAGCTACCGCTATCAACCCAGTCGACTGGAAGATCCGCGACTACAAAGTCTTCATCAAGGACTACCCGGCCGTTCTGGGAAGTGATGCGGCGGGTGAGATCGCCGCTGTGGGCTCGGGAGTGACCAACTTCAAGGAGGGAGACCGCGTCTTCTTCCAGGGCATCATCGGCAAATATGACTCCTCCACCTTCCAGCAGTACGTCAAGATGCCCGCAGAGCTCGTGGCGAAGACACCCAAGAGCATCTCGGACGATGAGGCAGGTGGCATCTCGCTGGCCACGGTGGCGGTGTTGACTGGCTTCTACGACAAGAGCGGCTATGGCCTGGCCGCGCCCTGGACCGAGGGAGGAGAGCAGGCCGGCAAGGGCAAGGGCATCGTGATCCTCGGAGGAAGCTCCTCGGTTGGGCAGTACGCGGTTCAGCTGGCCAAGATCTCAGGCTTCGACAAGATCGTCACCAACGCTAGTGCGAAGCACCTGGACCACCTGAAGGCACTGGGCGCCGACGTTGTCCTCGACCGCTCGTCCCAAAACAGCCCCGAGGACTTCAAGGCCGCACTTGGTGGACTGCCGCTCGCCTTCGTGTTCGACTCCATCTCGGAGAAGGACACCCAGATCCTGGGCGTCAAGATCCTCGCCGCCACGAAGACCGAGAACAGCAACGTCATTACCGTCCAGGGCGTCAATGCTGAGGCGTCTGAGCTGGGCCAGTCGCTCGAGCCCAAGTCCACCGTGAAGCAGGTCCTGGGTCTCGGAAGCGCTCCTCACCTGCGCTATCTCAGCGAGCCTCTGGTCAAGCACCTTGGCGGCGAGGACGGGTACATCGCCAAAGGTCGTTTTGTGCCCAACAGGCCTGCCGTGGTGAGTGGTGGCCTGGCCAATATCGAGGAGGCTCTAGCGAAGAACAAGAAGGGTGTGTCCGGAGAGAAGGTCATCATCCGCCCTTTTGATGGTTAAGCGTTTCTGGCGACGTGTGGACAGTCCCTAAAAGTACTTGAGTCTATAGAATTCCTATTGCACCTACACATCATATGTGCTTGGTGATAGCATCTGGAGTTATCATGTTCAAGACGACTGCATCAAACCCGGGGCGAAAATTTCTGCAAATTGAAGGCTGTAGCAGGATGAGGACGAGGACGACTTTGCAGCACAAAATAAAAGTAAAAGATACTATATCCACGGATTCTAAAAGCGACCAATATTCATCAAGCCTCGGAAGAATCGTCGATTGGTGACGCGGATCTCATATCATGAACTGCTCATGTTGTTCCAGCACGAATTCACAGTATTCAATGCGCAACTCGATTGCTAATGATGACCTGTGAGAAAATAGCGTGTCTCCGAGCGGGTGTGCAAGGGGTGGTGGAACGTGGGTAAAATGGCTGGGAAAGATGGCCGCGGGGCCGGGACCATCAGCACCTTGGCAGCAGCGGGGTCGGGGTTACACTGGCCCTTGGGGCGTTGTGCTTTACCTCTGGCCGGATGACTGGCAGGTAATGTGAGTAGAATTAAGTTGCACCTAATGATTCACTGCCGATATCTATGCATCAGTCCCGGAGATCGCTTATACGAAGCATCGGCCTCATCGTCGCCGGAGTGTACAGGTGGGTGTGGCAGAGCCTCAGACGATGTTGCATTAGCGGTCGTACAATAGACTACGTGTCGGCTTGGTCTGCAGGTCGGCGCATCGCCATGGGGCTTGTAGGCAGCGAAGCGGGCTGTGGTCGGTTGGCGGGCTACCTCCTGCAGCTCATTGCAGGCAGAATGTGGCTTCGTCCTATAAGAAACTACCGCGAGCCACACCCCTGAACCTTAACCGAGTTTTCGGCCAACGTCACCTCATCAGACCCGTTAGACCCGCCAACAGTCAGGCTTCTGCATCTCCTCCTTAGATATATGAGCGGATTCCCACTGCGTTCTTGTAGAAAAATCCTAGGTGCCATCAAAAAGTTTTCGCGAAACAAACGAGAATGACAGCCAAACTTCACGAGGTTCCAGCCGAGATCCTGGCTTGCATTGCAGATGAGCTAGACATCGAGGACTATGGCAACCTGCGTCTTGCCAGCAAACAGATCCACGATTACACATTCCCATACTTCGCGAAGAAGTTTTTCAGCCGCCGGAAATTCTTCCGCAGCTACCTGAGCCTCAGCACACTACTATCCATCTCCGAATCGCGCCTGAACCCCTATCTCGAGACGCTCGTTCTCGGCACAGAGCTACTCGAGTTCGGCGCCCCGAGTGACGCACCAAATGTCTCCAATGAGGCGTACGCCCAAGCATACGCGGACCAGACGAGCATCATAGGCTCCGGATGGGATCGCGACACACTGATTAACGCAATGCGGAACCTCCCCAATCTCAAGGGCGTGGCGGTCGAGTCCTTTGACGATCGTGAGGTCTGGGACTTTGACACCAACAGCCCGAACTCGGTCATCGACGGTGGATACGGTCTCAAGACACTACTGAGGAATCTCGGATACGAGGCGGGCAGGCCGCCTCACCAATCGTCGCCAGTCTCTCAGTGGGTCATGGCCGTGCAAACGCTCCTGGGCGCCGTGGCAAAGGCCGGTGCGAAGCCCAAGAGCCTCAGTATAACAGGGAAAATCCTCAACAGGTCATATATCAACTCTGATGATCTGGGTATCGACGACGACGCGTTCAACATCCCAACCTTTATGCAGCAAACTCTGGTGCCGGTCATCGAGGGGCTGGAGGAGCTCGATTTCGACGTATACAACAGACTGCTCTACCCCTCGCCCGAGGACCCTTCAACTTGCAGGACATGTCATCTACGCCGGTTCCTAGGCCTGCCAAAGAACCTGCGGAAGTTGCGGATCGCGCGGCTCACGGGCGGCATGACGGCCCTCGAGAACCCGGAGGAAAGGGGCGGGTTCTGGACATGGCTGGGATGGAGCCCAAAGGGCAAGGAGAAGGCGGTGTCTGAAGACAGCGAAGGTGACAACGGCGAGACTTATCAGTGGAATGTCACCCCCGAAAATACAACTAACCCGCTGATCTCGCCGCCGCCGATCGCCCTGCCCAACCTTCGCGAGCTCCATCTCGCCAACCAGGACATCTTGTCCACGAACCTGACCCGCCTGCTGAGGAAGGTGGCGCCCACTCTGGTCAAGTTGGACCTGCACGAGCTCATCCTGCGCGACCGGGTCGCCGAGGTGGAGGCAGCGGCCGCGGCGGTGGAGCCCGGCGAGGACGACGAGCCCGTCGACGACGTGCGGACCGAGGTCGACCTGTGGATCGCTCTGTGCACCAATCTCGCCGCGATGCCGTGCGATGAGCTGCGCGAGGTTAACATCAGCGGCTTTGGCGGCCTAGGTGACTGGCACTTGTCAAAGTTTGGTGGCTCCTTGACAGCACCGGACTCGGTGTTCTTCAGGGTGCTGAAGATTGTCGGGGAGAATTGTTACGATGGGCGCGCAGAGTTTTCTTACAAAGGACCTAATGCTCGGGAGGCACTGGGGCGGTTGGCGGCGGACTTGCGTGCTGCTGTTAGGGACGGACGGCATGTGTTTGTTGCTGAGCCCGGGAAGAGGAGAAATAGTTTCTGAAGTGCTGAAAACCTTTTGTTGTAGACTTTTTAACTTAGTATTTGATGAATGTCACGATGTTACGGCTGGGCTTCCGAGAGCTATATCTTCACAAAATCCTGCATATCATGTCATTTGTGTAACAAGGTCCTCGTTTCCAGTGCACAGCTGGATTGAGGCCTGTTCGTGCATCGCAAAAAAAAGTTGTCATGACGTCTGGGAACCCGCAGCTGAGCTAGGTAGTCAACAATTTCGGCGTGCTCTACCTCCATTTCCCTTTGCTAGAGCAGAACAGTCATTGAAACTGATGATATGTTCAGCGAACGATGCACTATTCCATTCTTGAATATGGACATTTCGTGGATGATCAAGGGCACATAGGAAGGCTACGACATCTACAAATTTCGAGAGGCCTTCACTGATAAGAACGCCTCGATTTATCCAGGAACGGGCCTCCGTCGATGTCATGTCTACAGGCGACGCATTGGTTAAGCCCTGTCTTCCAGGGGCGTCGATTAGGCTAAACCTTGATTCCTTACAAAAACTTTCCCTTCTCGGTGATTTACTTGAAGTATTGCAGTTCTTTCATCGGCCGCATCTCTTTGTACGGAGAAGACCGTTTTCAGAATGGCGAGGTATTTGTGCCGTGTTGCGCATAATGTGATCCAGATTTCTCTCACACCCCCAGCACTCATGAGCTGCCATCAATTATTCTAACTTTTGTATCACGGTCGTCCGCCTCAGGTAGCGGGCCGATCACCGTACACACTAGCTTCCTTCGTGCACCTATACACCCGCTAACCTGCGAAAATGAAAACGCGGTCGGCGAAGTACGCTCAGAGAGAGAAGCACTCCTCTGAAATTGAATCGGCTAGATCAAGTCTCAAGAAGAAGAGAAAATTCTCAGCGGCTGCCGATCTTGAAGAAGAGATTGAACATCCATCGAAGCAGGACTACAACTCGGTGCGCCAGGCACTGATAGACATTCGGGCAGATTCAAAATTAATAGAAAATGAGTTAGAAAGTAATAGGAGAGAGCTTGAAGGAAAGATTCGCCAGATGAAGCAGAGAGAGAGTGAGTTGAAGGGGATAGATGACCGTCTCAGAGCCACGTCAGGCGAGCCACCCGGCAAAGACGAAGAGGACGCAAATCCAGGAGAATCAATGTTTAACCGGCTTAGATCTGAGATCCACGATTTCGCGATCAAATACTTTGGCGATCAGCTTCAACAACGTTTGACAGCACGCGTTGGAGCTGGCTGGGCCGAGCGGTTTATGCAAGCCACGACCCCCGGAGAAGAGACGTACGTGGACTACCTGCATTCACACCGGCGATGCCCCATGATAATCAAGGCATTTATTTGGCGGTTTATATGTGGCACAATTTTCAACGCTGCCGCATGGAGCGGCAGCGAGAAAATTCGTCGGCACATGAATGAGCTGCAAGAGATCTTCAGCGAGTGTAAGTGGAACAAACCGCGGACACATTTCCCAGGACTGCCGACTAAGTACACTTTGACCAGTTTATAATTCATCAAACGCTAGCGCGGTGCAAATCCGGAGGTATCAAAAATGGAGGAAGGGAACGGCGTGCCTAATATTACAAACTCTCGAGACTGGCATCGTAGCCCACGTAGATCAGCATCTTACCCAGCTGGAACAGCACTTTGCACGATCAATCAGTGAAGTGATCAGCCCATTTATGAGGTCAAGCCCGGAGGGACACGGTGACTTCCTACTGAAAATCATACATCACGCTATCGAATTCGACAGAGAGATCAGCAAGCAGCTGCCTCGGCTCACCTGGACATTCAGCCCCGAGCCGATCGAGTCGCCGTTCGATTACAGCCAGGACCAAGAGATGATCATGCAGCTCCACCCGGGCGAGAAACTTGCGAACAAGCTTCCAAGTGGGGCAAAGGCTAAAGTTTACCTCGTGGTGGCGCCGGGCTTGACCCAGCGGGGTGCGGACAACAGCCCATCGACGTCTTTCGATGTGGAGCATTGGCTAAAGCCGATGGAGGTCACTTGTGTCAAGCCCAGGCGACAACATACCTTTTCCCTAGGAGATGACGGCTCTGAGACTCAAGGCTAAGCTTCTTGGTACAAATAATTTCATTTAGTTTAATTAAAAGTTTACTTTCGATCCTAAATATATAATATCCTCAATACACCTATGTAACTTATAAAGAGTGATATCCCTGCTTATTTATAATATCTTTTTCTCTATATTTATATAAAGCATCATAATATATTTTATTATAATCAACATAAAACTAATACAAAATATTATATCATTACAAGCCTAACTTTATATTAAATAGCAAGCAAATACTATATCTTCCCCCACTATAATAACTGGTACATTACCCAGGGGCAACTTTAATACAATCCACATAGTGGAGCAGCTATTGTGTCTACCTGGAGGGATCCTTGCTTTGGATAATAGTGTTGTCTGGTCCTACGCCCCCTCCCCCCTCCCAAGAAAATCCCCACTTTGTGATACATCGCAGGAGATCCTCCCCATAGCATACCTCAAGAAGTCCTCTTCTTCACAGGCAGGATGTCTCGTTAGCTCCAGTCAGGCTGAATTCTGGCATTAGCTGTGTTAGGCTATGCAGGGTGGGCGGGAGCAGTGTGAGACGAGGCTTCCATCAATGGCGGAGCGATAGAGTTAAATTCAGCCTCACCGCGATGTAGACAAAGTCAAAGCCAAGGCAGATCCGAGGGCGCACGTTTCTGTACGAAGTCAGGCAGCAAGTTACTGCGTACGGTTTGAGCGCAAATGATAGGTAATTCATGCCCAGCTGGGAGGCAAATGCAAAGATATTTTTATCACTACCACAACTCATATGCCTGCATTAGAAGGCCTGGCCTGCGGCTTTACCGGAGATCGCTCAGCACGACTTAGGAGATGTGCTACAGGCACACATCGTCATATTTCACATTAGCCTGTCTCTCCCCTGTGTCTGTTTCAGGCACAGCCATCTGGCGACTTACGTGGCACAAATTTTGCATACCGATGTACTGGGGCGGTGTAGACATGCATGTGTGGACCCCTCCACCAAACGGCGGAGCTGGAGGAGGCTGGTAGGCTCCCTCCTCGCCGCGAGACTTGCTTGTTCTGATATCCTCCTTCCAGTGTGACGGTCGATCCGCAGGAAGTGCTTCTTTAAACCAACAGTCAAAAAAGGCTGGCGAATCATCACTTCCATAACCGAGCGGTCCAATACGTTGACGTTTGTGTTTCTTTACGAAGACAGAGACAAAGAGCATCATGAAAAATGTCCTTGCACGGGTTAACACCAGCCAGAACAAGTTTCCACACGATAGCAACAGATGAACAGTACCGATTCCGGCCACTCAGTACCTCAACCACAATTCGACTTATCAGAATCTGCCCCCAAAAAGTAAACGGTCACATAGCATGCAGAATCTATCACGTTCATAAGGAGCATCAGGAAATCAAATATCATGCTCTATCATACGTCTGGGGAAGCTTAGGGCGTACAGAATACATATATCTGAGGGATCAAGGCAATAAGTGGTACCATTTTCAGCTACATGAAAACCTCTGGCTATTTCTGGATCATGCATGGCAGCACGGGATGTTTAACCAGTACTTCTGGATAGACTACCTCTGCATAGACCAGGACGCACACGGAGAGAAATCACAGCAGGTGCAGCGAATGCACATCATCTATCGAAACGCGGAACTCGTCATCATCTGGCTACAGCTTAGCGAGAAGGAGGAAAGTGGGCTGCTCGAATTTATCGATTTGGTAGACCGCTGGCTCACGGGAAAGATGAATCTCATCAGCTTTCTCCAGCTACGTCAAGATCGATACGATTTCTGGTACATCGCGGGAAATGTGATGGAAAACCCCTACTGGAAACGTGTCTGGATAGTGCAGGAGGTTGTGGTGGCTAAGGAGGTGTGTGTGTATACCAAACGTACCTCGCTCAACCTCGATAAGCTACATTTCATACTTCGACAGTTCCACTCGACCACTGCTAGCGGAAGACCTACGATTGGGGCACTATGCCATATGCGCGCCACGGGTGGGAAGATACCTCTATGGAGGATGTTAAAGGACTTCAAGGATTACGAATGCAAATACGCAGTCGACCGCATATATGGGATATTTGGCCTGGCCGAGAATAACGAGGACGGGAGCTCGCCTGCTATGAATATTCAAATCGACTACGAGAAGCCGGTATCTCGCGTCATGCTGGATGTATTGTTTGAATCATCACCTCCGTTGAATCACCTCGGGGATATCGTACTCGCCGACCCTACGCGCGGTCGTAATCCTCTGGCTCAGGGCTTCGTAGGTTGTTTAATGATGAGAAACTACATCAATGACGTCAAGACGACAGAAAGACACCGAGATTGTGCAAGAAATGCGCTGAAAGCCTTAGAAGCTTTCGTGATCATGTGGTCGGTCATGGGCACGCCTCGCCCGGATGACAGGGAATTGCTGGTGAATCTCTTTTCATCGGCAGCAGAGACTGATTGGAAGACCACTCGCCACCAAAATGCGGTGCTCCTCGGTATGATGCTCTCAGCGAAATCCTGGAATGATACAGTATACGGGCACTCGGAAAGACCACACTTCCGTGACTTTTTCCGCGACTCTGCCTGGCGATGTGCAGCCCACGGGTTTCGCGACGCATGCCAACCGAGTCTTCGGTTATATGAGACAGTTGCTGTCGTTGCTACATCTCCCGGAGCTTGGAGCCGTCCTGGTATCGTGGCTGCATGCGGAAAGCAATCTAAAGATTGCGACGGTTCAATGATGACTTACGAGCTATCGGACATCGGTCTCCGCATACAAGTTGAGCCTGCGATTGATAGTGGGAATGAAGGTTATCTGAGCATTCACAGCATGCAATCTGAGGCGTGAGGAGGTTTGAATTTTAGGGTTCAAAGATGTATACAAAAATGGGAAGAAAATTAAATAATGTAGAAGTTAGAGTCATCTATTGGAGGCCACGTAATAGTGAAGATCTAGATTGCTATTAGCAATGTCGGTTAGCAGGCCAAGCTGGATTGCCATAGTTCAAGGTCAGGCAACATACATCCGGCCCGGCGATGGCTATGAAAGGTGATTGGGGGACACAACACGCAAGCGCTTACTACAGGCTCCCCCGCCAAGCTCTTGTTACTCCATCGCTATGATCAACATCCTCCTATCATACCGTGCCAGAACATTATGAGCTGCAGAAGATTGAAGTGAAACAACTTCACTTGCGACGGCGTATTTGAGCAAGTTCATCATGGCAGAGCCTAAGCACCCGAGGACTCAATACGACGACATTGCGACATCATATGATCTTGTCTGGACCACCCCCGCCGTTAAGCCCCTCCTCCCACTATTGAAGTCGACCCTCGGCTCCCTCGGCCCACTGGCCGGATCATCCGTTCTGGATCTTGCATGCGGCACAGGAATTGGCTTACGCCTGGTTCGCTCCTTGGGGGCTTCCAAGCTGGTTGGGGTGGACATCTCTCACCAGATGATCGGGATAGCAGAATCGACAGTCCCAGAGGCTGTCTTCCACACGGCGGACTGCAGCAAGCCCTTGGACAAGCTAGGACTGGAACCTAAGAGCTATGATGTCGTGCTCGGCTTTTGGCTGCTGAACTACTGCCCTTCATCCGTCGAGATGCGCGGGATGTGGGCCAATATTGCGAACTACCTCAAACCCGGCGGAAAGTTTGTGGGCATTATTGAGAATCATAGTATCGTGCACCCGATTGGTGTGCAGAGCTTCAAATACGGTTGCAGAGAGAGCGAAGTCTCGGAGCTCGAGAACGGGCAAGGCTGGAGTTTACACGTCGAGTTCCAGACAGAGCCGGAAATCGCGTTCGATGCGTTCAGAATGAAGAAGGAGATTCTGGAGTTGGAATCGAAGAGTGTCGGGATGGGTGAAATCACTTACTATGCTCCGAAAAAGGAGCATGTCCGAGAGACTGGAGGGAATGGAGACACAACGGATGAGGACGGAGACTGGTGGAACGACTTGTTGAATGAACCTCCGAACTTTGTTATTGTCGCTCAGAAGCTTTGAGGCACCTTTAAATGCGGCTGGACTATGTACAACTCCATAAAGAATCCACATATGCGCATAATGTGTTGTACCTAGTCCCGCTTCCATGCAGAAAACTCTATGAAGTTTAATCACTCCGACTTCCTTCGCCAGAGCGTGAAGCTTATCTCGCTTCATACACACACACACACACACAACACACATACATCCTGACTCCAACCGGTCATCACAGCAGCACCGTCGGTTACGCACATTGTGGATCTCCCCTGCCCAAGCAAAAAGAGCCAAAAGGAAACATGCAACAGTCGGGATTCGCTGGTCGTCACCGACCCAACTACTAATCGACCTCTCACAAGCTTGATTACAGGAGAGCGAACGGGATCCGATATTTTCTTGTGGATATGGTCGCATGTGCTCAACTCTGTCGCCGTGGTGTCTAAGTATGGTTGAACACAAACGTCGTTGCGCGGTGGATGCCGTGGATCGCAAGTAGATGCTGAGCCGAGGCAGAGTCCCTACACATAGCATGTATGAGTCTGAACCTGGAAAACCACACAAAACTCCACACGCGTACTGGCACAAGCTGCATTCAAAGACACAAGCAGTTGTCCTCAATGCATCAATTGAGGTGAAGCCAGCGTTACACTGTATTAGAAGGGAAGCAATTCAGAGCGTTGCAAGACCCGAAGCATGTGGGGCCTTATGTAAGCTGTTGCCTGCTTGCTTACCGCAAACTGGCTGCGTGGCGCGCTCGCTATCTCACGTACGGTACACTCATTTCGCCTACCAGGTACAATTATACTGCACAGCAAGTCACAGTCATTCATTGAATCTATCGTCACCGTTCCTCGAGTGGCTAATTCAATATTGGCAGCAGTAAGAGACTAGGGACATTGCAGGCACTCATTGTCACTCCAGGGCAACACAATGTGGACGAGAAGGCGAGCCTCAGGTCATGCTCAAGTGAGTTCTCGTTAACATGAGTGTAACAAGATCACTGATTGAGCTACGTAGGCTTGTTCCTTCTGCGAAAAGCTATTGCCGGCTCTCCAGAAGACGCCTAAAGACTACACTTCTATTGATATGGGGCCGTTCGATGAAGTTTGCGCGATCAAGTGCAACAACCATAAGCCCCTGGTTCATTGGTTATCCAAATGGTTCGAAAATCTAGACACTTCACAGTTATTGAACTTTCACAGAGACTACTGGTCTTCGTCATTCGAATTCAGTCTCGGCAACCACTATGATAAGAGCAGCCCGGAGTTGGATGTGGTGGAAAGCACGGAGAAGAACCAATATGCCGGATATGGAGTCGAAGTCGACCCGCACTGGATTGACGACAATAAGCTAAAACAGTGGTACAAGGATTGTATCAACAATCATGACGGGTGCCGGAAACCGCCGTATCTAGAGCGCCTCCCAGTCCCCGATCCGAGCTATTTCATTGATACACTCAGCAACTGTCTAGCTCCCGCTCCTCCACATGCCCCCTATGTTGCTTTGAGCTATGTCTGGGGTCAAGCAGACGTAGTCAAAGTATTGACATTCAATTCAGATAAACTGCAGGTTGCAGGAGCTCTAGATGGACCAGAGAAACAAGTCTCTCTACCGAAAACAGTCAGGCACGCCATGCATTTGACAAAACTACTGGGTGAGCGCTATCTATGGGTTGATAGCCTCTGCATTGTTCAAGACGACGAACAGTCACAGAACGATCACTTGAATCGAATGGCGTCCATTTTCGCCTATGCCAACGCGGTCATCATCTCTGTCGACGGGGAACATGCTGACAGTGGGCTTTGTGGATTGAGGAGCGCTCCGTCAGCAGAGCCGCGCCGTCTCGAGCAGCAGGTCATCCCTTTCGGAACAAGAAGAATCCTACAGCGCACAAAGTTCTCGAAAGAAGGCCGCCCTCCCAGAGATTCGGGCATGAAGAAGGTATATTTTGACCGTGGTTGGACATTTCAAGAATTTTTGTTTGCACGAAGACGAATATGTTTCGAAAATGACAGTGTTTGGTTTCAATGCTGCCGCGATACAGTATTTGAGGACCATTGTCACAAAGAACGAGCGCACGACGCGCGAGACTGGATATTGGACGTCGGCTATCCCTCTCTTACCGTCTACTCTACGCTCGTAGCCGACTTCAACCGAAGGCAGCTCAAATACCCCCAAGATTGCCTTTCTGCAATTGAAGGGATGCTCCCATGCTACAACAAGGTTTTCAAAGGCGGTTTCCTGTGTGGTCTCCCGGAGATGTTCTTTGATGTCGCCCTCCTTTGGCACCCGGGTGGCGACTTGACGCGGCGAGAACGGGTCGAGACTGGAAAACGTTACAAATTTGCAAACGAGCTTCTGCCGTCGTGGTCTTGGGTTGGCTGGCAAGGTGTGGTAGACTTTGATGATTGGAGCACCGGCAATGATTTTGTCGCCAACTGCAGCGGTTGGATTGGATCGTCACGGCAGCATATCTCCCCGGTGACCACCTGGTATACGAGCAACGACGCCTCCGGTGTGGCCGAGAAAAGGAAAATTGAGGTCGCGTGGAGTGAGTGGAGAGACCGGTATAAAAGTCGTGCCAGCAAACTCCCGCCGGGCTGGAAAAAACGAAGACGCCGGACATCCGAGACCTTCTCGAAAGAGGACTTTCCAGATGGTTACGGGAAGGAGCTCTACCGGCACAAATCCTGCCAGAGGGCGGAGTTCTGGTTCCCAGTGCCTCTTTCAGACCCAGATTCTCAACCACATCCCACACCTCAAACCGCATTTCTATTTGGGTCTGTTGAAACAGCGCGACTCTACGCGACCGGGCCCCTCTATCCTCACCATCACATGTATTTGCAAAATGAACCCGTTCAGTCTGTTCTTGTTACGCTCGTCAATGCTCAGAATGACTGGGCTGGCGTTCTGCGCCTGCACAGTCGGGACCACTTCTTGAGAATTGGGCTAGACCCGATAAAGGATCCGATCGAGTTGGAATTGATTGCGATTTCTCAAGGATCAATCCCGAACGGCCTCACTTGGGAGGATGGCATTAACGATTTTAGGGAGTACTTGGTAGAGGAACGGCCCAAGGATGGCGATTCATACGAGTACTACAATGTCATGTGGATTTCTTGGAGGGACGGCATTGCTTTCAGAGAAGCTGTCGGTAGGGTTTACAAACGGATGTGGGCATCCTCGAATCCTTCAACGATACAAGTTGTACTTGGTTAGAATAAAGGCATGGTGGTTGCCACTCTTTCATACATACGGCTCGTTGTTTCAGCAAACTATGCCAGTCGAATGGTCTCGATTGAGGGGGGGAAGGTTTCGTATTTGTGCGTTTAGTACAGAACGCCGTCAATGAATCTCTGCTCTTGAGTTGAGAACTAGTAGTGACGGAGAGTGCAACGAATCATTCTAATATGTGGAGTTCACCTTTGGTTTTCCTAAATCAAAAGCAATTCATCGAATGAATTTTGAGTTCTTCCGCAAACTGCAAAGGCTTCTCCATCCATTATTCCGTGAATATAAGCACCTCCTACGACCTTGAAGGAGTTTACGCTCGTCGCATTCAGAACAGACTGTTGCCCATCAGTTCTTAAAGGCTGTATAAGACGCAATATTACTGGCATTGCGCTTCCACCAAGAATTGCAACAACATCCCCAGGCAGGCACACGTCGGGAGCGAGGCCAATGTATCCCTTTGTAGTGGTGATGAACCTCATATCGATGGTGGCAATCCTGACAGCATTATCAACGCTAGCCGTGGTAGCTGATGGGTATCCTCGCACATCCTGGGAAGAACGGAAAGCTTCGACCCACCATGCGCTCAGTAATTTCTCGACCTGGACTCCATGCCGTGCATGCGCGTCTTCTGTTCTGAATCGCCGATCCTGAATGACGAGCATATCCCCACATAACGTATGAAGAAACGCGTCGTATACGCACTTGTATGCAGTGCCACGCTCCCGAGCAATACCGAAGCTGCTATAGAGCCATTGATATTGATCCACCCAGCCCGTCAGAGGCCTAAATGCGCCTCCCGGGACAACTGGTCCGGGTATGATCTCGTCGAAAAGAAAACCATTGGCGATGACACGGCCTGGGGACTGAAGCGTCCAGACAGGGCAGTGCCCCGAGTGTGCGTTATAAAAGCGATTGTGCAAGGCCCGTTGTCTTATCAGCCACGAAGACTTCGTGAATGAGGATTTATAACGACATGTCCAGTCTATTGCCCATGTTGGTAGATCGAGCTGACTGGAAGAAGATCCGTGGACAAAGCCGAGAAAATCAAGGTTGCGTTCTTTGTTGGCCCATGCTAACGAGAAATTTTGGAACAGTTGCTCCGGAGTAACTTCGTAATCTGGATTGATGGCAGTCCGAGAGTCAGGAAATACCCCCAGTAACGCATAAACTTTGTCGCGCGGGTCGATGCATTCCAGATCATGGAAGATGGCAAGACCATGCAATAAAGACAAACTGTGGGTCCGAGCATACGCCTGCCATTGCGGCCTCCGAAAACTATCCAATATAGTTCCTTCCTCGCCATCCTCTCCATACACAATAGCTTCGGATATTTTCGCGTCACAGCACCCTTCTGATTTGTGTCGAGCGAGACTGAGAACACCGCGAGTGACTGTGTCGGCCGAATAGCAAAGTTTTCCAAACTGAAATGATACTCTACGAGCGAGAACGTACTCTTGAAGAGTCCAAATTCGATACCACCACGGCCGGTTAAACATCGTAATCAAAGACTTGGCAAGATATGCGCTGTTTGCGTCCACCCCCGAGACACAGAGATAGTTATGATGGGATGTATCAATATGCCTGTCTGGCTCCTCGGCGGCTAAGGCTAAATACTCCGTTGCGAGTCCGAGTCCAGGGAATGGATCGCCCAAGAAGGCCGTGACTGAGGTGGCTGTAGCGAAGATACGGCCCATGAGATTGACTTGGTGACCTCTCTCTTCCAATTCACCCCGCTTATTACCTTGATTTATACACACAGCATCAACCCAAAGGGCTCGCGGGGAATCGTTTTCGGGAATCAGGTTGACCAGTGCCTTATAGAGGTTCCTCGTAATTCTGAAGGCATGGTTATTAACCGCGATAGTTGCCGGGTCATTTTGGTCGCCCCATACATATGAAAGAGCTTCGTAAGAGGGGCAGTGGCTAAGAGAGACAATGAAAAGCTCGCATGTGATATCTCCATCTACCGATGATGGCAGCAGATTGAGAAGACGGATCTCGCAGGAAGCAAGATCGATTGGTGGGAAGATAACCGAAGTATCGACAAATTGCAGCGTCGGTACTGCATTCACCATAGTTAGGTGAGTGGAACCCGCGGAAGGAGGCCGCTTGTAAAGGAGGTTGGGGGAAATTAAGAATCCAAGACAGGACAGACTGCGAGGTTGTGGCGATTGGGGGAACACATTGGATTGCGTGCGGAGGGCCAGAAGTACCTACGGTCTCTAGATGGGTCTCAATGATCAAATAGGTGTCCAGATCCTGCATGAAAGCTGAAAATTCGCAGGATGAGGGGGCGTCTGCAACTCTGAGGCCAAGCTGGCTTTCTTAGCGCGCATGTTCGAGCAGTCTGGTGGATGTCCAACTGCTTTCGTATTCCTTAGGGCGCTTACACGACATATGCATGGGGCGACTTATTAGCACAGCGAATTATAGTGTCACTGAACTTGAAGTAAACGAAAAGAGTGATGATACGCTATTTCGGCTATGCTCACCGAATTCCACGCCCCTAAATGAAAGACGACATCGGGCATTCTCGCAACATTTTAAATCTTCTCACTACGGCGTACGCGGCGTCAAGCTGATCAAAGGGAAATCAATCAAGGTTTATTCTATGGACGATACGGGCCGTTTCGAGAAGCTCTTATAAGCGCAAAATCTAAAAATAAATATAGTAAAAGAGTGCTTGTCTAGAGCGGTCAAGACATGTAAGGAGCCACAAGGAGAAACTTGAGATTTCCGCGATCACATGTCATTACTCGCCGGGAGGGATGACCCGGCCGATGACAACCACATCTCTCTTCTCCCCGTCCCATTCCTCGGGAAGCGGGGTGTCGGCGAACAAGCCGCCCGCATGCTCCGCCGGATATCTCTCACCGAAGACGGACGCCTTGTCCACCAGATCGCGGAGGCGCTGCGTTTCCTGATCGGTGAGCTGGATGTGCACCGCGTCAAAGTTCTCCATGACATACTTGGGCGTGATCGTGCTGGTATTTCTGTTAGATTCGGTCGCAGGTTAGAAGATTTTCATACTCACCCCGGAATGGGGAAGATGTCACCTCCCTGAGCTAGCAGCCAGGCGAGGGCGGTCTGGCCAACAGTCCCTCCTTTGGCGGTGGCCACTTCCCTGAACGCTTCAACCAACTCCATGTTTTTTGGGAAGTTCTCTCTGGAGTAGCGCGGATAGAATCGACGAATGTCACCCTCCTCGAAGTCATCGGGGCCTTGGACACCACCGCCCAGCAGGCCACGAGACAGCGGAGAGTAAGCCACGACGGCCACGCCCAACTCGCGGCACGTAGTGAGGAGCTGGTGCTCTGGGGACTCTATCTCTGTGCTGAAGGCGCTGTACTCCATTTGGACGCACGCAATCGGGTGCACAGCATGGGCGCGTCGCAGAGTGGTCGAGGAGACCTCAGACAGGCCGATGTGGCGGATCTTGCCTTTTCTGCAAAATGTGTCAATTCTCTTTCTGCCTCTTATTCAGAGATATCTGGGACATGGGTGTTACTTACTCCTTTAATTTGACCATTTCGGCAACGATGTGCTCAACGGGAGTTGATCCGTCGAGCCGGTGAGGGTACCAAAGATCGATGGTCTCTACCCCAAGTCTTTCCAAGCTCTGCTCACAGGCAATGGGCACATATGCAGCGTCACCTCGAAAGCCGAATCCTTCTGGTAGCCGAATACCGCCAAACTTCGTAGCGATGAAGATGTCCTTGCGCTTCTCTGGATTCAGTGCGAACCACTTGCCGATTATCACCTCAGCGTCACCCTATTGGCCGTACGTAAATTAGAAACCCCATCTTACTGAACAGAACTGTGTGTTGGTAGGTCCCGTGCTTACATAGAAGTCGCTGGTATCCCAGAACGTACATCCCAACTCATACGCGCTGTCAAGCAGGGTGAGGCGTTCCGGGTCAGGAATAGGGGCAATTGTTCGAGAGCATGGAAAGCCCATCCCCATCGTACCAAAGCCGATGCGCGAGACCATGGGCCCATTCTTGCCAAGAGGCCTTTGTGTGGCTGACTTTGTCTCCATGTCGATGATAACTCGGGTGAAGTTTGAGTGGAAAGATTGCAAATTTTGACACTTGGGTTTGAAATAGGGATGTGAAGTGTGGAATGATTCGTGAACTTTCTTCAAAGGAAATGGAGGGTTTACTTATGAATGTGAAAGTCTGGTCGAGACCTCGGCGTTGGAAGTCCGCTGCGGAGCGGGCCAAACTCCACGCGGATATGAGGGCGCAAGGTCCACCAACAATACATTTAGAAACTGAGGCATCATAACACTTCAGCATATTTCCCTATTTTGAGTCGCACGTGAAGAGATGAACTCTTTTGTCTCGTCTACGCCCATGTATCTGTCTCCCAGGACATTAGCGCTGCTTGGGGCTGAATGATCTCGTTTGCCAACTGACACAGTCATCAAAATCTCCGCGAAGTCGTCTACATCCTCTGCTCTGCCGTGTTCGAGAAACGTTTCGAAAGAATAATTGGCAATGATGAAATGCGGAGTTTCCTTCCACAGGCGACGAAATTCAAATGCAGAACTGGCTTCCCACAGAGGTCGGGAAAGCGTCCAGCGATGAACATATGCCCAAGGACCTGGGTCATCTGAGACTTAGTTAGTCTAGGATTCAAATGTGGGAGTCGAACATATTCACCATCATCATCATCAGGATTCTTCATCATGTTGTATAAAACAATGACCGAGTATGCCATGACAATAGTCCTCCGCACGGATTCGGCAAAGATCCATCTCTGAGAACAGCAAGACCATTAGCAAGGATAGTTCCGGCCCTTACGAATGATGATCGGAAACTCACCTCCCACTCCACAGGCTCCTGATTCCTGGTCCTTTCATCGGCCAAGTTTCCTAGATTTTCGCGTATCTTGCAAAGATCGCCGAGCCATGTCTCCAGAACCGGCATGTCCTTTTCGGCCTGTGATCGCAACGTGATGTTCTCGTCAAAAAGGCGCATTACCTGGTATAGAAAGAGCGCCTGCGCCCGCGCAAGCTTCTCCGTAGGGGTAGCTATGGCTCGCCCGGCTTCGGAGTCGAGAAGCTCGCGAACGTTCCCGTGAAGTGCTCGTACCACCATTGCTGTGTTCGCCGGCGTGCGGCTGTCGTAAAGCACGCATGTTGTAAAACATGACAATATGCATTGCGGTGTTTGAGACTGATAGAGATAGCGGTGAAGGAAAGGAGTGGAGTTTTGTGTTGCCACCTCTTTCGTGAAACCTTTGACGCGGTTCACGGTCTGGTGTAGGGGCATTTTGGGATCGTAGAGATGCCATGGTTGGACACCATCCTGGAAATTGTAAATCATCTGCATTCACTAGAGCTAACTGATTCATGCGCGTGAAGGCACATTCATTTCGGACTTACACAAAAAGGTGCCATCTTCTCGTACGTCCTTGCAACTTCTTCGTCGGCTGGAGTGCCGGGCCGTTCAGTAACAAGGTTTTCATCAAGAGGTGCAAGCCACTGGTCGCGGGCAGTCGAGGTATCGTTGTCAATGAGTTCCATAAATGTATCCATCGGGATGTCTCCACTGTCGAAAGGGCCCACGACGGGCTGGGAGGCAAGGCAAGTTGTGTCCGGCAGAGAAGCCACGGGTAGGCTACCGAAATATCCTAACTCGAGCGACTCTATAGAGTCGAAATGAGGTGCACCAGGGCTGCCAAACTGGGGTACTTCCGTCCGAGGAGTGGACTCAACCTCCATGTGCTCAGCGTGGCTAGCGACCCTGGTCTTGCCGTAGGCGCAAGGGATCTTCCTCTCGGCGCACCTGGAGCACACGGGCGTCCGCCTGTCGCACCGCCTTTTCGTCTGCACGCATCCGTTGCAATTCTTCTGCCTCGATGCTGGCACACGGGTCGCTGATGCGTGGCTCTCCATTTTGCTCAGATAAGCCTGGGATAATGTTGCAGCATAGATTGCCGAGCCTTTCGACGCGTAAAGGACAATGAGGTTGTGGTAGTGGATTTCGGAGGGTTGTGTCAGCCGCAAGCAGATTGGCGCCTCCGCAACTCCGCAAGATGGGGTCCGCAATCTGACAAGTCCGCCAAAGTCCGCCGGCCAGTGTCAGGGCTAGCTGGCTGCGAAGGATCGACATGCTGGATACCTGGCACTAATAAAGCAACTCCTAGAAGACCCGCGTTATGGGTTCTCTACGCATTGCGACTTGCGAGTCCACGCGTTCATAGAGAAGAATATACGGCATAAGTAGAGCTCAAATTGTTCAAACTTGAGGAAAAACAATTCATCACTTTACGTGATCGAATGATAGTAGTCTATCATCCACATGAATAAGCTAGAGGGGGTAGAGGCATCTTTGTCTTCCTTAGTGAGTTTCGCAGGATTGATTAACAGAATTGGTAAATACTCCTTGAGAAACTGAGGAGAGAACAGAGCAATGACAGATTACTTCAATTAAGGAGTCGATACTGGCAGAGAATGACTTGCACATCCAAGCTCAAAGGAACGGGCTTAGAGTGTGTTAGAATTCTCAAAGCAACAACGCTGAAGCAGATCGTATTGGTTGTGAAATTACACTTAAGGGCTATAATAACAGACATGAAATTATCAATTATGATAACTTCTCTCTAGATACCTAGGTCGTCTTTGCAGGTAGTAAGTCGGGCGCGGTATAGAATCGGCTGGGTGTACCTAGTAAACCAGAAAGAAGCAACAAGAAGCGAGCAATGAATGCAATGTTTTTGATGCGCTCAAATTTCGTAGGTACACTTTCAGGGACTAAATACTTGGCAGAATCTATCAGAATATCATCCTTGCGATGAAGGCTGTGGCATCAGCATGAGAAAAGACTATAGATCCCCGTCCTCAGCGGCCGGAGGATGTTGCAAGAGCAAAAAGGTATGCTCAATAAAACCGGGAGACCGAACGGCATTTCAACAGTTTATGTGCCCCCTCGTTTTTCCAAGTTCCGTTCTCCTTCCTTTTTCAGATGAAGGCCAAGATCAGGGGTAAGTTCGGCGGGGCCAGGCAACTTTTCTCAACGGGGACGGGTGTGATAGAGCCCGCGAACCAGAACACCGCTTTAATTGTCTGCACCGCCATGCAGGACCTTGCACATGTGGGAAACCCGCCAATGGCAGGGCAGTAGACACAAAATTGTAAGAATACTCTGAATCATGCCCATCTCTAAGGGCAATAACATCTACTAAATAAAACGAAAGAAAGGAAAATGCTAAATCAGCAGTCCCTTATCCCACATCCTCAGGCCTGCCCTGTATAATATCCGCTAAGCAAGTACACCGGCTCATACACATGTTCTCGCTAGACCAGCGGCTGCAGCGCACCAAGGTTCGCTCAGAAAATGAATCACGTTGAATCACATGGAAACCAAATCAACATCCTCGGCGAGCCCTTCGATCATCCCTGAATTTTCGAGCTCGACGGCATATCTATCTTCAAATGGATTCGACCATTACTGAAGCCGTAACATACACAACCAAAAACAACGAAAACGCAATGTGCCATTCCATGGATTACAGTCATGATGATAGCGCCTTATATGCTGACGCCCAGGATGGTTCGCAAATACAACTGTGGGAAACTCGAACCAGGAAGCGGTTTGAGGGCATCTGTTTCCTTGGTATACGGCGGAGATAGCAGTGCCGTATTTTAGATAGCAATTAATTAAACGCCTAGGAGTCTACCTGAAGGACATGGCAAGGGAGTCTCTTCAATGGTTCTTTCCTACCCCGGAGAAACGAATTCCAAACTCGGCTTCTTTTATCGGGATTCAGAAACGTGGTTCAAGATGCTTAGGCCCTTAGCTGCATTGCCGTCTTCCGCTACCGAGCTCAGGTCCTTCCCATTGGCCTCTAGCCGGCCTTGTCCCGCGGTTACCATTTTGTCTTAGGCTATGGTTAAATGCAACACCCCACACAAGATACGCATAGAGCAAACCCTGGAGAGTAACTGTTCACATGCCCGAGGGTTGTTTAACTTGTGCATGAGATGAAAGATGAAGTCCATACTCCTAGAAACAAGTATAAGAGAAGAGAAATCTTTCTCTACTCCCGTCCTCTACTCTCATCTCCATCTAAACCAAGATCACAAACTACGCGGTCTGCTTGGCACCTCAGAATGGCACCACCTTCCTTTTTCAGCATCGGCGTTATTGTGCTGTCGGTGCTCTGTCCGGCGGTCTTGAGCGCCTTGGTCAGTGTGACGGACTTTGGGTCCAACCCGACTAAGCTTCAAATGTACATCAATGTGCCGGCCAAGCTTGCGACCAAGCCAGCTGTGATCCTCGCGGTAGGTTTTAGCCTCCGAGGTCAGAAACAAGGCTGATAGCGATCAATCTAGCTTCATGGATGCGGTGGTAATGGGCCAGGATACGCTCAACAAACCAAGTACAATACCTTGTCTGAGCAGTACGGGTTCATCACCATCTTCCCGAGCACGACCAACGACAACAATTGCTGGGATGTTGCTTCAAACAAGTCACTGACCCACGAGGGCGGCGGCGACACACAGGGTCTCTCCAACATGGTCAAGTACACCATCCAGAAGTACAGCGCCGACACGTCAAAGATCTTCGTCACTGGCACCTCTTCCGGCGGTATGATGACCAACGCGCTCGCCGCAACATATCCGGACCTCTATGCTGCTGGATCCGCATACTCCGGCGTTGCTGCCGGCTGCCTTGCAGGATCGCCCGGTGCGTCACCTATCAGCGCAGACCCGACCTGTGCAAACGGCAACGTAAGAAAGACGCAGGCACAGTGGGTGGCGCAGGTGAAAGCCATGTACCCGGCCTGGAACGGCTCGTACCCGCGAATGCAGACCTGGCACGGTACCGCCGACAATCTGGTGTTCTATCCCAACTTGGCTGAGCAGATCAAGGAGTGGTCTGGCTTACTCGACGTGACCTTTACCAAGAACAATACCAACACACCGCAGTCAGCGTACACACAGATGGTGTATGGGGATGGTACGAAGCTTGTGGCTTATAGCGCGCAGGGTGTCGGACATACTGTTCCGGTGCATGAAACGGTGGACTTGGCTTGGTTTGGTATACAGTGAAAGTCACGACCGTGTCCCGCTGATGGGGATGAATATTCTTTTCATGAAGGGAATTCAATTCTATCAGAGGAAGATGTTTTGATGAAGATACATTTTGGCTCCGAATTCTGCGAGAGGGTGGATTCCTGAGGACATAAATTGTACATAGCACAGGAGCATTAATTCCACCTTCACTTCTCTGAGACCGTCCCTACTTCATGACGATGCCAGGAATCGATGTAGCTGTATGAATATATTGGTTTCTGCGTGCTATATACAATTTATGTCCGCACTAAAAACAAATTTGGGGGCATTCACCAGGAACCCTGACTACCCTCATAAATGGTCACAGCTTGACCCGACACACCAGACATGTAGTATTTCTCGAGTAACCACCCGAGGGCTTAAGCCACAGCAGCAGCGGCCGCAGCATCATCAGGAGACTCGGATTGAAGAGCGGCGAGGATGGAGGCGACATCATCATCACGTTTAACAGCACTCTGGGCCGCGGCGGCATCCTTCAATATTCAAAGTCAGTCAAGTTCATCCCGGACAAGAAGAAGACAGTCATCAACACTTACTTCAGGGCTCTCGGCTTGGAGGGCAGCGAGGATGCTAGCAACGTCGTCGTCACGACGTCCAAGACCCTTCGCGGCTTCCGCGTCCTGCAATACCGAGTGTCAGTGTTTACGTGTTTCGAGGTTCTCAGAGATTCATACATCTGGGCTGTTTTCTTGCAGGGCGCTCAGGATCTGTCCAACGCCTTGGTCTTGACGTTGATCCTCCGAGACCATCTGGACGGCGTTGGCGTCTTCGGGGCTGACATCCTGGAGGGCAGCGAGGGCTGTGTTGCCCTCCTCAACCTGTGGGTTCAGGGGCCCGGCGAGAGCCAGGGCGGCTAGAGAGCTGATAGCAACACAACGCATATTGAACGGGATTTCAGAGCGCTGCTCGAAATGAAGAGAAGATCTTTATATACAAAGTAAGCTGAAGAAAATTTACAGAAGAAGTGGGCAACACACCACAGTGAAGGAAAGAGATGCAGGACATCGAGGAGGGTATTCGGGAGTTTTGAAGAGCACTCAACCCACTGTACCGCACACCCAGGCGCCCGGCTGTTCCAGGATTTGTGATTTAGACACCGGCGGCTCGGCTCCGGGTGTTCACCAGGAACCTCGTCTCGAGATGCGATTCGAAAATCTCTTGGCTACACACGATCACGGCGAAACGATGCTGGTCTCGGGTTGCCAAGCCTCGTAATGCATGGCCTGGGATGATCCCAAGACGGTCTCATTTTTTATGCGGCCTGAACTTTTCTGGACCGATCTGGGGATCTAGGACTGAATCTAGACACCAAGCATGGTCAACATGTCGCAGAGTTCGGCCGAATTAGAGCAGAAGTGACCACACTGCCAACCTCCAACGCTTAAGTCTGGGGATATCCATGACCCATAAACAAGGTCAGCTTGCTTTCACTTATTTAGGCCACATTTAAAATTTAGCACTCCTCATTATTCCCTTCAAGTAGTCTCGAGAATTACAGCTTATATTGGGACTTGAGACCTGTCATTGTGTTCAGAATGTTTCAGGTCTAGGCTAGACGGGAGCAGCCGGATTCGCGCCGGGACATCGGTCTTCCCGCTTGAACACTGCCCGAACGAGAGCCTCACCCGAAAGTCATTGCTGGTATGCACCGCTAGAATTTGTAGCCACACCCTTGCGATCAGAGTTCCTCCCATCGTAATCGCATGTAGTGAGGCTTAAGTCGGAAACACTTGGTCCGAGAATTCGTATCTTGGGCCCTTCAACTAGCATCTAACCTTCAAAGGTCTTCAGATTCATGCTTGTTAAAGGCCAATAACCCTAAAGTTTTGTATGTGATCCCTGTTAAGCAGACCATGATGTACCCAGCATTTATCACATAACCAAGTTGACTCAGATTTAGTGGTCCTGCACTAGTGGTATTTCAACATCATGAGTTGAGATCAGCGGGTACTAGCGATGCGCTCACTTTGCAAGTATAATTCTCGACATAGCGGATACGATTTATCTTGTTAACTAGATCAAACTTTATGGTTACGAGAAATTCTAATAAGTCTCAAAATATCGGTACGATCGAAGCAGGAATATTGTCCGTCGAAATTGTCGGCTATGGGACCGGGCAGATTGAAAAGGTGCACAGAGGTTTGCTGGTGAGGTGAGAGACATGCAACACTCCCATTCTCGCATCCTTATCCGAGACTTATTCTCAGAGACGGCTTCCCTAGACAATCTGTAATCAGAAAAGTACTCACGGGCCAGAGGAGCAGAGACGGTGATGAGTGGGACTCCGCAAGATTCATAGTGTGCAAATGTCCCAAAGCCTAGTCATTACTGAAGCGCGGGCCCGGACTTAGTCCTTGCAAAATTCGCTTCAGTTCTTTGAGTGAAATTTATCAATGCAGTACATGTAATTTCTTTATCGGGCCTTGATGGCTGACATGAGAGGTGCCTGGCGGTCACGTCGTGTGGCTCGTAATCCTCTCCGCTCCACCAGACGCGAAAGTCCACCTCCGCCGCTTATAAGTCCGCCGCCAAATGCCCAATCATGCCGTCCATCCAGCGCATGACGAGGTCTTTGAAATCCATCAGTTTGTATAAATCTATTTCATTGCGCTTTGGTTTGGATTATTTTTCAAATCGTGGTAATTATTCTAAGTTAATGATATCTTGCATTGCATATTTGTTCTGAATTGAGAAGCACTCAACAAACTATTAACCAACGCTTTAAGTTATATTCGATATGACTCAGGACAACTTCAAGGTCATCGTCGTTGGTGGTGGACCTGTCGGTCTGACGGCAGCACACGCCTTATCGCGAGCCGGCATAGAGTACGTCGTGCTCGAAAGTCGCAATTCAATCACAATCGACGTTGGTGCAAGCCTGGCATTATGGCCGCAGGGACTGCGAGTTTTATCCCAGCTAGGCCTCCTAGAGCGTCTGCAAGAGCTTGGAGAGGAAATGGGACGCACCACGGCAGTAACTCTTGAAGGGCACAAGTATAAGGAGACATGGGCTACGGAGACCGTGAAGGAAAAGTAAGCACGCCCTATGCTGTTGTTGCACATCAGGATCTAGCACTGACATACCTCCCCAGTCACGGTGCTCGTGCGACCGTCTTCCACAGGGCCGATGTTGTAGCTCTTCTCTATGAAAGCCTCAGCAAGTCTGATAAGGATTGCGTCGTAACAAATAAGACGGTAATCGACATCGCTACGAGCAAGGACGGTGTTCAAGTGCGCTGCGGTGACGGAAGTACATACTCCGGCTCAATAGTCGTTGGAGCGGACGGAGTACACAGCAAAGTGCGCCAGCGCATGCGTGAGCTTGCTATCAACTTCTCGGCACCAGAAGTCAACGAAGAAAAGCCGTTTCTATCCGAGTACAAGGTTCTATGGTGCACCTTCCCCCGCCAGCCAAGCATGGACCCAGGCGACACAGTTGAGATACACGGCAAAGATCTCTCACTGCAATGTCTCAACAGCAAGACCCGGTCATGGCTTTTCATTTACGAGCGACTGCAAAAACCCACCCGCGAGCGCGTCTCTTACTCACAAACAGACGCTGAAGTATTCGCTGAGCGCTGTGGAGACCTCGCGATTAGCGAGCATCTCAAGGTGAAGGATGTCTTCCCCAAGCGATACACAGCAGGCATGTCGAACCTCGAAGAAGGCATCGTGAAGCACTGGAGCTGGGATCGCATCGTGCTTGTCGGTGATTCTTGCCACAAGTTCACACCAAACCAGGGTCTAGGGTACAACAACGGGATTCAAGACATCGTGGCACTTGTCAATGAATTAAAACGCGCCGTTTCGCCTGGCAACCGCGCAGATGGTGCTGGCTTGCCTCTTGATGTCCTTACCGGTATTTTTTCCCGGTACCAAGCTGCTCGTATGGAGCTGCTGCGCAAGGATTACAATGCCTCGGCGTCGTGGACACGGATGTCCGCGTGGAGCAACTGCTTTAATCATCTGTTGGACCGTTACGTGCTGCCTACGATCCCAAATTTTAATGAGTTTGTGATCACTTATGTCCTTGCTGGGCAGATCAGCAAGACTCTGGTTTTGGATTTCGTCGAGAGCGAGGAGCCCTTCGAAGGAAAGATTCCATGGAAGCAGAACATGAAACCTTCAAGCATAAAACCGACGAAGTAGATTGGCCGTAAACTTTCAAGGCTTTGGTGCCGAGGATTGAGTGTAGTTCAGACCCTCGGAGTTGTGAGTTACATAGGTTGGCACTTTGAATAGATGAGTATATAGGCGTTCTTCGGCATGGTGTTTCCGTCCGCGTACATAGAGCACTGCATGTGTTTCCACTGCTACGAAAGAATGACAGGAAATTCCTCACTTGAACTGTTCGAATATCCCAATTTTCCAGGTTTTGGGTTCCGTTGAAATAACTCCAAAAGTTGATAGACTTATTTGACGCAGCGCAGTAAAGTCGCAGGATGAAGGCAGGGACATCTGGAAAAGACGCAAGACCTGGTAGTCATCGACAATCAATTTCGCAACGTATGTAGGCCATGCACTTCAACTCAAACGCTTTTAACAGCTGGTGTACGCATATTTATCCTTCAACGATGGTAATCTTTGGTCAAGCGGTAATAGATGACGCCAGCCGGCATAGACGTGTATGGTGAGCTTTATCTCCGCCATCTCCAGGGTGACACCCGGAAGCGACCTTCCCAGAGGGGCCAAGCTCCCTTGCGTTACATTCCGTCAACGCGGAGGACCCGTCTGGTTACAACAACCCAGCCATTCTTCCATTAAGCAAACCTACCCACCACATATATCACCGTTCCAGTGTTTCAAGCTCCTCATTCTACGAACCACCATATTGCCTTCCAGGCAACAAAGAGTCCAACAAGATATCAAATATTTCAATAACAAATCAGACAAAATGGGCGCAATCACCTCAAGCATCTGGGCCACTCCAGACCTCAAGTTCGACAGCGTGATCAAGCTTTCCAACGGCGTGACCATGCCGCGCCTGGGCTTCGGCGTATGGCAGGTCGACCCCGCCGTGTGCACATCGGTAGTCGAGACAGCCCTGAAGGCAGGATATCGACACGTCGACTCAGCCCAGGCGTACCGCAACGAGGCCGAGGCTGGCGCAGCACTGCGGTCATCGGGAGTCGTGAAGCGCAAGGACGTCTTCTTCACGACCAAGATCCCGCGGGATCTTGGGAGTGTAGATGCCAATTATGCTAGTGTCGTGGAGAGCGTCAACAAGATCAATGGCGATGGACCGGATGCGGACGCGTATGTTGATTTATTCCTCATCCACACGCCGCGGATGGGCGCTGAGGGGATCAAGAACGTGTGGTTGGCGCTGGAGAAGTTACTTAAGGAGGGGAAGACACGGAGTATTGGAGTGAGCAACTTCAGTGGGCAGGATATCCAAGGTATGAAGGAGTATGCTACTGTGTGGCCACCGCACGTCAACCAGATCCAGGTAAGCTGCTTCCTTGTTGATCGCGGCGATCTAGCCGCAGACGTGTACTAATATGGAGAAATGCAGCTCAACCCTTGGGTTCAAGAGAAGGAAGTGGTTAAGTATTGTGAAGACAACGGAGTCGTGCTCCAAGCCTACAGCCCTCTGGCAACTGGAAAGAAGCTGGATGACCCGACAGTTGGTGAGATTGCAAAGAAGTACAACAAGTCCCCGGCCCAGGTCTTGATTCGTTACGCTCTCCAGAAGGGGTGGGTGCCTCTTCCCAAGAGCGTCCATAAGGAAAGGATTATCGAGAACACGCAGCTTTATGACTTTGACATCTCTTCGGAGGATATGACAACTTTGGATGGCCTGGATGGGAAATAGCTCGGGGCATGTCAGTGGTGAGTATTCTTGAGTTTGACCAAGGATCGTCTAATTATCCCATGTACACATGTATGACAGTGTCGGGTGTGGATCGTCCACCATGATCCATTTCAAAAGACGGCGGCTGGCTTGAAAGAAAAGTCTATCTAAAACGTGCTTTCTTTCCACGTACGAAACCTGCAAATAACTACCAACTTAGCACATGTGCCAAACGTTAAGGCATAACCTTGACTCGGCTTGACACTTCTCGAATAAATCGTGTAGGACCCGAAAATGAAAACCCCAACTTTGGACCCCACGAAGTCGAAAAGAGTATGCGTTCTATCGTGATCTCGATACTGATCTCAAATCCCAAGTACATAGGGAGGCAAAAGGGAGGGGAATGGATGATAGTTGCCGGGAGTGGGGAAGGAGAGCTTGATGCTTCCATTGCGTCATGCCATCTTATTAATAATCGATCGCGTCTTCTGGGCTCAACGATTGCTATAATTACACATCCTTTTCCAGACGCCAATGAAGAGTTATCATTTCCTCAATTGACTCAAGGTCGCAAGTCGCGAAAGTGGACGTCAGTATCAACAATGCCTATCCCAGACGAGCAACTCCACCCCACCGCCACCGGCCCCGCAGCCGAGGTCGTCAAGGCGCACTCCACCAGCCCCAAGCCAGACGAGCACGTCCTCTACTCAGGCTGGTTCTGCCCATTCGTGCAGCGCGTGTGGATGACCCTCGAGGAGAAGGGCATCCCATACCGCTACCAGGAGATCAACCCCTACAAGAAGGAAGCCTCCTTCCTGGCGCTCAACCCGCGCGGGCTGGTGCCCACCCTCGGCGTGCCCACCAAGGACAAGGGTGAGCAGCCGTTGATCGAGTCGGGCGTCATCTGCGACTACCTAGATGAGACGTTCCCGGACGTGCCGCTGTACCCGCGGGGTGACGCGTTCAAGAAGGCCAAGCTGAGGGTTTCGATCGACTATGTGACCAGCCGCATCATCCCGGCTTTCCACCGCTTTCTGCAGCACACGCCCGACAAACCGTACAGCATCGACGAGGCGCGCTTTGAGTTTCTCAACACGCTTGTCACGTGGATCAAGGACGCCGACCCCGAGGGGCCGTTCTTTGCGGGCGCCGAGCTAAGCATGCCGGATGTCATCATGGGCCCGTGGGCGGTGCGGCTGTGGGTGTTTGACCATTTCAAGGAGGGCGGCCTTGGGATCCCGAAGCCGGGCGAGGGCGGTGCGGATGAGAAGGCTTGGGAGAGGTGGAGAAAGTGGGCTGCTGCCATTGAGGGGAGGGACAGCATCAAGAATACGTTGAGCGAAAGGGAATACTACTTGCCCATTTATGAGCGGTATCATACAGATAAAGCTCAGAGTGAGCTCGCCAAGGCTACGAGGGCTGGTCGAGGTGTGCCTTGATCAGATTAAGGTGGGTGGTGAGAAGATTACTGCTTTCTAAGGAGCCGCGAAAACAATACCTAGGGGTCCGACGACTGACTTACTTCAAATCTATCTCGAAGGTGCACTCTCAGGTCTTAATTCCCGGGATACCGTGGTGAACTTCCTTAGATTGAAGCCTAGAGTTACTTGTTGCGGATCATAGAGCGCATTCTGTCGCCTGGGCGTGTCCCAACTCACGATCCGTGAGTAGCCTCCCACGGCTGGTACCCAGCATTTTGGAAGATTTTCTCAATCTGCCGTCTCCTGACGCCAACATTCCCACCATCGAACAGAGGCAGAACCATGGCATCGTTCAGAAGCCTGGAGAATGGCTGTTCCTTGGCATATGATTTTCTGAAAGTCCGTCGAGTTGACATGCGTGCTTTGCAAAGGAGAGGAGGTGAAGTAGACTTACATTCCAACAGCCTTCATAGCGTCCACAACGCTCTGCACCGCACCCTCGGATGAATGGATCTTCGCCTCGAGAGCCAACTCGAGCCTTGCATTCCAGCCTCCAGGACCATTTTCAATAGCATGCAGAGCCTTCCATGTCAAGAGCCGGCTGGTCTCAGCCCGTATCTTGATATCTACCAGTAGGTCTGCCACGCTCTGCCGTTCCAGGATCGGGGCACTTCCACCACGTGTGTCCTCTTTGGCGAAACGTAACGCGGCATCAAATGTCGCTCTCATAAGTCCAACGCCCATGGCACCCACTAAAGCAGCCGACGAGCCGAACGTCTGCTCGACTATCTGGGCTCCTTTGCCGGGTGGGCAGAGTAGGTTCGCATCGGGGACGCGGAGGTTGTTGAACGAACTGTGAGGACCTGACGCGGAAGGGAAGCCTGAAAGTTCGGGTTCACCAAGCACCTTGTATGCGTTGGAGTCGTTAGCCGCAATCACATCACGCGTGACGAGCAAGATAAGGATATCCTCCGCCGGATCCTTGGTAGGATCTGGAAGGCCTCCGTCCTCCGAGTACCGGCATACGACGCACTGCAGATCGGCGCCCTTTCCGTCCCATCCGCCGCTGTTGGTGGTCCATAGCTTCTCGCCATTGATGACCCACTCATCACCCTCCTTCCTCGCCGTCGTGCCAAGCCCCTTCCCGCCCCTCTCAAGCCAGTTGGCCGTCCCACCCGGCTCCGAGTGCACGAAGCTCGCCAGCGGCTCCCCCTCTCCGCTAAGAAATGTCGGCAGCAATCGCTTGCGTTGTTCCTCGCTGCCCGCGAGGATGAACGGGGTCAACCCCAGTCCCGTCCCGAGAATGGTCAGCGCGGCGGACGGCTCGACCGAGAAGAACTCCTCGACCAGGATGGCGGCGTCGACGAGGCTTTGTGCGCCTCCATCCAGCGCGGTGGGGACTTGGCCCTTGATCAGGCCGGCTTTCACCGCGGCGGCATAGGTGGGCTTGGTGGCGCGGAAGCGAGCCTCTTGTGTCGTGTGCTGGGAGTAAGCGGCATAGGCTTCTCTGAGGTGGGTTTGCGCGAATTGGGCTGCGCCTGCGCGGAGTAGTTGCTGCTCTTCTGAGAGGCTGAAATCGATCATCTTATTTTGGTCAGCGGGATGTGGGTGTGAGGCATGAAAACTTTGAGTGCGGATATCAGTCAGCGGGTGGAAAGTGACCTGATTGTAAAGTTGAGAATCTCACATAATCTTGGGCTGCCAACCCCGCTGTGAGGTTGGATTTGACCAACCAGTTGACACACACGACACATGCTCTGCTGTGATGAAAGCAATTCACGGCAACGAAATGGTATCGCAAATTCCCGACCATTTTGTGTGCCCGCAAAGCCTGCTTCTGTATTGAATGGATGACAATCGATCTTATATAAACGCGCAGTCCGCTTATACAATGTGTGCGTGTTCTGAGTCTGTGAATAAAGACCCACTCTTGATGGTCTGGACAAAGGAGGTGAAGCATTCATGCTGCACTGAACACCTTTCCTAGTAAACAGAGGCGAGTTCACTAAATCGTATTTTTCTACGAAATCTCCAGTGTCGATGTAGGTTCGATTACGCTGGGCAAGAGCTCGGTCCTGTATAACATGCGCCATATGCTTACTGCTGATCATGTATCAATACTGTGTTCACAGTCCTGCCAGCGACCAAATAATGAATAATGTTTTCAGAATTGTGCAGGCAAACTCAGGTCACGCAATTAAAGGGTGAAGGCGTCAAGACGCACAAAGCCAAGAAAACTACAGACTTATTCATATCGTTGTTTTCCTTATCGAGACAACGGTTGGCCGGGTATAGGTAACCGTGTAATGTGAGCGTTCCGCATAACACCAGCAGACAAGATACATGTGAGTATTTTTGCATCACGCATCGACGAATTGGTATCAAATAGGGCCGCATCGCTGTGTACCGAAAGAACAACATCTCTCCGATTACCATAGTGTTCAACTAAACCCTCATCTTCTCTTCTCCGGGTGCCTATTCGGCGTCTCCCCAGCGCCACGCTTCAGCCCGTCCGAGACAATGCCGACAATCTCGCTGGCAGGGTTCCGATGCCCACAGGTCAATGCTTCGAGGCCCTTTGACACGGAAGCGACGATATCTCCCGCCAATCCCACTCCTCGTCTGGGTCCGTGTGCGCGATGAGGTTCTGCGGCACTATGGAGGTGTGTTAGTGTCAGTCTTACGAGCTGGTTGACGGCAGAGTAGAATATGCGTGGTGAATGCTTACGGATCCATGATGTGCTTGTAGTGAGTTCAAGTGGTTTACTTTTCTGGGGAAATAATTGTGGCCCTGATACAGGATAGCTATCTGTCCCGGGCGTGTGCTTATATATTTATCCTGACCCTGCGATTCATCACGGCTTGTCGATATCTATCTATAATGCCACCTTGTACTCCGAAGAATGACGTACACCCACATCTCGCTGATGTTGACTATCTTACCCAAAGCGGTAATTCTTGGACATTGACGTGTGCCTCAAGCTTCATCCCGTATGCCAGATCCCTGGACGAAGCCGCATGATTTGATCTTGGCGGACCTGTCAGCGGCATCACATGTGAATGGCTGACTCCCGGCGACTTGGGATGAGGCAAGCGCAGCAATGCAACCCACCTGGCCACCCAAGTGCCTAGGTAATTTCCTCGTGAGGCAATCCGACTCGTGATGATTTACGGCATGCCCCGTTGTTTCTTGAATTCGTTGTCTGTGGCGGCCGGGGTCACGCTCAGCACAGTCTGTGTCCGCGTTTGGACCCTGGAACGCCTTAGCACGGACATTTTGCCCACGCTGAGCATCTCGCATGTGAGAATCGTTTTCCGGTCAAGCACATAGATAGCAAATTATCTTCATTCATCTACACCGAGGATTAAATGCTAATATGTGACCCAGACCGGAACGCCTCGCCGAAACCCTGCGCTCCTCCACCAATTACTCGGACTTGTCGTCCTTCTTGTCTTCACCTCCCTCTTTCTTCTCCTTGCCGTCTTCTTTTGCGTCATCTCCGCCCTCATCTTTCTTGCCTTCGTCCTTGCCTTTGTCTTCGGACTCTTCACTTCCCTTGGACTCGTCCTTATCCTTAGACTCATCCTTATCCTTCGACTCATCCTTCTCCTTGGACTCGTCCTTACCCTCAGATTCCTCACCCTCAGACTTCTCGCCCTCAGACTTCTTGTCCCCAGACTTCTTGTCCTCAGATTTGTCCTTGCCAGCAGCTTGCTTGCCTTCCGACTTGCCCTTCTTAGGCTTCTCCTCGTCAACCTTCTTCTTGTCACTGTCGGCATTGTTCTTCTCCTCCTCAAGCTTTTGAATCTCCTCCTCGGCAGCCTTCTTCCTGTCCTCGGCAGCCTTCCTCTTCCTGTTCTTCTCCCGCTCGACAGCCTCCATCTCCTCGTACTTCTTCATGTCCAGCTCATCATGCCCCTGCTTGTGGAACTTCTCGCGCAGGCCGGTCAGGCGTGGCGCCTCGGGGCCGATCTTCTCGCGGCCGATGAGGCTGATGAAGATGGACACACCCACGATGGCCGTCAGCACGAAACGGTAGGTGTTGTACCAGGTCGGGCACCAACCGCGCGTGGTGGCGCGCGAGTCGGCAAAGTACATAAAGACGAAGGCGCCGAACTGAGCCGTCAGCGCGTACTGCACGGGCATCACCATGGTGGGCCAGGCGAGCACGGGGGCCAGGACGCCGAGGCCGTAGCGGAATTTCGTACGCGCCGCGTTGGGCTGCTTTTCTGCGTACTCAAGACCCTGTGATTATTGTCAGTACTCAGTCGGAAATCATTCCACAGGGGCCCTCTGCACAAATCTTACCCAGTGGATGGCGCCCAAGAAGGAGATGATGACTGCTCCATAGCCGACCTGGATTGGCTCAAGCAGATGGAGGTAGTAGTTGGCACTCTCGTGGCTCATCAAGAAGTGATTCACGAATTGGGACTGAGACGGCCATTCAGTGTTGAGGTTCCAGCTGAGAAATGTCGTTGCTAAAGATGTGCCAAGGTAGGGGATTGTGCCGGCAAGACCCAATCTTAGTGATATTGGGGGCACTTCTCCAAGGGACAGCGTCTCCTTCAGGGTATTCTAGAGGCACACAGTCAGCAATGCGACACCAACCCTGGCATTTAGAGCTCTGGGTATGTACACACCAAATCCTTCTTCACCCCCGCAGAAGTAGGTGGATCAGAGGGCTTGGTCTCTGGCCCCTCGTAGGAAGGCCGGACGCTCGACTCCTCAGTGACCTCCTCGGGATGGGACTCAAGCTTCTTCTGGGCCAACTCTTTCTCGAACTTGGTGTCTCGTGTGTTCTTGTCGGCGAATTGTGCCCGTTGCACAAAGGGCACAAGCTGCCTCGAGGGCGCCGCTGCCAGGAGCTGAGCTCGCCGTGGTGTGCTGGGCGTGGGTTTCCGTGTCTGGGAGGTCGCAAATGGGGCAATTGAGGCCGGCGACCTGGGGAGACCCCGAGCCGGGACGCTCAGAAGGGGTCTCGTGCTTCGAAGCATCGTATCTGTTTGCACGCTGAAGAATTGATCTTGTTGGAGGCTTGCTGTATATCACGTTGGTGGGCGTATCAAGGGAGATGGCGAAGTGCTGCGGAATGGTGTAATCGAGCAATTGGAATTGGAAATTGGGAGAACCAGGACTATATCGCCTCGACGAAGCCGAGAAATATCCTGGCAATTGGACAAGCACCCCAGAAGTCGCATCATGTTTTGGAAACCTGGACTTGGAGCGCGATCGACCTTGAAGCTGTCTGCCGAAGCGTTACACGGCCTTGACGTCACCAAGCCGCGGGAGAGCTCGAGCTCCAGTACCAAGGTCTAGCCCCGACCTTGCGTCATCCTTCTGTATCTAGGTGATGCTCCCCTGTCAAGCACCTAAATCACTCTAAACCTAGGCTGTTCCTTGGCCGATTAGCCGATCTGGCTTCCGTTTAACTGGCGATAGCCTCGTCTTCAACGTCTCCCTGGGCCCTTGGATGCGTGCCAAGAAGCCCCTGCCAGAATCAGCAGAAACTCACACTGAAGCTATGCTACAACCTTTCCCATTCTTAGAGCCGGAAATGCGCGTCAAAACGCGGCAGGAATCTCAATTGGTTTGGCATCCGGCACACAGGCTGCTCAGCGCTTCATTATAAGCTGAATAGTACATCTTGACACCCACTCATTGGATCCTGAGACATTATCGAGCTTAAGATTCAGTAGTCAATAGCCAGCAGTCGGAATTTCTGGTAGGACATGTTGGGCCACTTCCGAGCCAACCTCAGTGCCTCTCCATGCATCCCCTCCTCGGTCGAGGGCATCTTCGGGTGTGAATCTTCCCGGTCATTATCATTGTAGAGTTGAAGTATAGACCTCGGTACATTTTGTTATTATAATGAGCAAGCCACGGCACATCATCAATCCTTGGATCAGTGACATACGCCGCGGCCTAGGAAGTGAATGGGGTATATGTCGAAAAGAAAATGCGAATATGCAGGGAACATTTTGATACCAAGTAGCAACGCAAAATTCCACGCACGCAAGGAATAATCAGACGCTCAAATCCTGGAGTGCCGTCTCATCCTGCTGCAGACTCACCAGCTTCAAGCTATCCCCCCACAGCTTCTTCTGCCTCTCCTCATCTTGCACCTCGTCTCCTGGCTTTCGCCTCTTGCCACCATCGAGATAAATCGCCTTGGGATGCTCACCCAGCTCCTTGGTGTCGAAGCTGGCCCGCAACAGATGCTCTCCAGACTTCAATGGCGTCCTTAGTGGGGAGTTGGGTGCCACGGCGGAAGACAGTCTAGAGAGCTGAATCACCACCTTATTCACAGCCTTTGACTGCTTGCCGCCCGTCGCGATGTTGGTGACCATTGCACCGGGCTCCATGGCCAATATGGAGATCTTGGAGAGCTCCGGGTCCACTGACAGGCGTCTCTGCAGTTCGAACCTGTGGTTCTCGTCAGCACACGAGCCGTCTTATTTCGAGTATCAGTACGAAAAGCAACTCACATGAACATCACCAGACAGGCCTTGCTCGCCCCGTACCTCCTCAGCCCAGCCTTCTGGCCGTCATCCGTGTACTCGACGCCCTTGGCCAGCGTCTCGGTATCACGGTACTGCACCTTGTACTCTGCCTGGCCAAGATGCTTGGTCACAACATTGCGCTTATCATACGGGTTATGAGACCAGCTAGAAACCATCACGACACGCCCGTGCTCCTTGTCCATCGACCGCAGCAACAGCAGCACCAGCAGGAAGTTGGCCAGATAATTGATGCCCCAGACAGCCTCGTGCCCGTCCTCCGTAAAGCGCCGCGGCTTCTTCGCCTCGGGCGCGACGTCCAGGTAGCCGGCGACGAGGACGAGCGCGCGGATGGGCTCGAGCGACCCGTCGGCCACGCGCGCGTTGATGGAGGCGGCGAAGGCGCGGATCTTGGCCAGGCTGCCCAGGTCGAGCGGCGACGCCTCCCACTGGTGGTCCTTGGGCGTCTTCGTCCTGACGAAGGCGTCCAGCTCCTGCGCGGCGGCGTCGTCGCGGTCCAGGTAGATGCCGCGGTGGTCCTTGGCGTAGGGGGACTTGCTCAGGGCCGTGATGAAGCCCCTGCCAAGGCCGCCGTTGGCGCCAGTGACGATGATGGTGCCCTTGCAGGGCGGTGCTTGTGCTAGCTTTGGCTCCGCCATCTGGTCGACTAGTTGTGGCCTTCTGATCTCTGCTACTGGCTTGATGGGTGAGGAGGGAGAGGGTGTTGATGAGGCAGATGCTGGTGGTCGAGGAAAGTTCAGGGCATATGAAGGGGTCAGCTGTGGGAGATTAAGCCATCAAACCCGTCGACCTCGGCCCATGCAATCCGAATACGATTTATTTCATCCTCCATCTCGAGTTCGGTTTGTTTGATGCTACACCATGATGGCTGGGCATTCAGATAGCTCGACCGTGAGGGCACATTACGGGGATGCTTACGGGTCCGCGAGGCAACATTCGATGCAGCTGAACATTAAGGCACTTGACAGCGGATTGATGCTGTGCGTGGGGTAACATACCGTATTCTAAGGTTCGCACGAGGATGCCCTGGTCTATGAATGAGTTTCTAGGATGCATGTGAAATGAAATGCAGGCCATGATTGTAGAAGGTAAACTTGGACCGGCATGTAAAATTGTAAGCGACCCATTTTACCCACGTGTAGACTTTGTGCGACGCGAAAGTATCACATTGGATCGATGGCGTTGAGGCTCCAAGTGTCGTATGGATTCTGTGACCGGCCATGCAGACGGAATGGCAAGTGGGCCAGTGGTAGGGATTCTCTAGGTGGAGTCTTGGTGTCCTTATGTCCTGAAAAGGTTTAAGCACCCTCACTCTGCTCGTTAGCTGTGGTCAAGTCAAGCTTTTCTGGGTCCTTTGGGTCATTTGGGCCCTCTTCAGGAAGAAGAGAGGATGCTGCTTGTTGTGTTTTTCATCTAGAAGGGTTAGGGTCCTCGACCTGAAACCGGCTTGGGGGAGAGGGTGGGGTATGGTCAAGGAGGGGGGAGTGGGATGAAGGAATGAGTTGACAGGTGGCCCAAGCTCCTCCTCACGCGTTTAACCTCGAAGAGTGAGTGACGTCGAGGCGATAGCGACTGCCCCCCCTGTCTCTTGCAGCTCATAGCAGCGATTGACGACCAGTCCTTGCCCAGCGCCCAGTTCCTTGAGCTCCTCTCTTTGTTAGTGCCACGCCTCGACCCGCGAGGATCCTCTGCAAATCGTCATCTGCGCCACAACTGGCTCCCCCTCCATGGCTGACGTCGACCAGGTTCTGCCTCTGCCTCTGCCTCTGCCTCTGCTCTGTCTGCCTGTCTCTCCCTCTCCCTGGCTCGGCCCACGCCAACATCCAAGTTCCCCAGAATTGCTGCATTCTCTTCACTTCCAAGCCTGTGTGTTAATGCTGCATTGCTGCATTGCTGGGTGCTAGATCCCTATACCTGGTCCTGCTTGTCTTTTTTCTTGCACTGGGCCACCACAGTCAAAGACAACATTTGTTTACTTTCCGCCACGCATAGCAGCACCACGTCTCTATTCCCCTTCATTCGAGTACGTCTGCCCTTGACTGCCCCCAGCTGAAGCTGCTGCTGAGGCTGGAACCTGGAAGCCGGCAGCTGTTGGACGACACGACGACTCTTTCATCTTGGAAGAAGCTAGACTAATAATTCTTCTGGAACCAGCAGCTTCTTAGCGACTTGACCTCCCTTTCTGAATGACGACGTGACGATTCCCTACTCCTTCAATCCTCGCCGTTTCGACCACACCACGCGTCGTCCAGATCACTACTGTTGCTACGCCTCCCCTCTGTTCTCGAGCCTGGCTCGTGTCGAAGTAACCCATGCCCTGTCTCACGTAACCTACAAATCCTATCATACCCCCGGCCTGGGTAACCGGCCAACCAACTGCCCATCATGCTTGAGGGACTCGTTGCCGGCCTGCTTAACCGCTTCTTGGGCATGTACGTCAAGAACTTCGACCCAACACAGCTCAAGGTCGGAATCTGGTCAGGAGACGTCAAGCTACGCGATCTCGAGCTGCGTAAAGAAGCGCTCGACCAGCTCAACCTCCCCATCAACGTTGTCGAAGGCCACCTCAGCGAGCTCACCTTGGTCATCCCCTGGTCCAATCTCCGCGGCGCCCCTGTTCAGATCCTGATCGAGAATGTCTTCCTGCTGGCGAGTCCTAAGGAGGAGGCGCAATATGACGAAGACGAGGAGGAGCGCCGGAAGCAGAGGATCAAGATGGAGAAGCTCGATTCTGCCGAGCTGTTGAAGGAGCGATCACAAGAGGGCCTGACGCAGGAGGAGCAAAAGAAGAGTCAGAGCTTCACCGATAGCCTGGTTACCAAGATTGTCGACAATCTGCAGGTAACGGTCAAGAACATCCACGTGCGATACGAGGACTCAATATCGGCACCGGGGCACCCCTTTGCACTGGGTGTGACACTAGAAGAATTTAGTGCAGTCAGCACCGACGGGAACTGGAAGCCAATGTTTATCCAGGATACCTCGAAAACCACCCACAAACTAGCCACACTTGGCGCTCTGTCGGTATACTGGAATACTGATACCAAGCTTTACGGTTCAGGCCGCGAGGCCAGCTCTTCAGATGAACCACCGATGGAACACGCGGAGATGATCAAGACCTTCAAGGCTATGATCGGTAAAACTGATGCGAATGTGGGAGTCGACCACCAGTTCATCTTGAAGCCTGTTAGTGGGCAAGCCAAGATCGAATTAGACAAGTCAGGAGATGCGCACACGCCGAAGTGGAAGGCGAATCTGCTCTTTGACGAGATTGGAGTTGTCCTTGACGATGACCAATACAGAGACTCGTTGATGATGGTTGACCTTTTCCACTACTTCATCCGCCATCAGGAGTATAAGAAGTACCAGCCGAAGGGTGTCAGGCCCAAGGAAGATCCACGGGCATGGCTCAAGTTTGCAGGTGATGCGGTTCTTAGCAAGATCCATGAGCGCAATAGACGGTGGTCCTGGGATTATTTCAAGGAGCGCCGTGATGACCGTCTGCGATACATCGAGCTTTTCAAGAAGAAGAAGCAAAGTCAACAGCTCTCACAGCAAGAGAACGACGACCTCAACAAGCTCGAGTGGAAGCTTGGTTATGAAGACTTACGGTTCTGGAGATCACTGGCTCGCAACCAGTTGAAGAAGGAAAATGCCGCTGCCCTAAGGAACCAACCGGCCAAGCAAGAACAACCGCAAGGTTGGGTCGCGTGGATGTGGGGCTCGAAGCCCCCGGAACAGACAACTTCCGACGACGAGAACACACAGATGACGGAGGAGCAGCGGCAGGAGCTGTACGAGGCAATCGACTGGGATGAGAAGACTGCTCTGGCTGATGCCGTCGATGTACCCCGGGACAGTGTGAAGTTCCAGGTCGAGGCTTCGCTCAGCACCGGAAGCTTCACGCTGCGGCAAAGTCCACATAAGAACCCCAAGGATCTGCTCAGCTTGCACTTTGATGTTTTTAAGGCTAAGGCCCTCGCCCGTCCGGACTCCTTCCTCACCGATGTCAGCCTAGGCGGCCTCCGCGTTAACGACGGCACCACGCCAGACAGCTTGTACCCGGAGATTGTGCGAGTCAAGGATGCGCCAGACCGTAAGAAGCAGAAGCGGCTCTCGATGGTCGAGCTGGAGAAGTCAACCGAGGAGGCGTTCTTCCATCTGGAGCTGGAACAAAACCCTCTCGACGGCCAGGGCGACTTCGCTGTGAAGGCCAAGTTGAAACCCCTGGAGATTGTCTGGAATCCAAACATCGTCGTCGGAGTCGTCGGCTTTTTCCGACCTCCAGAGCGCCACATGGAGTCAATCACCGCCCTCATGGAGACGGCGGGTGCTACAGTCGAAGAGTTGAGGCAGCAGACAAGAGCCGGCCTGGAGTTCGCCCTCGAGGAGCACAAGACCATCAATGCCATGTTGGACCTGCAAGCACCCCTGATCATAGTACCGCAGAGCATCACGACGCGCAGATCTACTTGCATGATCCTTGATGCTGGTCACATCAGTGTCAACTCTGAATTGGTAGATAGAGATACCATGAAAGATGTGCAGTCGAAACACAACTCGGCGTACACTGACGAAGATCATAAGCGTCTGGAGTCACTTATGTACGACAAGTTTATCGTCAAGCTCACATCCACTCAACTGCTGATCGGGCCATCGATCGACGAAGCCAAGTCACAACTGACTACCAAGAGTGAGAACTCAACGATGCACGTTGTCGAACAGATCAATATCGACTTCCTTGTCCAACTTTCCATCTTACCGAAAGCCCCGAATCTGACGAAACTCCGTGTATCCGGTCACCTTCCTCTTTTACACGTAACGGCCTCCGACACCAAATACAAGAGCCTCATGAAACTCATCGACGTGGCACTACCCAAGTTTGGTAACGACTCTGCACCAGAGCCGCAGCACTCTAACCGACCACGACTTCAAAGCAATGTGTCCACGCGTTCCAGTCGTTCTCAACAGCAGAGTCCCAAAGTCAAGCGCAGACGGTCCTCTCAACTTCTGCCCTTTACCGCCACAAAAGAGCAGGCGATCGTCCTAGATGACATCGATGAAGATGAAGAGGCTTTTGAAGACGCCACTGATGATCAGCCGAGTGTACAGCTCAAGCTGAAGCAGAAGACCTTCGAGCTGAAGTTCACAGTGGACGAGTTGCGCGGTTCTCTGTACAAGAGCGATCCTGATGGGAAGAATCCGGACGCACTCCTCGTGGAGCTCGTCGCGCAGAGCTTCGAAGTGAATTACTACATGAGACCGTTCGACATGGTCGCCAACGTGTCTCTGGGCTCGGTTACCGTCGACGACTTCGTCGATCAGCCGCCAGCAGAGTTCAAATCGATCGTTTCATCGGGTGATGTCGAGGACAAGAAAGCACACCGTGCATTAGTCAAGGTCAACGTTGTACGCGTGAAGCGAGAGTCGCCAGAGTTCATGTCAGTCTACGAGGGAGTCGAGACTAACGTCAATGTTGCTATTACGACCATCAACCTCATCGTAACACGCAAAACATTACTTACTTTGCTCGACTTCATCCTTGTCACTTTCACTAATCCTGGGAATAACAATCAGCAGCAGCAAAAAGCTATCACGGATGATGGGTCCGAGGTTGATATCGCTGTTGAACCACCAGAACCTGCTCCAGAAGCCGCCGCTGCTGCTATTAGAGTCAGGGTCGACCTGAAGAGTATTCAGCTCGTTCTCAATAACGATGGCATACGGCTGGCTACGCTTTCGTTCAACCATGCAGAAGTCGGCGTTTTTATTCTCGGCACCACCATGCGCGTCAACACCAAGCTTGGTGATCTAAGTCTTGTCGACGATGTCAACCTTGGTGTATCCGCAGACTCCCCAATCCGGAAGCTCATCACGATCCAAGGGGACGACCTTGCCGACTTCAGGTACGAAACATTTGACTCTAAGAACGAGAAATCGTATCCTGGCTACGACTCGTCCATTTACCTGCGGGCTGGCTCTGTCAAGGTCAATTTCCTGGAGGAGCCTTTCCGCAAGATTGTGGAGTTCATGGTGAAGTTTGGCAAGATGCAGGCCATCTACAACGCTGCTCGTCAGGCTGCTGCCAACCAGGCGCAACAATTGCAGCAAAGCAGTAGCCGCATCAAACTCGACGTCATAATTAACACGCCCATCGTTGTGTTCCCCAGCGTCGTAACGCACGGCCAGCCCAAGCGAGATCTCATCACCGCCTATCTTGGAGAGATCTATGCCCAGAACCAGTTTGCCCCACTCGATGATTCAGAGGGTTCAGAAATCGCAAATAAGATGTCCACTGGGATTCGCAATGTCAGGCTCACCAGTCTGTTCCACTACGCCGACGACAAATCTGAGGAGCTGGAAATGATTGACCATGCCGACATGGGATTCAGCATCATCTATGCTGAACACAAGAAGGGTGCAAAGCGACCGGAACTTGAGATTGAGGGCAACCTGACACAGTTCAATTTGAAGCTCACTCAGTACCAGATGAAGGCCTTGCTTGCGATCTCGAAATCTGTTCCTGCAGCATTCTCTAGTGACGCGGATGCTCAAGCCGAACAAGCTGAGCAGGACGTTGACTACGGCACTCTACAGCGTGCTCGAACCCTGCCGAGGTCACAGGAATCAAGTCAAGATGAAAGCATTGACATGAAGCCGGAGCTTGGAAGCAACAATGATACATGGACAAAGCTCGACCTTGTCTTCCGCGTGCCCACAGTTGGTCTAGAACTCATCAATGCCCCTGAAGGCCGACCTGTCGGAAAGCTGGAGACGGCCAGCTTGGGCAGGTTCAGTCTGGATGATAGTAGGCTTAAAACCCGGATGCAGGCCAACGGAAGCCTTGAGGCCGAGTTTGTCATCCAGAGCTTTACGATCCATGACTCTCGTCCTCGTGAGACGAACAAGTTCCGTCGAATCATGACGAGTGGGAATAAGAGCGTCCAACAATTCATGGCCAGTGTGACAATATCGGGCGGCAAGGAGCGCAGTCTCATCGCCATGGCTGCGATCGATTCTCCCAGGATCATCTTTGCTCTGGATTATCTCTTCGCTCTTCAGAGCTTCATCATGACTGGCCTACAGGTCGATGATTCTAGCCCCATGGACGAAGAGGAATTGGAGACACCTGAAGAGAGTGACGCGGACAGTATGCAAGTCAGCATTGCTCGACGTGAATCCAGCATCCAGTCGCCGAGGACATCGGTCAGCACAAGGTCGCCAGTTAAGACAGATCAAAAAGAGGAGCAAGAGTCCAAGATGAGCATTGCTTTCCGCGTCAATATCGTCGACGCACAGGTCATCCTCATCGCAAATCCACTCAGCGCAAGCAGCGAAGCAATTGTCTTGGGCACTAAGCAGGTGCTCCTGTCGCAACAGCATGCGTTGACTTTCCAGGTCTCTGAAGTTGGAATGTTCTTATGTCGCATGGATCGCTTCGAAGATTCGAGACTGCGGATCCTCGACGATTTCTCTATCCAGATGTCTATGGATAGCTCGAAGCCAGAGTTGACAAATCTGCACATCGACATTGAACCGCTCATTCTCCGTCTTTCGCTTAGAGACATCCTGATCGCCCTTCAGATTATTAGCAAGGCATCAGAGCTCTCAGGCGACGACAAGACTCAGGAAAAGCCTAGCGCTGGTGATCAGAAGGCGAAGGAGCTTAGAAACGCGGGAATGAAGCAGCGGACAGCGAGCGGCAGAGGGGGCACGACTGCCGCCCAGAAATCGAAGTCGGCCAAGCACACCACCGCCGTAAGTGCACGTTCAACTGCTCCGAGCACCAGAGCCACAGGCCAACCTCACGACATTGCCAAGAAACCACGAAAGCGGGAGGAGCTCACAGCTACTATCGATGGCATACGCGTGGTCTTGATTGGCGACTTGCATGAATTGCCCATCCTGGACCTTAGCATCAAGAACTTCAGCGCGACTGCCGAAGACTGGTCGTCAAGTCTGAAGGCCGAGGTACCGATCGAGATGTATATTAATGTTTACAACTTCTCCAAATCTGCCTGGGAGCCTCTTCTCGAGCCATGGGCAGTCGGCCTCGGTGTTGCAAGGGAGCAAGGCACAGGGCTACTTTCCGTTGATGTGGCGTCTCGGAAGACATTCGACGTCACGATCACCACCAACACGATTGCCCTTGCATCGAAGTCCTTTGCCTTCCTTACTCAGGATGAGGACGTCCTCGGCAAGCCGAGAGGCACGGAGTCGCCGTACCGAATCCGAAACTACACAGGATTTGAGGTCGTTGTGCGCAGCAAGAACCCCACCAGCGAGGAGGATATCAACGTACGCCTCGAGGACGGGCAAGAGGCACCGTGGAGCTTTGAGCACTGGGAGAAAATGCGTGAAAATATGCTAACCGATAGCATGGCGAGCACGGCTGTCGCAGTTCAGCTCGAGGGTAGTGGCTTTGATGTCCTCAAGAACATCCGCCTCAATCGTGAGGGCGAGTTCATCTACTCGCTCAAGCCAAAGAGAGACAACGTTTCTCACCGCCTCATGGTCGATGTGAAGCTTGGCGCTGACAATGTCAAATACGTCACGCTCCGCAGCCCTCTGATCGTCGAGAACGCGACTCAGATCCCAGTCGAACTTGGTGTATATGATGCCCAAGAAGGCGACCTGCTCAAGATCGAGAAAATCGCGCCCGGTGAGGCACGCCCTGCCCCTGTCGGTGCTGTATACCTGAAGAGCTTGCTTGTCCGACCTGACAGCGGCTTCGGATACGCCTGGTCGAGTGAGACGCTGTGGTGGAGGGATCTGCTGAAGCGGCCGACTCGGACCATGGTTTGCAAGGGAGAGCATGGCGAGCCGTTCTACTTCCAGATGAACGCGACCTTTGATCGTTCGAACCCCATGACAAAGTAAGTGCCAGCCTCTACTGGAGTAATTCAATGAGTGTATACTGACAAGTCCTGCAGGACCTATCCCAACATGAAGCTCAAGCTCTCAGCCCCCGTGACGCTCGAAAACCTTCTGCCATACGACTTCAAGTACAGAATCTACGATAAGAACACGAAGAAAGACTGGTCGAACTTCCTGCGAAAGGGAGGAGTCAGCCCCGTCCACGTTACGGAGCTTTCGCGTCTCTTGTTGCTCAGTGTCGACATGCAGGATACGGTTTTCAAGGCAAGCGAGTTTGCTATTATCAATTCTGGCAGCTCTGAAGACTTCAAGAAAGAGCATACTCTCAAATGTCAAGACGACCAAGGACTGCAGCTCAATCTGAAGTTGCACTATCACCGTATCCCTGATAGTGGTGGTGCCTTCAAGGTGACGGTGTACAGCCCGTATGTCATCTTGAACAAGACAGGTCTTGACATTCAGATCCGCCACAAGGGCTTCTTGCAGCAAGCCAAGGCCGCGGCCGGCCAACCAGGGCTGCTTGTCGATGTGACAGAGGGTGAGCGCAAGGTTTCGCCTCTGATGTTCTCGTACGGCAGCGATGACCACCGCAACAGAGCCATGCTCAAGGTTGGTGACTCGGAATGGAGCAAGCCGCAGAGTTTCGACGCCATTGGAAGTGCCGCGGACGTCGTGCTGCCATCAGCGAGCCGTAACTCGGAGATCCACGTTGGCATCATCGTCGAATCAGGCGAAGGCAAGTACAAAATGACGAAGGTTGTCACCCTGGCGCCGAGATTCATTGTCCAGAATAAGATGGGCGAAGAAATCAACATCAGGGAGCCAAGTTCATCCGATCTCATGACCATTAAGGCTGGCCAGTTGAGGCCTCTGCACTTCCTGAACAAGAGCGCCGTGAAGCAGCTGTGCCTATGCCATCCTGGGGTTGACAACCAATGGACGTCACCTTTCAACATCTCCGACCTCGGCACTTCTCACATCAAGATCGCCAAAGCTGGTCAACGCCAACGACTGATTCGCGTGGAGATCCTGATGGAGGATGCAACCATTTTCCTTAAAATGAGCTTGGAGACCAAGCAGTGGCCATTCTCAGTGCGCAACGAGAGTGACACCGAGTTTACTTTCTACCAAGCCAACCCCAACATCGATGACGATGGGGTCGAAGACCGCTCGGGTTGGCGCCCGATTCGATACCGACTGCCACCAAGAAGCATCATGCCCTACGCCTGGGACTTCCCAGCAGCCAAGCATCGCGAGATCGTCATTTCTGCGTACAACAAGGAGCGGCATGTCAAGTTGGCTGAAATTGGCAATCTCGTCCCGATGAGGTTCAACACGAGCGCGGGCGGCCAAAAGATTATTGACATCAATGTCGCCGCCGATGGACCAACGCAGACCCTGATCCTGTCGAACTTCAAGCAGTCGAAGAGTCTCTATCGCCAGAAGTCCATGTCAGGCTCCACTGGTAACCTTAGCACGTCCGGTTTCGAGGCGAAGGACCAGGACACTGGCACCAAGTTCCGGGCGCAGCTCAAACTTGCCGGCATCGGTGTGTCGCTGATCAACTCTCAACTCCGGGAGCTTGCCTACGTCACGTTCCGAGACCTCACCCTTCGGTACAGCGAGTCGCCACTGTTGCAGACTGTCAGTCTGGCCATCAAGTGGATTCAAATCGACAATCAGCTCTACGGTGGGATTTTCCCAATGATCCTCTACCCCAGTGTCGTGCCCAAGAAGGCCCAAGAGACAGATGCTCATCCATCGTTGCACGCTATGGTGACTCGGGTCAAGGACGACTCGTATGGTGTCTTGTACATCAAGTATGCGACAGTGTTGCTTCAGCAGATGACCGTTGATCTGGACGAGGACTTCATTTTTGCCATGCTTGACTTCTCCAAGGTTCCCGGTGCCACGTGGACCGAGGCCGAGGAGGAGGGCAGGCTCTGCGATGACAATCTCGACATACCTGAGCCTAGTCAACAGCAAGCTGGCCAAGACATCTACTTCGAGCTTCTCAACATCCAACCGATGCAAATTGATCTGTCGTTCGTGCGAACAGAGCGTATCAATGCCGAAGACAAGACGTCGTCTCGCAACCCGCTCATGTTCTTCTTCAATATCATGACAATGGCAATGGGCAATGTGAATGATGCCCCTCTTCGGATGAACGCACTCATGTTGGACAATGTGCGGGTCTCGACTCCAATCCTGATTCAGAACATTTCGAACCACTACAGTCAGGAGGCCCTCTACCAAGTGCACAAGATCCTTGGATCCGCGGATTTCCTTGGCAACCCTGTTGGTTTATTCAACAACATTAGCTCGGGTATCGCAGATGTCTTCTACGAACCATATCAGGGACTTATCATGTCCGATCGGCCTGAAGATCTCGGCTTGGGTGTGGCTCGTGGAGCAGCTTCCTTCCTGAAGAAGTCCGTCTTTGGTGTCACAGATTCGTTCTCGAAGTTCACCGGTGCTATGAGCAAGGGCCTTGCTGCGGCAACACTGGACAAGCAATTCCAGGATCGAAGGCGAATCACGCGAGCCAGAAACAGGCCGAAGCATGCTCTGTACGGCTTCACGACTGGGGCTAACAGCTTCATCACGTCGGTGGCGTCAGGAGTCGGCGGTGTGGTCCGCAAACCTCTTGAGGGTGCAGAGCAGGAGGGTGCGCTTGGCTTCTTCAAGGGCGTGGGCAAGGGCGTGCTCGGGCTGGGAACCAAGCCCCTCATCGGTGTGCTGGACGCGGCGTCCAACGCAGCCGAGGGTATCCGCAACACCACAACGGTGTTCGACGGGTCAGAGCTCGACCGCGTGCGGCTGACGCGCTTCATCCCGACCGACGGCATCGTGCGGCCGTACAATCAACGAGAGGCGCTGGGTCAGTTCTGGCTCAAGCAGGTCGACAATGGCAAGTACTTTGACGAGAACTACATCGCGCACCTGGAGCTCCCCCGCGAGGACATGGTGGTCATGATCACGTACGCGCGCATCCTGCTGATCAGGAGCCGGCGGCTGGCGACCGAATGGGACGTCCCGCTCAAGGACGTGCAGACCATTGCCAAGGAGCGCACGGGACTCAGCCTGACGCTGCGCGGCGGCACCAACGGGCCCTTCATCCCCATCGGCGAGGAGAGCGGGCGGACGTTTGTGTACCGCATGGTTGGCGTGGCGGTCGAGGAGTTCAATCGCCGGTTTAGGGGCATGGAGTGATTGATGTTTGTACGATGCTTTCCTAGTCTAGGAACTTTCTGGTGGTGATGTGACGGACATGGTGGGGGTGACAGAAAACGGCAGAACAGAACACAAAGCAGCAGAATAACACATCATGGAATGGAGAAGGGGGTATATGATATGGTTGGGTGGTCATAGCAACGGTGCAAAGGTGTTTGCATTTCTCTCCTTATGAATTATATCATTGGGCTGCATTGTTACTAGTATAGCTATAGTACAGACAATCGCGTCTCCGTTATCCTTTTCTGGGACTGGTAGTGTCGTTGTGATGAGTGATGAAGTTGTTTCTGCAAGTCACTGCCTTGGAATACAGCAAGAGATCTCTGCTCTGAGTCAGAGAGCTTCCCAGTTATTTAACAGATAGCTTTCTTCCCCATTGGTGTCGTTCCGCTCCTCAACAACAGCACCGAGAATACAAGAACCTTAAAAAACGAGAAATTTTGAGAAATAACGGAAGTTCACCATGTCTTGGTACGTGCAGAACCTGTCCGCGAGGGATCAAGAGATTCTCAACCACCTCGATTTTCAACCTGTTACTCCTCGCCCTTTCGGGGGAACTCCAGCACAGACAACCAATCCGAGTCTTGAGCCCATCGACCCCCGGAGTATCATGCCTGGTACTAGCAGTCCTATCCGTACGAATTCGCGCTGCCTGGGCTCGTCTCCACCTGGTCTAAGTGATGGCAAGCTACCTATCCGGCGACAGGACATTCAAGTATTCAGGGACTACTGGATCAGAAATACGTACAAGAATATCATTAACCCCAAGGTTCTGCGTCGGGATTTGACCGTTTGGGAGTGGCTCGAAGTAGGAGAGGGCCGCCTTGCAGCCCTTGTGATGTACCGGACTTTCAAGCTATGCGTTCGTACCACATTGCCAGGCGCTGTGAGCGAGTGCGTCCCCTGATTCTCAATCTCGAGCTCTCCAGACTTTTCCATTTGCTGACTACATATTTAATAACACCCTGGTTCTCCATGGGCGGCATTGACCAGATCCTCACTCACTGCCTACTGGAATCTCAAGGCGAGGAGATGCCGGCGTATTTTGGCAACTCAGCACGCGATGCCCAAACGGTAACCTGGTACCTCTTTTCCATGTCAAGACCCGAACTGGAGAGATCGGTTCAAGCAAATAAGAGCTTCATCTCGGCGAATGAAAAGCTCCGATACGTCGCCCAGTACAGCATCCTCGCTGAGCTCCGTCGTCGCTGGGACGAGGGACAACGGGGCGTTGACGAGGTTTTGGAGCGACTGGGACACCTTGGGGAGCAAATGGAGCTTGTCCAGACCGAGCATCTGCAGCTGGGGAACTACCGGGCGTATAGTTTACGACTGCTTGAGGGTCTGTGTCGGATGACGGATGTCACTACGTAGGAGTGACCACGCGAACCAAATGATTTGGCAATGCCGGATTTTGGACGCATTCATGCTACTGGTCTCAACTGGATCCCTATGATCGAGCTGTTCTGTGTCGCGTGCATGCCAGCGTCGAGCGGGAAGAATCAAGTGATTATTGGGATGTGTATGGGGGAGAGTTCCGTGGGCCATCATAGGCACGCCTGAGTGCTCAGGACTAGAATGGCAATGAAAGAATTCCTCCACGAGGATAAAGTTGATGCGCAGCCCTCGTGTTCTCTTAATCGAGCTCCATGCTTTATGAAGTAAGACATCAATCAGGAATTCAGTATTTCTGCAAAAGGTCGAAGGTAGAGGAGAGGAGCGGGGCGTGCTTGTTTTCCGTCGTTACGAGCACCTCGCCTCAGATATTCGTAAGTGTAGTCCAATCATAATTCATGCCTTTCAAATTCTCCGTCTCTGTTCCACCTTGATGCTGGTTTTTGTCAGTCACTGAGTCTTCCCTACCCAAGATGAGCTCATCAACACGATTTGAACTTAGAGACCTCTGGTGACTTTTGTGGCCCAAGTTCCAACATTCGAAGTCGTTTGGTGCTAAAACATGGCAAGTCGGACACAAAATTTGGGGCTGAATGCTCAATCGAGTGTAGATAACACTTTCAGGTACTCGAGCTCAACCCAGGCAAAATTTACTCCATGGTCCAATGAGAACCTCGACATACTTAATTGCAGCTAGCCTGTTTCCTGTTCACTCAGCTCCAGGTGGCCGTATTTACCCATTTCTATGAGACTCAGTTGCCCAGGTACTTCAGTAGACTCAAGTCCCGCACGTGGCGCTGAGATGATCCTTCAGTGTCGTTGCCTGCGAGGGTATTGAGAGTCAACAAAAACAAGCTTGTTGGGCAGGGAGTACTCGATTGACCCCCTCAATCAAGTGCCTGGTAGCGTTCTAATAAGTCAAACTGGAGAGATCACTGCCACTCATTGCAGATTCCTTGATTTCCGAATGATGGCAACCGTCAGCTTTGCTGTAGCCACACTACCACAGCAGATTCTGAGTCGAAGTGAAGCTCATAGCAAATGCTTTCTGTGGCGACAGGCCACTGGGAGCAGCTACCATGACAATTAAAGTCTAGCTAAGCCCTTCAAAATTCCACCTTCGGCTGTCACAGGGTCTTGGGCAGCATGTCGGCTCACCCGTCCTCAGAAACACACGCTCGCAACAGCTTGAACGGCTCCACAAGCTACGGTGCCAGAAACATGTATGTAGTTCAATTGAACGATCAGCGACGTATTCAAAATGGCCACAAGCCCAACGAAAACAAGTTGGTCAGGTTCGAGTGGATTCTCTAGAGGACAATAACAAAGACAGCCCCAATTCAACTCCACAGGTCATCATCCACTACAGCTTCAGTCTGAACTTGACACATTCCCCTAGCAAATTCTTTCCAGGATATTGGCATAGCAATCCGTGCGTGCAAGTGGCTATTTCTACGCGTCACGCGTCACGCGTCCTGCTTCTCCGTCCCTACAACTGGCAGAGACCCCATTGTTGGCCAGTTCCCGCGCATAATTCGACGTGAAGAGGCATAACACCTACCTGGGTAGATCCAATCACAGAACAGATTGTCACATAGAGATTCAGGATTATCCTATAGGAGATCATTCCCCAGCAGGTTCTCCCAGAGCCGATTATCATAAGATAAGTCAACCCACGAGAGATTATCCTAAGGGAGTTTGGCCTGCAGGAAAGGAAACCACCTACCAATTAGAAGTCGTTCTCTACCTTGTGAGAACCGCGTAAGCTGTATTGTGTCTACTCCTGCCCCATTGTGATTGTGCTGTGAGTGCCATTGTTCCTTGCAAGTGCATTGTCCAAAGGTACGTACCCCTGCCCCCCTGCCCTGTGCTCCCTCCTCCTTCCCCCAGGCCCACTTCCTTAAAAGGCCTTCCTTCCTGCCCCCCGATCTTGACCTCTCTCTCTGACAGAGCACGCGACAGAGAAGCAGAACACCAAGACCAAGACCAAGACCAAGACCACAACCACAACCACGACCACGACCACGACCACGACCATGCCTCTTTTCTTCTTCCCTCCTGACCTCCCCCAGGAGGAGTACGAACAGTACTCTCGTGCTGTTCGCGTGCTCGCGGTCGTTGTGCTGGTCTTGAGCCAGCATTTCTTCGACCTCGTCTCGGCGGTGTTCGGCGGCTTGTCCGTCTTCTTTATCTGCGTGAGGATCCCCCGTAAGTATTGCCTCTCCTTGATGTCTTCTCTTTCCATCCACTATCGCGAAGAGCTGCTTCTCACCAGCCGCTATGTGTATATGAGTCCTCTCAGAAGACGATGAGTTGCGCGAAAGGAAACCCAAGGTCCTAACCACGCACTCTTTTCCCCTCCCTTTCCTTTTGCCCACGTCCTTTTAATACGCCATCGACGCGAAGACCAGTATTACCATAGGACTAGGCATTCAAGAATGAACAGCTAACACTTGTTCACACAGTCCGCACCTGGTACACGGTGGGGCGCGAAATCGGCTTTTCTGGTGGTGACGACGAGGATGCCGACAACAGCCGTTGGCGCGCGGGCCTCGCGTTCGCGATCATCCACGGCGTGCTGGCTGTCAACTGGTTCGGCGCGGTGATGCGGTGCCGTTGGCTCGCCCGCCGTCGCCGCCGCCACGCTGGGCACTGGGAGCCGCCGCAGAACAAGGCGGTGGTCCAGGTCGACGACCCGGCCCGCGACCTCGGAGTGCCCTGGTAAGCAACTCCCGACTTCCATCTGAACAACCCAGTGGAGAGACAAGACTAGTCATTCTGTACTAGGCCCTTGTATTGTACAGGCATCTTTGCACACGGAGTTGTCGACTAACTATGTTGCAGGCCGGCTGATTTGGCATCGGGTACGATCTTCACGAGGAGACGCGAGCGGCTGCGGAGCTGTGAGCACTGCGGGCGTGTGGCCGACCGGGTAGGATACCTTTCCCTTTCCCATTTGTTATCTCCGTTCCCTCCATCCGAGATCTTCCCATTCCCGCCTCTTACTCTGTTTCTCTCGCCTGACTTGCCCCTTAATTCTTCCGTAATTTCCTTATCAACCTCTGCGAATTCATCTTGCCTTGCCCTCGTCAGGTGTTGGGATTTTTCTCTCCTTGACCGCATTGGCTTCGAGAATATCTCTTCTTGTCGTTTGCTTACCCAAGTCTTGTTTGATCATTCGTTTTCGTCGCCCAATCTAAATGACTGCCCTCCTTCCTCCTTCCTGGATGTATCTGTTATTAATTCAAGCTTATTTAGATGTACCACTGCGCTCAGCTCGGAAAGTGCCTCCCGGTCTTCAACCACTTCTGCGGCGCCATCAACGTTCCGGTCTACCTCGAGACGGCCAAGCCGTACTTGTGCTTCCTCCTCCTGCTCTCTCTCGACGGCTTTGTTGTGTTGGGCTCGTGCGTGTGGGCATGGTCCGACAGACAACTGCGGTCAGCCGCCGTTGAGGGGACCCTCCTCTTCCTCGTCACTCTGCTCTTCTGTTACGCGGGGTTCATGCTTTGGGTTGTCGGCACCAACATGGCCCTTCGTAATGTTGTAGCCGAGGAGCTAGGCAGGGATGGGGGGTTCAGGGGCACCTACATGGCAGCGCAAGAGGAGACACCGGACCGTGTCGTCGTGCGATTGAGATGTGAGCCAACCTTTTCCAACAGCCAGCCTCCCCTCCACCTAATATTCAGAACCTAATATTTCCACAGGGCTCGCGAACAACCCCTGGGACCTCGGAAAGTGGAAGAACTTCTGCGCCCTGATGGGCAGGCCTCGTTCCTGGTTGCTTTAGTGGAGCATACCAGTCGAAGTCCGCCAATACGGCCGCAATGTTCTCTCCGACTTGCCGTTGACGCAAGCTGGGCAGCTGTCTGACTTGAGGATGCAGCGCTGGGTGGCGCCGGCTGCTGTACTCCCCTCGTCTCCTCGCAGCCCCCGGCGAGCGCCAACTGCCTCCCAGGCCTCGGTTGTTGCACGTGATCTCGCCCGTTTGTCTCGGCCTGGCAGTGATGAGTCGACTCGGAGCGAGCCGGTCGCTTTCGCTGGCCAGAGCCCAACGGTTCCGAGATCTCGGCGCTCATATCGCACGGACTGAGCCGCATGACGGATCGACGACCGACCACGATCGATCACCACGCGTACCAGTTCCTCGACCTTCTCTCCTCTCCCTCCTTAGGACCTTGGATATGTCAATAAAAGACCCGCTTGTCCTACCGACCTGGACAAGTGACTTGAAGGGACCGAGAAGAAAATATCGGCTTCCGGTAGCAACCTCCTGCGACCTGTCACATCCAGGGGGCCTACCTCCGACTTAGAGCGGCGACTCGGTAAACCGTCCTTTAGAGCGGCGACTCGGTAATCCGTCCATTAGAGCGGCGACTCGGTAATCCGTCCTTTAGAGCGGCGACTCGGTAATCCGACCCCGAACGAAAACGGAAAAGGCGGGTAGGGCTCTGGCATTCATCTCTACTGACGGCTCTGAGACGCACCGAGTGCTCCGGAGTCAGGGTGGTGTCTTGAGGCCCGACTTTAGGACGGCTCCACCACCCTCCCCAGGATGAGTCTTGAGGCCCTCCGGGCTCCTCATCACTGGGACACCAAGAAGAGTTCAGACCCATGTGCGCTTGGGGCGCTACGGTCTTGGTGATAGTAGGTCTTTCACACCATCGACGGCTTCGTTGTGTCACTCGACAACACACAACCCACAAAGTCAAAAACAAAACACTCAACATTCCCCAGAAAGACTGAACCAATTGAACTCGACATGCAACCAATGGTCGGACGAGCATTCTTCTTCAACACCTTTGAGGACAGCTCGCAACTTGCACACGCTGCATGCATGCATCAATCTTCATGCATCCTTACATACTCTCGAGGGGTGATCTTCTTGCATCACTCCCCCTAGCCAACTTTACAACGGCGATTCTCAACTTCCATCCTCAGATCTCACATCTACCACGAAGTGACCAACAACTCTAGTTCCACACAACGCATTTCGGAGCACATGTGACTACCACACACCACTCTCAAGCCCCGTGCAACCCACAAGTGGCAACGCATCGCCTCAATTCACAGTTGGCGAACAGCCAGGCATTCACTGCGTTGCGCACACTCATCGATCAGCAATAGTTCTACAAAACAAAAGAACATAAGCGGCTTTCACGTGACAATTGTGCTCCGTCATCATCTTCGCTTGGCAGTCACATCTTACTCCAGCGCAGAAATATCTAAGGACTTGGTCATACAAACACAACAATGGACTACGAATTCCCTCGGGTCGGCAAACAGAGGGCAGGAAACCTGAAGTCTGCAAAGCATCACAGCATCTATTTTCTTGTCTGAAAACGCTGACAACGCGAGACAACTTCATCGAAATCCCCAGCTATTGAACTTCTGTCGCAGGCTCACTCTCACTGGTCGGCAAACAACGGACATCACCCTGGTCGGTTATTTTCACCCCAGGTGCCATTGCCCTGTGGCATGCTTTACTCTTCAGGCACTCTGGAGACGCTCACAGTCCAATTCCTACTTTCGAAAGACTGTTCACAACACTATGATGGTTGGACACTCGGCAATAGCAACTCATTCGAGCGTATCCCCTCACTTCCTCTAAAATCAAAGTCTAACGGATTCTCGCTCAAGAGTAATTCACTTAGGCTTTTTTCATGGTCGGCAAGCTACCTGATCTACATCAGCCCTGTAGATTGTGAGCGCGCTGCGTCTAATTCGACGCTGTCTGAAAGTCTCGACACCTCGGAACCGAATCTCCTCAACGGAACAGTCTGAGGCTTCTCTCCTCCCGGTGACAAATCTTGGGATACCTGAGAAGCTGTGAAAGCTTCACTCAAAAACTCGTGTTCGGCATAACTAATCTCCCTTGCCAAAGGGACGCAACACTTGGACAAAACAATCCACTACGTGAGCACAGCATCCTACACCTCATCGCTCTCGATTCACTAGCCATTCGGATATCCATGGATCAGTTATGCACCATTGCATGAAAGGCACGCAAAGTTTTCTGGTCAACATTGCTACACTTGAAGAGCCTGCATGAGCTCATGACACATTCGCAGCACACTGCGACTCGCATCGTCATGTCACTTGATTACCACTTCAACCCTGTGATAAAAGGGACTCCGCTTCCCACATTTTCGCAATCGAGTGCTTGGCGCTCAACCGAGCTTCATTGTACGACTGGACTTACTCATACTGTGCTCCCTATCTCGAGACCGGGTCCTTCTGCTCTACCTTGCTCCTTTAAAGTCGCCACACGGTCTCGGCATGTTTCCATCGGCCAGAAATCATCTCCATGGAATTCAAACCGGGGCAGCAACATCGATCCTAAATTCGGTTGCCGATACCAAGACATCTCGGCCAAGAAAAGCCTTTGGCAGTTCGCAATCTTCTAGCGTCTCGACATTGTTACTTCGATCGACGCCTCTCTGATCACCTGGCACGTAGCCTGATTGAATCACACCGGCCGTATGTTCGGCAGTCAATTCTTCCACTTAGGCGATTGACAAGCCAGAACAAAGGGCAATTGGTCCGCCTATAGATCGTATGCATCAGGATCGGCTGATGACGAGCTCGCAAGCCAGTTTGCTTTGCCCTGGAAATATAACTCACGTCCGACTTGGAAATGAGGAAGTCTTGGGATGTCGATAAGCTTTGGACAGCAAGGCTTTTGATGGCTGATCGATGGGAAAAGTCGGAAATCTTTTGACACTTCCGCCGACCAGTCATCACAGAGGCTGGAAATGAAAAGGCAAACGCCACGGATCCGGCTCGCGTCGTCTCGGCATAAGACTGATGGTCATCTTGATCGATTTAGGAAAAGCCATCACGAAACTATCAGAGCAAGAATTCACTTCCTTGGCATTCATTCCGGCTCCAAATCTAGGCCGCATTCAGCACCTAGGACAATTGCAACAAACATCAACAGATGTCCTGATTAATAGCGCACAGGCACCCCGAATGATCCAGCAATTTCACTGAGGCTTCACGACACCACACATTCAAGTCATCCAACTGAAATTTGTCAACCAAGCTCGGATAATTTGGGCATGCTCACAGGATCTCAATTTGATATTCAGCTAGAGAGACGTGATTGGGGTGCAAGAGGAGCCTACACTTCTGCACGATGAACCCAAGCATGCTACCTGACTGATCTCGCATGCCAAACAGACAGATCCGATTTTGTTCCTGAGAGCGTCGCTTCACTGACTAGTGGAGGCTTCTGAGTTCTACTTTTAGGTCCGCATGTTCACCATCTATATGCTAACCACACCACACGCAAAACCGAATTCCATCGAGATCAGCGGCGATACCACATGAAATGGATTCACATAAGTTCGCTGAGCTGGAGCTCGGGCTGAGCATCTTTGGTGGGACAGGCGAGAGTTCCTTTGATTCGGGCATGGTCGCAAAATCATCAAGGTTCTCTGGCGACAAACGGACCAGGGCCGAAGGATATCAATCTTTCTAGCCAGCCTATCCAGCGACTACGCTGGTCAAGTATGTGGCACCTAGCTCCTATTCACGAGATGGTCTCTTCTTAGCGTTACGCTTGACATCAATAGCGACGTGCTACAGCTTGATCCGTGGTCAATCCTTCACACTGTTGGAATCGCTCCGCACCCGATGTCTCAAAATTATTATGGGCTACCCAAATCTTCAAAATAAGTTCGATGCAGCGATGTGAAGAGAATCAGCATACACTCCAGTCTCTCTCAAATTTCCCTACCGTACTTCGATAACGTCAGGCGAATTCTAACTTCACCACAACCGAGTAGCCTACGGAACTCACTAAGCTACTCCTACTTGCAAAATGAAGCTGATACCCTCCTTCATCTGCCTGCTGGCCACAACGGCTGCAATGACAGTGAAGGACCGCCTCGAAGCCAGGAGACTACCAGACCATTCTATCATTGGCGAGAATCTTGACGGCCTCCCTGATTGCTACGCAAGCGACCCCATCCCCAACAAAGCCCCTCCTCAACTACCATCACCCTTTGCGAATGCTGACCGTCTTCCTTTCTCGCAGAAACAATGCATGATCGAAAAAGCCAACGTCGTCAAGAACCTTCCGATCCTTAAACTAAATGTGAAAGACTTCTGCGACATGCCAAATTGGATCCGAGTCGGGAGCTGGGTTGACTGGCACTACTTTCCTTGCGTTGACAAAAAGTGCCCATGGCCTAGGAAAGAGTCTAAGAAGCGTGCGTTGTCTCCACTCTCAGATTAAGCGCCCTGATCGCTGACCCACCTTGTCTGTAGAGTCTGCAGCATGGTTCAAGAACACCTGCGGCTGGGTCGGTTGATGATGGTGATATGGCATTACACTGCTCGCGGCAATCGTTCCTGGAAGAACGTCCGAAAAATTTCTGAACTAGTTTGTTTCGGTTCAAATGTTCTCACCACCATCCAATTATTTCAAAGTTTGAGAATGAAAGATGTTGAGGCTCATTCTGTGGTGGATTGGGTTGAAGGACAACGAGAAGCATGATCAGCAACTCTCGCAATCTATTCGCCTGAATTCCACGAAGAGGCTAGATAAAAGAACACGAATACCAAAGCCTGTAATTCCTCAATAACTTATCCAAAAATTGATGGTGATCAGGCCTCCATGAGAAAGGAAATGAAAAGAAGTTGTCCGAAGCCTTGTCCCAATCGCTCGCCGTCTGACCAAGATTCTTGAGCAATCCGGCTTCCATGAAATATCTCGTACTAATTTACCACTATCAGCCATTCCTATCTCGAGTTGGAAGGCCCTTCCCCACTGTAACCCTGGTCGTACTGACGCGGTCGGAAACCGAGCTGCTGCGAGGGGCCTGCTCCTGTCGGGCTGTACTCATTGCCATCAGGAAAGGTTCCTGCTTGTAGTGCATTCAGAACATTGTCCGTTGTTCTTATCAATACTTCCTGTTGCACGTTGACTGGGTTCGGCAGTCCAGGGCCTACGGGGCGTGATGAGAACATTCTCGGGTCATTGGCAGCGGCGTGGAAGTTGCCACCCCAAAATTGCTGGATTTCCTGCTGGTTGTTCTCCACGCTCCTAGGCTGGCGGGCGATAAAGCTGGGGTGCGAAGACAGATTCGCAGCGACATTGAGAGACGTATCGAACTGGGGCGTCAGCTGACGTCCCAGCTCCTTGAGCTGCTCAGCTTGCTCCCATGCCTCTCGCTGATCGATAATATCCATTGTCCCCTTGAGAACATCAAATAACAGCATTGATCGTTCGTCGGCTCTCAACGGCAGCGGATCCGGCTCGGCATCATTGGCCCCGACCAGGTTGAACAGCTGCTCAAGCTCCTCGTCGAGAAAGGGGTCGTAAAGCTCAGAGGGCACGCGTTTCTGACCTCTGGCTTTCTGAAGCCGCTGAGAACTGATACCATGCTTCTTCAAAAAGCGTGGGAAGTTTTTGCTGCTGACAATGCGAGGGCGACGACTCATCTCGGCTGCAATTGAGTCCTGCTTCGCTTTGCGCCCCATTTCTGTCGCCTTAGCTGACATGCTCCTGAATCTCTTGATTGTTTCATCAAGTCCATATATACCCGTCCGCTCAACTGGGGCAAGCATCCATTGTACGTTTTGATTTCCGTACAGCAAGGTGCCTGTGCACGACGGCATCTCTTCACATGCACGGTCAGTCAAATTCAGACATGACGTGAGGATATTATTGACGTCGGCTGTTGAAATTCTGATTCGTGGCTCTGGTTAACACACATGGGTCGCTCTGGGGTAATGGGAAATAGAAGAGAGGGAGAGAGAGGGCACGAACGTGACAGGGCCAGCTCCACCGAAAACGCCAATTCTGAAAGTCTTGTATTGCAAGATCATGGCAGCCTTTGACCCCACTTCTGGCCAATTAGTAAACCTCCAGTGGCCACGCAAGAAGTTGGTCTTGAGCCAAGTATTCGTAAAAGCTTCTAAGTCGCGACGGCGAATACGCGGGATAAGCTTCTCATGACGACTGTGGAGTCCTTGGATACTAATATTGCCCACGATCTGACAGGCCGGCTCAATTGTACTACAATTCATGTCTTTCTCCCAGGGGTCATGGGTAGAAGGGGGGAAGTCGGGGCGGTCGATCGTGCCCTGGTCATACAGCGATAAGGTCCGGATATACCGAGACATGATGAAATTTTCGTGGCTGATCTCAATGTCGATTAGTTTCTTTGATCAAGGTGAATTCCTCCCTGTAATTGTAGTTATGCTGGTCGACTGTTGGCTTTTGGTCTTTGAGAGTCAAGCAGAGGAAGAGAAGGGACAGAGGACCGGCGTTTAAATACCTGACAATTCCCTACTGAATCACACATCTCCATGAAGGTCTCGTGGAGCTTTGTGTTAGTAGTCTCTATTTTCGCAATGACTAGCTCGAGGTCTCGTCATGACAAGGCTCTGTCACTACGATTTTACATATGATGTGTACCTCGTAGGGGCAAGTCGTTCCCGGAGCGCACTCGCATCTTCAACCTCTCTGACGCGCAGAATTAACTTCATCACTCGATCCATGTTTTCCATTCGCATTGAGACATCTATGGATTTGTGCTGGGGAATGCTTTTTGAGGCCCGTTGTCAGGCCATATGTCGGTGATGAGGCCAAATCTCGACACTTCGAGCTCGCCATTCCACATCATTTAATGTTGGCAAGCCCGTCAGACTCAGAAGCGAGCTAAATTCACAAGGGACACATCATGAAAGAGACTTTTAGCATTCTTCTCATACATTATAAACATTTTATAGCTCACATAGCCTCCTTGTATATGGCTGGCCATACGCAGAACTCGGACTTGTAAGCTCAGGTCAACATTCACATCGATTTACGGTGAAGAGAGAGACGCCTAAAAGCATGGATCGCTCTGTGACAGGTTTTCGTCGGGATGAAGATATGACATACGCAGTCCACGCACAGTTGGATGTAAGTGTCCTGAAGTAGCCCGTCACAGTGTTGGTCTCAAAAATGACTAGGTTCAAGGTTTGTTCATGTTGTATGGTAATTGCAGACCATCGTCGAGGAATCAGTACGCTGACAACACAGCTAGAGGTCTCTTGCAGCATCTGCTCCCGGAAGCACATTGACTTCTACACCCTTTTCTCTGTCGCAGTACCGTCATGTCCCCAATTGCATGAAGACGAATGGCGCAAACTCAAAAGGTCTAAAAGTTTCCTTCATGGTCGTAATTATCACTTATCCTCCTTTTATGAGTCCACCACTCCCCATGGAGCTGATCAACTCCATCGACATAACACGCTCCTGTTGAGCCAAATCGTGTTTCGACGGATTTCGTATGTCTTCATAACGAACTTCAGACTGGAATGACTTTCGTGCTCAGATCATTGTGTCGAAAGGCTTGCTTCTGGGTTTTCCTCAAAACCTGACGCTTTGTAGGTGTCCACAATAAGGTCACTACAATCGTGTTACTCACAGGCGCGAGTCACATAACGCTGAGTCGCATCTCATTGAAGCAATCATTTGTGCGAGCTGGCTTGTGACACAAGAATATAATTCAAGTATTTCTCTACTGCCAAATGATTCGTCAATGACCACCAAGAGTGTTAAACACGGCATGGACCGGGACCTAAGTTTCCTCCTCACACACCAACAATATCTATAGCTTCACAGCCAGAATGAGCACCGGGTAGCAGCTGTTTAGCTCTGAAAGACGATAATTCTAATAATGAATGCTTGCCTTTATTTGACGCAGAGTACGAAAGACAGCCAATTACACAAGTAGATTGATACTCACCCATAGTCTTCAGTCACACTCAGCTCTCGAAAAAGCCTCGCTGTGACCAACGTTCTCAAATAATGCGAAATCACAGCTCAGGCCGAAGATTCGAAAGCTGACATTGGAATGTTTCCTTCTGGTTTGCCCCGATCCTCAAAGCGGATAAAAAAGAGAAAACAGTAAGGATTCCACGACTGAAATCTCTTGTACAAAAGGCATAGAAGATCGGGTTTCACCTTTCTCGTCTGGTGACTGTCGCCGTCATTCCCCTGACAGGGTACCAAACATAGCAACGGCGCAAGAACACTGTCATCAACACACATCATTGTCAATTACCAAAAACAAGCATGATAGCAGCCACCAACAAATGACGGGCCAAGAGCAGGATCTGCAGAAGTAGAGAGACTACGATGATGACCGCGACGGTGATGAAGATGACAGTATCAGCTGTTTCTTTTATACGTTGTTTCTCACAGTGCCGAATTTTCCGTTTTGATCTGTCTGAGCAGTAGAGAAATACCATTTTCTATCACAATTTGGACGTACTTAGCGTGTTCCAATACCATGTAGCCACTAAGCATGTAAAGTGTCTCAATGCAGAAGACACGAAGCCTGCCGCGTTCTTCATTGCCAAGCACTCTCTCCGAGGGGTCTCATTCTGTCCAGAGATCGGATTTCTCTGTCGTCCATGTCCGTTTGCAGCGCACCATCGCCTTCTTCAAATATTCCGTGTTTCCGTGTAATTCCCAGGGGTGTTGGACGCATGCCGTCACACATGATGCTGATCCGCCGGCTGCAAGTCCATTCCACCCGACTGTGCTCTTTCGGAACGCTCGTGTAACTGTGGATTTCCCATTCTTGAGAGTTCTGCACACAACCGTTCTAAACCATCCATCGCGTCGAACAGCCGTTCAAGAAACTGAAAACGTTGCTTGGCAAGTCCCACCTGAGATGCATACTAGTGGTCCCAGCGCCGGTGTCCAAAATATCTGTGGACCTCTCCAACATCTCTGCGGATATGTCCTTGATCGCGATTAATCCTAGCTTTTAATAGTTCCTGTTTCTCCAAGCGCGGCAGAGTGGGTGCGGGAGTGCCTTCAGCGTGTAAGAGATCGTGAATCGAGTATGTCAAATAAGTGAAGGTGACTGGGTCTATTAGTAACTGAATCGGTTTATTGTTGCTGATCAAGTATCCGGTACAGCATGGCATTCTGTCTTCTTGGAACGAGTCTAGACACCTGTTGAGAAACTTTAAGATGTCGTCAGTTGAGAGGCTGGGAGTCATTGTCGTCAGCAAGTTTCTGTTAGAAAAGTGGACAATGGAGGCAGCAGGCGACGCACATGATCTTCAAATTGCCCGACATTGATCCAACGCGGACACTGACCATGAACGTCTTGTACTGCAAAATCTTGACAGCGTGTTGGGCAATATGTCGAAATCCACGGACAGTCCAATACCCGTAAATGGAGTGGTTCCTAGGCAACGGCCGGAGTCCATCCGGGATCCAGAGGTCCCGGCAGTCTTGGACATCTTGACGCCGGATAAATGGATCGATCGATTCAGGTTGCGGAGGTGTGTCATCGTCAAATAAAGGAGAGTGCTGGCACGCTGTGCCAACATAAGTGTCCGTCCCATCTCTGAAATCGGGATTGATGGTGGGCGGAAAGTCACGATGGTCAAGGATTTGCTGCTCAAAAGGTTTGAGTCCTGGGACAGGCAAAGACATGGTTAGCCTTGTTTTCTCGAGTTCCGTCTATCCTAATCCTGGAAATGAAAATCGAAGTTTACGGCTTGCCAATCAATGCTGTTCTGGGTCTGGGAAGAAGAAAATAGAAAGAAAAGCGGCTCTTAAGTATTCAGCAGGAACTTTACTGCGTCAAATCTGGAGTTTGAAAGTAGAATGTGAATGAGGAAGACACCTGTTCCGAGAACAATTCTCACAAGCTATGTCTTCCCGTGCAAAGGGTGGCAGTGTGGGTCCTTCGCACTTTCCGAAATCTCATTATAAGGCTTTCAAGGCAATGACATACGGGGTCCGCCTCATCGTCTGGTAATTCTGAACACGCAAGACGTCAGAGAAAAAGGTGAATAAGATCGTGCAACCATATCAGATCGGAACATATTTATCAGGATCAAAATGTGTATTGCTACCGTCTTCATGATTCCAAGGCTGATTCAGACGACTTCTAATTCACGATGGATGATTCAGGTTTGCTTGCTTACCCAATCTTGGGAAGCGATGCTCCAGAATTGCTCCGTTGATTCATATTAGTACATTTGCAGGTAAGATGCACACTAGCCCATCGACACTTCCACACGATCTTCCTAAGAACTCAGGTTTTCCAAACGCCGCCCTAAACTGTTTACGGTCAGAGTCAAAATCAATCGCGGCCGACCAAAAAGCATTGCTCTTGCCACCTCACGATCGAAAAAGCTCATAGTAGTCTGCCACTCATGAAGTATGTTCCTTGAAGCGCGTCATTGGTGGCTGACGAAACGGTCAGCTCACTTGGCAATTTAGACCGATTGGCAGCAACTTGCAGTGTGTTGGTGACCATCTTTCTTGCCATTGAGCAATGGAGCGAACTCTAGTGACTCTAAAAAAAACGTCCAGCAGACAGAACTATAACAGCATTGTTACTTCCATGACTTTCCTTCCCTTCGACTCAATTTTGAACACCCGCATGAGTTGAGCACAGCCCATCCCGACTTCCACACGGATGAATGAGGCCGAAATGTGTGTTGGATTAGTGGGTATTCAAGCCTTTGTGATGGCATAAAGTCTTACCCTCGATGTTTTGGTGTTTTCACAACAGCCGTCCAGCCTGCAATGAATCCGGCATTGCAGAGTTATCACGGAGATCATATCTATACCCTCTTCTTTCTTCTTATAACTGAGTTACGAACTCGGACCATTATGTGTCCGTCTTTGGGTTTCCATGGTTGATGCTCGGCTGCATGTGAGTCTTGGCTAGCTTGACACCTACGATGCAAAGTTTCATTCGATGCCCTAGATTTGTGTGATTCGTGGCCCGCGCGCACATTGGTCCCTGATGTTGCATTTAAACGGTAAGCTATGACCAAATCGGCAATATGATTTGTTGGCTAGGCAGAATATTGACTGTGTGTGGCTGAGGGACAACATGGTGCGATCCTTCGTGCCCCTCGTGCCAAGGCGTGAGCAAGGTGGGTGTGCAAGAGCTTCGTAATGAGGCAGTCCAGGTTATTCGAGACGCAGGCGGAGCCCTCCCTATCTAATCATCTGCAGAGCCTCAATATTCCACTTCAAGACCCATATTTCCTTCTTTGCGATTACTTACCAGAACCGGCGCGCCGGTTCGAAAAGCCAACGAACTCGAGGTATTTCGCACGCAACACCCGCCGTTTTTTGTTTAGTCCTCTCAGACGCGTCTGATCGAGCCTCCATCATGGGCGGAAACGCAATCCCGTCAACGGAAGAGAACATGGTCATTTCATCCAAGCCGCGCCGCAGACGACAAGACCCGTATTTCTGGCAGCTCATTGTTCTTCGCATTCCCTTGGCCATTTTCGCCGTAGCCATCATCGCCTATTTGACTCACTACATACGAAGATGGCAGGGAGCAATCCGCAGACCGGAAGATGCTGACGATCCGTACGTTACGAGAAAAGATGCTGCGAGCCAGAGCGGCCTTGCTTTCGGTATGGTAAGCATTGTTTGCATATTTCTGTTCGAAAGCGTGTCCAGAACAAGACTGATGTGAGGATACTGGCACAGGCATCTGTGTCTCTTGCAGTCGCTGTGTGGGAGACGCTTGCCCGGCTCGTCCCGCGGTACCGATTTGGGCCAAAGCCTCTCGGTCATGGCACCATATTCTTCGACTTGCTCACTATTGGCATTGGTATTCCCGGTTGGTTGTTCTTCATGATGGCAGAGTTGAATAAAGATCCAAGCTATCCTACACCATGGCGGGATGATCAAGATCGCGCTGCCATGCTGGTATTAGTCTTTTGGTATGTCAATGTTTCACGCTGCTCACTGATGTCGCAGCTGAAGTAGCTAATATAATATGATCTAGGATATTCCATTGTGTCATGTGCATCACGGGCTGTTCCGCCTGTTGCGGCTGTTGCTGCTGGGCCTCTACGACTCCGAAACAAGACGCCTGTGCAAACACATCCAGATCAAAGGCAGGACCTAGAGCAAGGAGAAGCTGTTGAACCTCTCCCAAATTACAAGCAGTCCACTGGGCTTGAGGAGGTTGAGCCTTCTGCGATCTCTGTGGATCCTCCGAGCTATCCAGAGGCTGTACGTCAGCCTTCGCACATAAAGATTTGAATTTGGCATTTTGAAGATTTTAGCGCACTTTTGATTTTCGCTTTCATATTCCGGCCCTTCGTTTTGCGAGATTCACGCATTAACTTTACAGAGGGACTTTCAGTCGGAAAGAGGCCTTACATCTGATTTAAGCACATCTTAGCGGACATGATCATTTAATACCCTTGTTTTTGTGAGAGAATTCATTGGGGGATCCGTGTGATCAAGACTTTGACTGCCAGGTGTCTAGGGTATACGATCAAACATCAGAAAGACTGGTTCTCATGTGCTTCAAATTCAGTTGAACCCTGAAAACAACTATAATGTCTCATCTCTTTTGGATTGCTTCTACCACATTGTGATTACTGTATGTGTCCACATATACATGTATTTTCGTAACCTAATCCGAATTATGAATGCAAGCAACTGTCCCTGGCTATGGCATGTAGCCAACTCAAATTTACTGACTCTTGGATGGTCCATCCGGAAGCTTACTCCCAAACACCACATCCCAAAATCGACTCGTTACTCCAAAGCCGTTCTGGTAGTCCATAAAGTGATGCTGTAAATGATAGGTTTTGGTACTCTGAAAGACAGAGGGAACTTTGTGGTGATGGAGGAAATAGTGCGTGAGGTCGTAGCAGACGTAGCCAAATATACATCCACAGAAGACTGCCGTTCCAGCATACCAATTATGAGAAAAAGCGTAGTGTGCAAGCTTCCAAAACGGTGTTGCAAGAAGTGCAAAAAGTGAAGGCGGCATGACAAGCCTGAGTTTGTCCATTGGAAGATAGTGATGTATACCATGCAGAAGAAAGTGTAACGTGAGAGCAATGTTGTTATCGGGAAGGAATCTAAATGCGCATTAGTATCAATTCGGACGAAGCACTCATACACAGTCTGGTACTTACTTGTCAAGATGAAACAGGAATCTGTGAAGCGTGTACTCAATCAAGGTCCACATGAACAGACCAAAAGCCCAATGCACAGCCACTGCATTCCAGCTATCAAGCCCGTCTCTAGAGATGATGGTTCCATACGTGACCGCAGGAAGCCAAACTAACGGTATCACATACCAAGGTGTCAAGCTCAATGGCTCGAGAAAGTTGCCATACAGTGGAGCCGACTTACCACCCTTGTAATGACGAGGTCTGTGAATTTGTTCGAGATAGAAGGCCTTGCTGAAGTTCCCAAACAGCATCTGGGACAGGAGCGGTTTGTCAAGATCCAGGAACCTGTGTTGCTCATAGTCCATCTTTGCGTTCGTATCTTTCCACAAATCCTCTGCAGATGCAAGACCAGTTGAAGCGTACGTAGAATTATTCGAAGAGCTAGCAGAAGTGGATTTTTCCTTGCCAGTCCTGGCAGTGTCGACGGAGCCGATCAGGCAGGCTTCTAGGAGCTCGGAGGCTGCCTCAGAGTGGGCATGCGAGCCTTCATCGTGGAAGATCTCGGCGATATCTTTGCCGCCGTATTCCAGGATCATGTCACTTCCCCCAGGGTGCGAAGTGAGAAAGCCTGTGACATCGTAAAGTCGGCCATTCTTGGTGACGTAACAAGACTCAGATGTTTTGTGCAAAGCGACATCGTCAGAGGGGAATACAGACAAAGGTTGAGACGGCATTTCTTCCATTTGCCAAGCTGAATTATCTCAATGGAATTCGATCAGGGAGTTTTTGTAACTCATCAGAATGAGTGACTTCGATAGACGTAAAGTTGTTACTTGATTCTGATGAGTTATTTGCCGCATGAGTAGACCCTAGAGCTCCATGGGTCTGACCGCAACGGCCATGCTCACCGAAGGATCGATCCTCAGACGAGAAGGTGGAATCCTGACGCGACACATCATAGACCCCGGAATTTGTACTGGATACATAGGATTCATAGGGTCTTGGCCTGCTCTTGGAGACCATTGGATTTTGACAGCAATCAAGGGCCCTGTGGTGTAGAGTGGATAGAAGGTGGGGGTTTGATTCAGCTTCTAGGTGAGTGGATAAACCGACCCTGGTAAAAGATGCTCATTGTAACCCGAGGTCGAGTCCGAGCATTTTGTGGACCTTCCAAGACTGTTCAAGATGCTGACAATGCGGGCTACTAGGATGCAGCTTATGTGAGATGGCCGGTATGAAACCTTAGATAGCTGAGATTGCAGTAAGCGAATATTAACATCATCAATCTCTAAATCTACGTCAGATTCTAATAATGTGGACGAAAAGAATTGAGGATTATGTAAGATTATAGATACAAAGGCATGAATGTCGGGGATTGTACTAGGCTAATGTTATTGATTTTCACTTTTGAAATCAGTCTCAGACTCCGACATGATGGACTAGCAGGTGAGGTTAGAGAATTTGTACGAAACCCTTGAAAGCATGACACATTTGGGGATGGGTTTCATGTTTATGTGTCCTGTTCACCTGCACGTAACCCCTCAAGGAGCTTTTGAAGCAGTGTGTATCATTGTTAATGCGGCTTGATTAGCTTCGGTTATTTTACTGTCCGTCTATTTCCGTCGTTCGAGTAAAGAAACAGTTTACCTTGCCTTGAAGACATGAGGACGAGATGATGTATTACACCACGAATGAGTAGAAGCCGAAGGTGCATACAAAAGCCCGTCTTCAAAATTTCAAACAGCATTTCAAGTCTCTGAGGTTCAACAATTCGTGACCTTCTAGACTGTGTCAAGTAAACTATCTAGACATGAATGGCTCAACAGTAGCTTGCGCTTGAACAGTCGTCATCTAGGCTGAAATTTGAATACTTCATCGCTCGTTCGGGTCACTCGTAAAAGCTATCTTCTAACTCCTGTGGCTCTTTGTAGGCTTTCCACTCACCCGATACACTAATCTATCACTCCAAAAATGTGACAATACTGCCTGAAGCAATGGCAGAGTCCCAAACAATGCGCTTGCAAGAGTGAGGCTCAGAATATCTAGAATGCTACCCAGGCTCCAACGCTCTAGTTTTGAGGAATCGAAAGTGAAGTCATGCAAACCCGCCTTGCGCATTTCCCATTGTCTCGTCTCGACGCACACCTTGTGAAAACTCGCATATGCAGTAGAAAGGCAGATAGCCATCAGAACAAAGTTGGCAGTCCGCGCGTATCCAGTAAGCTTGAGAACGATCTCAAGGATTGGACTAGCATTCGAAGAGCTCAGCTGTTCGGAGTATGAGTTTGAGGCGACGAGGATGCATAAGAAATGCAAAGGGAACAAGTGAGCTTCGAAGAGACGTAGGGAGAGCACAGCATTTCTGAGCCACACAGAACGAACTCTGCCGCCACGCACCTCTACTTTTCCAACGCCTAGATTAGTTCCGATTTTGGCATTCTTCTTGTCCAATTTATAGACGGCATTACCATAGAGAGACGGCAAACCCATTTGACAGAACTTCTGTAGAGCGTAGCCTGCATCCAGGCATCCCCACATATGGCGAAGACCTTGGGAATAGCGAGCTTTGTGGTTGCGAAGCCAACCGATCAAGCCTGTGGAGCCGCTTGTGACATTGGACATGCTTGCAGGACTTGCAATGGATTCAATGTTGAGGTTGCCCTTTGTTGCAAAATAGCACTTGAGCATCATGTGCATGTCTTCACCAATAGCGCCTGGTCCAGTATCCCAGCCGCCAATTGAGGACACGAGGCTGAGCGGCAACGTGTAGACCGACGTGGGAAAGACAATGCCATCATAGTCGCCGGGCCGCTTGTAGCATGCTAGGCCAGCACAGGACCAACCCAAGTCAGTCGCGCGGACAAGTCTAGGCACCAAATGTGCGTTTCTGTCAAAGACAATAGGTACAGTATATAATGTCACTGGTGCCAGGTCTGACTGTTGTCGCAACGTCAAATGGCGCTTTTGGATCAGCGAGTAATATGTCTCAAGGAGATGGGTGTCACCTTGACTTCGGTTAGCATCGGAATCAGTATCCCTCCATGTGGGATTATTACTTACTGTCCATGGCTGTGACAAGAACGTCTTGGAAGATCGGCCGGCCCAAGTACTTCTTCTCGACAGCCTTAGCAGCCCATGCGACATTTGCACTCTTGCCTTGACTTTCATCAGGTATATCTGAGGGGTGCACGGAATATTGAATGTCCAAAAAGGAAGCGCCATACTTGGAGACTAGTGCTTCAGCGACTCCAACAGCCTGTGGGTCTCTTTCTTCCATGGCAAGAAATATCTGTCTTGGGTCAACAACCATCACAAACTTTCCAAGGATGAAAAGCCGGGCGGGGCCCGTTGCCATCTTACGTCATAAGTATTTCTTGCCATTCGATGGCTTGCGAGGACTCTCAGCGTGTCTTGCAAAGTTTCGATTGATTCCTTGTAGGAAGGAATTATGGAGACGTGGATCAGCTCTGAAGGAATTGACTGATGGCTGCTATTCTGAAGACTTTCAGGCTGATCCGACTCTAGTTGAGATGCTTTGAGTGCCGCTTGTATCTCATGTGTAGCTAGTCGTGCCCCACGGAAAATACGAAGAGGGACAGTTGTGATGACAATGTGAAGGAAGACTGTGTAGAGAATGAAAAAGCCCTCTGAGAAGGTGATGCGATCTCTCCCAAGACGCGTGTCATTGGTCATCTCTTGTCGGTCTCCTGTGAAGAACCTCGAATTGAAACCTCCGAGGAGGAAGATAATCGCCAGGGTAGACACTCCCGGTGTACATCGCTGAATCCAATGAAGAAATACCATAATCGCAGAGGCCGGGAAGATCAGATGAGGAATGATATCAGGCAGCGGAAGACTGATAGGACGCACTTCACGAGTGTATGCGCAACAGAAATTTGCAGGAAGTAAACGCTGCTATGGTTTGATCTCACTCGATGTGATATTGCAATTGCGTCCTTGTGGAAAATACAAGCTAACACCACCTTAGCCGCTTCCACGGACTACAGACTCCGAAGGATTCTACCCCGTGTCCACATTCAGCTGTGGGGGTGGGGGGCGAGGATGCAGGCGAACACTATACGATGTAATCAATTCCTACTACCCATAATGATTGGTGAAAGGGCTTGCACTTGACGTGTTCTGGAATTCTGTACCTTTGAGTAGGTACAGGTACATAGTGTATCGCTGCCGCCTAGACCCCCTTGTGAGTTTCCAAACACGCGTCAGCATCCTCCCGATACCTAAGCTCGTGGGTCCATCAATCACGTACCGGGGACTCCTAGAGGGGTAGCAGCATCCTCCCGATAAACTCGAGGTTCCCTACGTGGACAAGTATCGGTGAGCCCTAGTGGAGTGTCAGCATCCTCTCAATGAACAACTAAAGGGGATCAGGCTAGATCAGGCTCCTCAAGTTGCCGTACCTCGGACCGTATTATCAGATCCGAGTCAATTATATGAACGCCTAACTGAGCTAATCAGCCCAGTACAATTATAGTGCTACATTCTGAACGCATCTCATTCTGTTGTTTATCCTGTGTCTCGTTGACTGCAATACCTTCAGATTAACTCGTTTGAAAACTTCAAGTATACACAGACCGTAATTGAGAATCATTCAATCGGCATGTCTAAGAGGAGCACTACCACGGAGACGGCACATCTCGCTGTGAGTATTGAAATGTCCTCAAGCTCAAAAACAGAACAAACTAATCGATGTCATTATGAGTAGCCATTGCGTTCCACGGCGCAGGTTTCAGCGCCTGCAAAGGACGCGAATGGCAGATTCCGGACACAGAAAGGAAATAGAGGGTCCTCACTTGCTGAACGTCATGAGTACTCTTCGTTAAGTACAGTCTCAAAAACACTGGTGGTTTTCTTGTTATGCATCCAGCTTGACTATTCCTTCAACGCCGCTGCGGGGATAACTCTACTCTCGTACAAACGGGAGCAGATCTCTCTCCGGAATGTCCCGCCAAGAGGTTCGAGATATGATACCGGTCCCTGGGATGCTCTTTTTGTGGCATTTTACACCGCTCTTATTCTCCTAGTCAGGAAGATCATCACTCAAAAGCCAAGGGCTGTAGCAAGCGTTTTTGGTGCCAAGTCGCCAGAGCGATTTGCAGAACAATTGTTCAGCTTTGTCTACTTCAGTGTTTCCACGACATTTGGCTTGTTCATCGCGCTAAGTCGCCATACTTGGTCAATGAATGCTCGCGATTTGATTTCTGAGCTCGAGACTGGAAGCTTGAACGGCAACGTCAAATGCTTTTATCTCATTCAAGCAGCATTCTGGGTTCAAGAAGCTCTAGTCGTTGGGCTTCAGCTCGAAAAGCCCAGGGAGGACTACTTGCAGTTGATCTTCCATCATGTTATTACCCTCGTAGCCATAGGTCTGAGCTACGGGGGCAAGTATACCGATCTAGGCATCATGATACTGGTGACGCACGATGCCAGTGACGCCGTTCTTGGTGTAAGTCCAAAAGTCATCCTTAAGGATCGAACCCTTTCTCACAAAAAAAACAGGCCGCGAAACTACTCCGCTATGTCCGTTCGGGTTTGACTGGACTCGCCTGGTTGACTTTTCTGTTCACGTGGCTTTACACCAGGCACTACCTAATGATTCCCGTCATCTATCTGACCTGGCAATTTTCATCGGAGCTAGAATCAAGAGGCTATTCACTTCTAGCAAATACGTCATTGTTTTCTGGGTGTCTTCTGGTATTGATTCAAGCGTTAAACTTGTATTGGCTCACTTTCATATTGAGAGGCTTCTATAAGCTGTTGTTTTCTTCGGGCACTACTAAAGATATGAGGAGCGACGAGGAGGACGAAGAGGATGCAGTGGAAGACTAGCTGACCATAATGAAAGGCTGAAATGTTGGGCTGGAAGCATTGTTCTGTAGGAGCCTAGAACTGTCACCGATACGGGTCGTGTCGTGATAGATTGCAATTGCAAAAGCTAGATGTGGAGTGTTGGTCATTGCTTGCGGTGTTAGACAATCAATCGGTGAGACAGCACACGAAGGATCAAGATGCTAGACTAGTTCCGAGTCAGGGAATGAGCCGCTCGAACGGGCCTGCAGTGAGCCTGCAGTGAGACCCAAAATCTTACCATTTGAACCCCTGCCTAGGAGATTTGTATACGTAGTCTAATGCTCGGCGCTGTTCGACCACTTTTTAGAATCGGAATCCTTGCCCATGAAGGAACAGCAAGGACAGATGTATTTGCTACTTAATAGCGACATTGTGGCGTTGATATCATTGTCTAACTACCACTATTCTGCTCATTTGATAGGAATCCCATTCATTAGCATTCTCTATGCTCTCACCATTCAGCTGTCCGTCCTCTCCATTTGCTGTGGCTGGACAGTGTCCAGCCACCCCGATGGATTGCAAGAACTGGCCAGGGTCTCCGTTCTGGCCATCGACGGCAGTGTGGGACTCCTTGAATTCGTCCGTCTCTGGTCGCCTGATCCAGCCTGTGCCACCTGGCTCAGTCTGTCATACGAGTTGGTCGTCATACAACGAACAAGCATGTACGAGCGTGCAAGAATGGTGGAGCCGGTCGGAATTCCATGCCAACGATCCCATTTCCGTCGACTTCAACAATTGGACTAATGATACTTGTCTTCCGTTCCCACTGCTCTCTTGTTCTGGCGCAGGGTATCCAGCGTACGTGGTGAATACGACGAGTCCATTGCACGTCAAAGCTGCAGTGAACTTTGCACGGGAGCATGAAATCAGACTTATTGTCAAAGCCAGTGGGCATGACTATCTAGGACGGTAGGTCTCCTGACCTACTCTACAATACCTGCCATTGACTCCAAACTTCAGGTCTTCTGCCTTCGGGGCGTTATCAATTTGGGTCAGACACCTTATTGGGTTGGAATTCCATGAAGACTTCCAGCCGATGGAATGTAATTTTGACTTAGATACTTCAGCAGTCACCGTTGGAGGAGGAATGCTGATGAAAGATATTCTGAGTGCACTGCACGACAGAAACCTCACCGCTGTCAGTGGTGCGTCTCCAGATGTTGCGATTGGAGGCTACTTGACAGGCGGTGGCCACTCTGTCCTCTCTGCTACGCAAGGTCTCGCCGCGGATAATGTCATCCAATTGGAGATTGTGACTCCCCAAGGAGATATAGTAACGGCGAACGAGTGTCAGAACAGCGACCTTTTTTGGGCAGTTCGCGGTGGAGGTGGAGGCACGTTTGGTGTCATCACAAAAGCAACGATACGTACCTTTCCTAGTCCACGGATAGGATCAATGGCTTTGGCCATACCGTTACCCACTAATGACTTGCTATGGGAAGCCACCACAAAGGTATTTCAAGTGACTCCGGTCCTTGCCAACGTTGGCATATCAGGTTATATATACGCTTTTCCAGAGGATTCACCCTTCTTCCAAGGTGGGCCGGCATTGCTCCTTAGTCTTGTTGGTGTTGATCAGTCAGCGTCTCAGGTTCTTGACATCTTGAGGAAAACCGACGTCGGGGCTGAATTCGAAGAGCTTCTGAATTATACCAACGCGTATCCCGTACTGAAAGATTACGACAGTCACTTTGCCTGGTGGCTTGATAATGTGGACAAGACTCCGGTGGGGACCAATTTTATGGGTGCGAGCCGATTGCTCAATATGGAGGCGGTTGGCCAGCCATTTGAACAGCTGAAACAAGCCTTGAAGACTGCTGCCGGGTCCTCTGGTTTCAATGGCATCCTGGGTGCTGGACCTGGTGTGTGGAACGCAAGCCCGAGAGGAGGTGGCAACGCTGTCCATCCTGCATGGAGAAACCACACTGTGGTCCACCTAGGTAAGCAACCACAACCTCATTCAAGATGACTACGGAGGGCTCACATGCTTGTGATAGTTCTTGGAGAGCTATGGATGCCTGCACAAGCGGCTCAGGAACAAGAAATTCTTGCTCAGCTGGAACAACGGACACAAGCATTGCGAGAGCTTGCACCTGATTCAGGCTGTTATGTGAATGAGGCTTTTCCATATGAGCCAGATTTTCAGCACGCTTTCTGGGGCGACCAATACGAGAGGTTGGAGAGAATCAAGAGGGAAGTCGACCCGATTGATGTGTTTTGGTGTCACTCATGTGTAGGTAATCAGGGATGGACACAAGTGGATAACAGGCTCTGTAGAGTTTGAATGTATCATTGAAGTACACAATTGTACGATAAATATAACGATGCCATACCGTTATCCCCTGATTCTCGATGAGATGAAATTTTTTAATATTCTTTAAATCAATACTCTTGACTTCTATATTATATTCTAATGCATGACTTAAGCGTGCAGGGCTATCTGGAAACCCCTATCTGACGACAAACTAATAGCGATGTCCTCGCAGAATTCCTCATCGTCTCGACTTTCTATCCAACTATAGCTCTGCAGCATTCTGGCTACCAAATATGCTGTCTGCATCATTGCTAGCTCCTCTGTTGTCTTTGATCAGCGCAATTCATGTAGCTTGGAAAATCAGAGAGTACTTACGCCCTGGGCAAGTCCTTGGCCCTGCCCCGAAAGGCATGAAAGCCACAGGACTTACCAAACCTTCCCATCTCTCAGGCTTGAAAGTCTCCGCATCTTCCCCCCAAGCTTCCCTGTCACGTTGGATAGCAAAGATGTGAATGTCGATGACACGACCTTTAGGGACAAAGGCAGCTTCAGTACCATCTAGACCACCACCACGTGGCAGATGTGTATCGTATTTTGCAACTCTATCATTGGCAGGAATGCTGGGGTACAGGCGCAGGACTAGTGTATTAATTAGTAAGATAAGAATAAGTATTAAAAATAAAGAGGCATTCAAGAGACACGTCCTTGGAACAATGAAGCTCTGTCACTCACCTTCTTTTATTGTCCACCAAAGGTACGTCGCTTGTTGAAGATCTTCATAGGAGACTATAGGCGCCTGAAGCTTTGCAACTTCATCACGCAGCCTTTGTTGCACTCTCTTCTCTCTTGCCAGACTCCAAAGGGTAAAGCCCATCAGCGCCGCCGTCGTGTCACGGCCTGCCATCAATGCTGTGAGAAGGTGGTCTCGGACCATTCTTTTGGTACCAGTGGAGGAAACGAGTCCATCCAAGAAGCAAGGTCGATTATATTTTGAAGGTTTCTCGCCCATCTCGGGGTCAGCAATATTGCCATCGCCCCTTTCGATGTACCGTTCCACGAATGCATGAACAAGTTTGCAGGACCGATTGAATTTTCGGTCCCAATGGAAGTAAATTAAGAAACCAAGATCCCCACGCAGTCTCATAACCTGGTTGCAATAGTCCAGCGCATCACTGATTGCTAGAACCGTGTCGGAGGTGCTTTTCGTCAACCAAGACGTCGATTCTCCCAATAAAATGTCCGTAGAAGCATCCATGGTAAATAGCAGAAGGAACTCCCGCAAGTCGATAGTGGAGCCATCGGTGGGTAAAAGCTTGAAGAAATTTTGAACGTGACGTTCATATCTTGGAAGATATCTCACTTGATCTTTGGTGAGACAGCGACGAATAATCTTTTTGCCGAAGGCCCAATCTGGCCCGTTTGCAGCGATCATCCCTTTTCCGACCACGGGATAGAATGCAGTCTGTCTGTCATGGCTTAGCTCGAAAGCCCGAGAGTCGGCTGTCAAGATGGCTCTTGCATTCAAAGCATCAGCGGTCCAGATGTTGGTATGACCAGCAATCCGGACGGAAAATGTTCTCCCATTTTCTCTGATCCAAGCTGCTGACTTGCACAAAGAAGTTTTCTCGTTGACCCAGAAAGCGAACTGATATGCGACATCGAATCCGAAAAGCCACCATTTTTGCCGCAGTTGAGGGACATGGCTATATTGAGGGCTTTCACTGCGTGGTTTGATGGACACACAGAGAGCAAACACAAACGCAGCCACTATTATCAAAGTAGTAAGCCACATTTCGTCCGTGGGATCATTTCAAAGATGAGAGGGTGTATAGATTTGTCGAAGTTATTGTGTTAGTCATGGGAGTTCATTCAGAATTGGCGAACTCTGGGAAGTTTAGGGCTCTGGCTTTGTCACTCTGTATCAAAACGGATGCACCGATATGTCAAGCTTTGAAACTGGTACAACTAGCTACTTTGGCGTGACCAGATTCTCCTCCCGAAACACGGAATACATCTCCGCCTCATCTTAGAGAATAATCCGACACAGAAGTCCGAGGCACACTATTACGTGTGCCTGTTCTCTTTCGCAAACCCCTGTTCCACTTAGGATTCCTTCAACGGCATCCCTTATCGGTACCCACACATGTGGAAAGTGTTGGCAAGGGGAGCAAGAACTTCGTTCATTCCTTTCGCGAGTCAGAACGTGATGGTGACGAATATTCATGCATATTCCTAATGGTACGCTGCTGCCTCAGACTTCCTTGTGTGTGGGTATTGATGTATATATACTTTGCATTGCGAGGGATCTGGAACCCATGAACTTGAGAAGTTTCTCACGTAATCCTCATTCTTAGAGTCTTGGCTGGTGTCGGAATACTCTCTGGTGGGGTCATCCCTCTCCGGTTCCCCTGTGCTAAGGATTACACGTGTATTGAAATCCTTCTAGTATCAGCCTCCACTAACACCATCACCTCATCCACTAGAGCACCAGCCGTGTTAACATCTGAGTCATCATTTTAATGTCCGCGGATCCTTCAATGACGAACGTTTCCTTTGCGTGTAAACCAGGTTTCACCATCCTTGTCAAATTATCGACAAGTTTTCTGATTTACACTAATTGAAGAACAGCCTCAACGTTACAGTTCTTTTGTCAGTCAAAATCACAGATTCAATGACACCTCCTCTCGATGCGCGTCATGTTTTCTCTTTGCGCGACAGTAGCATTTGCTGTTGTCGTAACAGCTGCCTACAATAGTCCACTTCACGAAAGATGGATTACAGACTGCGTTAAGACTTTTGGCTTCGTCCTGATTCTCACCTCCTTGCCTCTCGCGATAATTAATCACCTTTTTATCTATCCTTTAATTAGCCCTTCCAGAGGCTTACCGAGTGCTCCCCAAGAACCAATTCATAAGCGTTTTCTTAAGGAGGTCCGAGGGCTTGAGCCTCTATCATGGCTGGCAAATGTTCCAAACAACGGTATTATACGCTATTTCGGCTTTCTCAATGTCGAATGTTTTTTTGTCACAACTCCAGCCGCTTTCAAAGAGATTCTCGACGCAAAAGCCTATCGCTGGGTCAAACCACCCAAATCCTCGTCATTGTTTAAAATGATCATCGGTGACGGACTCATTACTCTCGAGGGCCAACACCACAAAGAACAGCGAAAATTGCTACAGTCTAGCTTTGGCTTTAGGCAAATTCAAGATTTATACCCAACATTCTGGGGGAAAGCAATAGAGTTGCTAGGCTGTATAGAGCAAGATATCAGCTGCGGGGATCGAGATTCTGTCGTCGATATTCAAGACTGGATGGGCCGTGCAACTCTAGACCTCATTGGCTTGGCTGGGTTTGGCTTCAAATTTGATTCTATCTCCAATCCCGAGGCCAAATTGGTTCGTCAGTATCGCAGACTCTTTGGCATTAAACCTTCGCCAGTCACCCAAGTACTGGCCCACATCATACCAACCAGCATTCTCCGTTTCATCCCTACTCCAACTTTGGAGGATGTCCGGGTCTCCACGGGAGCTATCAAAGCGTATCTCTCACGGGTCATTCGTGAGAAACGTGCTACGATGGCCGAAACAGGTCAAAAGCTCGTTGACAAGGACGTCTTGTCTGTTGCTATGCAGGATACTTTGCTCTCGGAGCAGCAGCTTATCGACCATGCCATGACATTCCTTGGTGCAGGTCAAGATACTACTGCCTATGCACTGACGTGTTCAGTGATGGAACTTTCACAAAATCTAGAGTTGCAGGACAGGTTGAGACAAGAGATCCGAGCGAACTTGCCGAGCCCAACATCTTCAAGATTTCGTGCAGACCCGATTGATCCCGCACGACTTCCATTGCTAACCGCAGTGGTCAACGAGACTCTTCGCTGCTATCCTTCCGTTGATGCAATCGGAAGGGTCTGTCTCGGCGCAGATGCCGTTGTAGCAGGACAGAAGATCCCGAGGGGATCTATCGTCAACATCCCAGTTGCGGCGGCAAACCAGTATAGTGCATTCTGGTCCGGGTCCTCGTTTGATCCAGCTAAATGGCACCCGGAACGATGGCTGGACAACGATGGCAAGCTAAATTCGACCGGTGGTGCTATTGATCCATGGGTTATGATGACCTTCTCGAGAGGCGGCAGGCAGTGTATTGGCGAAAGGTTTGCGAGAACTGAGATGGCGGTAGTGTTGGCTGCGCTAGTTGGCAGAATGAGGTTTTATTTCCAAGGAGCGAGTGGGAGGGGGAAGCCGATCAATGACTTGGACATATTTTATGGGTTTACTGGTTATATTTTTGGTGGGTTGTGGAACACTGTAGAGATCGTGCAGGGATGGTAATGAAATTAAAGCCTTTCAGTGAAGTAAGAGTGCAAACTCTTCCACGCTTATTGGTGTAGGCATCAGGAACTCCATAACATGAGGTATATGTACGGGGCATAGGGCTCTTGATTTTTTGTGCAAAATATGTACTGTTTACCAGATATTTTGAATTCAGAAAACTACCTTTCGCTTCATCCAACGTAGGAATGAAAGAAGTTGATAAGTTGAAAATGAGAACGATTTTACCCCATAAATAATCTATAACATGAGAGTTTAAAGAGTTTCTCTCAGTAAGCCAGACACACATGCATGCACACACCCATAGACAATGTAGTTGATAGGGACGCACTGTTTATATGCCTTTGGTAGGTGCCTATCCATAGTACCTATTTGTTGCAAGGTCATCAATTCCTAGGTATGCAGATCTTCGCCCTATTCTGCTGGGATTCTGCCGTGTAGACAGCATGAACCTAGACCCACAAGGAGCTACTGACGGGCGCCGTTCAACCTGCTCTATACATTATTCAGTTGTCCACATCAGATCCGCAGTAGGCCCGCTTATTATTTATATCCCCCTTTTGTTTCCCAACTAAATCTTTGTACAGTATTCCCATTTCGGTGGATAACAACACCATCAAAGTAGTCCTGGGATCCCAAACTACATGGCCCTTTCAATAGAAGAACGTACGATGCGGCATTTGATGCGTCATTCAAGGGGTCCGGAAAATCCGGGAAGATGACTTGAACGTTAAGTTTATCCTTTGATAAGAATTAAGTCTAATTTATGTACAAAATTTTTTAACTTTTGGGTTGTTCCCATTGCCCACCCAAATCATGTGGCCTGTCATTTCCCCTGGGTACCACTCAAAACCTAGTAGAATATGCAGGACTCAGTGGGCTGCTCGACCTGCTGAGCGTTAACCCGGAACACCGTGCACTGGTCCTTGCCCACCGACTTGGCGTAGGCTTGCTCCGGGTAGACCCAAAACTCGCCATCGGCCTCGCCCGGGCAGGCCAGCCACTGGCTGTCGGCGGCGTCGGCGCCGTTGTAGTACAGGTAGATTTGGTCCTGCTCAGCGCCCATCAGGGCAAAGGGCCCCTTGGGAGCCCCGCCCGGGGTACCCGCCGGGGTCAAGGCCAGAAGGCCGTCGGCCGCGCCGGAAATGTCGACGTATGCTTTTCGTTTGAAGAGGCATGTCAGAAGGCCAGTTGGATGATGCGCGGGTGCGTAGTGCATGTCGAGTTGATGAAAGTTCACTTACCGTATTGCTGGTGCGATGTGCCGTCGTTGTACACTGCGATCGCCTCGTCGATGAGTGCGACCGCTGGGGTCGCGTCGCCGCACGAGGAGTTGGCCTGGATGCCGATGTGCCAGTGGCGGCCGAGGGGCTCCAAGGCCTCGCCGTCAAAAGTCTCGCCGGGTGCGGAGGCGACCAGGTTGTAGTATTGTTCATTCTGGGCGAGAGCGCTGCTGGCGCAGGCAAGGGCGGCGGCGAACACGGCAATAGTCTTCATTTTCGGAGTTTGTGGTTTATAAATGATATTTTAGGGGTGATATGGGTAGTATGTGATTAGTGTCTGCGGCATGTGTGATCTGTTAGATTGGGGAGTTATGTCTTTTGTTCTCATTTAGTCCGTCTCTATCATACATCTTTATATGCGTTCCTTGGGTTCAGTTGTGTTGGGACGTGCCTTGTTCTGAGTCGGTGTGTTCATGATCCTTGTTAAACACGAACGCTAAATAGAGAGAAAGGTGGTACGGACTTGGTCATATTGGCTTGGCAATGCGTTCATCCTGTCCACTTTTTGTCACCCCGCAATCTCCCTGCTTGATGCTGTTTCTTTTTCGATTGATGAAGTTATCCTCAACCCCCTTTCTTGGTGGCCTGTGCCGGCTTGGGTCACGGGGCTAAAATACGGGGTTAGGGAGGAATGCGGTGTGAATATTCTGCATCTGTGAAAGCAAGCACTTGAGCACCACTAATACCACTTTCCGTCATTCACTACTCAAGTATACCGCAATGCCACTGCTACCAGTGGCCAGTACGGCAATGGCACTTTTTGACTGCCTCTTCGGTCTCTCCGGTTAACAGGCCGACGCTTCCGCTTCATTACTTTTCGAAGACCAACACTGCCACTGCTGAGTGAGCAATAGATTCCTTGAAAGATTTGCCACGTACCATATCCCTGAACGGTGTCATTCATTTATATCGGGCCGTCGGATGCCAGATGCTCGAGAAAAGACAGAAAGGTCGGCTTCATATTTTTAAATGCCTGGCGAGGACCTCCTTGAGGCCGAGGCTTAACGGCGCCACGAAGCGTGCCGAACAGCGGTGGAAGCTGGAAGAGAAGTGGATGGTTGGTTGTCGAGGAGAAGCAATCAAGGAGTGGGCCTGCTCGAGGGCCACAAAGAAGGCAGTGCGAGCACAACTGCGATCAGGCTATTCGGGATACCCTTGTATTGAGAGCAATCACTTGCGGTTCCACCCAGCAGCCCCTTAACCATGTACAACGAGTTCTTTGCTCACAAGAGCTTCATTCCACGCCTCCTCCTCGATATCTGCAGCATCAACTTGGTATCAGACGACCTCCTTTAATTCGACTTCAATCACTTGCACAGTCTTTTCACCCGCTGGGATCGCATGCTAGGTAGAGCAAGTCGCGCTCCACATGCTCTTCGGGGTTCAGCTGTCCAATACGTTCTGCTATGTACTCTCCCACGGGACGTCTGTACCTGTCGAGAATCTCTCTTTGGACCATCTGGACTCGGCCATCGGCCATGAGTATGTCTGAATGGACGCCAGGTGGCCCAGAATACTTTTGGTTGCTGAAAATCTTGCACGCTGTGTCTTGAACATGACATACTGTTCGTGAGGTGTTTCCATCACCGTCTGGTTCCTTTCCTGCAAGATAGCTTCGACTGCGTCGTTTGATGGCGTTTTCACAGCTTGAAAATCCTACGCGCAACAAGCTCCAAGAGTGGAGGACTATTCTTTCGAGTAAATTATGTGATTAAATGCATCTGATCTAGGCGGCTGCATCTCCATTTCTGTCTATACTAAATCGATAACCAGTCAAGGTTGGAACATAACTTGATAATAATATCCAGCAAGTTGGGAATGAAGGTGTCAATCAGAAGGGAAACGAATTGACTCCATCGAGTGGCCGGAAACAACTCGGGGCGAATGCAGCTACATACCACTCTGCTTCTAGTTCGAGATCTGGTAGAAGAACCCGGTGCATGTGTCTGAATACATACTGAATTCGATATTTCCAACGTCGTAAATCCGTTTGGGCACCGCAAAACGAGAGTCAATGTTGAATTCATGAATTTCATAAATTCCACAAGCCCCTGTCTGTGCAGGATTGGCGTCTAGAAGTTCTTCAGAACTGTATTCGAATGTTCTTGTGTTTCTAAGTTGATCCACAAAATGGGAGAGGAGCTGACGAGAGGTCTAACGTGTTTTGCCGATGAAGACATTCCCTTCATTGCCATGCCCACGATTAGCCAAAACGTCACTGTGAGCCAAGTAGCTCCGCTCCATGTCCCATGTAAAGGCACTGTTTGCAGCGAAGAGTGCATCAATCGACTCAAGGGAACGGCCTGAGGTCTCGGGATAGACTGGACATGATCAGTATATATATTAAACCGTATGTTAGAGCAGATAATACTTACACAGATACACAATGGGCACCCAAATAAGGTTGAGGCCAGCGAATAGGAAGTACGTCCGATTCTCCAAGACTTCGAAAATGATCGGGTTCACAAGGGTGGTCATTCCAACACCAATAGCCCAACCGGTGATTCCAAACCCGTTGCCTTGCGCACGCAAGTCAGATGACCAAACTTCCGTTGGGATAAGAAACGCAACTGTTCCCCATGTAGCCGCATATGACAGGTTGAAAAGAAATAACATTGCTACAGCAGCGGGGGCAAATTGAGTAGCTCTGTCAGGATTGGCACGAGAAGCTTCGTAGAGTGAGCCTGCGATTAGGTTCACGGCAAAGAGGCAAAAAGCGCCGCCCATCAAACATGTTCTTCGACCGAGACGGTCAACAATCTGGGCACTGACGATGGTGCCGATGATACCAATGGTGTTCAGGCCGCCAGCAAGTCCGTTCTGGGTTAATTTGGTATATCCGGCTTGCGACAGGAGAACCGGAGAATATGCCGTTACGGCCGTAATGCCGGTCCACGATGCCATGACTTGCAGGAACAAACATAACCAGGCGCGCTGACCAAGATTAAAGCCGGGCTTAGGCCCTTTTCCAATCAGGATCTTTATGAACTCTATGGGCGAAGATTTTGTACTCTCTTCCGCAACAGCCTTGATCTCAAGATACTCTCTTTCAACCTCGGGGCCGAATCCTCCACGAACAGACTCGATGACATTTCGCGCGTCGTCAAACCTTCCGACTGATGCCAAATACCGAGGTGTATCCGGCAACATCTTGATTCCGAGCAAGAGAAGCAGGGCGGGAAAACACTGAAAAGCTAGTTGGAATCGCCATCGAACTTCCGAGTAGCCACCATCGATGAAGGCAAGTCCGAACGACAGCCAGTAGGCGACGGAGATACCGAGGTAATTGGCAATGAAGACGTAGCCGAGGAAGCCGCCTCTATGTCCTGCTGTGGATGTTTCCGCGACCATCACCGGTGTTATACCCGTTAACGCCCCAGTGCCAATGCCTGTGACCACTCGGGAAACGATAATGAAGTCGCTGGATTGCGTTGCGGCTTGAAGAGCCCCTCCGACCAAGGCGAACATGCATCCTATGAAAATACTTGACAAAGGTCAGCACCTGTGCTAAGAAGGCGTGGAGGAGAGACAGATAGACGGAGAGAGCCAGAAGGAGAGAGTCAAGGGTGCGGACCCGTTTATACGGCCGATCCGATCCGCCGCCCAACCTCCACCAAAGCAACCCGCAATGCAGCCCATGTAGTACACCGAGACGATGCCTCCCTGATGAAGAGTATCCGTGACAGTGCCGTCGGGGAGACCAATCCCGACTGTTTCAACATATCTTGGCGAGGCGTTGACACCGCCCATAACACCCTGGTCATAGCCTTCGAAGAGAATGCTGATGAGAGAGAAGGTTTGTATGGCGATGTTGAGCTGTTTGGCTGACAGCCGCTTCCACCAGGTGCTATAGCCCATGCTGATGGTGATAGGTGATGTTCGTGTTACGCCGGTACACAAGCGGTGTGATTGTTAGACAGTGGATTGACAATGAGACCATGCGCAAGAGAACTACTTTTGAAGCTTGAGGCATTACTAAGAGATCAATCTTGCTGAGAGCGACCCGAAAAGTAACACTACCTCTCTCTGCGAAGTCATGCTTTGATACGAACCAATAAGGAGCAGTTGACCACCGGTGGATGTTGTGGCGTCCATGCCTTGAGGTTCTCCGACTTTGCCCCGCGACCAACCCCAGAGTTCCTATTTACGGGCCGACTGTCGCGTGTGCCTCCAGTCTGACCAACCAAGCCCAGAATTCCAAAGAGCGCATGTGAGCTCCGCATCGGTCTCACATTTTCGGCTAAAGCTATCATAATTCCGTACAAAAAGATTACAGATCTTTCTGGATGCTGATCAATAAGTTTTCGGGCGGAAGTTCCATCCCTCCCTCACCCAGGTCAACTTAACAAAACCGCTTCTTTCCTCCTATCATCACTTGTTTGAGGAACGACATGGCGAGTGACCATGAGTTCACAAATGAAACGTCGAAGGGCCAGCCGCTTGACATGGTCGTCTTGGGGATGAACAGTGGCACGTCAATGGTATGTGGATTGTGATTGATAAGATCAATAGATTTGTCATTGTCCTGGCTGATAAACTATTCATAAAACCCGTGGCGTTTTATACCCAGCTGTAGTAGGTCTCAAAATTTTATAAATGGCTGACAATTTCCAGGACGGTATTGACTGCGCTCTTTGCCATTTCCGACAAGAAACTCCAGACTCGCCCATGCACTTCTCCCTTCTCAAATATGGAGAAATCCCCATGGACCTCAAAATCAAAGGCGTGTTCTCAACATCATCAAGCACGACAGGACTTCTGCGTCAGAGCTTTCGGAAGTCAACGTTCTCTTGGGAGAAGTGTTCGCAGTGGCCGTAAAGCAGTTCTGCGAAGACAACAAGATCGACCTCAAGTCTATCGACGCGATCGGATCCCACGGGCAGACTATTTGGCTTGCTTCGATGCCGGAACAAGGGGTTCCAAAGTCTGCCCTTACCATGGCCGAGGGCACTATCATCGCCTCACGCACGGGTATTACCACTGTGACTGACTTCCGCGTATCGGATCAGTCTGCTGGGCGTCAGGGCGCCCCCCTCATCGCCTTCTTTGATGCGCTGCTGCTGCATCATCCCGGCAAGCTTCGCGCGTGCCAGAACATTGGCGGCATTGCGAACGTATGTTTCATTCCACCAGACGGACCCGATCATGCATATGACTTTGATACTGGCCCCGGAAACGCCCTCATCGATGCGGTTGTGAGGCACTACAATGACGGAGCCATGGAGTATGACAAGGATGGGGCGATGGGCAAGCGTGGGACTGTCTGCCAAGAGCTTGTGGACAAGTTCATCAGAGATATTCCGTACTTTTCGTGGGACCCGCCGAAGACTACCGGTCGCGAGGTTTTCCGCGACACCCTGGCAGACGATCTCATCCGCGATGGAGAGGCCCGCGGCCTGTCTGCAGACGATGTCGTGGCCACAGTTACCAGGATCACGTCCCACGCAATTGTTGACCATTGGCACCGATATGGCCCTGAAGGGAAGCAGGTTGATGAAGTTTTCATGTGTGGTGGAGGGGCTCATAACCCCAACATCACAGATTACATGAAGGAGAAGCTGCCTGGCGTCAAGATGTTCATGCTTGACGATGCTGGTATACCGGGCGGTGCAAAGGAAGCTGTCACTTTTGCTTGGCAGGGGATGGAGGCTTTGGTTGGTAGGAGTACACCAGTTCCAGACCGAGTGGAGACAAGAAGGCCATATGTTCTCGGTAAGGTGAGCCCCGGGGATAATTATCGGATAGTTATGAGCAAAGGAATGAAGTTCGGAGAGGGTAGGGAATTACTGGGCTGGGTGACAGAGATGACGAATTACGTGGACGGAAAGGTTTTCGACAACAAGTGGTGAGTTTGGAGACACAAGCCAGCATGAATGGATGGTGCAAAGGCAATTGGTACGGATATGCCCGACTTATAACAAGTTTCGGTACCGATGCCACAGCTTCGACTGTTGCAAAGCTTAGGAAACTACTTTTATAGCTAAGAGGTGCCCTTTAACCCTCTCTTTCAAAAGATAGTATCATCTATATTCTCTTGGCGTTGGAGGGATGAAGGGTCCTTAGAAGAAAAGGAGGTCCAGAAGAATGATATCTCTAAAGGACTCATGCACGTGTCAAATCAGGTCCGAGGTTAAACTTCGGGACGGCCTCACTAGTAGAATTTGAAATAAAGCTCATGATTAGGGGTGCAACGAATGAACGTAGGGGAAAGAGCCGAACAAAACTCCCCCGGGCCAATTTTTTGATGACATGTCTGTAGCCGGGCTCTTTAGCAGCATATGATTCTTTGCCAATTTCTCAGTGGTGGATCAGCAGCCCGTGACTGTTTTCGTCGGCGTATGAGAAAGTACCACCACGCCAGAAGCGTCACAAACGTAAAGAGAACCGTTACTAAGACGTATATCCAAATGTACGTCGACACGCTAGCTCCACCGTCACCCCAGTCAAAAAAGGTCATGGAGAAAACAGTCTGAAGATCAACTTGATTAGCTCACAATCAGCAAGATGTTTACCGGAGTGATCATACCGCGAAAAAGGTCCCAGGTAGGAAAACCATGGTGACCAAGGATATCGACCTCATTTGACTTGAATCACGTCCGGCCGCTCGGGCAATATCCATGTTTGTATCGCCATGGGCCTAAAGACGGGTCAGAACAGCAATACCAGGCCTTACCCGGGAAGGGATGTAGATTTACCCATTGCGTAGCCATGGCCATCCCCTCGACCCTCATGTTACAGTCTTCTATCTTTTCGTCCAGCTCCTCCACAAGCGACTGCAATCTTTCTTTGATCAGGCAGCTCGTTCGCGTGAACGACCGATCAGCATCCGTTACAGCCCCGAGGGCGCACTGTGCCTCCCGCAGAGGTGGCGAGGATCCACCGCAATCCGTTGCGGGCTCTGCACATAGCTCATCGACGTGTTCGATCATTTTGAGCACTTGTCTCTTCCAGATGTTCAACCTGTTCTGCAAGAATGTGGTGTTCAGCCAAGCTGTCCTTCTCTCGTATCTCTCCCCGTCTGGGTGCTGCAAACCGTCGTCTTCGGGGAGCAGCGCCGGCGGTGCCTCAGGTTCGTCGAGCACGCTGCCTCTGGAGTCAAGGTCGAAGATGGCTCCCTCGATTCGATCAATTGTTGTGTCTACGACTTCAATCAATCTTTCTCTCTCGATCTCGGAGAAAATCCCCGCCAGGAGAAGTGGATGGAAGCCCTGCTCCTTAGCCAGAGACACCCGGTTGAGCACCCGCCTCTCTACGTCTGCAGTGCATCCGAGTAGTATCCCGTATGTGAGTTGGCCCCGGTGAAAATATGTGGCCGTCAATGCGAGGTCGTTGCTCCAGGTGTTAGCTGAGCGGCAGTTATAGACTGATAGAAGAAGTGATTAGAATCTGGGCATTCACATATTCTGAATGTCTGTACTTTGAGAGTGACACACGAGCCACGTACCGATGGCATCATGTTTGGACTTGTTGTCTTCGTCCAAGCAGTAATCTTGAACCGATATACCCATACTAAGCCGAGCGCGAGAGAACAAGGGCACATTAGCGCGGCTGACAGCCCTAGATATTGACCCATGCACGAAGAACTTGCGCCCGATCTCGCTGAAGGTTTCTTTATCAAACGGCATATGTCGGAGCCCACGGCCTGCCCTTGCGGAGCCCTTGGTCTCTTTGAGTGAAGCTTCATGCTTGCTTGAGACGTTGGGGCCCGGCGTCAGCTGCTTACCATTTGGCCAACTGTAGGAGCGGCGCTTCTCATTGAAGCTACTTTTGAACAACTCATCTGCCCGCTCTTGGCCAAAGGTGGCCCTTCTCGTTTCGATTCGCTGAATTATGGTCTCGGTCTCTCCATCTCTAAGAGCCAGACTATATCTTTCGTGTCAGAGGGAACCAGGCACTCAAGAAGTCAGGTTGTGTTCGGAAGTACATCAATACGAGTCCTTTTCCCGCATCAATCCCTGGCAACTCCTTTTGGAATATCATTTCTGTTAGTTGCTATAAAACTCTACTCTAGGATGGCGGAACTTACATTCGATAGCCAATTGTCCCAATCTTGCCGTGTGGATAACGACCACAGCTCAGGCTCCTGGTAGAGATGGGAGTCAGCTGCTTAACCTCGCTAAACCAGACAATACATGCCGCATTTAAATGTACACATGCACTTACCGTCTCACTGTCCATGAAACGAACAACCGTTGTTGGTTGGGGTCCAGATGCATAACGGAATACTCTGCTCAAGTCTGCCTCTGTCAGACCAAAGTTATCAACTGGCAAGTCCATTGACTGTATTCGAGCCGGCTTGTGAGCTCGACGTGCTTGCTGACAATCTCCCAAGTTTGTGAGCACTTCTAGTTCTAGGATTGCGATCACGCGGGAGACTTTTTCCGGTACACGATGCGTCTGGAGATCTCAATATTCTGAGGGTAGATCGAGCTTGATCTGCCACAGGGCTCTTTGGCCGGGGTGCTCGAGAACACTGAACCCCCCAATCTGCAAAGCACGTGATCCTGCATGCAGCCACTGCACTCCGCCCCGATTGTCTCACTGTCTACGGGTCCTGCCGCTTACCCTTGTGCGTGACCTATCCGTCAGTTCCGTAGAAGGCTCTGGCGAGGTAGCAGCTGCGTGGCAGTGTCGCCTTTTTGAGGCTGCAGCGCACTACTACTGCAGTAGGGTTCATTTCCATGGCGCATATTCGAATTCGTGTGGCCACTCAAGCCGTCACCAGCTCAGTGGTGTGCTCCCGGGCACCCTCACACTTTCCTGTGGTCTCGGTAGCACATCGCCACAATGCCAAAGTTTGCCTTGCTGTCAGCCAGGTTTGCCCGACAGGTATGACTGACTGTACAACCTTGGGGCACTCAATATGACAAGATGTCTCGACGGACGTGTCCGATGTTGTCTCAGTGCTTGCCACAAGTACATAAAGGTACACAGCCCCAGGCTCTGTCAACTTGCCGTATTACCACATTTCTTCACGCCACTTTGGCGACTTATTCCACAACAACAATCAATTAATGACATAAAAGTTCACTTTGCGGTAAAGCCATGGCCACTGCGGTGTTCCGAAGCAGATACGCCGACGAGGGCGTGATTTTGCGGGAGTTGAGGGCATTCTTCCCGAGACACAGAGTCTTCGTCATGGTAAGGCCTGCCTATACAGCTGGACTGCCAGAGTTCACCCTGCTTGGTTACAAAAGTACTAAATTGGCGGAATCAAGTTCGAACGTGACCGTTTCTTGTGCACCGTGCCGCGACGTCTCACAGAGGTATGCGACCTGAGGAGCAGCACACTCCATTTACCCTTTCCCTCGCAGCTAAACCGCTAACGGGCCCTCGATTCTAAAGGCAGAGAACAACCATGTTTTGAACGCCATAGCTGCCGAACATTATGTTTGAGACGGGTTGACTGTGGTGGTGGGTCATGCAACTGAGGGCCTTGGACCTTCTCAGGATGATTAACATTGGGTTGATTTATCCGTTGAAATTGTGTAATGCCTGGGTTACTGGGCATGGAAGACAGTTCGAATTCAGGGAATTATTTCAAGCAGTAATTGGTGTTACGACCGTTATACTGCTGAGGATTCTAGCCACATGATCTGTGGTTCATTGCGAATTCTATCACCTAGTTCCGAATTAGTCTCTAGCAGCCAGACACCCTCCAAATATTGCTCTGAATAGTGTCCCGAAAGGTGATGTGTGAGATGCTTTTTTCCCCTTCTGATCCAAGGAAGGTGCAATCCCGCTGGAAATGCTCGGGGCATTCACGTCCCCTAATGTGCCTTGAGACTCGTCCGGGCTACCTGTGTGTAGTTCTCCCTCCAAAGTCGTTTCTGTCGATAACGGTTGCCGTGATCCACTAGTCTCTGCAGCTCCATATGATTGCGATGCACCGCTGGAAGTCCCGAGAAGGGGTGCCGTATCATCGGCGTCTTCCAGATCGATGCGAATGGAGTATCTCTGGCTTGGCGATCTTCTCGGGTTTGCTGTCGCTGTCTGCGGTTGGCTAGGAGTGCGGAGGACTTGGTCCACGGTCCCGTAGGGTCTCTGGCCGCGGGCCATGACATTTCCTTCGTGGCTTGCCTCGCTATCTCGTGACAGCCACGTGTTGGTGATATGGACGGGTGCATTCCATCCGGTTTGTATCACTACCTGCCTACCACCTGTAGGCAATGCTTCAGTGTCTTGGGGCGTAGGCCAGGGGCCGATGGGGGATTCTTGCTCCATGGCCAAGCCATAGGATTCCCCTTGGGCGTTCAGTTTCCTCTGGATGCTCCTCAATTCATAAACGACGTTGCGGCAATCGCCACGTTCCTTATAATTAATGACGAAAAGATCCCTCTTCATCAGGTCCAAGAGATCGCTGCACAGCGCACTGCAATGACGGTGGCGCCGGAGATCTTCGATCCACTGGTTTCAAGGTTAGCAAAGTCCATACAACGATTGAATCTGGGGACAATGATTGAAAATTGTTTCTGTATCTCACCTTCTCGACACTCTCCTTCTTGCATGGCCGGTGATTATGGTCGAAGTTGAAGAATTTGTCCACGGCGAACACTTGCTCGCCCCTGTCATCATGTCGTCGCCGTTGATAAAAAGTGTCCTCGACATGTCTGTGACCGGCCAGGTACCAGGTGACAAACTCCAATAGCACGCAGCCAAAAGACCACATGTCATACGCTCTACTTATTGATCCCTGTTCAGGTGCTCTGTATTTAAGGTTTTCGCCTTCGGAGTGTGCCCTTGATCTGGATGCTTTGGTGTGAAAGCGAGTGAAACCGAAGTCACAGATGACAAACTTCCCCAGATTGTTCGGGTCCGCGCTGTCTTTATACCACAATATGTTCTCGGGCTTGATATCGCCGTGTATGCCCCAACGTTTCGTCTCTAGGTCACCCGATCCGCTCCGGTGAATCCGCTGCAGGGCTCCGGCTAGTCCAAGCAGCTGTTCGATCATCCATTTGGCTTGTGATAGATCGGGCTGAGGCTCGGGGTGTTTCTCATAGAAATCCCAGAGGTTTCCGTCTGCCCAGGGAAGAAGGAGGTTCCAAACCTGAGACTGGCGCCATGTTGCAAGAAGTCGAATGAGATGGGGATGGAGAGCGGTGCCAGCGGCTTGCCTCCACGCTTCAATCTCTTCCTGGAACACATCCTCTTTGCCATCTTTACATACCAATTCTTTCACAGCAAACGAAGGGTTCTGTCGCTGATCATCGTCGCCATCCAGGCCCTGGTTGCAAAAGTTAGCCGGACCGTCAAGCCCACAGATGATGCCAAAGTTTGCTTACTTCATGGCCATTATGATGATCTGGGTGTATCTTGACACGGTAAACAGTGCCATGGTACCCATATGTGCGTCGATGGCTGCTTTCATCCTCGATGAACGGCAGCACAGATTTCTCGTTCAAGTTGTAGAAAGCGACAGAATTGCTATCTAGTTCAAAAAAGGGTGCCATAACATGTTCTTGGTAGTTTATGAAGGAATCCAAGTTATGCGGTTTCCAATGATCTGGAACCTCGAAAGACGTTTCTCTTCCCCCACCGCAGGTGCGGAAGCCCGGCCCGCCGAAGTTGCGCACATTTTCAACCGGCAGGTCTCGGTCGCTGAATCCGCGATCGACGAAGAACGGCGCGTCCACGATACGATCCATGAGGGCAAGAATTGCGAAGATCTTCCTATGTGACGTTTTCCCATCATGGTATTCTGACTCTCGAAATTGACAGATCTTCCGAGCATAGTCACTTATCTGTTTGTCTTGGAATCTCAGGTGAGCGGCCTTGAAGGCCTCCGTCAACTCGTGATAGACCTGGCTCTCGTTCACAAGTTGAAACAGGGAACCAATGGGAATCCATTCTTGCCTTGTGCCACTTGAATTGCCACCTCTAGTGACGAAACGGTCTCTCAGAAGTACGTCCAGTGGCTCGGTCTTCGACACTGATCCAATTTGGGTGAGGATATCTGCCTGGTCCGCGGGGGTAGTAGCGATCCCCCCCTCAGAAGCATATTCTTCGCAGGCAGCCGTGTATCCTACATCGTAGTCTGTACGTATAGTGAATGTATCGTCGTTCTCAGAGACAGACCTCTCGGATTTGGGGCTCGGGCAAAGGCCTTGAGAACGGCGCCGTTCCGATGACCGCAGGTCTCCAGGAAGGTAAGAAGAGGGCCTCAAAGACGATGCAGACACTGCGTCTTCTGCATCATCTCGGCCGGCCGATGTGTCAAGCTTCAGAGGGATGTCTTCATTGGTTGGAACATTGTTGACATTCCAGTTACTCGACGGTATGAACGTCTGCCTTTGTGGTGGTAGATCGTACACGGCTGTCAAGATTGGCTGAATTGCAACAGTTAGTCATTTTCCATTAACCCCCAAAATCATGCCACATACTGAGGCTGGAATCTCGGCGAGCCTAGGCGGAGCTTGGGGAGTCATGTCTAGGTGAGTAATTAGATGACTCAGTGGTCAGTCTTGACTGGATGTCGATTTGCCCCGGATGCAAGGGGGAGGCGCAGCCCAGGTCGTAGCGAGAAATATACTGAACGAAACAACGCCTGAAGCACCGCAGCCAAATAGGTGGCCGAGGTGGAGGCTGCCTGCTTGGGGCAAGTTAGCTTCTTGAAACTTGCGTGGCGGGTATGAAGTGGAACGCAAACCACTCCACGTCGGACGGCGAAAAGGCAGTGTGCGTAGGGTGAGAGAATGAGTGGTGCGGAGTGCATATAATCGTGTTCGTCTGAGCCGTGGGCGCCGGCATGATGGTGCGATACGGGCTCCCAGTCAGCTAGCACCCCCTCAGACGCAGCATGGCTTAGCCAGCTTCAGAGCAGAGCCGCTCAATTTGGAGTCAGCGCTAGAAAACTTCTGCATGCACAGCGCCGTGGGCTTAGCTACCTGCCCATCTCAGCCTGGTCGGGGAGTGACATCTACTCAAGATCCTTGCCTCATAGGCCCTTAAATGCAGCCCAATATGCAACCTGCGTGCCGCTTAGTGTTCTACCTTGGCGAGCTGCGTTGTGCGTACCACCTTGGAAGACCACCTGGGCCTTCCACTGAGTGAGTCTAGAAGTAATCACCGAGAAGGAGGCAAAACATTTGCCTTGCCAGAGAAGTGGAAAAAGTCCTGCTTCGGCCCCCATTGGAACTCTGGCTAAGCTGTTGCCCTAGGTCCTTGGCCTACCTATGTACTCTGTATATAGGAAAGACTTGATATAGAAGGGCCGCAGAATATGACCCATGGGTTGCCATGTTGATTCAGCAGCGTCAGGCTGCCGCAAGGCAACCAAGCGAGTCCATGATAAGACTTATGAACGCTTCCCCAAATCTCATTCCCAAATCCCCTTGACCATCGTTCACAACATTAAGCTTTTGAACAATTATCACACTCTGATCCATCGAAGCAATCTAACCATATTCACTCTTCATCAACATGCCTTCCTACACACGGAGCAGCTGCCATGGACGCCAAATCGAGGATGGATCCGTACAGCGCATTCACACGAGGTTCGTCGTGAGCCAGATTGCCCTGGCTAACTTGTTGTCGAGACAATATGGGAAGGGAAATTTCGCGGTCGAGGCAAGTTGAGGATGACCCCACTTCTAAGGAGTTGAATTAACATCAAGTTGCAGGTGAAGCACAACGTCTACTGCATCAAGGTGTCCAGCGACCAGCCGCAGCTGGATCTGGTAAGTCAAGTTCAGTGATACACATCCCGCAGGCCAAGCGCTGATTGCTGACATATTTTCTCTAGGACAGACCTGAAATATTGCGCCAGCTTGGTGGGAGGATGGTGTATTGATAAGAAAAGGGCCTCACGGCACTGGATACCTGATTCTGGTCGGTCGCTGGTATTGGAGTTGCTGGAGTTACAACTAGATTCGCAATGAATTTCATACTGAAGTACTTAAGTGGGTAGTACCTGTGGACTTAGTACAATGGCACGTTGAGCCCCTTGGCGCTTAGCGGGTACAAATATGCCAGGTAGTCTTCTTAAGTATTGGGATACTTTCTAGATACATTGATAGGTGTGGGCATTTCGGCCGGTTATTCCCGGTTGTAAGTTCTACAGGCAACTTTTGGGGTGGCAACACGGCTGCCTCCGTGAGCCCAGGTCGCGAACCACTGTCCGCATCTGCGGTCAGGCGATGAGTTTCCCAGGATGTGTAACACAGCTTGGCCCTAGTCTATACCTGTCGTGGCTTAGGCTCCGTGGGTGTATCTTTTCGGTGAACATGCCTGTGTGACGTAGTCTAGAGCCTCATTCTCAACAGGGCAGAGCCTGATACATGTATAATTACACACTTTCAACTCCAATGTATTGAGGTTTCTGCGTCGAGACTCCGAAGCTCAGCAAAGTCGTGGACGCATGATACCCATCATCGCTCTATTGGCCGACATGTTGCATCTCCCACGGCTCGAATGTTTCTTTTCAGCCCCCATCTCAGCCACCAACTACCAGGTCTGAATTGCCAACTCTAGAGGCAAAAATGTCTGGAAACCCTGCATTTCGTTTGAACTCCGGGCCTACAGTGAACATCATATCATCTGGAAGCGAAGTCAGGGACACCAACGACAGCGGGGGACACTTGTATGACAAAAATACACACCCATGGCAGACCCCGGTCTTACCACCTGAAGTTGACTATGACGCAAGCCAGGCAAATAATTTAAAGAAAAGCCGCACACCTATGTGCGAAGCTATTCATGATAGACTACGAGATCATAGCGTCCGCCATCCTTCTTCCAAGTCTCGAGACTTCTGGCCCCGAACGCTCTTCGGAAGTCTGATTAGCAGAAAGGATGTGGCGATTCTACTTGACGAGCTCGCACAGACTTATGAGGGCATTCTTGATGGACAGACCATCGATGATGCAACGGAGACAATTTCGACCCGTTATAGAAAGATTTTGGCACTCCTTCTGTTAATTGGAAAGGGCAAGCTGATACGAAAATTCGTCTCGAGGGGAATAGACGATAGCAAACTACCTTTTCCCTTGGATTACCAATTCGATGGCTTGATTAAGGATGCATACCGCGATAACATCCGCTTGGACTATCAGTGGAGGCTAAATGTTCCCTTCTTCCAGCCGTTGGCAGCAGGACTGGGAAGTCCCAATGGACATGTCTGCCATCTGAATATATCCGAATTCGACATCCAGCCGTGGGACCGATTAGACGCGAAGCCGAGTGAAGCACAGAAAGGCTCTCCTGGCTTGTTATCAGTGACTTTAGCCGGTGGTTACGGTGAAGTGCACAAAATAATCATTCACCCATGGCAGCATGATTTCCATGGTGTGCTAGAGAAGGTTAGCTTTCCCCGACAAAAGCGAGACTTTTTCTTTGTTTCCAATGTCAAGCCTTTTCGAAATCAACTGACGCGGAGACTCTCTTGCTCATGAAGTGGACATCTGATAAGAATGTGTTCGCGTTGAAGCGCCTTCTCACCAACGACGAGTCAAAGTTCGATCAGGAAACCGACCAGCTGAAGAGATTCGGTGGACAGCACGATCACATTGTCACATTGCTTTCTACCATCTCCCTGAAGACTGGAAGCCACAAGGACTTCTACCTGTTGTTTCCATGGGCGGACTCCGACCTTTTGGGTTATTGGCAGAGATACCCAATGCCAGAATTGTCAGAGGACATGTGGCGATGGCTCATCGAACAGTGTTGCGGGATTGTCGACGCCGTGGCGTTCATCCATGACCCTGGCAGCAAAATACAGAACCTGCAAGGCAAGCGCCTCTATGGCCGGCACGGAGACATTAAGCCAGAAAATGTCTTATGGTTCATAAAGCGCCAAAGCGTAGGCGGCAGAGGAGCGCTAGTGCTGTCAGACCTGGGCCTGGCTGCAGTTCATCGAGATACAAGCCGATCCAACATTCCGGGCGAGGCCATACCGCACACACCAAATTATCGACCTCCAGAGTGTGACATGGATGGTCCAAAAGGCCACATTTCCCGGTCGTTTGATATATGGACCATGGGCTGCCTCTTCCTGGAATTCGTCGTCTGGGCGCTGGAGGGGTGGGATGGAAGGGTAAACTTCCGTTTCGACCGATGTGATTCAGCCTATCTGAATGCCGAGACAGATGTCTTTTTCGACATAAAGCGTACTGAGAAAGAAAGCGCCAAGAGCGAATACGTCTTCCAAGTCAAGGAGGCGGTCACAAAGGTACGTGACTCTGCCCGTATAGTGTTGTAGACATACACTTCTCTGACTCTGAGCAGCGCATCATTAGCCTATACGAACATCCAGCTTGCCCGAGGATTATTCAAAGGCTTCTTCGACTGATAAGGAATGAGATGCTTATTGTACAGTCGGAACGCCCTCCAATCAACAGGATCAGAGCTGGCAGGCTTCGTGATGAAGTCCGCGAGCTCAAGGAGTTGTGCACAGCTAACAATGGGGTCTGGTTGAAGCCGTCCAAGGAAGAACCACCCATGAAACTGGAAGAAAGTCGTGCCCCGGTAAAGGCCCCTCTGAATGGTGAAGCACTGAAGAATCTTGGTATCGATGACAGGTTCGATAAGCTCAAGGTCTTTATTGGGGGCGAATTGCGGACGACTTCTGGGCGGAGGGACCCAGGTACTTTATGAGACAGCTGGTCACTCTAAGTGCGGCTTCAAAGTCCGGCACCTATCTTCTTACATACATGTCTATCTGGTCAATTGTGTGCGTCTTTTCTACACAGATCATTGTTATGGAACTATCTCTACACTCTACTGTCCTGCTCTTAGATCTAGTACTAGTTCTAAGGATGAACTTCAAGCTATCTTTGCCAACAGAAGCTCTGGCTAGTAACTTCTCAAATCCAAGTATCAATTTGGCTCAAAGTTCAGATCACTGAGGTTCTTGCCCTCGCTGATTAGTCTAATTGCTTTAGATACTGTGGATCGTTATAACAGAATTCCGGCAGGTTCAGTACTAGTTCGAGCAACCCTATATTGCGAATCTGGGCGGAGGCTATATTAATCTTATCTCAACAGGGTTTACCCAATGTAATCGAGAACATCATGCCAGACACCTCAACAATAGAGTTGTAATCAAAGTCCAATTAGAGTTGCGATATAAAAGAATATCTGCCCAAAGCGGATAGGGAGAAAGAGGGTATGGTGTCACCTCCTCGCGTGTTTATTAAAGTTGATCTCGACATGAATGGCGGCATCTATGGGGAAAACCGCTTCCAGGAATTCAGCTTCTCACTGCCCCACCTGGCTGAGATGCTTGTGAGGCTGGAACTTCAGCCATCGTCTATCTTTCCCAAGACTGACCTCAGCACAGGGCTGCTACTCTTATACATTTTCCGGTAGCTCGCGACTATCCTATAAGATACCCAACGAGTCAGTGCAATGAGAAGGGGCTCTGTGGTCGGAAGGGGGTTTGGGTGAAAAGAATAGGGTGAGTCTTCAGGTGGGGCTTGCAAGTCCCAGTCACGTACAGGTCCAAGCTGCCGAAGTTCAGGCGGGATATATGTCCGCTCGTCAGTGATGACGACATAGACAGCATTCTTGTATCGCGCATCTTCGGCAAGAGACTCGGCCCGATCGGTGTACGACAGGACCTCCCTCCGCAGCTCCTCAAAGCCCGGGGGCGGGCTATCTGCAAGGTCCCTGGGTTCCAGCCTGCGCTGCGCAAAAACTACTGTCCAATCATAAGCAATATAAGCGGAGGATGCGAAGTCGAAGCCCATACGTGATGGGACAAAGACGCGTGTCTTGGTATCTCCGTTGCCGACCTTGTTGCGTAGGAGTGTAGTGACCTCGTCGACCCTGTCGTAGAAGGGTGGGATACCCAAACAGAGTACCTTAGACTCGTTGATGTTATTGGCGAGCAAGAAGGCGTTGAGTACAGGGAGCGGGACCTTAAAGCCGCGCAAGATGGTTGTGATACTCATTGTTGGGAGTCCAGGTCGAATGGTGGTTGATGTAGAGAGATTGTGTATCATTGGTGAGTCTAGTTAAAGACCAAACACAGAATGATGCGGCTTGGAATACTGAGAGGGAATATCTCGCCTGGTTGACTTTATAGTACGGCTGGGGCAGGTGTTGCTGTCGAAGAGGCCGAATTAACCACGCAGCTCTGTGATTACTTAAGCAGTATCAACCAATAATGCACAAATAGGGTGCCTATAATTAGCATAGAACCAACCTGCAGGAAATGATCCTCTCAAAATCCCTGCCGTCCAGCTGGGCCTATGGACAGATCAAGTGGCCAACCGGCTTCTGAGTAGGGTGAGCAGACCTTAACTGGCCCCTTGGGGAATAGCTTGTTGGAGTTCTTAGCATTGGCATTTCCGCCTGTGCCTGTCTTCTTCTAAAAGTTTGGTGAGCGCCTGAGAAAACCCTTTTAGGTGGATTACTGAGGCGCATGTTTCACTAGGCCCTGCCGTCTTTCAGACATAGAGGCCTGTGTTTTCGTGGTCGGTCCGTTAGATGGTGGATTTATTAGACTCAGAAGTGAATCAAAGGGAGAACAGTGTACATGGGGCCATTTTTCCGAGAACAATCAAAATGCTCCAGCAGCGAGAACTTGGAAAGAGTACTCACTTGCGTATTCTCTAGCACTTGCCTGGGTGATTTCTCATCATCGGACGCGGCTCCCTTTCTGTGATGCGACTCGGCTGCACGCACTGGCAGTCCTTCTGTGCTGGTTTTCTCTCCGAGTCTGGCTTCAGGATTAGCAAGACCCAGCACCTGCTTCTGCTACTTCCTGTTGCTCAAGACACAAGACTGCTCAAAAACGCCGTCCTCCTCTCTCCACATCGTCTGACTTTTTTTCTTCTCTTCACTTCTCCAATATGATCCCTGGCCTCTGTTCGCAACAACGCAACTCCATCTCGCCGCTGACCATCATGCACACCAACCTCGGTACCCTTTTGACACTTGACTCCCCTCTATCACAGTTCTGTACATTCCTGAGTCTTGTGCAGGTCATGTCCCAGCACTCACGAGCCTCACCACGTCTCGGAGCACTTGCTCTCGACGTCTTTTCACCTGTCTCAGACCTACGCCTTTGATCCCACTTATGCAACAAGCTGCTCCGGGCAGTTCACTGCCGCGGTGCTCGCAAAGCTGTTGTCGTGGCCGGCAGTCTCATTCATCACAGACAGAGTTCAAGGTGGGAACCCCTCTCCTTCGCCTCGTCCTGCCCCCCCCCCCCCGATTTCCCCCCGAACACCAGCCAAGATGATATAGTTTATAAGACTCCTCTGCCTTGGGCAAGAGCACCATGAGTGCGGGGCGCGATGAGTGGTTAACGACTTTTATCGGAGCTCATCACTCGCGGTTTTGTCCCTCGGGAATTTTCCTGCGCCCACCAGCTTTTTGCTGGTGGAAAATCTCTCACTTATGTAGGGTCACGCCAGCCAGCCAATTGTCGAGCCTCGAGCCGGTCACAATCTAGGGCGCGACGAAGTTTGACTCGGCGGGTGGTGGCGGGAGCTAAAACTTTGGTTCGTTGTTACGTCCAGGCTTGGGTCGAAGATGGCATAGTTCGGAGCAGACACTCGAGAGGCTAGGCTCTTGCTTGCTTTCTTTTCAATTCTTGATTAGTTCTGTGCCTGTATTTAGTCTAACATTATGCCTATGCTCACCTTGACTCATAGATCATTCGCGTCTCTAGTTTGCTAGGGTGGACACCCTTTTGAGCAGTGCGGTCCTTGGTGAAATGTACTGAGCTGGCCAATCTGAACCGATTGTCCCAACATCCGTCATGTGATCCGGTTCACGAATTCTCCTGCTTGATCAGTCTGGACTCGGTGTCAGTGTTGGGCCTCGGCCTCCTCGACGTGCTGTCCCTGCATGCTTGTCAACACATACATTGATGACAGATGGAATTGTGGGTCTTGTCGCCATCTACTGCGGGTAATATCCTATAGATTAGTCAAAGCGTTTTACTGCCACTGTAAAACTCTGATATTTTAAAAGCCAGGGTAAGGTTCTATTGAACAGGTTCTGGTCGAAGCTCGAGGTAAATTGGTAGACTATTTGTCCAAACATAATCTTTCCCTATTGCCAGCGGGAGGATAGTTCTGGCTCTCAAAACTAGATGACTCGGTCTAGCTTCTTTGAACAAAATTTATTAACGGGTTTCTACAGCCGGGCAAGCGGCCCATCGGCCCTAGCGATGCCCAATGCTGCTTGTGTTATGTCCTTGATCGAACTGCATCCACACAGCTGCATGCATCTCTTGAACTCGCCGTACAATATATCCAAGGTTTTGATAACGCCTGTCTCTCCGTTGTACTGATAATTTGGCTTTGTCAGCAGATGTCCTTGAAGGCTTCACAAGAGACTAAGAGAATCGAAGAAAAAAGAATTGAGCAAATACTTACGGCCAACCCCCACACCACGGGACGGCCAATCCAGACACACTCGGCACCAAGGGCCAACGCCTTGAAGATGTCAGTGCCGCTGCGGATGCCGCCGTCGACATGGATCCTGATCCTGCCATTAGCGGCTTTCGCGCACTCTGGGAGCACATCGATGGTGGCTGGTGTCTCGTCAAGTTGGCGGCCACCGTGGTTGCTCACGACAACGCCGTCACAGCCGTACTGGATAGCGAGGTGCACATCCTCGGCCGTAAGCACGCCCTTGATCCAGATCTGCATCTTGGTAACGCTGCGTAGCCACGGAATATCAACAGCCCACGAGTGCGCATCCGAGTTAAATGAAGTGAACCCGTCGTCGTGGGTCTGGGCGCGGATATCTTCCGAGGTACGTTCCAGCATGGGCAATGACAAGCCTTCGGGGGTGCGGAAGTCGGAGCGGACCTCATTATAGCGCACGCCCAGCACGGGGCTATCGGCCGTGAGGAACAGAGCCACGCAGCCGGCGGCCTCGGCGCGCCGGATAATGCGCAGCTGCGCATCGCGGTCTCGCATCGTGTACAGCTGCATAACGTGTGCCAGAGGCCCGACCTCAAGACCAGCCTGGCGCACCTGCTCCACCGAGTGGTTCGAGAACGTCGATACACCCATGTGAACCCGGCGCTTGGCGCAGGCGCGGCTTGTCGCCAACTCGCCATCCGGGTGCGCGATGGCCTGTAGCCCGGCGGGCGAGACGCAAAGGGGGAAATCGATCTGCTGGCCAAAGACTGTCGTTGTACTGTCGGCTTTGGATACGTCGACGAGGCAGCGCGGCCTTAAGCGGTACTTGGAGAATGCCCGTGAGTTGTCTTGTACAGTGACCATGTTCGTTGAGCCATCATTGAAGAAGTCTGTATACGTAGGTCAATGGTCGGCTCTAGAGAAGGATTGCTGCATTTGCGACAGACCTCTGTGTACTGCAGGCAGCTTAGCGGAAGCGGCGGCTTTGATGTCCTCCACACACAGCATGATGTTCTCCGGAGTAATCACAGCCATGAGTATTGATAAATTGCGGGTTCACCGAGACAGGACGGGGTGCAAGTTGACTTCTGCTCTGTCGTACATGTGACGGACGAAGTTTAGACGTTCTGCTTTAGCGTCTCCGTTATCGTAAAATGCAATCCGTTGGCAAGTCTGCTCCGGTAGTATATTACAGTCGTGGTGGGGAAAAGGGCGTAGGCATGCGGTGACTAATGATTGTCTTAGTCATTTCCCTCTGAACGGCGTTATTCGTCTGACAAGGATCACTTGGACAGTCTATAATCGAATTTCATCTCCAAACATTTCTAACACTCCGTCTTTGCTGCCTCCTTTGTAGCATCGACACCATGGCTCACGAGAGGACCGCAGTGCGGTTGCGGCAAGCGCCTGCTCCTCCAGCTTTGGTTTCAAAGGCAATCAGTATTGGCAATCTCGTATTCTGCTCCGAACAAGTGGGTTGCAACGCCAAGACCGGCATCATGATTGAGGAGCCGATACAGGCGAGGATGGTGCGCGTTCCCGCCCTTTCAACGCGAAAAATGAGCCCGTATTCCAGGAATGGATTCAATGGCATACAGAAGCAGTCAGTACTGGCTCAGAGTTGAGCATTGCTAACTACGGAGGATCAAATAACTACGGAGGATCAAAGTGTGGGTCACCTTTTACTAGTCCGTGTTGGCAACAAGTTTGCTTGGCTTTAATGAAGGCTGCGGGTTTGACACCGTGATACAGCTTGCCACTATAATCATCCGTTGTATGCATAACGAGCTAAGTATTTGGGGACAGCGAAGAAGGTGACATTATCAATAGACTTGCTCGAATTTCCTTGATACCAAGAGAGTGAGTGCACGAAATTACCTGATTCGAAATTCTGCGAGTTTTGTGTACATCATTTCTCGGGCCTTCTTTCTTCACAAGATCATCTATTTGTCTCTAAAACATGTGCTCCATGAACAAGATCCCAGACCCCTCTGTATGAAATAGTAAATTGATTCCAAATCGTGGCTCAACACTTTCAGAGCCTCGCTTAGAAACTATCTAACCCTGGTAAGCTCCAAATGCAGTGATATGGTCCCAGGACTTTGAACTTAAATAGGTGCCCACCCAGTTTAGACTGTTTAAGAACAGGAAGAGAAGCATTGGGATGGTTTCGGACTGAGACTCAACGGCCGACCCTTTCCATGGTAATGAACACTGCTGACATCAGCTTACTATTGTCATATGCAGGTTTGATATAGTAGTTAACGGTTTAGACCCCGAAGCACGTTTGCCCAACTAGGTCTGAATATTCTGCTCGGTCAATAGTGTGTGGTGACAGCATTGAAATTTGTAAACCGCATTTGATATGATAGGCCAGAGACACAAGCGATCCTTTGATACTGCATGGCTCACGTGAGAAGAATAGTTTCTCCTTCGACCGAAAGTCTGCAGACACATCAGTGAGCCGGGCTCCTTCATTCGAATCAGCCTAATTCGCGATGGCCTCGTTCAGCCAAAAGACATTTCGTATAGCGTCCTTATGGTATGTCTGCGACACAAAGAGCAGTCTGGAGATGGTTAGGGCAGCATAATAGCAAAAGATGATAGTCAAGTCTGAATACACCGCACGGTCAATGAGAGCTCAATGATGTATATAAAGGCCTTGGGGCAGCAACAATACCCCATGACGAATTTCAACCTCTGTAGCAACAACCATCATTACTTGTCCAGACTTGCACTCTCTCTCCAGAATCATATTTCATCATGATCGCTGCAAAAATTACCTCCATCGCCCTCGCGGCCATCTTCAGCACCGCCTCCCTCGCCATGCCATCATCCAACGGCGAAACTTTCATCCAAGCCCGTCAAGAAATTGACACCAGCAACTGGGTTTCCGTCGACTTCCAAGGAAAAACACTCAAGTACAACCCAGCTGCCCTCAACACCTCCGTCCAGGTCCATACCACCTCGTCCGGCGACGTGTTCAGCCCAGCTGTCATCACCAAAGACTGCTGCGGCGACAGCTCCTTCTCCGGTACCGACGCCCCGTGGCCGTCTGAGGGTGACTGTGCTGTCATCCGCGACTGGGCCTACACCCTCAATGCGTATTGGTCCATCTGGACCAACACGCCGGACTATCACGGCGTGGTGGTGTACAATACTTGCGTTTTTGGTGCTGGTACGAGGAACACGTATGATACTTACATTGGGTCGTCTGATATGGGTGATATCGTCCGTGACTCTATCACCAGGCTCGCGGTATGTGTCCTCCCCCCCTGTTGTCTCTCTCGTCTCGACTTCTGTACTGATGCATCGGGTAGAATAACGGCCTTGTTGGGGCCGCAGGAAATATGGGATGTGAGAATTCGTGCACACAGTCTGGGTGCATATTTTCCGGCCGTTCAGACGTTTTCTGGAAGCTCCAGCACAACTAAGTCGGTGTGCAATTCTATATTTTTGCCCATGGAAAGTCTGATGCCACTTGGTAGCAACTTAGTCCGGATGTGGTGAAGGAGTTTCTTTCGTCTGCAGAATTACTTGTTTTTGTTGCAAATCTGAGGGAACATTGACGCTCGCTCATCAGTGTCTGGTGTGCTTATACACTGAGGCAAATGTACGTACGCTATCTAGGATGGCTTTCAACAAGTCGTCTCAGCGCAACATACATAGCAATAGAGTATTTGAAAAAAGTACACGAGATGCTTTCCCCTTGATATCGAGTCCTCCTGTCGGTGCCTCTTCGTAGTTAACGAGGATGGAAGGGTGGCTCTCTGGAGTGCAGGTGGCTCGGAGCATTCAGTCTCCTTGAGTTGACGTCGACCATGGTCTTCGAACCACGGATATGCTTCTAACGAGGCGGTACTCGAATAATTAATTGATGAATGAGAGTTCTGATTGTCATGTAGTTTCAGCAACGCAACAGCAAACCAGGTGGTGTTAGGTCCGCGATTGTAGAGAGCTGACCCTGACCTGTAGACAGCTCTGCACTCAGGCAGAATGCCAGCTGGTCTGGACCATGGGTCTTGTATCCCGCATTAATTCCACGAACACTTTGTTTTCGCATCAACTCTTCTGAACCATTGCATATACCGAGGTTAAACGATGTTCACAATAACTTTGTCTGACTCTTTGTTGGAGGGAACGGAACAGGACCTGTGTCCATGTACTTAGATAGCAATTCAGGCTCATGGACTGATAGCGGGTGGGTTAGGGTCACTGTTGCACCTACAAACGAAGAATGAATCAAGGATATCACATGCAAGCGCTTAAGCATTCTGCCCCGGGAGCGAACTTTTGGTAGTTTCCGGCGAGAATTGCCCTGCAATGTAAAGTTCGACACTAGAATTTTCAAGATTGTTCCCGCTAATGCAACAATTGTGGTGAGCGGCAGGACCCTGAAAAAAAATAATCGGGCAAAACTGAACCAAGTGGCGAGCAATCTGTGGACCCTTTGACATCACCCCACCGGTTGGGCATGGATGCGGGCGTCTGTCGCCCCACGATACCTTCACTGAGTCCCCCTCCTCCACGGGGCAGTATAAACGCGCCTCTGCTACTGCCCCGCTGGTGAGTGAGGAGAGGCATCTCGCGGATCTTTACCTCAACAACGAGCCCCTGACACTTTCTCAATATGGGCAAGAACCACGAAGTCGAACACAGTCTCCGCGCCTCACACGACGGCGGTGATGGCGCATCTCTCGGCCGCCGGACATCAGCCCTCGAAGAGGTGCCCACCCTCGTGCCGCCGCCCGGATTCCCAGGCTTGCCGGTCCGCCGCCGGAGCACCGCATCCCGGCAGAGCGTCACGTTCTCGGAGGACGTCAGACGCCAATCCCACGCGGTGGAAGATGACGACGACGAGGAGGCCCTCGAAGCCCTCACGCAAAGCGCCTCAGCCATCAGCCGCCAGATCTCGCGCAGGCGAGAGTCGGCCGACAATGTCTTCGAGCTGCCCATGATCCAGCGCCCGCGCGCCGCGAAGCCAGGGCTGCCCAGCACCATCCGCGAGGTCCCGTCGAACCTACCCACGCCGTCGTCGACTCGTCCGCCGTCGCCAACGACACCGTCCGGCCGCCTGGCCGGGTCGATAGACTACTTCGGCCAGAGCACCAGCCCCGCCCCTTCATCACCCCAGAGCGATGCGGAGTATGAGACGGGTGTCGGGCAAGCTTATCCTGACGTGGGAGTCATCAAGTCCTGGCGCGGCGCAATGATTCTGAGCAGCACCTGCGGCGCCCAGCTGATGGACAACGTCTTTATGACGGGCGTCAACATCGCTCTGCCGGCCATTCAGAAGGACTTTGGCGTCGGCAGCTCGGACTTGCAGTGGCTCATTTCGGCGTACACGCTGACATTTGGTGGATTTCTCCTTCTGGCAGGCGTTCTGTCCGACAGATACGGCCGCAAGATGATCTTCTGCACCGGCATGGCGACTCTTAGTGCCTGGACGCTCGCGGACGGTTTTGCTCCTAACTTCATCTCACTGGCGATATTCAGAGCATTGCAAGGGATCGGCGCCGCGATGACTGTTCCAAGCGCCGTGGGTATTATCAGCAATTACTTTGTCACCCAGGACCGCACTCTGGCCCTGACTATGTTCGGTGCATCTGGCGCGGTCGGCTTTTGCCTTGGCCTCGTCTTTGGGGGCTTTCTCACCTCGTCGCTAGGATGGCGGTACATCTTCTATCTGGCCACTGTCTTTACCGGCGTTATCGGGATACTTGGATTCTTCTGCCTGCCCAAAGACAGGATTGTCGGCCACACCCGGCCGAAGCTGGACTTTGTCGGCGCGGGCCTCTCTACGGCGGGGCTGATCCTGCTCAGTTTCGTCCTCTCCAGCGGCGGGGAGTACGGATGGGGCAAGGCCTTCATCATCGTGCTGCTCGTGCTCAGCGTCGCCATGATAGTGGCTTTCACCTACGTCGAAAAGAAGGTTCCCAACCCCATCATGCCGCTCTCCCTCTGGAAGCTCGAGAACTTCGCTGCCCTGTGGATCGGCGGCTTCGTCATGTATGGTGGCTACCAGACAACTATCTACTTTGTCACGCTCATGGCGCAGGAGATCAACCACCTGAGCGCCGGCCAGACGGCCCTGCGCTTCTTGCCCATGGGCTGCACCGGCTTTGTCTTCAGCCTGGGCATGTCCCGCGCCCTCGAGGTCTTCAACACGAAATGGCTGCTCGTCGCCGGCATGGTCGTCTGTGCCATCTCGCCGGTACCATGCGCCCTCATGTCCGCCGGCGACATGAGCTTCTGGAAGCACGTTTTTCCTACGACGATCCTGAGTGTGGCTGGCGTCACCATAGTGTACTGCACAATCACTGTCGTCCTTCTGGCCTCAGTTCCCGTGAATGTGCAGAGTATGTGCGGTGGCATGATCAACACTGCCTTCCAGATTGGGAGCGGAGTCGGGCTCGCGCTGGCGAGTGCGGTGGTGCAAGCTGTTGACACGGCCAAGGGGCACTCGGAGCTTCTGCAGTATAGAACAGGGCTATGGTGCTGTGTTGGCCTTGCTGGTGTGGGACTTGTTGCGAGCGTGTTCGGCGTGAAGGACAAGGGCAAGTCCGTGGGTGGTCATGTTATGGTGCATTGATACCTGCTGGGGGAGGCTACGCACGACGTGAACGATGCTACGACAAACAAAGATACAGTTATAATGTTAAACGTGGGAAAACACTTCACTTATAGATAGGGGGTCTAGATTGGCATGCGATAGATTTATAGAGGGTTTGTTTATATGAGATATTGCGTTTCATAGCACTAATACTTTGAGTTTTCACTACTTTGCACCAACAAGGTCTAATAACCGGACTTGCCAGCATGCTGGCTAGAACTTCCGAGACGCGTCCCAGAAAACTTGCCATCTCACTGAAACCAGTCTTATGCGCCGTTTTGGACCGCAGGCGGTTTGTAGTATTGCGTGAAATCATGCATGACATCAAGCAGCCCCTAGGAATATGTCAGCCTGAGGTACGAAGTCCCTGGCAGGGCCGACTCGTCAAATATATGGTACGAGACCCACCTTCTTCATCTCCTCTGCAAACGCCTCATCCTTTTCCGCCCTCTCGACAGCCTGAAAGAACGGATCTGCCTTGATGGCCTCAGGACTAGGATCCCACACTCTACGGATATTGCTGGAAGAGATTGGATTGATGATGTCGTTGTATTTCTGGATTCGGATCTCGGAGTACTTGTCCAGAATGCTATCGTCAAGCTGGCCCGTGGCTATGCCGTACAGGCAATCGAAGAGATTGCCAGCGTCGACGAGGCCTCCTGTGAGACCCATACCACCACTACACAGATAAATCAGCTACACCGATGATCTGGCATGATAGCAAGGAGGAAATGCCACTTACAAAGGGTTGCACACATGAGCCGCATCAGCAGCTAGACAGACTCGCCCCACCCGGAACTTCTCAGCGCACCGCTGGTGGATCTTATACGGGCTAAAGTTGATCACCTTGTACTCATTTGGCTCCGGAGCCCCAGGTACAAACTGTTTGTATTTCCAAGGTAGCCTCTCAAACATCTGCTCTCTCGTCAGTCCGGCATCTTCACCGTAGGTGATGCGTAAGAGGCCGTCGTTGGCTAGCTGGGCGATCATAGGGAAGTGATCCGGATGGATCATGAATGTTGAAGATGTCCAATTGTAATCCTTGAACTTGGGGTAGTACACCTTCGACAGCGTCAGTAAACTCATACTAAACATGAGTCTCGGGATGACCTACATTTGTCGCGACGATCTGCTTGTCCCACGTGAATCCTGGGAATTCGTTGCCGAAGAGCTCGTGACGAACTTTGCTAGGTGCGCCGTCGCACCCAACAATATAATCCGCCTCGAGCCTCTTCTCGCCTTCCGGTGTCTTCACATTTACCCAAGCCTTGTCCCTGTCCTGCCCCAGGGAGAGCACCTCATGGCTAAGCAGCACCTGCGCGGTCGGGTGCCGCGCAAGGTGGTCAGCCATCAGGGGCAATAGTTCGTCCAAGGGCAACGAGACGTGAGTCTCTTGCCCAGGCGGGTTATCCGCCAAGAGCGTGCAGACCTTCTCGAATTTCTTCTCACCACCGACCTCGAGAAGCCGCCAGCTCACGCCATCCGGGACGAACGCGTTCTTCATAATGTCTTCCATCAGCCCTGCGCGCCGCAGCTCGTAGAGCGTCGGCGCGTTGTAGAAGCTGGCGCGCGGGTTGCGGTCTATCTCCTGCCCCTTCTCAAGCACGGTGACTGAGATGCCCTTCTGTGCCAGCATCAGGGCGATGAGGAGGCCGGCGGGCCCTGCGCCAACGACGATGACCTTGGTGGCTTTAGCATGCCGTGGGGAGGGTGGTCCAAGGCAACAAAACTCACATTGAACCCTTCCTTGATCTCTGCCATCTCTAATGTACTGTTATGGAGGTGTGAACAAAACCCTATGCGACTTAATTATCGGTCTGCTCGCGAGTGTATAAAATCAAGCTGATGGACTAGCGAGATTTCGGCATCAAGATATTTAGCCGACAATTAGTAGCATTCACTCCTCTCTGTTTCATGCACTCGTAGCACCCATAAAGGCATAGACTAGCTAGGTCAGGTGGTGGTACGTCAATGAATCCTTTCTACACATGTCAAGCGCGGTAGTTGTGGAGACTGCGGGGAAACAAGAGTTATCCAGATCGCTTCCCCATGGGGTTGCGGATGAACTACTTTCTATCTCAGGGCGTCTGCGGGGGCCTTTCTGGGCGCTGGAGTCCTTGATGAGCCGCGGCGTCGATGCTTTGATCTATCTCCTCGGGGGGATGATAACCTAGAGATTATCTTTATGTTTTGCATTCCCGTAGCACAGAGATTGGCTCGGTCGCATGTTTGCATCGGCGACACCTGAAACCAAAACAATTGTGTATAAGCTCAGAATACTGGCCCGGGTTCAGAAGAAGCCTTTCTATATTACTATGTATAATCGTAATGATCCTATGGACCCTAACCTCACGTCGCCTCAATATCGTTTTACCGGACCTCGGCTTGGAGGCTGTCGAGAGCGTTGTAAACCGTCATCGTGTTGGAGACACGGGGAGTTTCAAAATACCGAAGCCCTCAATGTTAGGAGGTAAGTCAGAAATCTGTCATCAGGTAGCATACAGATCTCGCCAATTCGAGACGTGGACTTGAGGGGTCTTTTGCATTGCATGGCTGAGCTGATCCTGACCAATTGCCACCTTCGAAGTTAATCTCCTCCCGCTCAAGCTTCGATCTAAGCCAAGAGCTTTGGGGGGACCGAGGTGAGGAGAACGCATCGATACATTTGGGTACCGACAACACCTGCTCCTCGAGCACACAAACAATCCCAGAAATACAGATATTCTCCGTACAGATACATCCAAGACAGACACATCCGAAACAGACACACTCAGGACTGATATTATCAACTCTACACGCGTAATAACAATTCTCTCGGTGACAATGGTTGCACAGCAAGAACCCCGATATGCGGATCCCATCTACCAAACCGCTCACGACAACACTTACAACAAACCGATAATCCAGGGCATTCCAGCCGTCCTGCCACCGGGCGTGTCTCAAGATGAGTTTGATAGCGCGCTGAAGAAGCTAGCCGCTTCACTCGGGGAACATGCCGTCTTCCAAGGCGAGAGGCTGAAGGAATATGTAGATCCGTACGAGATTCCGGAGGGTGGCCATGAGAGGAAGGTGCCTGGAGCTGCCATTTGGTGAGCACACGTCTCGAAAGCTGTAGTATCCGAAAGCTGACCATGAGTACACAGTCCATCCTCGGTTGAGGAGCTGCAGGCTGCTCTGAAGGTGGTCAACGAGTTCAAGATTCCGGTGTGGACCGTATCACGCGGCAAGAATCTGGGGTGAGTTTGAATGGTTATGAAGCAGTTCTAGAATTTCACTAAACGTAAATCAGATATGGAGGGCCTGCACCTGTCGTCAACGGATCCATCGTTATGGATCTCCACCGCATGAACAAGGTCCTCGAGGTCAACGAGAAGTTCGCTTATGCGGTGGTAGAGCCTGGTGTCACTTTTGGTGACCTATATACCTACTGCGTCGAGAAGAAGCTCAAAGTATGGCCCAGCACCGCCTCTCTTGGATGGGGCAGCGTGGTTGGCAATGTGAGTCTTTCAAGCATCCTTTTTGCCTTTGAAGCCCGCTTCTTAACCATTTTCAGACCTTGGACAGGGGGATGGGCTTCATTCCCTCAGGAATCCATCACGAAAACATCGCCGGGCTTGAGGTAGTCCTTGCCAACGGAGATGTCGTCCGCACTGGCCAGTTCGCAATGACCTCTTCTCCATCCGCCCATCTGACCCACCTCAGCTTCGGGCCCTCGATCGACGGGCTTTTCCTTCAGAGCAATCTGGGCATTGTTACCAAGCTAGGAATCCATATGACGCCGCAGCCACAAGCGTATATGCCTTGTACCTTTGATATGCCCGACTTTGACGATATTGAGACGAGTAAGTGACATAAGGAAGGGCTACCATGGTGACCCGGACAATCTTGGGGACTATTCCTTACACAATGACCTGCCGAGAATCGACGAGGCTACCTTGATGACCGTCGTCCCACTCTCTCTTTTTATACTGTAGGTTCAGTCTACTAACAAACTACCAGTCACTGATGTGTTCGGCGAGATGCGTCGCAACAAAACTCTCCCGACAATTGTGTACGTCTTCAGTCTTATCGAGTGGTCCGCTATCTTCGGCCCGCGGCACAAGTACTGGGATGGCGACGGGCCGATTCCGGACTGGAAGATCAAGGAGATGCAAAAGGAGCTGGATACTGGGTTCTGGACCGTCAAATGGGGGTTCTATGGGCCAAAGGATGTTCTTCAGGCACAGTACAACGAGGTCAAGCGCGTTGTGTCCAAGGCAGCGCCAAAGGGCCGTCTGAGGAACACGCTCTTCTATGGCGGCGAGGAAGCCCAGCTCCTTGAGGCAGCATCTGTGCCGCAGCCGTATGGTGGGATGTTCGTTGGAGTTCCTAGCATGTTCTCTATTCCCATGGTGGACTTCTATAACCCCAAGGAAGGCGGTGGTGTCGGTGCTCACGGCGCTTACTCGCCCATAGTCCCACTGGACGGCAAGACGATGAAGAAATGGGTCACGGCGGCCCGTAAGGTGTATGAATCCCAGGGCCTGGACTTGTTGTGCGACTACTTCATGCACGAACGCCATGCGGTCTTCGTTTGCATGTTGTGCTTCGACAAGACCAATGCCAAGCAACGTCAGGCCATTGACAACGTGTTCAACGGGCTGTTCGAGGAGGGCTCGAAGCTGGGGTTCGCAAAGTATCGCTCTCACATAGCGCATATGGGTGAGTCCTGCATATTCTGACAGGTGTCGGGGCCGGAGACTAATCCAGACCAGACCAAGTTGCTGAGCTTTTCGACTTCAACGACCATGCATACCGCAGATTCGTGGAAACGATCAAGGTGAGATATTCCCTATGTGGATGCTTTACACATGCTAGGAGGCTGGGGCAAAACTGACAAGGTACAACCACGTAGGACTCGCTTGATCCTAACGGTGTACTCTCCCCAGGCAAGATGGGCATCTGGCCGAAGACATACAGAGATCAAAATTTGAACGGGGCGAAGCATCACAGCGAAGCCAAACTCTGATGGGTGTCGCTTTTGACTGATCGAATGGATCCAAGATGCATCTAATCTGAATAGTGAAGGTCATTTTCCTTATTATCCTATGTATACACGCAGTATAGGTCACATTGAGCTCTGTCTCCGTGTATCAGTACACCGTGATTTGCCTCCCATCCGGACAGGATCAAGATCAAGTCCCCGTGTTACGGGGTGTCCATGCTTATTGACGCAGCCAACAGAAACTATATTCACCGCGATCCACATTCTAGTTACCTATTGGTCATCACCTTTTGAATTTTAGCGGTTTTGCACAAGCACCCGAAGATTGATTTACGTCGGGCTCTTACCCAAGACCGACTTCGTGGTAAAGAGATTTAACACTCAGATCCTATTTTGGCGTGTCACAGACAACAGATGACTAGAATATTGGTGGCCAATGACTTAACCTTACTATGGAGCAATCGAGAAATCACAGTCTGGGTGAGATTTGGCACCTTGACGGTCCGAGGGCAGCGCGCGCGGCGACTAAGCGCCCGCCGGATGTCCGCACCACATCCACAGACAAGACAAGACGACTAGGCCGTCTTATGACATTACCTCGCCCTGCATGATTTACGGCAGCGAAACCTAATCCCAAGTGATCCTGCGATGTTGGCACTTCATGGAGATGGAAATGGGTCACGAGCACGGTATCGGTGGCAAACCCACAGACATACGGGCATATTCCGAACACGGACATGATGCTCGATAAGGGAAAATGCTGCTTTCTCGTACGTAAGGGCGGATCCGCAGCTCTTAACCTCACTGAGGCCATGGATAAGGTTCGTCTTCGTTTGAAGTTTGATGAGGCTTGATCACATGTATCTCCCGTATTTTAAGATGTTGACGACGAGTGGCGCACACGCTCGGAGCAACATGCCCTTATCAGCTCAATGACCATTGACATAGTTTTAAGGTGAGAGATAAAATGATGCTTATCCGTTGTTTTGATCCAAACCTCATCATTTAGCCTTGGGAACCAGTGTCGCAGTCGTTGAACCGTTATGCACTGTCTGAGTGTCTGCACACCTGCTGTCGACAAATCCCGATCGTTCAGCAAGTACGGAGTGTAGAATCAGATGAGACCATAGCCAGAAGGTTAAAAGCCACCGTTGACATTGAATATCAACAATCTCTACGCAGAAGTAAGCATACGAGTTGCACAACGATGTGCGAGGCATGTAATTGAATGTACGATGACACAACGTAGTTCTCGGCATTTTTGTTGAGAGTAAAGTTTCATATAAAATTACAAGGTAATCCTTAGAAGAATATCTTTCCTCAGGACTTTCCCAACAGACATTCCCATAGACACCCGTGACAAGGCTAGCAGCAAGGCAGACAGACCGAACAGGTAACCACCCGCGGACGACATGCGCTTCAGCGCCGCGACAGAACCGCAAGAAGCATGTGAAAGACTGGACGTCATGCCATCTACCTGAGTATATGCAGCATACACACATGATACAGGATCTCACCGCCAAAAGAAGTATTGCAGACGAATATATTCAAAGTATACTGCGTAGTATTCGGCCGTGAGTAGTATCGCAGTTACTTTTTCAACTCTCTCTAAGTCAATTGACAAATCAACGCTATGCCTATCGAACGCCTTGCGACGCCTTGTGACCATCTCTGCTACACAGTGCTGAACATTGGCTCAATTAACCCATGGACAGGTAAAACCCACCTCCCACGCTGCAGCAGCAAATATAGTCACATCGTGGCCCCTCATCCAATGTCAATTCTATTTCCTGCACGTGGGGCCAACCTTCTTTAACGGTACACTTGTGCAGACAGCTGCAGTCTAAGGCTCCTTGTGGTAAAGGACGACTATAGCAGACGAGGGGACATAAATGCTATTGCCTAGGTTAGGAAGAGTACTTGACGAAAAAGCAAAAACACTACGTAGATCGGCCGTTTGATAACCACAACAGGATCAGGAACTAGGTGTCAACGTCGGGTGAAACGGCCGGGACAGGAAATGAAGGCCGTTCTGGAACCACAGAACCAGATACACCGGTCTTCAACTCCCCAGAGCCTTATGCACCTGTCATGAGCTTATCAAGAATTTGAGAATCGAACTACCGTGCCTTCTTTTTTTCGGAGATACGCGTATGAGCCTGAATTGTTCTTGCAAGGGCATGTTGGGACGGACGTCACTTGAGTTTCCAAGGTTCTCCCGGATCCCGGAATCGAGCATGTACCGGAGGAAAGCCGCTAGCACATCGTCAACACCACCCCACGATCGGCCAACAGCCGGAACTACTGTACGGTGATGGACTGCAGTTCTTCAGACAGCATGGGGAGTGTGGAGGTGTCCATCTTTTCCCGATCCGGCGATAATAATCATCCAGATAAGGGAGCTCCCGCAGGATCAGTAACACTCCGGCCCCAAAATACTACGCATATGCCTATAACAAGGGTCTCTATGATATCACGGCGGTGAGACTCACAAAGGGCTGGGACGGCCAACTAGTCGTCATATTCTTAGCTGCATTATAGCTGCAATAAGTTTCGGCTGCCCTGCCGTCGCATCGGTGATAGTTTATTCCCCCCACGAACCTGCCTAGAGATGCACGTTGAGGCTTAGGATAACGCCCGCCCTACTTTCTCCGCTCGGCAGACGGCTGTCACCTAGATCCGATTTAACGCGATGCAGCAAGGAAAATGAACTCATGCTGAAGATATCGCCCAGCCAGCCTTGACTTTATCCCTGCCCAGCGTACCAGCGATTCATGATATTCTTCCTCACAAGGTTTGGCAAAATGCACTAGGTACCAAAAAGCAAGTCCAGGCGGCATATATCTGAAGTATTTTGCATCGTGGGGCCACAATTAAGCTCTTACGATCATCACCAGTCAAACTCTTCGCCCTGCCTTACGCATTTACCCGATGCCACGCCGGGTCCCGTAGCTAGAGTGAACTTACGGCGGATTTGACACCGACAATACAGCCGAGGGAGTGGTGAGGCTCGGTACGGCCAGCCGAGCAGACAACAGGGGACCCAGAAAGCCGGGAGGCCGGAAGTTTAGTTGTCGGATCGACCGGCTAACGGGCAAGTCAGATCATCACCTCATACTCTAAACACCACAGAGGACATGACATTCCACCAGCCTCGGCACTGTTTGCGATGGAGGATGGTCGACGGTCAATCTGTCATAGTAGCCGCGCCCCTTATGTCACGGCCTAGCACGTCATTTCCACAAGAGGCCGTCCCCCTTGCGCTGCCACGTTTTTCCAAATCCCAAAGGCCTAGAATGCCACGACTGCCCGTCGTGCTATCGATGGGAAAGCGCACCACTGACGATGCCAAGGCCAACGGACCCAAAGACGGGTTCGCGTTGTCTGGCATGTGGGATCGCAGATCCTAACCCTCTTACTAATTAGTCTCGGGTTGCCGTGTGGGCGGGCGAACATAGGAAGAAGGAAAAACCCCGATGTTGAAACCGCCATCTGCTAACGGCGAGGGGAGATGGTGCTCGAAGAATTGAGCCGCCCCTCGCGCCAGAAGGGGGGATGGAAGAGATCCAGGCGTCTGGACCCTTGATCAACGGCGTCCGCTATGACAGTTCGCTAGTCTCGGGGTGGTGTGGTGGTGGTGGGAGAGAGGACAGAAGGGGGGGTGTGGATTGTCCTCCCTCCCTCTCCCTTGCTTGAGACTCTAGCCCCGGGCACTGTATGTACTAAAGCTGCCTAGCTCCGGAGGCGGGTGATGAACAGCAATCCGTGATTTGTCTCTTCGGCCGTGACGGGTTTGGCGTGTTCGAGAAGTCGGCGTTGCGATGCGTACTGTGTGAGCATCACTGCGTGCGTGCGAGCGTGATTGTGAGGCTGATGTTGGACAGACAGCAAGCCTCTTGAAACTGTGATGGCAGAGTCAAGATCCCGCAGAAGCGAAGGGGTATATGCGTTGCACTATGTAGGCGGACCGGCTGCAGCTCAGGCACACATATCTGCACTCACCAAATTTGCGGCTCTGCATCCAATTCAGCCGGCCCAAGTTCTGGATCGACAGACACGCATTCCGGACCCTGAGGGACGGCTGGCTAGTCGTACAGCACCGTTAGAAATATGGCACGTAACTCGCAGAGACAACATCATGAGCCATGACGACAACCTCCAAGAATAGCAGAGACAAATACACGAAGATACATGCCGGCGGGCAGCTGCTCACGAACTACATTATCGTCATACCCGTCGTAAATCTGCTGATCAGTCCGATCTGGTCCCTCTCACCAGAGACAAACTAAACCCCATCAAGCAGCCAGAAATGTCACGATGGGAAGGGGGAGGGCAAGTGGTGGCGTGTTGTCCGATATTCTATGTTGGCATTTGAGCCTAGCCAAACCCACGTGACAGATAGAGGCATTGCATAGGAGCACCCAAGACAGCTTGACAAATAGAAACAAGCTCATCGCAGGATGTTCCGACTCGCCGGCGTAGGGCGTGCATGAACTGGGGGTCCGCCCTAGCCAAGCCAGCGATGGGACGACGAGCAAGCAGAAGAAGGGGTCCCATCCTCAAACTCCATCTTGGCGACGGGTCCTGCTGGAGCCGGTGCCTCGACCTGGTGATGGTGGTGGGGAGGGGGGGCGTGCCTGTCCGGGAGAGGAGCATCATGTGAAGGAGGGAGGGGCTCATGCAGGAGTTGGGAACAAAATCGATCACGATCATGATCGTGAAGGTGATTTGGTGTATGAGTGGGTGAATGGGATTTGCATTGAGCACGGTGCCACTCCGATATTGATTATCTCCGTCCCCTCGAGAGATTCCAGGAGGAGGTGACGGAGTAACAGTCAAGTGGCCGTGCTGCAAGTTGCATGCAGGTAGTTATTTAAACGGTTCCGGAGGAGGGACGAGCCTTGAGCATGCTTCCGCGATGCAACCACACGACGTCCAAATGCCGAGATGAGAGTGTGTTCGTGCGTTTTCTGGTTCGAGTGAGCTGTCAGTGATTAGCCTCTTTCTTGCTTAGGCTCGAGGCGGTCCCATACGCAAGTGGCAAAGATATGGCGATCAACTGGAGGAAGTAGCTTGCCATACAGGTGCCTGGGGCCCTACACAGGTTGTCGCTGAAGTCGCATGAGTCGTGGGTGTCTTTCTACCTTGGTTGCAGTACTGTGTACACAACAGCGTTGACACCGGACGGTTGAGGGGCAACGCCATTTGCGGGGCAAAGACTAGGCGTATGACGTTCACATGCGAAGGCGCGAGCAAGCATATCACCCATTCATCCATACAATGTGGGCAGACAACCACCAGGGTCCTCGTCGACAAGCAGGGTGGCCCCACCAAGTGCGAGCCGGAACGTCGACGCAGCCGGGTTGACGATGCCCTCCTGGCCAGCCCTGGGAGGTGTGGGTGGGCTTGGGGAGAGGCCGTGCGCCGGCCAAAGGCTGTCTGGTTCGAAACAGGTACGGTATGATCTTTCATGCAGCAGATCGGCTGGGGATTTTCGAGTCGCACTGTGTGGGCAGAAAACAGGCGAGAACGTGAAGCATAGAACCAGCCGTTTCGAGGCCACGATGATTCTCGTTGTCGTGGTTGTGGTTGTCTGTTGGTTGCGTTGTCGTGTGCGATGTAGGCCGGTCCTAGTCCTTCCGCATGGCCCGTGATGGTATCACGACCAGCACCTACTAGTCTCGCCAGCCTTACGGACTGGGGAGGCATGAGCAGTAACAGCACACCATCACTGAGATGTTGAAACACGACGTAGCTGCGAAACATGCTCTAGTTGCGTTGCCTCTGCAAGCAAGAAGCATGTATCTGCGCTTTCTCGTTCGCTTGTCCTATTAGGGAAAAACCACATGGCGGCGCGGTTGCGATATTGCAAATCCACATAGCTGTCGCGCCTGTCGTCGCTTAACGTCTGCGCAGCTATGCGCCGTCATGCGCAGTGAGTCAGTCAGTCGCAGGTACACATACCACGACCATCACCTGGTGCCGTCTTTCCAGGCGACATCCTCAAAGGTATCTACTACTGTAGACAGTCGACTATATTCCTGAGAAGCCCCCCCGATCGTTAGACAGAGTCCTAAACGCAACATCTCGGCCAGCTCGCCGACGATTAGGATTCTGACAGTCGCCAACGGCCACTAGACTTTCTAGAAACCTTCCATGATCGACTGCATCAGAGGTTTCAGAGCCTCAACCTTGGACCAGGCACCCAGCAGACACCAGAAAGCCATCCATCCGGGACAGGGAAGGCAAAGGCCGAACAAATGGGGAGGCACCATGGTGTCAGTGTCAGATAGAGTGGCTGCTGCCAAGAATAGGCCAGCCATGTATAGAGTTTGAACCTTCAGAAGGCATAGGCCGAAGATCGCGAAACTCTGTCCATCAATCTGTTTGGCACGTGGGAGGGGGCGAGGAGCTATTGCGATTGGGTTTGGAGAGGGGCGGGCGGGATAGGATATAGAGAGCGGACGAGGCAATCATCAGCAGAAAATCGAGATTTCCCCAACGGAAAGAAGTTCGGCATACTTTGCGCCAAGCAGGCCGGGGCCCGATCAACACTAATCCGCCGGGCAAGGGGGGGGGGATTGAGCATGTGCTGGCTGCGCGGACTGGGAACGGGAGAGTTCAGTAATGTAAGTCAATGTAGAAACCGCCCAGAAAAGCTTCCTGGCCGAACATGTGCTGTCTACGCAGACTGGGAATGCGTGAGTTCAGTAATGTAAGTGGATTCGAAGCCGGCCCATGGCTTCCTGACCGACACTTAGCTACAGAGAAAAATGGATGCACCCACACCTCTGAGCGTGGATTTGATGCTTGTAGCCAGAGATTCCAACTCCGACCATGTGCTACATGCGCGGACTGGGAATGGGCGAGTGCAATCGGTGTAAGTGAATGTAGAAACCGTCTTAGAAACTTCCTGACCGAACACGTGCATGAATGGTGAGCAGAAAGAGGGAGAGTCAAGGCCCAACCTGAAGATTGGCATTGACATTGCACTGGCATTGACATTGCACGTTCCGAATCGGTCGACCGAATAAACAATCAACAATCATCAAAAGAGCAAAATGGAGCCCAACCGCGCGCCTCGGTGACATCGTGCCGGGCGACCAGGCCCGACTCCGACCATGGCCCCGAGCCCACCCCGCTGGAAGAGGCAGGTCTCGGGGAGCATAGGCCAATAGTTCGGTGCATCACTTCTTGGAATCGTCCATGCTCAACCACCACAGCGCCCTTGGTTCAGTGACTGGAGGCGAGATTGATATTGCAATGACTGATTGATTGCACACACCGGCCCTTGCGCCCCTCTTTTGAACTGCCCACGTGCCCCTCCAGTGGTTCCTGATCGACTCATGACATGGAGGCGGGGCACCGCAACATCGCGTAGCTGAAGCCCATATATAGATCGACAGTGTCGCAGATATGGTTAAATTGGCTATAGATAGAGGGTCAGGCCGCCGCAGTCGTATTCAACCCTGGTGATATCACACGGCGCAGGTCAAGAGCAGTCCAGCAACCTCGTCGCCGTCTTCATTGCGACCTTGCTTGCAAAGACGAAGCCGGGCTGATCAAGGGCGAGATAATAAAGCTTGCCTGCAGGTCCGTCGTTCAAGGAGGGGAAGTCGTTCATCCCAAGGCACACATTCGCTCGTTCTCTCTGACAAGACACAATCGTTATCACCTTATCACCCCTCGAAACAGCCACCACTGTCTCGAAACAGTCATGGCAGCATCCCTGAGGACAGCAGCCGCAGCAGCGGCCCTGCTGCTCGCCAAGGCAGTCCCCGCCCAGTCGACAACGCCCACGGCCGGCGACCTGTCGGTCCTGACCATGAACGTCGCAGGCCTGCCGCAGATCCTGCAAAACAACGAGGTGCCTGGCGACAAGACAGTGAACTCCAAGTTGATCGGCGGCTACTTTGCCGAGTATGACTTCGACGTCATCCACGTGCAGGAGGACTTCAACTACCACGCGGCCGTCTACGAGACCGACAACCACCCTTACCGGACCGCAACCTCCGGAGGTGTTCCGTTCGGGTCCGGGCTCAACACCCTCGCCAACTACCCGTGGGTCGATTTCACCCGCACAAAGTGGGACACATGTAGCAACACCGACAGCGATGATTGCCTGACGCCCAAGGGTTTCACCTTTATGCGCGTGCAGATCGCGGCGGCGACGGATAACTCTACCGCCGTCTACGCCGACTTCTTCAACCTGCACGCCGACGCCGGCACCACCGACGCCGACGAGACGGCCCGCAACTCCAACATCAACCAGGTACTAGCATTTGCTGAGGCCAACTCTGTGGGCAATGCAGTCGTCATCTTCGGCGATACCAACTCCCGCTACAGCCGCGTTCTGGACACGGCTGTGCGCACGCTGCTTGACAACAACTTCACCGATGCCTGGGTGCAGATCGCGCGCGGCGGCGTCGTGCCCACTCAGGAGACCCTGTGCGTGAACCCGCAGCCGGCGGACAACAGTAGCTGCGAGACCGTCGACAAGGTCTTCTACCGCTCCTCGCCACTCGTCACCCTCGACGCCAGTAGCTTCATGTACGTCGGGGAGTGGTTCCTGCAGCCCAACGGCAGCATCCTCACAGACCACAACCCCGTCAACGTCAACTTCACCTGGACCGCGGGCGCTAGCCTGCGCCAGTCCGCCTACTGGGGTGGCCCGCACGGCACATGGTTCAGCGACGTCGAGACGCTCGCTTCCATCTCCAAGCCCACTGTGTCAAAGCTCACCTTCCGCGGTGCCAACAGGCTCGACAGCGTCGGCGTGACGCTAAGCAGCGGCGCCAGCCTCACCCACGGCGGGACAGGCGGCACCGAGGCGACCCTGACGCTGGCCTCGGGCGAATACTGGACGAAGGCGACGCTTTGCCAGGGCCTTTACAACAACCAGACGCGTAACTTCTACATCCTGGCGACCACCAGCACAGGGAAGACCGTGAGTGCTGGCACAAAGACAAGCGACTGTGCCGACTTCACAGCCCCGACCGGCTGGAGCATCGTCGGGTTCTTAGGCCAGGATGGCGATGAATTGGACCAACTGGCATTCGTGTACGCGCCACATTCATAGTCGGCCGACGGGCTAGACGACAGGCCGCAGAGCTTGCCTTGAAAGTATAAGCGTTGAATTAGCACCATGTATATAAGTTACGATACCACAAATAGTATGCGTATGTATAAGTGACAGCAGTTAAGCTGTGTCCGCGTCTTCGCGAAACTCTCGAGTCTGTCATGAATGTCACATCAAGTGTGTGATGGTGTGTCTCCCCCACTGGACCTGCGTGATCGCCGGTGTCTGGCGGGGTTTGGCAGAAACGACTTTGTGACGGGCGTGCTGGGCGCTAGACCGTGTGTAGAATAGACCAGTGTGTCGAAACAAAACTTGATAGAGCACAGCTCATCCAAACATGGAGGCGCACGCTGTAGATCGTTTGCTGCAGAGTCATTAACTTTAGCTCATACTGAACCTGTTGCGTGTGCTTGTCACATGCGTCGGCCAAGGCCAGCTTTGAGCTCTGCGCAACAGCAGCTGATGGTGGAATTGGCTGTTATAGCAAGGCTGACGTTGGGGTTTCAGCGGCTAGCCTTGTGGACTAGACTGGCTTCGCGGCTCTCGCATTTCTACGACTGCTTGTGATACACAGTATCAACTGTGCGGCCTTTGTGCATTGAGCAGATTTGCGACAGCCGAGTATGACCCAGGCCGTCGAGCTGGACGTCACTAGAGTCGGTAGCATCTTAGTATCTTAATGCCAAGCAGATTGTGCCTTAGCAGCCGATCTGATGGGCCACCAGAAGCTTCTTTGTGTCGTTCTGCGCTGCTGACAGGCCGTCGACTAGTGAGCATGAAATTAACCATGAGAGCGTGAAAACGTGGGAGCGGTTTGACAGGTGGGGGAGCCAGCAGCAGTAGCTTGGCACCGTCAGACGCTGTGACGAAAGCGTTTCGTAGCCTCAGTCTCCGCCAATCGCTAGAGAAACACAACTTGAGATGGAAAGAAGCTAGAAGGAAACATGTCGTCCCATCTACACGGTAGTCTAAAGGGTCGTGGCCAGCGCCAACCTAACGGTGCCGTCTGCCGAGAGGATGCCGCCATGTACAGGATCTCAGGGACAAAGAGTCGAGCGGTTGACAAAATACGCTAAACGCGGCTCGAAGGCGGCTGGTGAGATCCAGAACGTCGGGAGAATCCAAGAGGAACCGGCCTTGGTACGTGCAAAGCATCATGCGCTACTCGCTTTGATCTGTTGTGTCCATGTGGGAACGATGACATGCGTCGCAGAGTCCAGACCGAACCCGGCCGTCTGGGATGACCTAACAGTCGCACGGCTGGCAAAGAAAGCAGCCTTACCCGGCCGCGCAGCACTGTACAATTTGCCCCCAGGCTCATTGATGGCCAAGATGGTGGCAACACTCGGATTCCACTGGAGACAAAGACGAATGCGAATCTGCCATGACGCCGTTTGGAGGGCTTGCTTCGACGAGGATGGTCGCTGATCAGCCATCGACGAGGATCCTGAAGGAGACCGGTTGAGACGTCGCTTAGCAGCCAGGCCTGACCCAGCTTCATCATCCCTCGCCCTGCATGCTAAGCGACCAGCGCGCCTGCCGCAAATGGCCGTAGCAACGGGCGGTTTGACTTTTGGCTGGAAACAACACGGATAGCAGCTCACCGAGTACAGTGGTAGCGTTCCATACGATGCACACAGTCTCCTGCAACGACGCCAGCAAAGCTCCCGCGGCCGGCATAGAATCACCGCGGCAAAAGCCAGCGATGGTATGACTGCATGTCACAGAAAGATCAAAGTTTGGGCTGTTGATCTGTGCGCGGTCTTGGCGCAGCGGGTAAACAGCCAGACATGAATGAAGGCCAATTCCAAAGTCAATCAAGCCACAGTTGTCCATTGCACAAACCGTGGTGTATAGACTGGCCGAAGGAAATGATGTTTTAGCTTTGGGATGCAGACTCAACGGGGCCAGTCAGCCCTTCCAGAGCTATCAGACGAAAGCAGACGTTATGATCAAGCGAGGTGAGTACTGTACACGACCGTATTGTGCAGAAGTATTTGGGTCTTCCTGGACCCTGCGCTGCAGCGCGGCAATCTGTCAAGCGCCCGAATGCGACTGTGAAACTTTCCCGAGACGTAGATGCCATGGCGCGGATGATGTCCGGGGCTGGAAGCTGTCGACGAAACGAGTGCTGTGGAGCCTGCGACGCTTCTTTCAGGGCAACTGTACGTCCAGTTTTGCTGGACTGTGGGGCGGTCGTAGACAAGCGATAATGACAGGTCGAGCAGACAATTACGGCGCGCCCGAGAGTCTGGGTTAACGTTGTGTCCGCCGAAACAGGAACGGCCGGAGTACTGTAATGTCTCGGGGCGGCACAGTGATGGATTGTCCAACACTGTTGTCAAGCGTGGCGCCACAGGCAGTCGAGTCGGACCGAGGAGGGACAGCACCAAAGCCACCGAGTGCTGCCTGATGAGGTTTGTTGGTTGTGGAAATTTCGCCGAGGAATCCCCAGTCAAAGAACAGAGTTCTGCGATGCTTCAGATGGGCCAGTTGACCGGCTTGTTAGGTCGTGAATCTGAGCCAGCGAGTCGGTAACCGAGAAGGATCCTGCGGACTCGGAGTCGGGGGCTGCATTTTCAGTGTGGGTGGTTGGTTGGTTGGTTGGTTGGATGAATTGTAGGAGAGCCCCCGGAGCTGTCCTTTTCGATCCATGCTCAACCGTTGCAGGCAGACAAGGATCATACACAACTATCGGCCCCCAGCCCGAGTATCACTTGGCCATCGAGAGGAGAGCATGCTTGCATGTACTGTACTGTAGGAAGGGCTGGCTGTTGGGTGTGCGTGCAGGCAGGCAGGTGGTATGGTGTGGGAGGATGCGAGACGAGACGGACGAGCTGCGTCATTTCTTCTGGTTCCTGGCCACCGAAACGTCGAGCCGGGCTGCCGTGCCGCGGTGCTGCAGGGGCAGAAAGGATTGCTTCCACATTGAGCTCCGCGTCGCATGCACGCCTGGCATGCTGCGTCTGCGTCTGCGTCTGCGTTCGGGTGTGTTGGGCCGGGACACGAATCTGGATCTCGGATGCGTCGCCGGGCGGTGGGTTGGGCTACTGCATCATTGCCAATTTTTGTGGACACGGCACGGTCGAGGTGAGGCGGCCTGAAGACAAAAGGTGAAATACGGTCTGCAATGCATCTTGTTCTGGCGATTTCGAGGCAGCTGAGGTGGAAAAAACTGCAAACTGCAAGCTGCAAGCGACCGTGCCCGAGAGTCGACGCAGCCAAGCACAGCATTCAAGCATTGGATTCGCCGAGGTGCGAGCTTGAATCTGAATGAATAATGGATAGGACAGAGCAGAACAGTGTGAGCGTAAACGTAGTAATAAGCATAAGTATGTGATCAGCAGCGTGAGTGCGACAGCTTTGGATGGGATCGTCGGAGGAGCCTGGGCATCAGGGCACCAGGGCATCAGGGCATCAGGATATGCATCCACGACATCCCAACGAGGAGGTCTCTGTCGATTTTTGCTGATCACGAGTGCATGATCGCCTGGCTTGGCGGTGATGGAAGCAGCAGCAGCAGCAGCAGCAGAAGTAGCAGCTCTTACCTCATTGCAGACTTCAGATTCAAGGGAAGGAAAGCATCACCTCGCTACATTTTACCTTGTTGTGGAGAGCAGTAGAGAGGGAAGCTGCGAACATTGGGACAGGGACAGTAGCGTGCGTACCTGAGTACGTACTGCGGTACGTACTCCCTTTGCACAGGGCAGGTGTCTGATTAGCGCGGCGCTAGAGCAATTGGCCGGCCGACCCTCCGATGTGGGATGTGGGGTTAATTGATGTCTGTCTGCACAGTAGATAACAGTACAATAACAACATCATCATGTCCTGCCAATTGATTTGACTGATTGACTGCTGCTGACTGGAGACGCCTCGAGGTGCGAAGGTGACGATTGACTGGCTATGGATGACTGATTGATTGATTGCACTGGATCTAATCTCGCCCTGATTATCGCCTACCGTAGATGCCAAGCGCTGTATTGCCAATTGGCCATGGTTGGACAACAATGGATCTAGCCATCCATTGGGTCCAGCAGATCGCGAGAAATATGTTGTGCCCTCATCTGCTGTAGCTAGGCGACTCTGTTCGGCTGTTCGTTCAGCACTAGCACCAGCTCCATACCGCCCGCGATCTTGCCGCCAAGTCGAACCAAGGAACGTGAAGAACAACGTGCAGGCTGCAGCCAGACTGCAGCCATGCTGCAGCATGCAGCCCACACAAAGCCCAGGCCTGCACGCTACAGAATAGCTTCATTCGGGACGCGGGAGCGGTGCAGGCAGGGCAAGTACCAGTAAGGCAGGGCTGGCATTGGCAGGGCGGGTAACCAGTAGTTGGGTGGTCCTGAGTGCATCTGATTGCATCTGATTGCATCAAGCACGCTGCAGAGCACCTCCACAACCGAACCACTGACGAACTGCGTCACAATCAATTGCTTTCCGCCCATCCATCGCTTCGGCAGGTAAGCCCGACTGTATCAACATTCTGACCACCATGATGACAGCATGACCATTACCACCGCGACAAGCCATTGACCACGCTGCCACGGCACCCAACGTCCAACGTTGCTCGGAAGCAGTCGTGCCTTGCCCTCGTCTGGCGTCTGGCGTCTGGCCGTCATCTGGCCCATCTACCCTGACATCCCGTCCCATGCATCCACCACACTGGCACACCAGCTCGACTCGTCATTTCTTTTTTTCCCCATCGTGAACACCACCAACAGCCACTTGGTACCTGTCAGCGATGCCAGCAGCCAACAGATTGCCTGGCAAGTTCTGCAGCTCGCGACCAGAGCGTTGGATGTCACCCAGTGCGCCGGAGGACCCTGGGCAGCAATTGCCCCCATGGCAAGGCACGACAGGGCCATGGGAAGGGCACATGGGGGGATCTAGAACCCCACCGCCAGACTCGGCCCAGTCTGGTGGGCGGGGGGCCCCTCTAGGGCCCAGAGAGAGCAGAGCTGCACGCCGGCACTAGGGACGGATTCCGGTCCTCCGCGGTC